CTGTAAGTTATAATTGCTTTCAGGCTTTTGTGTGATTTGTGGCGCTCCAACAAGATACAGTCATGAAGTTGGGCGGCAGGCTTCGGTGCTTACTTTGGTACTTTCTGACTTGGCGTGCCGCCTGTTGTAATCAGGAACAGGTTCGTCTGGCTTGAGGGTAACATGAGTTATGTTGGGTGGATTTCAACTGTTTACATTTTGTGTTTCCTTTTCCATTTGCTCAGATTAGGCCCAGACAGTTTATATTGCCCGTTGTTTGGTTCACATTGTGAGCACTGGAACGCTGTGTCATGTGAGAGATGGCTGAGTCACTCACGTCAGCTCGCAAGCCTTCATTTTACAACCTGGATCAACTTTACAGCTGCTGTTTACAGAAGACAAGTATTAAGGAGAAATGAGGATGGTCACAGACTCATGATGCGATGTTTGGGTTTTATTTACAATATATTTGGATCATTTAAACAAGATTACAGATGGTTTTCTCACCTCTACAAGATGATATCATCCATCACTAATACTGCTTTCTTACATCCCACCAGTCTGTTTCCCTTGACAACCATATCTTCTGTTAATAATTATGCAAATGACATAGATCTCTGAGCCAAATAGATTTTTATAAACAACCAAGCCCTTCAGCCATGCATGTGTTTGTCTATCTAAAGTGGCTATGATTAGCATTGGAGTTGGAGGCGTGAGTTTAATTGAATGTCACAGCTCATTTATTTTCCCATATTTGCAAAAGGTCAGTTTTTAAATGAACGCAACTGTACTCAAGGACACATGAGTGTGCAGTTTCTTTTTTAATTTAAGCCTCCTACTCATCGAGGAATGGACAGAATTCGCAAAAAGGTCGACATTTTCCGTCCTACACTTTGGAAGGATTCGATTTCTTTGAAGTCATTTCTGCTCCATCCATGCAGATACGTCCTCTCAGCCTACCACCCAAACTATTTTTTCCCTACTCCCTCTCCTATTTCCAGGCAGAACAAACAGTCCTTTCTTTCCTTCCATTTTTCCCTCATTCGTCCATCAGTGTAATTGCTCTCTTTCCAGGAATAGAAAGGAGCTGCCACGGTCTGTCAAGGAGCCGGTGGTTACTGCGTCCATCAGGAATCCATTCGACTTTCGGTTGTATCTTAACAGTTTGTTAAGTTGTTTACACCTCTAATGTGAAACCTGGGTTACTTTTTTAAAATCTTTGAACACACACAGACTGGCTTTTATGCAATCCAACTTAATTCAAATAGCCTCTTAGAGCTTTTCAGATATCTTTAATATGCTGTAAAGAACAGTGTCCTTACACAGCTCCTTAGAGCAGGAGGATAAGTGGTTGTTTCGTCCTCTCTGTCATGTAGACAGATGTGACTCACACCAATTACGTCCAGCAGTTGCTTCTTTCATCCCTCCCAGCTTTGCTTCTGAAAGTCAGTCATTTAGTTTCTCATCTAAAAGCATTTTTAAGTCACAGCGAGGACATCGTCCTTGGTGCCAACAGAAGCAGCAGCCTTGGAAGTGTTTGCGGTGCCCTCTCTGCTTGCTTTGTCCTCTTTCTCTGTCTGTACCCACTTGTCCTTCTTCGAGAGCTATATTTTTTATTTCTGTCGTTTTGCCTTGTTAGTCATCCATCTGATGTTTTTCAAAGGATGGAGAGGTAGAGTCAGATGTGTATGCCTTCTTGAAGTCGTCCATTAAATATCAAATATATCAATTCTTTTTTCCCATCACTGTAACTTGGCCAGGGGGGATGTCTGTTGAATGTAGATCATTGACCTGCCTGTGTACTGTGAGATATCAGCCAAAAAACCTTGATAGATGCAAACTTAAACAGTCAGTGCATTTGCAGAGGTTACCTCTAAACCCACTGTGTAACACAACATTTCTCAGAGGTTAAAACCTTTGAATAATAATACAAAAATGTAAAAACGCCCAGAGTTGCTCCAGTCAGAGTTAATTTCTTCTGTTTGTGCTAACTGCCGCGGGTTGGCATTTACCTACAATGTCCCTTTCAAATTTCAGCATAGTCATGTGTGTCCGGAGGGTGGAGGGTAGTATCATGGCGGTGCATAAATCAGACCCAGAATCAGAAATCAGACCGCTTGATTTGTCCTGGGGGAATTTGGTAAGCTGGTGCTGACGAAAGGAAAGAAGTCTTCACCCTCACGGTCTTTGTGAATTATCTCATCTCTGTCATTAGCCAATCTTGTGAGTCTGCCTTCCAGCCTGACTCGCTGCTGAAATGCTAATGAGGCCAGTGCACTGCAATTACACACTACACACACAAATACTGAACACACACCTCTCTGTATCACCAAAAAAAGAGGCACAAGCATCCCCATCCTCACTGCACCTGACCTATGCTGACGAACAGACTTCATTTTTGGTATATACATTTGAAACGTCAAAATTGGAGCTTCTTTAGCCTTGTTAGCACAAAAACAGAGTGTTGTTTTTGGGTCAAACTGTGTCATAACATTAAAGGGATATTCTGGCGTAAAATTAAGTTAGGGTCAAACACACCGAAACACCGAGTTAGTCACCCCCTCAAGAGATGAATGTTGCTGATCGCTTGCTCAGCTAGTTATACCAACTTGAGTAACGACCAAACAATAGCAATACACAGTGGTATTGTGACTGTTGCGGGGTGACGCAGCTCAAGGAAGAACATTTATAATAATTTCTTCATCATTTTGCACTGCAGACACGGTAGTTCTTCTGCCTTGGCATCTCGGTCTGATTGCATTTCCATGAAGAAATTATCATAAATGTTCTTCCTTGAGCTGCATAACCCCACAGCAGTTTATAATAGACTGGCCGGAGGTCTCGCTCCAAACAAGCAGCTGCTGGGAGAGAGTAAGTGAGTTGTGTTTAGTCTCTTTGCCAAAGAAATCAGGCAAAGTTAAAAAGATGTATGATGGCTAGTGCTATGGCTGGGACCCTACATGTGCTGTTAATGAAGTTAGTTGCTGTTCTGAGCATTATTTGTGGCTATAGAGTGGCGTTTTGGTTAAGGTTTGTGTGTGGCTCCTCAGACCGCTGTGTATTGTAACGGTCGTTACTAAAGTTGATATACTGTAATTAGGAAAGCAAGCGGTCGACAACATTCATCTCCCGAGGGGGTGTCTAACTCGGTGTTAAGGTGTGTTTGACCCTAACTTAATTTTACGCAGGAATATCCCTTTAAGAAACATCACAGCTCTCATTTATAGCACATTTTGAGATGAACGGGGGCAACTTATTTTGTTCTGAAGGAGGGTCTCAAGGCAATACTGTGTTCTTAATCTCAACATAAAGCTGAAATCCTTCTGCCTTTTCCCCCAAGAGAAATCAAAGTTTTGCATACTGTGCATTCACTTACATTTAAAGATTAAAAAAAAGCATGCCTAACTAATCTGTTTTTTTGTAACTCTTGCTTTTTTTCCTTTCTTTCTTTTCTTTTGGTTGGTAAGAGACATGCATCGAGAGAGAGAGGCAAATTACATGTGACGAAGGTCCTCGTCTGGAATCAAAGCATGGACGTCACAGCCACATGATATGTGCCTTTAGCCAGCCGAGCCACCCACACAGGGATTATTGTTGAGAAAAAAAAAAAAAAGATGTAGAAATGCTAAAAAAATGGCAACATGGCTGTATTTGGTGTCTGACTTAATTTATGCTGATTAATCTGCACTGCTCATGAAAACAGTATTCTCCAAGCTTGCCAAATAACAGGATGGCTCTTACTGACAACAAGCAGTGTTAGTTCTCAGATTCGTAATTGTTTTAGCATAAGTAGACCCACGGCTACTCAGAGTTGTTAAGCAGGCATGCATTTTGTTTTGTGTGCGACAGAAGGGGACAAAAATCCTGTTTGTATGCCGTTGCCAGGTACAGCTCTGCAGGGATTTGGTTCTGAGTGTGTGACTGTGCATGCATGTGTGTATTTTGAAGAAATTACAGTGGGAGGCTGTGTATTCACCCTGCATGGTGGAGGCAATCATTCTGTTGACTGTGTGGAAAATCAATGACACGTCTCTTTTTTCCTTGCAGATCCTGGAGGCGGTGCGCACGCTCCACATGGTGGCGCTCTGACTCAATGTCAAAGGACACTTGTTCCTCGCTCTCACCTGATTCCCTCCTCGCTTCCACTCCTAACGCCTCCTCCTCCATCACTATGTCCTCTTGAGCTCCTGTCTGTTTTCTTGTGTTGACAGAGGCTGCATGTGCGTTTCACCATCTGCCGTGGCATGTTGCTGTGTCAGAGGGGCCTCAGCACACACACACACACACAAACCAAATAATTGGAGCATATGAGCTTGTATAAGGTGAATTTTTTGGTTTCGGACTCTGAGGGGAAATGATTTACGTTTCAGGGGAAGACATGAGAGCAAGAGTTAGTTGATTCTGTCTGAGCTGGAAGCATCAGCCCCCAAGTCTGAACATGGGGGCTTGTCTCTTCTGGTTCCAGAGAGCACTGTGAAATGCCCCGTGGAGGAAGAGACGCAAGGCATGGGCAGCAACCACAGGAGAGTCAGTGTGATCAGTACACACACACACGCGCGCGAATAAACACATACGCTCGCTTGTAAAAAAGGATGGGGGAGATTAATAATAAGGGTATTTAAATGTGACGTGTGTGTGTGTGTGTGCAATGAGAAAAGGATTGGCTTTGATTGGACTCTGCATTACAAACACATATTACACACACGGCGTTATTTTTAGCTTCTGTCGCACTCTGCGCCCTGTGCTCTGTCTCCCTCTGCCCCCCTCTTCGTCTTCTCTACAGGGAACGAAAAGGACAGCGATTCATCAGATTGTTCTTCAGATTTTAGGGGACAAATTTCTTATTTTTCCACCCCTTCGTTGGAGGGAAGCGTTGGAAAGAGACAAGAAGAAGGAGATGGAGATGCAAGCTCATACAGATCAAGGGTGAAATGGAGAAGGGGAAGTATAAAAATCAATCCTTTTCCCCTCCTTTTGTTTCATTTTTCCCTTGACACACACAGATATTGATATGTGGGTGTCTTCCACACACCTCTTATTGTTGTGAACACAGCTATTGAACACTGACCATTAACATCCGTGTATAATCAATCACAGACCACCAGATGTGGTGTCCATCAATTCCTTAGAGAACTTATTACAATTCTCTTAATTCACACATAATCTCTGCATATTTACACCCTGCAGGGATCGATCGTTTCGCTTGAGAAGTAAACCAGTGATCCAGCTCTTGCAGTAAATGAGGTGATTTCTATTTTGGTCGTCCCGTCACGATTCTCATGTAACATGTCGATTGTCAATAAGAATTGTATCCAGACATGTCTCTGCGATCAATATGTTCTTGTGTTCTCACTGATTCGTGCTGCAGTGCTGCTAAAATTAACCGCACCTTTATCGACGACTTCATCTTACACTTTTCTTTGCACATGGTCAGTCACATGTGGATTTAAATGTGGGCTAACTCTATGTAGCGCCTGTGACAGCATCCCTAAGGCACAGAGGAAGTGTCAAAGCACACTGCACTTACACTCTCATACAACACCCCTGCTTAAAAACACACGCAAACCCAAAGTATGATTGCTAAACACAAAAATAACTCTCTCATAAAAAGCCTGATGGATGAAATATTGAAGTGTTATGGTTAGAGGATTGAAAAATTATTATTAAGATACACAGCCTGTAGTTAATAGCAATGTTGGAGCAATTAAATCATCATTACAATTATGGATCATGAATAAGTAATAACTGAACAGCTTTTGCAGCCACTCTTAACGACATTAGCGCTCATGCAGTAAAGTATTCATACAGTACATTCATGTTAATGTGGTGGTGGTTGCCTCTGCCCTCAGCACATGCATTAAAACAGCAGTTAAAGCTTAATATGAATCTGACACGTTTGATTATTTAGAAACGACATGCCTGAAAAAGTGATGCACCGTATTTCATTTTTTCTCCTTTCTGGGTGCAGAAAAGCAGGAATCGGTTGCAGAGAGGAGATAAGAGGACAGAGGCAGAGAGAGCAACAGGGTCTGAGGTGAGTGCAATGATGAAGTGTGCTATATTTAAGCTGATATGTTTTTAACATCTTCTCATGGAATACCACATGACTTTGAAAAGTAGCTTTTAACACACGAGTGCCACTCTACCTGCAGGGCTGCAGCACGCTGTAAAACGAGTGCTGCAGCCTGTAATAATGTGAAAAAGTTTTATTTTTTTTTTAGCTCTCTTCTTGACATATCAGCACTGAATATGCCTTTATTTTCAGAGATTTCTCCTGTTTGTGTTTCACCCCAGAGGACATCATGACGTAAGTGAATTGTGTAAGACTCTAAAAAAGAAAAAGAGAAAATGAACCCTTTGATTAATTTAAGGAGAGATGCCCAAATTCCTGGTTGCTTTTGCTTTGAATAAGGGTAAGTATTGTCAGTCACGGGGCTGAGTGGACTCTATAAATGCTGATAAGTGGTCATGTCGTTGATGTGGCCCATTAGCTGTGTATAAGAACGCATGTATCTATCTATCTATCCTGCACTCTCCACAGCTCATGCATTCTTTATTTTTAGAGCATTTCATAATTTATCCAAAGAGGATGATGTCTTTTACAAGGTTATCTGACTTGGGCTTACTCAGAGCACTGACGTCATTATTATTTATTCATCCATTTTTGGAACAAATACTGAGCGTCACACTCTGATAACCACTCTGAGTTTATTTATGGTGCAGATTCTACATTTGTTATTCTGTTCGGCAGATATACATCTATTATATGTTGAGTTATCCTGAAGAATTCAGCTCTTCTGTTGTGCTTTCTTTCTCATACCATATATTAAGAAAGCCTGTGTGTGCATGAACCAGATCACAACAAAAAAGGGAAGTTTTGCTTTGTTGTGTGAATCTGACTCTCTTAAATGTATCCCTCCTTTCATTTTAAGCATAGATTATGGTTTCTTAGGCAGCATCCTAGCCATTTTGTTTCTACATGCCAACTTTGTGTTATCTTTCAGAGTTCAGATTGTGAACTTTTGGAGTCACATTGTTTCACCAGCTTTGGTTTGATTCTGATGGATCTGTGTGGTACAAAGATTAAAGAAATAAATGTGTTTAAGAGAAAGACAACATAGTGATCTCTTGATGTGCAAAAAAACAAGTTCTGTCTTACAGGCATCAGTTAGGGAAGATTAATGCTTTTCAAAAACCTCCACAGCAGATTAGAATTGATGGAGAGTGTTCACAAAATACTGCAATAAATTTCCCATCTCAACAGCCATTATCATGTTTTCTCCTCAGATAATAGGTCTGAAAAAGTGGACCTGAGGTGACAACAAACACCCTGTAAAGCCAATCTATCACTCATTGCTGCACCTGTTTGCATTAGTTTGTTGGCAGGTATTTCTGTGTGTATGCAGCAACACCAGGATGATGCTGCTGAAACTTTAGGATTTCAAGTTGTCTTAAAATGCTGCCACCGCATTTGTTAATTGTGCTTGTTCCTCTGTGTGCGGACGTCAGATGACTTGGATTCTTAATCCGGTTAAATGACATACTTGAAAATGATGGCGTCAACGTGGAACATTCAGAGAATTTTAGCTTTACCTTTTGGAAAGCTGGTGTTTATTGAAGGCTGATTAAAGTGTGTGTTTTTAGGTCAAACATGAGACTCTCAGAGGGTGTTACAGAAAATTGGGGTAGTGCTAAACTGGAAAAAAAGAAAAAGTTGAAGCTTTATGTGGGGCAGAAACAAGATCGAAGCAGTCTGGAAGGTTTTCTCTCACTTTTGAACTTCCTGATGGCTGATACCAACACGATTACCAATATAGCCATCTATGTTTGTATTTTGAAATGTGTAGTTTAGGCACACCTTGCCAATTCTAAGCTCTGAGTTGTTTCTGATGTTATTAGACATATCTTCACATATATCGTCAAAGCAATGGCAACTTTTGAGCTTGTTTAAAACTTGTGGCTAAAGCTGTGCACACTGAATTGATGTAACTCTTAAAAGTCAGCAACAGAATTACTGGACTACTACTCTCTTCCAGCAGCCGCTTAGCATCCCAGTCTGATTGCATTTCCTTGAAGAAATGATCATAAATGTTCTTCCTTGAGCTGCGTCACCCCGTTGTAGTCGTTGTAGTGTAATGGACTGGTCCGAGGTCTCGCTACAAAGAGTGGGTAAGTTGTGTTTAGTCTCTTTGCTTAAGAAATCAGGCAAAGCTAAAAAGAATTTTGGTGGCTAGTGCTATGGCTGGGACCCCATATGTACCATTGATGAAGTTAGGTGCTGTTCTGAGCATTATTTGTGGCTATAGAGTGGCTTTTTGGTTGAGCACGTGGCTCTCTGTATTGCTATCTGTGGTCATTACTAAAGTTGGTATAACTCAAGAATCAAGCGGTCGGCAACATTCATCTCTCAAGGGGATGTCTAACTTGGTGTTATGGTGCGTGTGACCCTAAATTAATTTTACGTCGGAATATCCCTTTGAGTACATTGTGCTAAGTTTTGACTGTTTATTGTATTTTTCATTCTGTTCAAGCAGAATTTAAATTTCTATTTAATCAATCAGGAAATAAAAAGAAATTAGTTGATTTCAGTCCAATGAGATATAAATTGTTACTTCGTTCACTTGAGGCTGGTGAAGTAACATCTTAGCTTTGACAAAAATGGATGAATAATCACACTTACAAGAAAAAAAAATGAGAGACCTTGTTTAAATTTGGTCTCAAAGGGAACTCGCTGACAGCAGAGCTAAAGGATCCTCAGTGCAGAAATATTTTTCTCCTGACGGCACACTCGCAACCTCTGGAGCACATGAAGGATATAACTGGAACATACTGTTTAAAGGCTACTGGCAAGAAGCTAATTTTACTGTATGGTGTATATCTCCCACCTATCAACCCCCCCACCCCCACAAACAAACACACACACACACACACACACACACATACCAACATCCTTAGGGAGTCAGGTCTAAGTTTGGTCGCTGCTAAGTCTTGCCAGGTAACCCTATACCCCTCATTGTCCCCGGGACGCCGCCTCTTCACATATGACATTTGAAGAAGGATGGTGCTACAAGATTGTGTGTGTATGTGTGTGTGTCTGGTTCATACATGTATTTAACAAGATGTGTGGACTAATGCATGAATGTGAGCTTTGATCTGTGCGAGTGCTAATTGAAACTCGCTGTACTTAGCGAGTGCGAAGCTAAACATGCAGAAAGGTGTGAGGTGTTTAATGCTGGGGGCTTCAGGAAGTGAATCACAGGGATGAAGGTACCTCATGCTGAACTCTGGGGTTGGTGGGGGAAGGAAGGGCGACACGGTCGGCTGCTGCAGGGAGGGTGACATTTGTCCAAAATAACCATTGTGCTACATCTCCGCTATTGGGGGGGTTTAGCCAGGTGAAGCCCCCTCAGATCTGCCCCGGTCGACCGAAGGCACAAAGGTCAAATCAGCAGTTGTTAGACTGAATGTTCGAGGTCGGCCAAAGGTCCTGTGAGTGTTTAAACAATGTACTCAAACAAAACATTTCAGCAATGCAAACAGAGCTTCACTTCGAAAACACACATGATATAATTCTATGCTAATTCAAGCAAACGGGCCATTAGACGGAGAGACCTCTGAGGGCTCGAATTTGGCTGCTTTGTCTCCTTGTATTATGATAGTATCTGTTTGCCTGCTTGGCATTATGAGAATGGTGAAGTTTATGTAAACACACCTCTGCTGACCTCTCAGCCGTGATGCCAAAATGAATAAACATGAAAGCTGGGTAACAACAAAAGGCCACTTTTTTTTTTTTTTTTTTTGCTCTGCACGTTACATCATCTTCCTCTGTGTCCTCCAAAGCCAGCTCAACTTTTCCTGCTTGTGTCGGATCGTTTCCATCACTGATCCTTCTTTGACTTTTCACTTTCTTTTTTTTTAACCGAATTACTTCTCTGTTATCTCAGCTTTGAGACAAACAACACCATGCTCTGTTGGCTCCATATAATCTTTCCTCATAGTGTTTGATTAAAGCTAATTAACAAAATAGATGCATAATAAATAGCTGGCATTTTGCATTAATTAAGCCTGGAGAATGTAAAAACTATTAGAAAGAATTCACCTCACAGGCTTAAGCTCATTATGTCGGCTTAGTTATAATCAGTGTATCATATTTGTTTGTGTGCTCCCATAACGACTTATGGCTTTACGCAGAATCTGCACACACAGGATTTTCTGGCATTACGTACGTAATTAGAGATGTGTATAACGCCACAGAAGTGCGTAAGGTCAATCTAAGGGAAGTCATCAACAATTTAATTGGCAGCACTTTATAAAAGTCACATTTTTGAGTCCCAGAGGAACACTTAATAACCAGGAAAGCTTTTTTTAACCATAGTAGTATTAAACAAGGTTTTTCTTTTTGGATGAATACTGGTTGCAAAAATAATGAGTGGAAACTGTGTACCCATTGATCCACAGTTTGATAACCAGAGAACTAGAAAACTGGACTGCCCATATTATAGCTGAAAGTGGAATTTAGCAATTCAGAAATTCGGTGGCCTTTTTTCGCAGATTGTGATTTGTGATTTTTTAGTAATATTTTATCTCCGAAATGGCAAAACAATCAGACTGATGCAATAGCGTGGCTTAGGACAGATTTAGAATGACATTTTTTCATATTTCAAAGTCCCTGTAAGAGCTATTTAACTAGTTGTGAAACAGTCTGAAATAAAAAAAAAACTGACATATCTTTAAAAGTTACAAAAGCAACCAGGACCATCAGCATGAAACCTTGAAACTATTGCCATAGCAATGCTCACTTGTTGTATCCATGTGCTTGGGTGACTAACTCATTTGATATTTCCCATGTAGATGTTATCTTACTGTGTTTCTTTTTTTTTTTTTTAATATTCATGAATTTAAGAGCTGTCGTTTACTGTTTTTTTGCTAGCATTTGCAGAGGGAACTAGAAAAGCACTCGGAGAGCGCAGACCTCCGCCAAGCAGAGCCCCTTAAACAAGAAATGCCCTGACCAGGATTCGAACCCAGGACCTCCTGGTTGTGACAGTGCTAACCACTACACCACTGTGCCGCCTATCCACACCACTGTGCCGCCCGTTGGTTATCTTTCAGCATTGAAAATTCCAATGACACCCTTATTTTTGTGTGTTCTGGATCACAGTATCCAGAATTTTGTCCAGATCACCACCAAAATGTAATGGGATCCTCCTGGGGCTGAGACGCACCTCTGGTGAAAATTTCAGGTCAATCCGTCTGTTACTTTCTCTGTAAAGTTGCTAACAGACAAACAAATAAACCAATGGTATCGAAAACAGTACCTCCTTGGCGGAGGAAACTAAAAGTGGTGACACTGAATTGGCTCTTGGGTTAAGCCAGTCAATGTACACTCTCTTGCACTAACCTTGCACTCAGGACAGTTAAGTCACTCACACACAGAAGCTTAAAAGGTTCCTGGAAACTGGGCTCTAGGAACTACATTTGTTCCTGCATTACATTAGAAGGAGAAATCATACCTTGTAAATACAATACAAATGACCCATTATATTGACATGTGCCGTTTTTGCTCTCAAAGTATGATTATGAGAAAATACAGGGACTGCTCAGCATCTGGAGTAGCTCTGTGTCCATCAGTAGGGGGCTGATGGTCCATCTGAGTGCTCTGTGTGAGGTGGAAGATTCTCACTGAGAGTCTAAATGAGTGTTTAGAGGTGGGAGCATGGTGCACTCTGCTATTGATAGAACCACAAACACACAGAAACACACTGAGCAAAACAAACAAGGACACAAAGCTCTTCTGTACATACTTGTCTAATTAGTAGTTTCTTTGATGACTGAAAACAATGCCAGCATATAATCACAGATCAATTTGTCTTTACTAGAAAGGCATACAGAGGCAGAAAATATAGCTTTTTAAAACTACTTAGTCACATATCAGGCCTGTGCAGCTGTCAGTCAATGTCAGGCTGTGCAGACTGGTGCTGTTTTTTCCATGGAAACAGAATCTGAATTGCCCGTTTTTTGCAACTTTGTGTGATGCAATATTTCTATTTTTATGCTGTTGCTTGGCATCAGAGATTTCATTGGCGTCAGATGTTTGAGCACAGGTAGTGATTAATAAAACACTGAAAAGAAGTATCTTGAAAAGATTGAAGTCCTTGTTGGCGACCTTCCTCACCTCTGCAACTAAAATTCTGCTATCTGTGGGCTGAATACTGTCGATTTTCTCTGACATGATATACAGCGTATTGATTTCTTCCTGTATCTTCGTCATATGTGCGATGACGAGGAACAGTGAGTCTTTTGATGTAGCTTATCACTTTCCACAGCCGTGTCTTGCTTTCATACAAAGTGGAATCAGGATTTATTTTAGTACCTGACAAGAATGGTATGGAAAATTTACCTCTGCTTTTGGTATATGATGTAGTTCTGTAAGTATCTCCAGGCTTGAACCACCAGGAGGCAGTAAGATGATCTCAGCCCAAGGCGGTTGGGATGAGTATCAGCAACTTCAAATCTGAGACATTGGTTCTCTGCTGGAAAATGGTTTCCTCTGATTTGGGAGCAAATCTTTTAACAAATGAGGTTAAAGTAGATGGTGAGATTGAGAGACGGTGGTGCACCATTAGTTGCAATACGGTTGACAATAAGGGACTGTTGGGGTTAAGCGAGAGCTAATTTTGAAGGTGAAGACCCCGGTTTACCAGCTGGTCTACTTTCTGACCCTTAAGATCACAAGTTTTGAGATGAAACCAAAAGATTGATATTGCATTTGGGTTAAGAATGGTTAAAGACATGACCAACTTGCGAACCTTAATGTAAATCTAGGGATGGGGATCAAGACCCAGTTCCATTAAAAACTCAGTTCAGCATTTTTCAAAACCCAAAAGTCAATAACATTTGAGATACTGGTAGTGCTGTTGAGTCTTGTGGGTCTATTGAAGTAGAGTTATACTTTGAGTTGGATCACATCATGTTAATTCAACGGGTATCGACCTGCAAGAAGAAGAATTCTGGAGGTCAGTTGCTTTCAATTATGACTAAATATTCAGAGAAGTCCAAAGAGTGGCTCTATTTTGCCAAAGCCAAAGATAGGGATGAAGGGAAATGTAATCAATGTTGCAAAATAATTTCTTACAAGGGGGTGACACAACCTCCATGCCCAAGCACATTAGCATTGTGCATCAAATCAAGCCAAAATGCAGTACCTTTGATTTCTGCGGCTTGGAGCAATGCTGGTGCTGTGGGGCTGCCATCCTCCTGTTCGGCCAGAGAAAGTTTAGCCTATCCGAAGTTAAAATCCATACTAAATTCAAGAGGATAAAAGCAAGTTAGCTTACGAGCCAATGTGACATGTACTTACAGTGAGAGGTGTTAAAAGTCCGGTCGGTGAAGTGAGAATTAGGCAAAAGTAAATGATACAGTATCGATTATCATGATACATCACGATGTGTTCAAATGTCTCTCTCTCTCTCTCTCTCTCGGTCGTCCTCAGATGAGCGTCCATTGGAGTCTCCAATCCTTCCAATTCTCCATGCACTCGGCCAGCTTCAAAGAGATTTCAGCTTCTGCATCCTTCTTCAGGAGCTCCAGATGTCTATGGCAGTGGCCAGCCAGCCTCATCCTCCTAGATGCTACCTTCTTGCTGAGCCTTGGCAGTTGCCCGTATAGGTCCTTGTTGGTAGTGTGGATGTTCTGGTCCACATTCGGAACAGCTCGCAGCATTCTGGTGTAGCACCCATCCAGGGACTTCTGCAGGGTGGGTGTCAGGGTCCAGCCATACAGGAGAACGGATTCCACAGTGGCGTGGAATAGGTTCAGCTTTGTGTATCTGGGGTGATTCGAGCACCACACTCCTGACATGCCGTTTAGGGCCCTCCACGCTAGTGCCTTCCTGACCTTAAGGTCCTGTTATGTGGAGTTCACCCAGGAACCCAACTATTTTAAGTCATTGACCTGTCGCAGAACATTGCTGTCTGAGGTTGTAATCGGCGGATGGTCCAGAAAACAGAAAAGTTGGCTTGGGTGAAATACCTGTAGAAATACAACAGTTTGAAAGAAAACAGCAATAACAGAAAATACTGGATAGTGGTATCAATGAGGACTTGACCAAGTTTTAGGTCTCATCTTTGTATCGATACTCTTGTCTCAGTCATTTCTTGATCGGGGTTTATGCAGTCATCATCACAAGCTTGTAGTATTCATTCTAATACAAGGTTTCAGCAGAAGTTAAATCAAATATAACATGTCCACGTATTAACCAGAAGCCTCTTTATTCATCTGTACGGATGGTTTATGTAGTCTATACTTTTATACATATATAAGAGAGCATCAACATGAATCATCAATAAATACGGATCATGCGATGCAACAGCTGACTCTTTGAATAAAAGGTTTTTTTTTCTAAGCTGTCGTGTTTGTGCAGCATTCCATGTCCTTCAGCAGCTCCAGTTATGAATTTCCAATGCCGATGACAGCCGCTTTAAAAGAATGTTTCCAAGGAGAGACTTATTTGGCAAAACTAAACCATGATAGCTGACAACACACCCTGGAAAGAGGAGGAAAGAAGTCAACGCTTTGTCATCATGTAAGAGACAGACACCCGAATTCGCCAAGATGGATTATGAGAAAACGTGACTGCATTCCCTTCAAAGCAGAGCAGGATGAATGTGCTGCATTATGGCTGAAGCTTTACAAAGACCTCCATTGAAAAGGCAGAGCATAATCGAGTGACGGCAGCAGAGTCTAAAAAAGACGCTTGCGTTGTCGTCTGCCAAGGTAGCATCTTTTCATCGAGGCAGAGAAGCAGCATGCACTCCAGAGAGAAGGGAATAATGTTCCGTCTTTATTAGGGGGATGGCTTCCATTCACTCTCTGAATGCCAGGGTCAGGATAAAACGTCGATAGAAAGGGTGCAGCAAGGTTGATTTACTGCCTCATATTCAAGCAGAATACACTTGAATATGAAGCAGTCACAGTCCTCACTTTTAAAGTAGCATACTGTGCTACTTTAAAAAGTAGAGAACTAAATGCTACTCAGAGCTTTTTGGACACTGTTTTACCTTTTAATTTCATTCACTTGTTATTTGAGCCAATTTATGATGTGATGACAACATAATGCTGGAATACTGAAGATGAGATACTGAAGATGAGATGAAAGAGGGAGCTTAAAGATCTGAAGAAAAATAGAAGAAAAAGTTACTAAATTGGTGATTTTCCTTCATCTAAACTGTAAAAAAGTGAAAATAAGATCATGAGTAACCATATAAAACATGCTGGAAGGTGAGAAGGTGAGCTGCACAGGTTTTATCTGTTTATCAAACAAACAACAGTTTTAGAGGTTCTTTGAAAAGTTCCTTCACCAGAATAGTGACAGAGCCATGAGGTCTTTTCTGAAATACTGGTCTTAAATTCATACTGTCACTTTATGAGCTGAATTCACAAACCGTTCAACATGTCTGCATCGTTTTTTGCTCAGGATCTCCTAAAGATGTATTTGATGCAGAAAAAGGGACAAAAGTTTAACAGTGCTATTCAAAAAGAGAAAAGTTATTAAAGCTCCTGTGAAGAACTTTCAGTTTGTGTCCACTTTGGCGCCCTCTGTGGACAAAGAGTTTTTTCTCGGCCTACACCTGAATTGGCATGAAATTAAAAAAAATCTCATCCTGCCAACTTTTGACAATCATATGTATAATTTATACAACAATAATAATTTATACTACAACGATATTTTATTCAACAATTGTAAAAACAGGGTTGATTTCATTGCTGCTCAGCTGACTCCTACCCCCTCTCACCAATCTCAGGCATTAAAAATTACAGTATAGAAACTGCCACCTTGCTGATGACCCTGATATCTTTTGTATATCATCAAAAGACATTGATGCAAGTTTCAGTTAAATCAAAAAATACTCACTGGAGCTTAAAGGATGTGCATGATTTATGGAAAAATAAGACAATTTAAAAGGTCTGAACTGTTCTCTGTTTTTTCTGTGTGTTACCAAGAGCAATTTTGGTGATTGTAACAGCTCGAAAAATCCATATTGTGCATCTGTAAACAATGCCAGCTGTTGTCTATGGAGGAATAAGTAAAATACAGAGTAATTGAAGACAATCGGAGCGGATAAAACAAAGAGGGAGAGCCAGAAAAAGAAAAACTGTGAGGAAAAACTCAGTTCAGGAGTTCAGCTTGATGATATTCAGTAACGGCATGTCTTTTTTATTTGTTTAGAAATGTAAAAATATGACAAAACAGGTGCAAGTGAGTCTAAGCAGAAGGAGAAAACAAACTTAAGCAATGAGAAAACAGAGACAGCCGATGGGGGGGGGGGGGAGAAGGAAATGAGCAAATCAGTATTCAAGGGAGGAAACTCATTTGCTTTTTTTAATTGTGTGAAAGTTTGAGACAATCCAAGTGCTAGACAACACATCACGTACAAATCACAGTGTTGGAGGATAAGACAGTCATATAGAGGGTGACAGGAGAAAAAGTGGAGTTATAACAAAGAGAGTTTAAGAGAAAGGGTTAGAAAAAAGAAAGTGAGTTTATCTTTTGAAAGCATTGGAGAACTTAAGTGGGAAAACAATTGCTCAACGTCCTGATGCGGCATTATGGTGACATAAAAAGAGTAAAATCAATGGACTTTGCGTTTGTTGTTACAAAACAAAAACCAGTGCTCTGTTCGCCAGCCAGCTCCCAAATCAATTTAATGCTGTCTACCATTCAATTCAATTTTGCTTTCATTGAAAATTCCATGTCATCTTTGCAAAACAAACGCATCTCTGAGGAAACAACCCTCTTTTGTCTGTGAAGGCATTATCTTGTGTCCACACACAAACAAAGTACATACACTGCAAGCACACACGCTTACACAATTGCATTAATCTTTAGAGATTGCATGTTTGGTCCGTGGGCTCGCCTCCTGTGGGAGATCCACACTTATTAAAGAGCACAAAAGAGAGTAGTCTCTGCTCAGAGGGAGATGACACAACTGACACGCAACAAGCACTCAGCCCTTCTCCTTCTACTATGATCCATCTCCTTCATTACCATATGCAAATGAGCGGCATGTATTAACATCTGGGCCGGGTAACGACTGGGCCGATTGGTTTGGATCAAGTTCACGGCGTTTTACTCAGCCGAATCCAGGAGGAGCACTGAGGGGGGAAAAGATGGATTACAGTTCTGGATAAGCAAGATAATATTCTTGTCGGACTTTTGAGAGATCCGGGCTGTGCTGAATGACTTCATCATATCTCACTCATCCGCAGTGAAAGCCAGGCAGGATTGGATCAGCTTAAACAGATTTAGGTATCAGAATCAGTCTTTGGTGTTCGTCTCTCTTATTGTATAATGAGCAGTCTGACAAAGAGGAGGACTGTCTGGATTCTGTGTTTTTGTCCTCATGGTAAAGATTTTATCAGTATCTAATAAGACATTTCCCTTTGTTGCATGTGCACTCGCTTTGTGTAATGGTTTTATAATACTGAGCTGATTAAACGGAAGCAAGAATGCTCTCAGTTTTAAAGGATAACTTGTTGATTTCATGTTCATTTTTTGTCCTCCTGTCAGTCGAAAAGACAACTGCCTAGACTCAGGTTTGCTCGTCTTATGCTCAAGTTATATATTTGTACTCAGATGTATTGTCTGTCATTATTATGGCCTAAAACATTTAACTACTAAAGTGCTAATAAATCTATTTTAGCTGATTTACTAATACTGATACTGATACTGATGCAGCCTTTTTTCTCATTATAAACAACACCAAGTCACTCTCACATGAATTTACCTGTTACTTTGATTGTGATAGTCTTTTTGGTGGAGGAACAAGATGAACAATATAAACATAAACATGTCTGAAAACTTTGAAATACTTCCATACAGCTGCCTTGTTGGAGCTTTTTGGCATCTAAACTGTCATTGTATCAACTGGTTTTGTTATTATGCTGATTACTGGTCAAACATTGAATACAATTTTATTGTTCGTAATAACAATGGCTGTTTGCGCTGTTTAACCTCTTGTTACACTTTCTATCATAATGATTTGAGGAGTTAAATAATCTTATTCCAGAGGAGGAGGTTCAGAGTAAGGGTGCGGCGGTGGCGATCGTGACCCTGTCAAAGTCCCACTCTGTTGAATGTCACAGTCTGTGTTCATTTGCTCTATTTTCTACTCAGACCATCCACCAAGGGAGATGCTCCACATTTTATTCTTAGCATTTCTTTTCTCCAGGCCCCTGCGATGATGTTCTTGATGTGAGAATACCAAAGGTCCACGGTTCATCTGTCACTTACATCGACCTTGGACCACCCACCTTGAATCCCCCCCCCCTCCTATAATGTCAGCAGACTCTAAATTCCCTGAAGTACAGAAATACATGTTCTGATGTACGTTCTACAGGTACAGTATGGACAGCTACTGTGCTTTGTATGACTGAATTACACCCACATAAGCCTCTACTTTGTCTCTGCTACAAACACACACTGGAGGCCGCCACATGATGCGTGCAGCAAGCCTGTGAAGTGAGTCCATGCTAAGAAAAGCTCCTGCATCCATCGATTTCTGTGATCTATTTCCCTTTCTAGCTCATCCCCACCACTGAGTGCACCGCTATTTCCTTCACAGTGTCATGGTGACATGTAAAGACACATGTGGCGGCGCTGACGTTGTGTGTTCTAGACAGATTACCAGTCCTGAAATAGATCAACCTTTTTGTGTTTCTCTTCCCCCTACATCACCCCTTCATTCCTGCTTATCCACTGTATCCATCGCTCTCTTTTACCGTCTCCCACACAGTGTTTTTGCTATCAAATAAGATGGATTACACCATCGCTGGGCGAGATTGTGTGGAGTTATGGATTTGTATCAAAGGTCAAAAGCGTCTTATGTCTTCTAAGGATTAAACTGAGTATTTCAAGTCTGTGGGGACAACAGTGAAGAGGATAAAAGGAACAGCAGAGTGGATTTGACCCAAAGTTGCCTGTTATATCACAACTACAGATACTCCACACTTTCCACCACCACCATAGAGTGGAGTGTTTTAAACCAAGAGCAGGAGCTACTTTGGCACTGCTATAAATATTGGGGATAAATTACCACTCATTTTAATATAAGTTAATAATGTTCACCTCTACTCCATAAATAAGGGGTTAACACATCCATGGACATGAGTGAATTATGAGGGTATTGAAATTATTTGAACGTGCAGACCCTCCAGAACAAGTGTCTGGGAAAAAACAGAATACATAGAAATGAGGGATCAGGGCTGCAGTCGACCCTCGCTAGTTGACACCAGAATCACGACTCTGTTATCATTACATAAATGATTAACATTTCAATGTGAATCACATTTACACATGTAAAATATGTTGGAAAAAAAACCCAAATGTATTCAAATTTAAACCATTTTAAAAATGGTTTCAAAAGGTTGAACCCTAACCCTGAGTTTTTACCATTTTAACTACGTTTTTACACAAATTAATGCACTATTGATTTTTAAGGATCTGTGGCAAACAACAAGGGAATTGATTTTTTCTTTCATCATTTGACCACTTTGAGCTGCCATACCCACCTATTTTACGTGCGGAGGCCATGCGCTCCGTTTCCGTATTTGGAATCCTGATCCGGCATGATGGCGCGAATGGTCGTCCGATAAGTAAGTGGAGAGATGAATGTGTATGTGAATGTATGTTTAAGTTAGCCGGTAGGGCTCCAATTGTGCACCATTAGTTACTGTGCAATAGAGAAGGGAGAAGGAAAAGTATCGCTGTTTAGTGGGTGATTAGCGACACTGGTTGGGACGGAAATGGAAATGTTTGGCGCGTATGTCGGTGTGTGTTTGTGTAGCTGCATGCGCCGCCCGCAGCCAGCGAGGACGTTACTCCGTCATGTGCCAGGGAGAGCCGAGAGGCTGCTGGTTTTCTTTCCTGCCCAAAACGCCACCAGGTGATTTCACTGATTAGTCCCTGCTCTCTGCTTGGGGTAAGGTAATCAGTGAAATCACCTGGTGGAGTTTTGGGTTGGAAGGAAAACCTGCAGACTCTTGGCCCTCCATGGCACGTGATTGCCCACCCCTGGAACGTTGAATGTAGTGTAATGTAATGTAATATTTCCTAGGTTAAATTATTAGGAATATGTCCACATAAAAATGGCTCAAATGATAGAAAGCATGGATGACCGTTGTATAAGGGGGATGATTTATTATTATTATTTTTTAACCATTTTCATTTTGGGGGGATGCCATCCCTCCTCAACTTGGTGGCCGAGAACTGCCATTGCAGCAAATAAAAAAGAATGCAAAAAAAAAAAGAAGTAGTAGCCACTATGGAAATTTCTGATGCAAAAAAGAAAAAGTAAAAAGAAACCGAAGCCAGCTGCGAATTAAAAAAAGAAATGGTGCAGATTTAAAAAAAAAAAAAAAAAACACCTCCACAGAAGTTAAAAACAAAAAAAAGTAGTGATACAAAAATAAATAAATAATAAAATTTACTTACAGCGAAATCCGGCAGCTCACTCCAGTTGTGGCTTTTTTTTTGTATCCTTTTATTTTTGCAGAAAGTATTTTTTAATTGTCTTAAATTTTTTTGTATTGTCACTTTTTTGTGTCATTAACTTCCGTTGTGGCTTTTTTATCTGCACCGTTTCTTTTTTTATTCGCAGCGTGCTTCGGTTCCTTTTTTGTTGCATCGGTAACTTCCGTTGTGACATCTTTTTTTGCATTCTTTTTTATTTGCAGCAGTGGCAGTTCTCGGCCACCATACAACTCAAGCCTCACTACCCTATCTCTCGTGGGCCTTATCTGCACTGAGATTTCGCCTTCAGTCTTGAAGAGAGGCTCCTTGCTAATGTCATTCTTGTTAGCTTCCTGGACATCTGGACATCAGTTGTAAGTCCTGTCCTGTTTTAAGCCTCACAGTCCAGTGGATAGATGACGCCTAATCCATTGAAATTATCTTGTGTTTTTCATTATGAAAACATCCATTTTCAAAGCGAAGACTGTATCCATCATTCATGTTTGGATAAAATACCATTTGTCCTGTTTTGAGCCCGAGCATCACAGTAAGAGTATCAGGTACATTGAGGTACGACCAGGACCCCTTTAATATTTAATCCACATTGTTTTTTTTATCACTGTTATGTTTATCTCAAGACAAAGAGCAGTTACAATAGACCAAAGGAGAGAATAAAAGGCTACAGTGGCTCAATGGAGAGGCATAAAAGGGTAAAAGAGAGGGACAGAGTTTAGGCTGAAGTGCTTGGCACCCTGACAGCTGGTATTGTCATGTTGCCCACACCCCTCCACACCTGCCTCCACCGTGCCAAAGAAAACTAATTACCAGCACATCAGATCTGGAGCTGCTGCCTTAGCTAATGTAACACCCTGCCTGGGTTTGCAGAGCCATGCAGGAGACATGTCACATCCTGGCAGAGCAGGCGTGTGAATGAAGAGCGTTTCCTATCACGCTCATTCAGAGACAGCTTCGAGAAGAATTCAGCGTCATGGAGTGACATTTAATTGAGTCACACTTGTACTTTCAGCCTTTGTTCACCACAATTTGTGAGTGACAACCTGAAAGTAGAAAGTGAGGAGATTGTTTTATTATGTAACACAGAAATAGATGTGTGTGAACAGCCGCTCTCTCTCTCTCTCTCTCTCTCTCTCTCTGAGATGAAACGCTGAGGTAAAAGAGGTCGCTGACTCACACTGCTGCTTTGAGGTTAAATTTACTATCTCACCGCGCATGATTATGAAATACAATTTCATCAAATGAAACAAAGGGACACTCTTAATTTTGTATTGATTCTCAAAATTATTTAATCCACCCCAAAGGCCATTGCATACACAAACTCTCTTTCTCACACACACAAACACACACATATAATAGCTGTCTTAATAACATCGGACAAAAACCCAGACACAGAAATGCCACAGTCTGGATTCACTTTAGTTTATCTTTAATGAAGCAGTGTCTTTAATTTATTTTGTGTCCTAACAGTTTGCCCTTTCAAAGCTTTAATTAAAAGTGAACTTTGCTGTTAAAATTGTTTTATTAATAAGTTGGATTTTGCTTCTCCGTGTTTTATGTCTTTGGCTTCACATAAGAATAAACAATAAATGAGCACGATCATTCAGAGACTGAGGCTGAGTCTGTGTCTGCTGCCATTCTTGCAGCTGTCAGGCTGTATTTTACCACATAATTACTTCCAAGCTGTAAGTAAACCTAAATCAACATTAATCTTGTTTGTGGCTGTGCCAAACAAGCTACATGAAACGGTGTCATTTCAAGAAGCCAGCAACGAGCCCAGCCTTTATTTACCAATCAAACATTTCCTCGCATAACTCCTCGGACAGTTTGGTTTGAGTTTATTACAGCGGGCTGCAGCATGCTAAAGAAAACAACACTAGCCTCATTAGCCTGATTTAGAGTTAAAGGGATATTCCGGTGTGAAGGGTCAAACACCGCAACACCGAGTTAGACACCCCCTCGAGAGACCGCTTGCTTCTCTAGTTATACCAACATAAGTAACGACCACAGGATAGCAATACACAGCGGTCTGAGGAGCCATAAACAAACATCAACCAAAAAGCCACTCTATAGCCACAAATAATGCTCAGAACAGCACCTAACTTCATCAACGGTACATATAGGGTCCCAGCCACAGCACTAGACACCAAACATCCTTTTAACTTTGCCTGATTTCTTTAGCGAAGACACTAAACACAACTCACCTACTCTCTTCCAGCAGCTGCTTGTTTGTAGCTGGACTTCAAGCCAGTCCATTACGAACTGCTGCGAGTTGACACAGCTCAAGGAAGAACATTTATGATCATTTCTTTATCATTTCCTTCAAGTAATAATCACCATAATAATCATTTTGTGCTGCAGACGAGGTAGATCTTCTGCCTTAGCGTCTCGGTTTGATTGCATTTCCATGAAGAAATGATCATAAATGTTCTTCCTTGAGCTGCGTCAGTTGATATAACTAGAGAAGCAAGCAGTCGGCAACATTCATCTCTCGAGGGGGTGTCTAACTCGGTGTTACAGTGTGTTTGACTCTAAATTAATTTCACGCCAGAATATCCTTTGAGCTGAAGGTGCATGTGGACACCTTGAAGATCTTTACCTTCTTTATGGGAGACAAAGAGGATTTAACCGTTGACTCATTGTCAGAGCTACATCACATCCTGTCTGTCTATAACTCTGCACATGATAAATTATGTAGGACATGGAAAGAAATAATTTTCCATCACAGAGGCTGTACAGTGCGGCTGTATGTGTGAAGAGGTGACCATGACAAATTGTTTTGTTCCCAATCTACCGTCTACCATCCAAGTTCACAAAGGTCTGGGCCCTGTGATGAAACCTGCTGTCACTGGGAGAGTGTGGGTGGTGTCAGTTTTAAGCATATCATCTGTCAACACACACAAGCTATACACACACACACACATTGTATATACACACACACACGTACTGCTATCCTGTACTCGTTTTGGCATCCAAGGCCAGAGGATAATGGTGTCAGTGTGTGTAAGACTTGTATACGTGCGTGCGGGTCTGTGTGCCCTCCAAACCTGACTGGAGGCTGCATGGATGTGTGCTTTTGTGTGCGTGTTTTGTGTGCTGTTGGCAGGGGAGACAGCTCGACACATGGCACATGGCAAGTGTGTAAGCAAGTCCCAGGAACACCTGAGCCCCGGTGTTTGCGTGTCTGTGTGCGTGTGTGTGTGTACGGAGGTGGGTTCCCTTGTTGAAGGGTGAGTTCCTCCTCTCCACAGCACCTGTCACTGGGTGTTGATGGTTGATCCGTCTATTCTTACCAGCTTCATCCTAATTGGTCATTAGTTTCCTGTCGGGTCATTCCAGAGAAAATCCTCTGTAGCAATCTTTGTGTTTGCTAGTTTGTTGGTCTTCACAACACAGTTTTCTGTGTTTCTTTTCTCATGTTTTAAGTGGATGTCTCAAAATACCATAGAAACCTGAATATATAAAAAGCATGTTTCATACTCTATACTAAATGCTAATACACCTTACAAGAGTGGATGGCTCCATTTATCCTTACAGACAATTTACAGTCAGACTCTACCTTTATTTCTGTTTCTTTGTGGACCATTTTAATAACTACAGAACTGTTTATGAATAGGGCTTGGACGATATGCTTTTCTCCCGATTCCATTCGTCTACGTTTTTTTGGATGCCAATTCGATTTAAATTGCGATTCTACGATTTTGTCGATTTTTCTTGATTTTGACTCTGCATTTTTAACAACAGTTAAAGAATTGAATGATTATGATTGTCTACTGACTATTCCAGGAACCAAATTTCCCCAAAAAATACACATCACATGTAAGTCAGTTTTTAAGATTTATTATTAAACTTGAAGGGAAAAAAAAAGAATAAAAAAATCGATTTAAAAATTGCAAAACAAAAACTTGCGATACTTGCGTGAATTGATGTTTTTTTCCCACTCCTATTTCTAAATATCAAAAATTGTACGATTATCACTTGCTTTTTTAATCACTCAATCATTTACTGTTTGCTGATTGTTGTGCCATATTGTTTTATCTTTTTTTATATATTCAGTATCAGCCTGAGAGACATATTTATCTGTCACATCCCAAAAGGGCCTGAAGAGACTGAGGTATTGAAGTGATGTGCTGCCACGATATGACAAAGTTACAGAGTTACATCAGAGATCATCATCAGACATGACAAGCCCTGAGCTCCCACCCCCTGTTGACATTTACAGCATTCAGCACAGACTCTTTGTGTGTAACTCCAGATCTCCTATGTATAGTACCCCTTCTGAGCATCAGACACTGTGACTGTACTTTTTATAGTTATGTTTTACGCATTGTTGATAATTTGTGGTGCTTATAATATGATCTTATTGGAATCCTGATTCTCTTTATTTTTTTATTTCATCACAATCCTGATCCTCTTTTTAATTTCACTTGTACTTTCTGTGACGAAATGAAGCTTTTGACCTCAGTGTTGCTCTTATTAAAATGTTTCAAAGGTAAATTTATAATCAAAGCACAAATCAGATGATATTGGTAACCCGACTTTTTCCCATTTCATTAAAAGAAAAACCCTTGAACTTTTATATAATATTTCTCTGTGATATCATCATCTGATTTTCTACAGAGGGCGGCTTGCATGCTGCTGTGCATAAACCAGCTCTAAATGCTAAGAATAGACCTTAAAACCCTCCTCCGCTAAACCGGAAGCCTCTATATTTAACTCATCTCTGTCTGGTTACCATGACAAATGAGGGACATGTATCCCATATTGCATTACGAGGGCACTATTATAGACTCCTATCTGGCCTGAGATGAGTTTGAGGATCAGATCAATAGATTCTGGACCCGAGGAGGTCATCAGTATCATTACTCTCAGTACAATAAAGAAGCTAGAAAGCTCTTCTTCATAAGTCATACTGGATCTTAGCTATAGCTCCATTGTACAATAGAATTAATCACCCTCACGGCTGCTGACGCAATTTCTAGTCTTCATATAGGCCTCTGTAATTCATTACAAAAATATAAAGGCGCTTGAGTATAGATAATGAAAGGACAAATATAAATTGTTCAAAAACTGTTTAGAAAAAATAGGCTTTGATGTCATATTTAGGTCAGCTTATTCACAGCCGCTGCTAAAAGATCCGCCTGCAGCGACAAGAAACGTTGCAATCTCATTTTGTGTGTGTGTGTGTGTGTGTGTGTGTGTGTGTGATAGATATTATTTCCAGTGTTGGGAAGGCTATAAATATTCAGCTAATATTCCCCCCACCCTTGGGCTGCTGAGTGAACCCAGCTCCAGTCAAGTGGTTTGTATTCTGACAGTGAAGGTCCTAAAGTCTGCTTTGAACTTTGTCAGAATATTGAAACACATGAACATAATTGAAGATAGGATTCATGTAGCATTTAGAATTAGATAGAAATGGGCAAATATTGAATTACAAGAGGATAGTGTATAGTGAATGGGTGGTTATGCAGCTTAAAGGGATATTCCAGTGTAAAGTTAAGTTAGGGTCAAACATACCATAACACCGAGTTAGACAACCCCTCGAGAGATGAATGTTGCCAACCGCTTGCTTCTCTAGTTATACCAACTTGAGTACAAACCGCAGATAGCAACACAGAGAGCCACGCGCTCAACCAAAATGCCACTCTATAGCTACAAATAATGCTCAGAACAGCACCTAACTTCATCAACAGTACATATAGGGTCCTAGCCAAAGCACTAGCCACCAAACATCTTTTTAGCTTTGCCTGATTTCTTTAGCAAAGAGAAAAAACACAACTCACCGTCTCTCTTCCAGCAGCTGCTTGTTTGTACAGAGACCTCTGGGCGAGTCCATCGACTGCAGCAGAGTTTTGCAGCTCAAGGAAAAACATTTATGATCATTTCCTCATGGAAATGCAATCAGACAGAGACACTAAGTCAGAAGAACTACCACGTATTCAGTGCAAAATTATTTGTACGGAGGCCTCTTTACAAATGAGTGGCTGCTGGAGGAGAGTAGGTGAGTTGTGTTTAGTCTCTTTGCTTAATAAATCAGGCAAAGCTAAAAAGATGTTTGATGGCTAGTGCTGTGGCTGGGACCCTATGTGTACTGTTAATGAAGCCGGAATATCCCTTTCTGTTTTGGGTTTAAGTGACTTTGTAGCAATGTGTAGCTTTGTGGTGAGATGTACTCATCAGTTCTGTGGCCATTACCTGGATTGCAGGACAGGATGATGTTCCACTCCTCCCTATCAGAGTTGGTTAGGGCGCAGTAGCCCCTGAGGCTGCTCTGACATCTGTGCTCTGTAACTGTCACTGTTTCTCATGATCGCCGCAAGATGAAAACAAACATTTTTACCATAGTGTCAACAGGCAGAGGTGAAAAGATCCTGTCATTTGACCAGTAAGAATAAGGTATTTGAATTAGCCTGAAAAAAACTGCCCACAAAGTTGACTCAGTCAGATACTAAAACAGCTTTTTGACCAACAAAGTTAATCAGACCATAAGCTTCCTGTTCTACGTTTTCATTCATTAAAATTGATAATTATCAGAATAAATGTCAATCATACTGTTCACTTCATAGTTAATGTCAGGATAATCATGATTGGCTCGTCTTCTTCTTCCTTAGTCCTCTTCTTGTCTCACTCTTAGGTGGCAGAAGACACACTGCTTTATTTGTTTCCTGAAGATCCATCTATATGCTTTTTGATTTGGTGTGTCATTTGTTGGTAAAACTGTAAAACACACGCTGGGTTACCCCTGGGCCTTTTAGCACATATTACCACATAACCTTGATGCTAACACAATATCATCTTGTTTCAGTGCATACATTTGCGCTTTTATAGCTTCAGACCCTCTGATGCACATTTGATTTATTACTCCAGCTCTCACATATGTGATGATTTTATGAGATAAGACAGGATGACATTAACTCCCTCAAATCCATCTGCTTGACATCTTTAACGTCCTTGAGTTTTGTGCAGGTCTATAAAGTTATCGTGATCAGATTAACAGAGCTCAGCCTTGCTTTGATTTGGCTCGAACGCAGAGAGATAAAGAGCTGCGATTCAGATCATCAGGTTGTCAGATAGGCGCCACAGTGAAGAACGACTTCAAAATGACTCCTGGTGAGCAGGAGGGGTGATAAAAACATGACGGCAGGGGGGAAACAGTGGGCGGCTGTGGTGTGAGAGTGTGAAGATGAATAGCACAAAGCATAAAGCAGGATTACAGTCATTGATATTAGTCTCTTTAATGTGTATGTTCATGTACAAATGCAAAAAAAGAGAGTTGATCAAGACAGAACCTGAGATCTAGAGATAATTTACCTGCTTCATCTTTAGGTTATGCATCATTGTTTGGAGTTTGCAATCATATTAGATAACAATGCTATTCAGAGAGTCTATAACCAGAGTGCATTGTTCATTTAGCGTCATATTCCATGTATTTTAGAGACAAAGTAATTGAGAGAAATCAGATTATGCTAGATCAACACAAAGGATTATATTGCTGGGTCAAATCTGGAGCGGGTGCTCGGTAATCCGTGACAGATTACATTTTAAAAGGAGCCTGTACCACGCGCGGGTGGATGCGAGGTGGAGACGGAAAAAACAGTTTGGAAATGAGAGCCGTGTCAGTGGGGCTGCAGGAAACGGTGATAAAAATTGGTTCGGACTGTGCTCAGTTCTCACATCCACATAAGGGTTGTGAGTGCTGAGGTAGGATAGAGAGGGAGCTCGAAGAGAGTGAGGGATGGAGAGGCAAAACAGGGTTAAAAAAAAGAGTTAGGAAGGGTGGGGAAAGTTTACATTACAACTATATGAACATATTTCTGTCTTTCCAGTGTCCTTTCTCGACTTCACTTAACTTTGCCTGATTTCTTCAGCAAAGAGACTAAACACAACTCACCTACTCTCTTTCAGCAGCCGCTTGTTTGTAGCTGGACCTCAAGCCAGTCCATTACGAACTGCTGCAGGGTGACACAGCTCAAGGAAGAACATTTATGATCATTACTTTATTATTTCCTTAAAGTAATAATCACCATATTAATCATTTTGCACTGCACATGCTGTAGTTCTTCTGCCTTCGCGTCTTGGTCTGATTGCATTTTCATGAAGAAATGATCATAAATGTTTTTTCTTGAGCTGCATCACCCCGCAGCAGTTCGTAATGGACTGGCTTGAGGTCCAGCTACAAACAAGCGGCTGCTGGAAGAGAGTAGGTGAGTAGTGTTTAGTCTCTTTGCTAAAGAAATTGGGCAAAGCTAAAAAGATGTTTGGTGGCTAGTACTTTGACTGGGACCCTATATGTATGTTGATGAAGTTAGGTGCTGTTCTGAGCATTATTTGTGGCTATAGAGTGGCGTTTTGTTTAAGGTTTGTTTATGGCTCCTCAGACTGCTGTGTATTGCTATCTGCAGTTGTTACTAAAGTTGGTATAACTAGAGAAGCAAGCGGTCAGCAACATTCATCTCTTGAGTGGGTGTCTAACTCGGTGTTACGGTGTGTTTGACCCTGAATTAATTTTACACTGGAATATCCATTTAAGTGAATTATTTATTATTTGATTCAGTAGCTGTAACCTTTTCCATAATTCATGTTATGTTTTGAAAGATGCTAATTAAGAACTAAATAATAAAAAAAATAAACAGTGCTGGATCATTTTCCAGGGTCCACATTAATGAATAAGGCAGATTTATGTCAAACCACCATGCACAGCTGTTTCAAAGCCGTCAGTTTGATAACTTTTTTGCTTTTGCAAACGGAATCCTTTTTTGACAAATGGGTGGATAACACTTTGACATCACCGCTGACTATATAAAGCACAAATGCAGAGTTAGTGATGTTACCCATTGGTTTCAAAAACAGACCACCTCCCTTAATTTGGGTGCATCAGTCTTTGTTTGCATCCTCTCATTCCGCCGTTTAACTGGATGAGCACACATGGTTCATAAAAAGGCTGCTCCCTCTGAAATATTGCTGGGGAAGGCAGAGTGGGCTGTGTGTCTCAGTGCATTTGTAACTTTGCTCATGCGTGTGTGAGCTTTCATGGTCCCCTCTTCTGACGCTAATGCAAGTTTGCAATGATTGTGGGCGGTTTGTGATTTAATGTGGTGTTCACATTGGATTAGAATCACATCACACAGCCCCTTCAAGGATAATACTTGCTCTGTGTTTCCCACTTTCTCTCTTAAACACACATGCTTCCAGACATGCACACACGTTCACATACAATACTCCACAGATGTGCTGTATTTGAAGAGGTGAATCAGTATTTCTTTAAGATTAGATGTAACAGCGTTGTCGGAAACCCTCCAAAGATAAGACACATGACAAATCCTTAAGGAACTTATTTGTCTTGGTTACAGACACTGGTGAACTGTCCTGTTAAATATTAAGTTTAATGTTAAGGTCCACCCATTAAAGGGTTTTCGAATGCATATCTCTACTACCTTTTAAGATTTGAAAACACAGATTGCATCTTAGATATAGTAATTAGTTTTGATTGGGTCTCATTTTGCAGCTGCCACTCCTGGTCTTTTTTGACCAGAGATATTGATAAAACCTGTAAAGATCTGAGAGACATATCGAGGGAATTATCAGTTCTCAAAATGTAAGAGTACCTCGTAGGACAGTGGAGAATTGGTATACATATGGGGCAGTCCAAATCAATGAGATGTTTAATGCATTTTGAAACCCCTTATATACATCAAAAGGGTAGGGGTGCACTGATTCCATATTTGATATCGGTATCTGTCCCGATACTGGAGAAAATTCTAGATGTGGTATTGTGACAATGGGCCCGATGCATAGGGGCCAATCTATTCAGTCTAACTTTATGCTATGGGCTGTGAGTGGCATCCATAAGTTAACATGATGCCCACATTGTTTTTTAAAATGGAGCGAGCAAAGGGGTCTGCTATCTTAACCTTTATCACAATATCTTGTAGGCCATCAAGCCTACAACCTGCGCAGTAAACCTTCCAAGGGGCAGTGGTGAAACTTCAGGTTACAAGAAAAAGGTAATACAGCGCGGCTTTTCTGTAACGGAATTAAATTGGTATTGGCTGATACCAAACGTACATATCTGTATCGATATCGGAGGTGAAAAAAGTGGAGTGGTGCATCCCTGCGAAAAGGTGATATCTACCTGATATTTGACCTACCTTGTCTGATGTCTGTATTTTCAGGGATGTGTGAGCTGATATGGATACTAACATATCTATATTTACCTTTTTCATTGTACAGTACACCAAGTTTCTCCTAAAATAGCATTTAATCTTATTATGACTATGCTATTTTTTTAGAAACATACATAAAACAAGACAAACACCTAATTCTGCAATAAAAGATAATTGATATAACCTACTGATACCAATACTGTGCCAATAATATCTTTCATTCCTTGAAAATTTTACTGCTGTCCTATGTGTATAATATTGATGTTTTATGCACATAGAAAATACCTGTGTGGTCCGCAAAAGTATACTTGAATTGACGTATTTCGTGGCCCCGATTCTACATGGTTCAGCCAGTCATATGCTTCAAATCAGGTTGGTTTATCTCAGGGTCAATGTGAGTGAGCTCTACATATGCACTCTTCCCCCTCATCAGTTTCTTCTTATTCATTCAAGGAGTTTTTCCAAGTATCTGATCTTTGAAGAGACCTCTCATTTATACTTGTCACAGTCATATCTAACTTTGAACAAGTTCTCTTCCACTTTTTTCAGAACTTGTTTTTTTATTACTCATCTTCCACAAACTTTACCTTTTCCTTGACTCTGTTATGTCACCGTTGAGTGTCTTTGCTGACTCATGTCGAAGTTGTGCGTACTTCTCAGGAATACTTTGTGGTTGAAGATCCTCAGGCTTTGTCTCTTTTTCTAAGCCTTTGATTACACAACCTAGTTAATGCAACCTTCAGATCTTATTTGTGTGGTGAAAGCTAATGCGTATACTCACCCACTCACTTAATTGAATGCTTCATAATTTGCATAGTTTTCTGTAAATACTGTGTTTAAAAAGTGGAAAACTTTAGTAAGAATTCATGTTCTGTGAATTAAGTACGACTATTGAATCAGATGGGAAAATGTATGTTTTTGTGTCTACATCTGTGACTATAGGCATCTTTGTCTACTTACTTGTTCTTTTTTACCTGTGCTGCTCATATTTGGTCTTGAGTTTAACATTCTGCTTACAGAACAGGTTTGCTACAAGCTGCAGGATAGTTTGGTCATGATTTTTGCACTTCAGTATCACATGAAAACAACAACCCAGAGGACAGCTTTAAGAGTTTTTGCCAGAGGGTAACCTTTTACAGTCAGATTTTGAAGCGTAGAGCCGCTGACAAAGCTGCCACAGAAAGATGTGAGTGAGGTTATCCCGGAGAGTGCGTGTGGTTTCAGTGTGAGTATGTATGCTTGTGTGTTTGTGGCCAGGAGGACTGCCGACCCCATTTGAGTTCACACTTCACAGACCATCACGCGGATAAATCAATTTCAAGGCTTGCGGAAAAATAATGTATGTTTTGCGCGTGTGTGTTTATGTGGTAGTGGGGGGATTTATGCAAACAAAGCTGCGCCGGCATATTCACATGCCCCAGTTGCTGTGTAAAAATATGCACATACCTCTCTGCACACATGATGGATAAATGTGTGCAAATTTGATCCAGTGCACATGTGGATTCATTTGCATATTGCATACTTGCGCAGCTGCATGCATATCAGGGCTGCAGCTGCCGCCATCATCCATCATATAGGTGAGCAGGGAGACACCTTTAATGGGTCATCTTTACCACCACATTATCTCCCCTGCAGATATTTCATTATACTGAATGTGCTGCTGTAATAAGATCTAGACCTTACCACCAACCTGTAGGGGACGAAGAATCCTCCACTGTGTCTGAATCGGCCTCACGGTTTAATCGAGCTCTAAAGCAACAGCACAGGTGATATAAAACTTGAGGTCAGCAGGGATTTTGCAGAAATCATCACTAAAAGTTGCTGTTGAGCAGTTATAGACCATTGATAGAGGCCGGAGGTAGGCACAGCGTCAGTGAATGATAAACTGCATTACAGCTTCAGCTCATCACGAAAGTGGTCATAAGAAGTTACAGCGCAGAAAAGAGTTTTTTACCACTCACTGGCCAGTTTATGAGCAGTCATTTAACATGATTTATTTTCTCTTTTCAAGGTAATGAAATCAAGTTAGCAGGATGAAACTTTATGTGGAACAACAATACTCAGTACTTAACAAACTAATAAGTGGAGCTTTAATAAAGTTTGTCTTCTTCTTTGTTCATATTATGATTTTTTTATTGCCTTTTTATTTTTTCCCCTTTTTTCCTCCCTGTACTTTATTTCTTTTCTTAAAGTAAGTCCCCATTACGAAGCCCCTGAAGGGACATGAAGGAAAAAAAAAATTTCTCAAGATTTTTTATGAGATCTCGCAAATGTTGTCTCAGAAGTTAGTGGTCAGTGTGTTACTTCCGGGTCACTGATTTAATATCTTTTTATCGGAGGCCAGTCTCAAAAAAGATGCAATGAATCTTTCCCACAGGTTCATGCATTCCATTGTTGGGTTGACTCGACAGAAGAAATACACTGATCTATGATCTTTTTACTTATAACCCTTTGACAACTTTACGAGATCTTGCAATAGTTTTACGAGAAATCGAGAAAATCCTATTTTTTTCCCTCATGTCCCCTTAGGGGCTCTGTACACCATCTTATTTTCTCCTTCTTCAATATTTCTCAATTTTCTCATCCTTTTTTCCTTTCTTTTTTCTTTTATTTTCATTTCTGCCAAATTTTCTATTTCCTTTTTATTTTTTCCTAATCTTTTACGTTTATTTGTTTTATTTTTTCTCCTTTATTTTCTTTTCCACAATAAAGCATAAACTAGAAGATAAACCCTCCTCTTTGTCTTTTACTTAACTTTTTTCATTTTTCCATCTTTAAATCCTTCTCTTTTCTCCTTTTCTTTTTTGCTTTTTCCTATTTCTTTTCTTCTTTTCTTCTCTTTGTGTTGTTAGTGGTTTGATCTCATCACTGAGATTGTTTGGGCCTTTCTTGTGGCTGTTGTGTGAAAATGATGACCGCTTATAATGAGAAATGAAACATTCAAATATTCTTACAGGTTGCAAATCCGCCTGTATTTATTCCCCTGAATTCACAGAATGATTTCCATGGAAAATTTCCACCACTCCATGTCTGTACAGAGTTTTATGAGCTCCAGTAAAGTTCGGTGTATTTCTGTCCGTCAGTTTTTATCCATCCTCCTCCAGCAGTCTGTGAAAGATGACTCCGGTGTTAACACCATGATCAGAGTCCCTCACCCTGTCTCTTTCTCCTCCTCTGTAACATACAAAGTAATTACATCTTTTTCCACTACACACACACACACACACACACACACACACACACACACACACACACACACACACACACACACACACACACACCACACCCTCGTCTCCAGGCTCCAAATGTCAGCCTCATCAGCTCAATTATCCCCTGACTTAAACAACATCCTTACATAACCCATTTAGCTCAGTGCTGTCTGAGAGCTCAGATAAATAAACTTCCTTTTCCAAATTATTGTTTTTACCTCCAATCACCTGCAAAGAAAACCCATTTAACTAGACGGTGTTGCATAAAACACTTTTTCCTCTGCCCCTCCTCACACACTCACTCACTCCTGTGAATTATAACATCCTCTTAAAAATTCTTCAGAGGATTCGGCTGAGCCTGTTTTCTCAACCTTTTTCTGTGTATACATTGTAACATCCAAAGGTCAATGAAAAACTGAATCATTCCTGTGAATACATAATTTTCTTATTCATGAACTTCCTGAAATAGATCCTGTCACTCAACCATTTTCATTCAGATTTCCCTCTCCACTCTCTTTATTCCCATTCCCCCACTGAGCACAGCATTATATTTGTAGTTCAGGATTTAAGGAGGAAAGATTTACTTTGATGCCAGAGAAGACGTATGATCTATTTTTGGCCAACAGCACATGAGCGTCACGTGCCTGGTAATAAAAACACCCTTGATGTTCACCCTTAGTCTCATAGAGGCAGAAAAAGCTGCACATGCATACATAATAGGGGGAAAACTATTTTGAGATGACTTTTTGTCTCTCTCTCTCTCTTTTCGACAGTGCGATTCATTTGCCTGCTGGTGGAAAAATAGATGTGAATCACTCACTGTGGCTGCTCTCCAACATCCATTCACTCTGTGCTCTCCATGTTTCTGTTCTGATTTATGCCGTTGAGCAGTCATTATGACTTTCCGCCTTTGCACATTTTTGCATCTCTTTATTCGCTGCCTTTATTCTTTCATTTGATCTTTTCTTTCTGCTCAGAATTCAAATAAATGAAACAAAAATGTACCTGTGCTGTCGTGGAACTTATAGTCCTTGTGTCCAGGCTGAATATTTGGTGGTATGGTTATTCTCTGAGCTCCCTGCCCTTTCATGTGCAGACATGGAACGGCAGAGACTGTGGCAGGGAGAGCAGCAGCAAAGACCCTCAGGGGACAGATTAGGTAGGACATATGATACTCTTAAAATTGGACACAGCATAAAAAAGGAGCAACTGTGATGGAAGTGTGTTGCAAAGCAGTTTTCAGAGGAAGCAGCCAGAGAAGTCAGGCTGAAGCAGTTCAAATAGGATACCCATTTTGACATGGGCCTAATGAGGATTGATTGACTGTTTACATGGGCACAAATAATTGGAATAAAGGCCAGATCAGAATAAATAAAGCGTAATGTAAACATGTCGATCGGAATATTCTGATCCAATTCGGCTCAATTGGAAAGAAATTGCATTCCGATCTTGGGGGGTGGTTTATGATGATCGTTATTCCGAAAGACATCCATGTAAACACTTATTCTGATCGTGACTCTCTTACCTGACTCGAACTTCACTCTTAAGCCTTTGGCTTATTTCTTTAAGGCAAGTTCAGGAGGTTTCATTATTAACACTCTGACATAAAACACAACTGCAGGTACCGTGTCTGCTCCTCCGGTAACATAACAAGGCGTACATACAGCGTAATGAAGTCACATCTGCACGCACAGTACAACCTTTGACAGAACAGTAAAAAAAGTACACAAGGACGTAGTGGTGCAACGGATCATCACTGATCCGTGATCCGTTCGGATCGACGTCTTCGGTTCGGCACACACGTGATCCGCGGATTGATTTCTGAAAAAAAAAAGTTTTGCTCCGTCTGCACAAAGCTTTTGCCTAGCGGAGAAAGGAGGAGGGCAGACATGGCGAGCGGAGGAAAGGAGGAGCTCGAGCGCCCCGCGGGACTTAAATCCCCTGTATGGGAGCATTTTGGCTTCCCGGTCACTTATGATGGTAAAGGAAAGAGGTCAGTGGACAAAACTGCGACGGTGTGCAGGCACTGTGACTTAAGAAAGCCACACGAAAGTGGAAACACGTCCAGCTTATTCACGCATTTGAGGCGACATCACCCAGGTGTTGTACTGACCGGAGATAAACCAAAAGCTGCCCAACAACCGCTAATCACCGCAGCGTTTAAGCAGCCTCTTCCTGCACAATCTGACCAGGCTAAAGCGATTACAAATGCTATCGGTGTATTCATTGCCGTAGACATGAGGCCATATTCAGTAGTGCAGATTGAGGGCTTTCAAAACATGCTGAAGGTGCTGGAGCCGCGTTACGAAATCCCGTCGCGCACACACTTCAGTGAAAAGATAGTTGTTTTTCGTTAATAATTATGTTCAAAAGAAGTTATTATGCCTTGTGCACTACTTTTATATATTTTAATTTAATCATTGAAGTGTTTAATAAACAGACAAAAGTTATGTTTTTTTGTCTTTTTTTTTTTTTGCTTTTTGCTGATCCGAAAAATGATCCGATCCATGACTCTTGATCCGAGGAACGATCCGATCCGTGAGTTTTGTGATCCGTTGCACCACTACAAGGACGTCATCTAGTGACAAGATTTAACAGGGGGAAAACTCCTGAACTGGATGGAGTGAGCCACGACCGTGTTTGTTGATTTTTTTGACAGTACAGGCATAAATACAACTCTTCTTCGTCTGCGGTTGTTTTAGCAAAATCAGACAACTCTGTGCATGTTTAAATGCTTCTAATCTGAATAAAGCTTAGTGCATATATACGCACGTCATGATCAGATTATTTGACTTTGCGCCCATATAAACAGTGGATTCATAATATCCGATCCCTCAAATTTTTAATCGGATCGAGAAATTTTGCGCATGTAAACATGGCTTTTGCATTACTTATCCTTAAAATTGATGACTGCCTTACATTGATGCTTTTTTTGTGTGAACAGTAGACTTACCAGGATAATTTTGCTAAATTCTAAACACTCAAAAGTCAGCTCAGCCTTTCTTGACACTTTTTACATGAACAGAGTGTAAAGCAGTGATTTTTTTTAACAGTAAATTGCTTTAGTCTGAGTTTTTACCAAGTTTATATTGACATGAGAAGAAGACCACAACCTGTAAACCTCCTATGAGAGGTTTTTGTCACGTTTATAAAATAGACTGAAACTCATATTGGTGTCCTTTCATGATACATGACATCGAACAATAGGTTAACAAGTTTGTTTTCAAACTGGCAGCATCGCAGAGGGATATTTCCTGCTAAAAATACGTACAACTCAATATAGAAACACTATCATGATATATTTTCTCGATAATGCCCAGTCCTACCTGATGTTACTTAACTCAATTCACATGCTTCCAGACATCCTCTCTTTCCCCTCACTGCCCCCTCCTCTCTGAGGGCACCCTGAGTAGCCTGTGTGATGTAATTGTGTAAGAGAGTCCTGTCACCGAGGCTGAGAGGAGATTATAGATAGAAACAGAGAGCGGCTCCGACAGGACGGTGGTAGACTGGGGAAGGGATTTCACCGATGCCTCTAATGTTTTTGAATCTCCTGTCATGCCCTCTCTGTCAGCTTTCAAAAACCTATACATCTTCCTTATGATACCTCTCCAAACTATTTTGGCGCTGTCTTGAAACCCCCTTTTTTTCTCAAAGTGCAGGACTGTCAAAAGGCTATATAGGGTCGTTAAAATGCAAAAGACAGACTTTGCTCCTTGGCAAACGTTATGAGGGTGACTGAGCTTTGAAAAGGGTTGAAAAGCAGATTTTGTCACATAAAAAAACAGAGCCAGACGAGTGCTTTCACCCCCATTCCTTGTCTAAATGCTAATTTGAGCTAATCAGCTGTTGGGTGCAGCCTTATTTTTAGTTTATGGAGAGAGTGGAAACAACCCTCCCTCGCTTTGGTTGCCAAAAAATGTACATCCCCAAAATGAATAATTATTTTCCCTCAATATAAAATACAACCAGGAGCTTGTGCTTCAGAGTATGGAAACTTATTATTATACTGCAGTTATTGTGACAGTCAGTGATGTGTAATGAGTCAGGATCATTCATACAAAGAAACTTAATTTGACAGAAAAGAAAGATCAGAGTCATGATGATTAAAAATTGAGGATCAGTACCAAATAAAACTTTATAAATAATAAAGAGGCAAAAAAATGGTAGGAAAGCACCTCCATTATTTATTATGGAGCAGTTTTTGCCCCACATTAAAAGACAACATCTGCACTTTGAGAGTCGGGCTTGATGAGGTTTGTTGTCCTGCAATGTTGGAATAAGTGTGAGGCACATTTACCTTGATGTCCCCCTTTTAATTTTGTCAATAATACTTTACGTTTTTGCTGCAATAAGCCGCTTCATGCATCCAGATGATTCACTACCTAAAAGTAATTATTCAATTAATGTCATTAAAATTGCATCATCTGCTATACAATATTTGCTGCATGAATTTAAATGACATTTTTGCAGCATGCAAGAGATGAGAGAGGTAACCTCTCTCTTTATCGCTATAAACAATTCTGGATCAAACACTACACAGAGGCTGAGACTCTTATCTAAATATAGCTATAGCTACAGTTTAAAGAAATGCTTGTGTAAGCAGCTTTTTGCATTACAAATGCATAGGATGCATAAAAAGCACAGTTACAGATCAGAGCAGAAAGTATCTCATGAAATCCTATTGGGAAAAAAAATGCTGCTGCAGTCACTTGCTGTCTCATGGTAATTGAGGATGACTGAATCCTGCGTTAAGTGGAAGCATGTTTGACCTTTGGTCTGCGTAATCAGTGGTTATAAATGGATATTTCGCTTTCTATATATTTCTAAAGTCTCCTGTCAACCATACCTCCTCTTCCTTTGCTGCTTCTTGTCCACTAACTCCTGCAGCCTCTCCTTCAGCCTGAGCATCATCAACTATGACACCTCTCATCCTCTGGAGCATTTTGTTAATGAAACCAGTTAGATTAAGGCGCTTAAAGGTAATCGCTGCATTTTTATGGTTGCATTTCTCTCTCCAAGTTGTTCCCCCCTCGCTCCGGCCTATTCCCCTCACTCGGTTTATTGCCCATTCCAGCTAAATCCACACAACCCTCTGTGCTATTGTAGATAACCCAGCCTTGGCTCGCAGTCTCAGGGATCTGTCACTGCAGCATTATAGGGAACATAATGTGCAGGCATGACACCAGCCTTGACACCTACAGTAGGCCTTTAAAACGTGGGGTGTGAGCTGCATGCAGGGCAAATATTAAACTGTGTGTTCCCTGAATTTGCCTTCAGGGAGCTAATGGCTTCGGTTCATTACCGGAGTCAGCTTAGTGGTGTTTTAAAGCCTGATTACTCTTGTGTGTACATCAACACTGTCCAATCCAATCACCGCTATTACTCTGCAGAGAATAAGTGTAATGTACTTTTTGAGAACAGGAAACAGATGCATCATGAGTCATTTATTTCTGCATTTGGATGAGTTATCACCAACTTGTTTTCCCTCTGCCGAAGCAAATGGCCAAATCTGTTCGCAATTTTGTGTTATTCTGTAGTGGTGTTTTGTCATAATCAACCCTCTGACTAAAACATTTTCAAAGCAAGGCATGATATATACGTACGTGCAGCTGTTGGAGCATAAATAAATAATTAAATAAATAAAGAAGCCCTGAGGGGTTTTCAATATTGAAGCTGCACATTATCCACCTTTTAACATGGCTAAGTCATTGATAATTTTACACAAACTTTTATTTGAAAACAGCTTTATTCCACTAGAAAAAAATAAGATAACACTTTAGAGTAACCATAATTTATAAATGGTAAATAGATTAATTAGTTTAGTTAGCTACATTAATAATTAGTTTATTAATGTAAGTTAATAGTAACTTTACCATTAACAAGCAATGCAACTATGATTATTAATGGACTATTTATAAAAGGTTTATATAGGGTTTGAATATTGGTTGTAAAACATCTAGATTAAAATGTGTGTCAGTAGCTATTTGTAAATGGTTAATATTTGTTTTTTAAACCATCTTTAAACATTACTTAGATGATTATTGTAAAGTTGCAACTGATGTTTGTAATACTTTGTAAATGATTAAGAAGTGGTTTTTACACCACCTATAAACATTACTTAGATGGTCATTGTAAAGTTAAGGTTCGGTTTAGGGTCAGGGTTGGGGTTAGGTTTTTAAAATTGTAAAATTTACAATTTATCAGTGGTCTATATACTATTTATAAATGATGATTAAACAATAAAGTATTTGCTTACCATTTAAAAATGGTCTGTTTACCATTTATAGGTTATGGTTATTTTAAAGTGTTACCAATTATAAAAATTCCCCTAAATAATAGAGGGTTAGATGTCATATAAACTGCATCGATAACACTGATAAACTCTTCAAAACCATTATTTTATTTCATATTAGAGCTCCTGATTTTGTTTTAGTGATAACAAAGGTGAAATTAATGCAGATTCTTCTGTTTGGCCTACAAAAGCAAATAAGACTAGATAGAAGGCATTTCTAATTTCCTTATAGGCTCTCTGTGTACGGTCGTTACTAAAGTTGGTATAACTAGAGAAGCAAGCAGTCTGTAACATTCATCTCTCGATGGGGTGTCTAACTCGGTGCTACAGTATGTTTGACCCTAACTTAATTTTATGCTGGAATATCCCTTTAACACCCGAATTAAAGAGTGTTGAAATCAACTGAACAAAAATTATATATTAAAAAAAAAGATTTCAACATCAAAAGAGGAGTTATGTCATACAGCAGTAAGAGATATTATTAGCCAATAACAAAGGCTAGTTTATTCATGAAGCATACTACATACATCATATAGTAAAATCAAACATGAAAAATTATATCAGTGCAACAATATATTCCTCAGTGTCCTCTCACTTAAATTGAAACCTGTCATTAATAATTTACCGTTGTCTTTTGAATTCCCAGGATTAAAAAGAGGAAACTTTGGCAAATCATAAAAGAAAATATTCACAGCGATCCAGCAGAAGTTGAGCGTAAAGCTGCTTTTTTTATATTTCTTAAGATATTTTCCAGAAAACCACAGTCTGTAGAGCACCGATGAGGCAGGGATTATCAAATACTGGAGACTGAAGGTGCTGCCAGCCAGAAGCCTCCTTGCCCTTTATCAGACTGCAGATAGCATCTCAGATAACCTCAAAAGACAGAAGGAGGGAGAGGTAGGAGGGAGGAAAAAAGGACTTAGCAGAAGTTGTCGAGAGGGGAGGAAAGTCGGGAGAGTTTGCTACAGATTTGTCTACCTAAAGTTGTCACTTTAAGGTTAATGAATGGTCCACTGAGAGACAAACAATGTCCCATGCAGGCTGTCCATTATGTTGAAATGTTTCCATTTTTAGACCGTCACACTCCTCTATCTTTGTTTTTTTCTGACTCGTGCCCTTTTGAGTCTGGCTGTCAATCCATCTGTCTGTCTGTATGCCTCTGTCTCCCTCTCCGTCTCCGCCTCATCTGTCTCTGTGCCGCGCTGATAAGAAAGTGCCCGCCCTGTCTCGGAGGAGAAACCATGGAAACGCACCAGCCACGTGTTGACATCACAGAATGTTAAATATAACCGCCTCCCGTGCCACACACAACTAGTTGTTCTGCCGTTGATCCTCAGCGGGCTATAAATACATGGTTTCCTTCCCATAATTGCAGCTACGACAGGCTTGTTTGGACGGAGGGAGGAATAGGAAATGCCAGGGAGAAGGAAACAGTGCGCTGACTTCTCTCTGTCTGTGTGTGCTGCACCACTCTGCATATGCGTGTGTCCATGTTTATGCCCTCATTTCTTATTATAGCTCAATTAAAGAGATCAGTAGAGATGGCAAAGCTCTGTCTCTCATGCAGGACAAACACATTACTAAGTTTCATGATATGAAAAGAGAGTATCCTAGCTTGGTTTCAACATTCATGGTGGGTTTCTTCTCCCTCAAGTTTGTGAAATACCTGGATAGAAATCTTGTTGAGTGAAGTAACCCAGAAAATGTGGTTGAAACTGCTTTGTGGGGCATTATAGGCCAAGCGATTTAGTGAGTGCACCTCTTGTACACAGTCCTTGTTGCACTGGTTGTTTGTACATGATTGCTGGTAACCCACACACACAAGTCTGGTGCTCATAGTGTGTAAAAATTCACCACATGTTAAAATTAGGACTGGGCGATTATATGATCGTGATTCATGATCGTGATAGATTTCAGTTTTGATCACAGTGATCAGCTGTGAGCATATTTAATCTATCAGACATAGCAGAAATATGCGTAACAACAGCCAATCAGAGTCGAGCTTTTCCTGCTTACCGCTGTAAGTTGCCGGAGAAAACAGAATGATTGATCGTGGAGCTAAACACTGAGCTGAGGGCAGCAAAATAGATGTCAGACTTTGAGTCATTCTCCGGTGATTAAGCGGAAAGTGAAGTCGAGCAATTAAGCCGATGTGTAAGGTATGTCGGCGGTCGATGCCCTCAAAAAACAGCAAGACAACAAATCTGTTTAATCATTTGACAAAGTACTTCCCGAGTGATTAAGCGGAAAGTATGAAAATGTAAGCGGAGTCTGCACAGACTGCCACTGCTGACGGCACAAGTAGCATTAGCAGTTTAGCCACAACTAGCAGTGCAGCCACAGGCCAAAACAGCAATTAATCATATCATCTACGTTTACTTTTTAAGATGTTTTCATTATCTCTGAGGGGGCGATTTGTTTATTTTGGATCTTGCAAACCTGCAAAAACACTCAGGACTGTAAACTAATTCACTGTATTAATTAATATTTATCTACATTTGTTGTATTTTTGAGATAAAATGTTTTTTATATTTTCCTTAGTTTATCTTATTCAATTTGCTTTGTTATTTACTTTGTATGTTAATAAAATGTTAAACTTATCTCTAGTTTCTTTAGTTTTTTGTACAGAAGCTTTAAAACTCAGTTTGAAAAAAATACCCCAAAAAAATAATTATAATAATAATCGAGATCGGACAATATGACAAAATATATCGTGATTTTTTTTTTTTCAAATAATATATTTTTACAATCACCCCACATGATGCTAATACTGTGAATGAAGTATGGACCAGATCGGTGAGAACTGCACATCAGTCTGGATTACTTGGCCTTCATTTCACTTTCTCCACCCTGCACAGTCCTACACATCTGCACAAGTAAACCATGAATGGGTCCCCCCTCTGACACCTGATCTTTTACCCTAAATTTACTGAGCAGGAAGCAGGTTTCCATGGACAATTCCCTGCTGACAGAGTGAACCGTATATTTTTACATATATTCACGGAGGTATTTTTCTGTTTTAATTATTCATTCCTACCTGATGAATTCAGCGACTCTTCCTGGCAGAATGACCTTCCTTTTTAGTACCTGTCCTCACTGAGGTCGTGGTCTTCTCTCATGGATATTTTTCGCCTGACAGAGGTCCTCCGCATTAATGATTTCTTAGCTGATAGACTGAACTACCCTTCTTTTATCAACAAAGGCAAAAAATAATCTGTGTTGGAAAACAAATTTACATTTTTATGCTATAAGATACAGATCAAACAAACAAAATACATACTATAGTTAGCTTAACAGATATTGGTGGGAAGGAATCAGTTCTGGACTGTATGCTTATGGTAGTGGAGCAGTGTTGATAGTCCGAAAACATACAGAGAAATAATAAACAAGCTCCTTTTGCAAATGTCAGCTCCTCCCTGAAGGAGTCACAGAGGTAAAAGGTCAGAAGTAAGGAGCTCAAACTTGAGTCTGTGCCCTGATGATGCCAGGTTTGTAGAGCAGCAAGGGATGATATATTTTAGACTAGCACCTTATCTGTGTGATGGACCAAACAAAGAGCGCCTGTCGTTTCACCTTTTCTGCCAAATTGGATGAACATGTACTCTTAGTGAAGCTGACAGCCTGGATTCGAAACTGGTCCTCTGAGCAGTGAGCCAAGAAATTAAAAAGTCTGGCGCTACCATTTTTATACTTTCAGGCCTTGAGAGTTAACTTGAACAGTTTCTGTAGGTTTAGCATCGACTACTATATACCTCAAATATCTGAACTGTGCTGAAGCAGCTCCTCGATGACCTGGGGGAACACTGTAAGGCTCAGAGAAGTCAAATATTTTCTCCATGCCTGTGACGATAAGACTGTAGTGTTTGTCTTGAGCCTGCCTCTGTGTCTTTATGTAACTGTCAGTGCTGTTCACAGGAGATGCTGTGAGCAGGGAGCATTGCATGTTGTGACTCAGTCTCTTAGCAGCCACCTCATCTTCACAACCCCGCGGGTCCCCAGAGGCCGGTGCAGCATCAACCAATCAGAGCAAAGCAGCGCGACAATGACCGAAAAGCCGATGCTGGGCTGTCGCCAGCCGAGAAATAGGTTTCAGTCCAGGAAATGTCAGGTGTGTTGTTGTGTGCACTGTATGTGAATTTAATAGTCTCTGAGTGTGAAGTGAGAGCGTAGCTGTCTCACTATAGACACTGTATATGTGTTGATAAATAAGTGTGCCTGTGCTTGTGTTGCTTTCTCCAGGATTGTCTCCCACACTTTAACATTACAGGGGTTAAATAGGTTAGTATTTTTTTATAGAAACTGTTTTGTTACTGAGAAGAACAAAATGTTACAGTGCAAAAATCAACCAGACAGCTGGGAGTTATATTATCATACAGTTGAAGCCATTTGCTTTAACATAGAGACTTCCATTAACAACATGTTTATATTTGTGTTTTTATGTGTTGCAGCTCTTTTCACTGGGGATCTGTTTTTCTTTGCTCAGCAGTATAACACCAAATACACATCAAAGGTTGCTTTAAAAGTTTCCTGCTGACTTTACTCTCTTAAGTATAGATAAGTTTGAATATATAAGCAAAATGTGTCATACTCATGAGTCCACAAAGAAAGGCCAGCCACCCGGTTCAGGTGACTCAGACACACAGAGACAATCAAGCAGTGGTTTCCTTATGTGTGTTAAGAGCAGGTTTGGACCAATTTCATCATAAAGTATCAATTATTTGCATGCAACAGTTGTATTTGGTCATAATTTCTCTGTTTTTAGATTTCCCGCCTTTCCATGTGCTTATGCCAAAGCCTACAGTGGGAGAGCACATCCTCTCAAACAAATTGCAGACTAAGAATATGCATTTTAAGTATGGAGGCTTTCATGATAATGGAAATGGAGTTTTAGCCGACCTCAGTGGTAACTTTTAAAAACACCCTCTACATTCGGATATCTCTGAAACGCCACAGCCACCGTTGCCAACAGCAATTCAGGGGTTTTCATTGAAAACATTGACTTGATTTTGACAACAGAGGCTGCAGCGTCTCAGAAATATCCTGATCTGGGTTACCGTTAAGGTCGGCTCAAATGCCATTTGTGTTATTATGAAAGAAACATCTTTGCTTTGATAACGAGATAACAAAAAAATAATGATTCAAGAAAACGAACTTTGTTATATTGACATAGCTAGATAATAATTAGTTATCATGAGATAACAGTGCATTAAAAAAAAGAAAAATCCATGGCTGTGTCCATTTTCGAAATTAAGAGCACATTCACTTAAAAACTGCAGCTTTTTGTTTCCTCAAAATAAAAGCAAGTACAAGTCAAAATCAATGCACACCGTTAATCTTTGACTTTTTTTTATGATAGAGTATATAATGGTGAACGAGTGGTTGTATTATAGCAACTTCTTTTTTTGAAAAAAAACTGCTCCAAGAGACAGAATCAAGAAAATTCATAGACTCATGATGTTTTCACAGAATTTCTTTTTAAAGTTGAGACTAAATCTTGCTAAAGATAAAAGTTTTTCTCAAAGCATCTTAGCCCTTAAGAGAGCCCTGAAGGTGGAAGGCTGTTAGGAGTGGTGAAGAGGACTTTTGAGAAGCTTAAGAGATTCTTAGGCAGAGGAGAAAATACAAGAAATACATCAGGAGAGGAGAAATGTTCTCCAAACACTGAATGTAAGTGAGTTCATTGTACGCTACAGGCTGGACTGTGCAGTGATCGTGTTTGCGCTCACATCTCCCAGCTGATGCAACAATGCAACATGTCTGGAAATTAAAGTGGTCAAAACATTTAAATGTTTGACAACTGGGAATATGCAATGGTTTTACTTAAGCTTCTCAAAGGGTGTGCCTTATGTTGGGAGGCTTAAACAAAGCCAAGAGAGAACAGAGCCGCAGTGGCAGAAACTAGATGCACAAATCGATTAAAACAAGATTAGAGGGATAATATTTAACATGAGATGTTGCACTGCAATCAATGCATTACAAGAGGAAGAGACGCTATCTGACATCACTCTCTTCTTGTACTGAAGGGTGCAGAGCAATTAACCACTAAGTTTATTGATCTTACTGCAGATGCTGAGCGTACACAGGATTACATAGGGGGATGCATTACTGAAACTGCAATAAAACACAGTATCTATGATCAGGCTGGTCAGTTTCACCTTTCTTCTACAGCTGTGTTCACTAAGAAATTACTCTTTTGGATCAGCCAATCACAGCTTCGGAGAGACTGAGTCATACCGACAGCAACAGGGTCAACCTTACTTCTTCACTGAGATACAAGTTTCTGTCTCTAACTTGATCAGAGATGCTTAGAGATCACTCCTAGTCTAGAGCTCATTGCATAAAATTTTTAAGCAAAATAAGGACCTCTCTCGGATGATTCTCCCACTTTTTGTTAAATACGGGCACAGATGTGTCACTATGCCACAGTCACACGGACGTATTTTTGTTTACTCCAAAAAAACCTCATCACCCTCCAAATGTGCTGAAATGAACATGCTCATATCAGAGTAGCAGACACCGCATTGCACGTCAGAGACCACAGTGCTGCAGTAGTTAAGCGGGTCCATGTGAGCAGACAGTGACTAAGCCTATCTTTTGTCCCCTGTGTTTTCTTTCTTTTATTCACAGTATCTTGTGAAAAGATGACTAACACTCAATTGGAACATGGGTCATGGGTTGCGCCTAATAGAAAATTCTGCCTCCAACATACAATATAATGGACTGGCTGCCAAACTTGGACTGCACTCTGTACATAATAAAACCATAAATAGAGCTATTGAGTTTTGCATTGTGCCTGCTGACCTCTTTTATTATGTCTTAAATGCTGTAGCGAGGCAGTCTGAACATACTCACAGTACAGGCAGCCGTTTCAGAGATAAGCCATGTCAGAGTGGTAATGTAGGTCAGCGGAGATGGAGAGGAGTGCAAAGGTCAAATGTGAGGAGCAGGTTTATCTCCTATGTGAGTTCTTTGAATTCCAGCCTGCTGAATTTATACCCCAGTTTGAGCAAAGAGACTTTTGGGAGAAGTTTGGCGGTGCTTTATTTAGAAGCATGACCCGCTTAAGTGATGGCTGAAGTCTTGGGCAGGGAGAGAGCAAGGAAGTAGGCTGAGCGATGTTAACCCCTTCATTAGGGGTGTACTAGTTTCATCATTTCTTTTGTTTAGCCCTGGAGATGTTTTGGACCACTTATTCCTCCCAATGCCTTTCCCCGGACCTAGATTTGAGTGGGATTGGAAGATATCTACATAGTAATGGCAGGAATACAATGATTGCTCTTATGTAACTTTATACTATTAATGGTAGCTTGATAAATTGGTATATTGACTTACATGCAGATAGCTAGTGTTTGGCGGTCTGGCGATTTCTTATCATATGGCGTACCTTTGGCAGAAGACTCTGCCAAGCTTTTTTGTATGAGAGGAGCTGCTGCAACTTTAGTTTTAGGTGCAGCAGGTGCGCCACGCATCTTTTGGCTCTCATAATTGAGCTTGGCGTGTTTCATCTTTAGGTGGTGGAAGAGGTTGCTAGTGTTTCCACCTCCAGCAATGACAGCCACACGACACGCTCTACATAGTATTGTTTTTTGATCATTGTCGGATTTTCTAAATCTGAAGAATCTCCAGACAACCGATGTCATGACTCGCGCCCTTTTTCAGAATGAGTTCCTCCTCCTCTTCCTCGTGTTGGGTGGGTCGAGCTGCCTCCGTTTGCTCTGTACTTAAACGCACCCAAACTGATGCGCTCCAGCTTTCCTGTTAGCGAGTGCAGACAGCTACACACTGACTGAGAGAGAGATGAAGCAGACATCTGCTCTCTCTCCAGTCTAAACGGTATAGCTAACTTCCTACTGGTAGACACTTTTATACTGGTAGACACTTTTATACTGTCATACCCTCATGCTGCCCGACGCTACAGATAGCTAATACAATTCAGGCTGTATCAAAGATCTTTACCAATACCAGCATTGGTGATGGTTTCATTGGCTGATATTGACACCAATATTGGTATCAGCCCCCAAAACAGCTCAAAAACTGTACCAGCATCCTGGCGTTGGAATCAGCCAGTACCAGAAGCACCAAAACCAATGGGTATCAATACTGCCAGTAATACTGATATTACAGAAACTGTTGTTGGCACCAGCGTAACACATTTCAACACAAGCTATCAAGTGCAGCAATCACAACTCATTAAGCTAACACATATTCATGCACCCACACTTACACATTTCCACCTCCACTGCGTTGAAATCTCATCAAGCAGACCCCCCGACCACATCTTCCTGTGCCCATCTCTGTTTATTTCTTCGTGCAATCATACCTTACAGCCTGAGGGATAATTGCTTGGGGCGCTAACACCAGCAGGACATTACCAACCCTGCTTTCACTTGAGCTATTGTGGCCCGTAAATTGGATGGTGAAATTGCCTTTTTGGTTGGATCTTCTATACTATCCAAGCCGGCTAAACCCTAATCCATTCCATTTAGATTATATGTGAGTCAGTGTTGTTCCCCTGTGATCACATGAATAAATATGAGGCGTTCACATGAGCGTGTGCAATCTACACACCAACTCTCACTTCTTTTTTTGTGATTCAGAGTGCAGATATTTATAGCACCACATATTTGCATATGTATTTGTCAAGTTTCCTCGCAGCAGACATTCATTTTGCTGCACACAGTGGTGTCACAGTGAAGGTGTGTGTCTGCGTGGTTGTGTAGAAACTGATCCAGAGTGTTAAAGGACCTGTGACCTCTGCAGCCATTCACACCTCGGGCCACTCGCTTCCCTCAAAATCCCTCCTCTCTATTCACAGCCATCTTCTTTGAAGTATTAATATGACAACCATCGGCACTGCTGCAACATTCGTCAGTTTCTTCTCGAGGAGTCGTTTTGCACCCTCTCTGACCCAGTTTGAGCTCTTCTCGAGTGCCTGCATGACTTTGAAAATGCAAGGCTGTGGTTTGTAACAGCTCAAGAAGAAAGTGGCCGGATTTGTGAGATGTCAGGGATGAAGACAAGTATTTATCAACTCAAGCAACACGTCTTCAGTCAGTACTTATTCAACAGGGATCATGTTAACTCTAATTTCCATGTGCATTTGTGCGATGTGGCTATATAATGCTGCCCTATTTCTTGTGGATATGCTTCACATTCTGAGTAGGTCTGCAGTATGTACCAATTATATTTGACTAAATACAAGATCAGAACCAAATACAAGACAAGAGTGTGAATTAATGGCACAGCCAAAATGTTTACTGGTTAATTCAAGTCTACTTCACCCTCCACACATTTTGGAAACAGACTTACTACCCAAAAAATCTCAACAACTTTAATTTTATCTCAGTAAAAATGGAAAAAATTAATCATGTCAAAACTACTTTGACAAGATATTAGCAGGTAATTAGATCTTATTAAGACATAAACTGATACTGATTCCTCTTTATTAGTTGCAGATGCAACTATGACCATAAAATTGAGGATTGAAGATTTTGTTTGTTTTGTGTTGAGTATGATTATGATTAGTCAAAGCCCACTGAAAACAATACATTCGAAAAGGCAAAAGTGACACTAGATATTATCCAATCACACATAACATTAACTAATCTGAAGGAAGACATCTAGCATAGTAAAGGTAAAAAAAAAAAAAAAATGTACCACACTGACCCAAATACAAGGCAGGATTTTTCACCTGAACTATGTAGTGTCATCCTATGATTGAGGTTTAGTTATTAAATTATACTCCTCATGACTGAAACCAGACGTCACTTTCCATTATATTTTTATTTTTATTTCAATTATAATTGTTTTCATTGTATAAAAACATAGTTGGTCTCCAGAAAGTTTAGGAAGCCATGAGAAGAGTGAGGGTTGTATTAAAGTCATGGTTGTACAATCGGTTATTGCACAGTAATACATCATCTTGACCTTGACAGAGACTGATAAATATATGGTGCTATGGAAACTGACCACTGAATTAGACACTGCTTTTTTAGTCGTGTTTCTTAAACAATATAATCATTTCTAAATTTACACTTAAGGTCAGTTTGATTGTGTCTTTGGTGGCAGGGGAATAAGGGAGATCAGATAAAGCGGTGAGGTGGTTATACAGGTTGGAAACCCAAAATAAGATCCCTCTGTTCCACGTGAACGTCCTATTACTCTGATTTGCATTGATTGTACATAATTCAGTATATAGGTCATATATAGTTATGTATGCCTGTTATCCCTGCTGTGTTGGACATTGATTTAAAGGACAGGAATAAACAAGGTTACTTCAGTACTGTGATCATTAATATGTTCTCCATTGGCTTGAAACCTCTGCCTTGCCGTTTGTTCATCAGAGTTGTTCTTAAATCCTTTAAGCATGAAAGCAATTTAGTTCATTTCTCTCCTTCTTTGCACACACGTCTGCTGTGTAAATGGAGTCATTGTCACTCAACTCAGGACTGCCAGTTTGCATCACAAAGCAAGAATTGTTGTTGGCTGCCAGCCCCACCAAACCCGTCCAGTTTCACTTACAATTTTCTTGAGACAGATTTCATTTTAATTAGTCGGTACAATAGAGGACAGTCGTCTCATTCACTTGGACGACAACAGAAACCTTCATTCCACCAGCTTGGATTAATCAAATATTTGCTGGGCTGTTATTGATTCCAGTTTGCACTAAAAACAAATTAAAAACACAATCTGAATACATGTTTTTTATTCCCTTTACACTTTCCTTTTTTTTCTGTTGTCATGCCTAGTAGGCATAATTTTCATTTCTCCCCTTGTTTTCTAACTTTTTAGGAACGCAGCCAAAGAAATACTCACTAAAATTCCATAAAAAATGCCACCAGATATTACCACCAACATATTTCTAGAAATCCCTGGAAAAAGATCCATTTTGGCGACATAGAAGTGGGGAGAACATGGCCCACAGCAGAGCCAACAGAGCACTATGATCGATAGTTTGATGGTTGGTTGTTAAACATGCTGTCAGATGTATTTATCAACATCCTCGAGGTGAAAAATGGAGTTTAAACCATGTGAATAGACTTAGGTTTGGCCGTCCTAAAAAGGTGAAAATGTAACACAACTCAGACATGTGATTCCTTTCTTTTAACAACAGGCAATGGGGTCACACTCAAAGCCCAAAAATACCCACAGTGGGTTGGAGGTTGAAGGAATGTGGGAGTGTGAATGTGGTGAGGAGGGTGGGCAGATCTGAATCAGACAGACTGACATTTGTAGCTTAGGGTTTCCCCTCAGTTCACCCTGCAGCTAACTTTGCCTGTACTGTAAACCCCCCGCCTCCCCCACCCTTTCACCTTGCTTCCTCATTTAGGTTTACATGACAGGAGACTCTTAAAGGGGGGGTTTCACTTCTTTTACTGCTGGTTTTCCTGACCTTAGTCCAGTCAGAGCCAGTCCAACTGGAACTTCCAGATTGTTTCCAATAGTAGTGATATTAAAAGAAGCAGATTGACACACATCCAAGCACTGTCTATTCTTAGTTAGGTGGTTTTAGTTTAGTGTATGTGTTTACTCGGGTGTCATTAAAAAATCATTTCAAAAAGAATAATTAAAAGTTGCAAGCAAACCCCAAGAATGGACATTATTTCAGTGCAAGTGCTCTTAAAGCTCCTGTAAGGAGTTTTATTTATTTATTTTACATTTATGATATAGAGACAAATTCATATTAATCTCTTTTATGACATGCTGAAGCAAACAAGACCATCAGCATTAAGACTGACCCCTCTCATATTGGAGTTTTGAGGACCTGGAACTGTCACGAGGGGGTAGGTGTTCGCTAAGTGGCTGAGAAAACAGCCTTTGTTCTGCAATTTTGACATGGAAGATTTACAAAATATGATCCATTTGACTGTAACATGTCAGCAGAATGAGTTTTTTTCTTTCTTTTTTTTTTTTTTTTTTTTCAAAAGTCACCACCTTAGCATGTAGTGGATAATGTAGGCAAGGATGTTTTGTCCACAGAGGGCGCCAAAACTGACACAAACCAAAAAGATCCCCACAGGAGCTTTAATAATGGATAATTAATCAACCTGTAAATACAGAGTACTTTGAAATGACAATTTGAGACTCCAGGCTTTTTTCAGTAGAAGCTATTGGAACAGAAACTGTCTAGGAACTAACATCAAACTCTCCTCCCTGTGGCTTTGACAAAATGATGGTGTGCATGTCCCTCAGGAGGAACTAACACCTTTTCTAGCACCAAAAGTGAAAACAGATCTGTCATATCCAGCGGTGGAAGAAGTGATCTGCCTCCAGACTCCACTAGCTGAGAAGTCCAGCAGAAAAACCCTGTGAGCTTAATGACATAATGACTTTAGCTCAGTTGCAAAGGGCATGTTTATATTTCCGAGTGAGTGATAGAGGAGGGCAGAGCTCTCTCTCTCTCTCTCTCTCTCTCTCTCTCTCTCTCTCTCTCTGAGGGGATTTTTCCTCATCATCTTTGCAGCTGCCTTTCTTATGACTGTCCCTCTTTTCTGTGCTCTCTCCAATTCCTTCACTTGTCCACATCCTTGCAGCCACATGATTCCCCTAAGATCCCACCTCTGACCTCCCACAACCTGTCATTTCGGGTTTCCATGGAGACGTATGACATGTGGCGTCTTGGCGGGTTATTTTTAACTCCCAGTGCCAGCTCAGTGCGATGGAAAAAGGAGGGCTGAAGTCAAACTGCTGGGGGAACTTTTCTGGGGACGTTCAGGGGCTTCCAGAGTCGGGGCTTCCCAGTTGTAGTGATATCATGCCAAGGGTGTCCTAGCAGGAATGTGAATCATCCAGCCTCATGATCTGTTAATGCTGCATTATGTCAGCCAGAGCTGGATGCACACTGCAACCTGGAAAGTCCTTCAACAAGTAGTGATAATTGGAGATGGGGGATTTCAGCTAGCTTAAAATGCTATCTGTGTCCACTGGGTTTAGCTTGTGGGTATGTTTCCACTTCCTGGTGTAAAACAGGTGGATGGATTTAGGCTACTGGGTCAAAGGTTATCAGAGGAGGAGTAAAAAAAAAAAAGAAGAATTTCTACTTCACTGTTTAAGGTTTGTCTGTTTGTAAACCTGTTTGTTTGCCTGTTTGTAGATAATCTCTTATCACAGACTTTACTTAAAAATGTCAAACCAGACTTACTTGATTATGACAGAAGCGTTTGTAGTGTGAGGATTGACCAATCAGCAGGCTTCAATGCGAACAGGAAAGCGTGTAGCATCCTACAGGGTTCAAATACTTTAAAGGGATATTCCGGCGTAAAATTAATCTAGGGTCAAACACACCGTAACACTGAGTTAGACACCCCCTCAAGAGAGGAATGTTGCTGATCGCAATACACAGTTGGTCTGAGTATTTGTTTATGGCTCCTCAGACGGCTGTGTATTGCTATTGTGCGGTTGTTACTGAAGTTGGTAAAATTAGAGAAGCAAGCGCTCAGCATCATTCATCTCTCGAGGGGGTGTCTAACTTGGTGTTCCGGTGTGTTTGACCTTAAATTAGTTTTACGCTGGAATATCCCCATAATTGGCACTATAATCAGAAATAAGTGTGCAATTTGCAGACATAGCTAGAAGGGAGGATCTTACTTTGGTTCTGATCTGATCCCAGGGGCACCCCTTATGTAGCTTGTTGTATGCAGTGCACAGAAAAGCACAGAAATGTTATATTTGCAAACTTTGTGCTAAATCAGAGTCACAGAGAAGTTGATCATTGTTCCCAAAGACAAATATTGTCACTGAAAGTTGCCTGCTGCCAACAGATTGATATGTTGGTTCAAACTTTCTGATTCCATTTTATTTTTGAGGCTTTTATAACTTGTTTTTTTTCCAGAGTACACACTTCATAGCAATCCATCATTATTGTGTAACACTGCTGCATGTTTTGGAGGAAGGATAGCTGAGAAGGTTGATATCAAGTGTTCAGATAGGAAGAGGAGGTGAAACTTGGATATCTTGTTAGTGGTGTGTTTGCATTCCAGCAGCTGTTGTGTATCTGAAAGTTTGTGAACACCTGCATTCATGGAAGATTTTCTGCGTCACTTTTGGGCTCTGTTGCTGCAAGATATTCAGACGGCATTTGCAAATATTTTGTCTCATTTTGTTAAATCCTAATCAGCTGTCAGGTTGACAAATTAAGTTTTCTGTGCAAGAAACTAAAAAATTTCAAAATTGAACCAATTATTATTATTATTTATTTATTTATGTTTTGTAGGCTATTTTTACCCATATTTTAAAGGGAGAAAAAATGGCAAGTCACTATTTTCTTATAAGAACAGCTTGAAAAATCCATACAAAACTGTACAATTAAACAGAAAAAAGACAGAAATGGGGAGGCTTTAGTTTTAAAATAAAAACAAGCAAACTATTATTATTATTAGAATTATTTTTTGGGGTGTGTCTTTTCATATTAGCCATTTTTTTAAGTTATTGAAGTTATTGTTTAGTACTGTCAATATGCATTTTAAAACCAAGTAAATTTTTTTAGGCTTTTTCCACTGTTAACATTAAAGTTATGACTTGATAACTCTTCGTAATATCTTTATTCTGTTATATTTTTTGTTATTTTTCTCTGAAATTTCTCTTTTAGTCATTAATTTACCTGCATTTTTATGAAATTGTTTTTTCTCATTTGCAAATCCCTCTTTTAATTACTGTATTACTCAGCAACCTTGGTTTTAGGAACTTACAATTGGCATTTTTGGTTTCCCCTTTTCTCTAATATTTTAAGGATGTTTTTTTTCCCATCATTATATGACAGTGCATATACAAACATGAGATGTAGGGAGAGATAAACAGGGATAACATGCAACAAAGGTCCCTGTCAGAGCATAAAATTTGCACAAATCCCCGAGCTTAAGTCTATTTTCTTTACTCTAATTGTGTGTTGGCCTCTGAGTGCTGCCCAAATGCTGCTGAACCGCACGCAACACTGAGCCTGAACCGGACTGAAGCGGCTGCTGCTGCTGTCATGCTGCTTTCACTACCTGCACACTAACCTGTGGAGACACATTCTCCACCACGTTTCAGCTTGAATATGTGCAGCTCACACCTCGGTTTGTACAGTTCTTCAGATATTACAAGGCTGGGGAAGCCATTTGTGAAGTTTCCCTGCTACTTTTCTTCAACTCTTGATTTTTTTAATTTTTTTCGTCCTCTTTGCCTTTTTCTGCTCATCTTACGTCAGCACAGATCCACAGGTCATCACCCCTAAATAAGGGAACAAAAAGATGAAGAGAGAGACAGAGGGAGGATGGCAGATTTATTCTGCTGATGCAGAGAGTTTTTGGAGTATTCCTCCAGCACCCAAGAGACAAGGGGTTAAATTTTGTTTTTTAACGCATCAGCTGTTTAGAGATGTAGCTCCAAACAAATATACCCAGGTGAGAATCAACATTTTTCCATTCTCAGTTGAATTCCAGGGTGTATTTTCTGTCAAATTTGGACCCATAGGCTCTGATTTGAGTGTAATCCCCCCCTTTAAGTCAACTAATGGTACAATCCATGCCCACTGATGATGACTATGGTGATGTCAGAGCAAAAGAGCTCAAAGCGGCTTTGGCGGGGTGCAGAGAGGAGGGGGCGGGGAGGCTTGAGGTTAAAAAGGTGACAGAAAACAATCCACAATGAGAGGAAAGATCAACACACACACACACACACATCTAAAGACACACATCGACTGTTATATAAAAAGGTAGATGAGCATGTGCCAACTTTGAAATGTCAATCACAGTCTCTCATTAAACAATAGGCGTACGGGGGGGCGGGGGGGATTAAGACGAACACACAGCGGGTGAATCGTCTCATCGCAGAAGTCATCAGATCAGCCAGGCGGTGCTCCTGAGATGTCGGCAGGAGGTCACGTGATCCTTCGCCAAGCGGTCTCAGAGGCTAGCCATGATGTAATGGTCACACGCATGCCATGGCACAGCCTTATGCAGCACAACATCAGCACACACCCGCAGGCAGACATTCGTCCTTGTGTGCCACGGGAGCTGCCCTCGCATTGGCTGAATAAACACTCATGGAGGGATTTCAGAGATTTGGGTAAACAGCCGAGGCGCTCGACTATTGGACGGAGAGGCGTTTTACTCCCATCATATCAACCATTTTCCTATTGGTCAAAAAATTTCATGTTTGGAGGGATTTAAAGAAGCTTTAGCTACTGGATGAAACGATTTGAGTGCTCTGCTGCCCTGCAGTATTAGCAGAAGTCTTCTTCAGGGACATGTTGAATATTGACATTAAATTAAGTCTGCTTTCATGGAAAGAGCTAAAACAGTTTCCTGGTACAGATGCCAAATAAGTAGTGCGCCTGACAAGGCGGCACTCAGGCAACACAAAGGAATTCTCAGAATGGCAAAAATGATATGTGGGCTTGTTGAAAATTCCAGGTCAGAGAATAAAAGAGCCATCAGCGTTTGGTTAAAATTGGTTTCCCTCAACAGGCTCTAAGCATCCCAAGAAATTGTCCCCAAGCATTGGCATTGTTTTCATATTTATTCATATCCAGCTTTGGAGCAGCTTCAAAAGGCAAATGTCCTCCTCCTTGCGATTGGTTGGAGTGGAGTTAGAGTTGTGTTCATTAGGGTAAACAAGCTGTGCTCCAGAGATAGCACAGAGGCCATTCACCCCACCCTGGCACTGAGCTCTTAGTAATACCAGCCTGCACGCACACACTGACACACAAGCATCAGTCGACCGCTCTGGGCTCAGTGTGCTTAAATGCATCGCTGCAGAACCACGACTTAAAAGAGGAGCAACACAAATGCATGGCAATCTCTGCAAGAGCTCCAAAGTCGCCTCTGGCTGTCATTCTTCTTTACACTCATTGGCTTTTTACTGATGTGTCCAGTCTGTGCTTGTGGCCCGCCCCAAGTAAATGACCTCATCTGACAGCCCAGCTGCCAGTGGAGACAGACCGCTTATGAAACCAGGCCATTCTATCCTAAAATTCAAGGGTTGTGCAACTAGAGTGGGAGCACACTGTGCCTGTGCGAGTGTAAGTTTGTATGAGGTGGAAATGGTGCGATTATGCAACAGAGTTTGTATTTTAGCTGCAAATAAAATTCGGAGGAATTTTTGCATCGTGTTATGCAGCTGAAGGACTGTTCATCGTGCAGCATATAAACCCAGAGACACATACGCACACTCTTGAGAGTCTCAGGCCACTCGTGAATAATAGATACAGAAGCGATGTGTCAAAGTCCTTGGAGTGGCCTGGAAACGGATAGCAGATTAAATATGCGCCAACCCTGACCTCGGCCAGACCGTGTTACAAACCCACACACGCACCAACACACATGCTCACATGCAGGGAGCAGCAACGGCAGCACTGGTTTACAAACCAATGCGACAGGGGCTTAGGGGTGCCGGTTCACAACTGGAAATACATGTTGTGTTGATGGGTTTAGCCGACTGTGATCAAGCTGCATTTATTGTCTGAAAAGTTGTTTTGAGGGACTTGATAAAAGAACGGCCAAGTGCCTGTATCAGATTTTTTAGATAGCATCTTAACAGACAATGAAATCCGACTTATCTGGCACAGTTTCTCTTTACAGAGATAGATCTGAGCTGATGAGTTCAGTATTCCCTTCGTAAAAAACAGTTGTGTGTGGTCGGTGGTTTGACTCCACCCAGTGATCTTTTCTTGCATCCCTTTCTATTTATCTGTTGTCATCTTGTAATGCCTTAAAAACATAAACATAGATGCAGAGCGAGCATCACTGGCCTTTTGTCTTTCTTGCAGGTTAACATCCACATGGTTATATGTCACAGTCACACAGTCTAAAATGACTTAATCTCCAGGTAACATATCAAACTGCTGGCAAACTGTGCTTCATTGTGATATGCCGAGTGTTATTTGTGCTTGTTTACATCAGGGTAGTAGAGCATTATAGCCATTAACATGAGCTACAAGAGGAGTGTGGCTGTTCTACAACTGAGACACAATGTATGACTGGCATTTCAGGCACACAGTGATAAAATTTCAAATGAATTGTTTAAACAACTTCTAATTTTAGTGACGACTACTAATTATTAGTCGATGAAACTTGCACAAGATTCGAAGTCTGAAAAGCCACAGAGGGATTTTTTTTTCTAATAGTTAAACCATTTCAACCAAGAGCACATCAACAGAAAATATCTGATGCAAAAGGTGTTTTTATGTTTAAGACACCAACACAGAGGTCTCTCTAAAAACAAATACACTATATTTCCACTATCTGTGTCCTAACTCCTGTCAACAGATTTGTGGACTTGTCGCTCCTTCGAAAGTCCACTCTCAGCTTCCCTCTCTGCAAAGTTTCAGACACTTGTGGTCCATTGTCAGAAGAGAAAACACAAGCAGCATCCCTAAAAATCCAATCTCCTTTTCAGCTCTGCGGCATTGCTTGTGAAAATATCTTGAAAGTTTTGCTGCTTGCTCTAGTTGCTATGGTTTTCTTGGCAAGAGGTGCCTGCAGAAAAAGAAGAGTGGCAGTCCGATTGGGCTGCCCAAACGGTAGAAACAGATCCACATATTTCTGTCTTCTTTAGTCCATGGTCTGTTGAATATGCAGCTTCCTGCTGAATCTCAATGCTGCAGTTTAAGGGGAAAAGTTTTTAACATACCCATGTGAGAGTATTTCTTTATCCTCTGCTGGAAATCTTTAACTGAATACGCAATAATCAATTGAAATCAACACCTTGAAAGTCCTTTTTGGGGTGCACCAGCAGTGAATCTTTCCAGGCTTTTGCACCAGGAGGAGCTCGTGTTCACGTTTCCTCAGCTTCTCGCCTTTTCAGTCGAGAACAAACAAGACCTTCTTGTTGATAATTGGACTCTTGAACATCCTCTGCTTTCCATTCCCTTCAAACTTCTCCTCCTCCTTTTAAAGAAGTCATGAATAATGAAACAAGCTTTGCGTCATCATTTGTACAGGTAACAATGTTGGCATGTCAAGCCAAGGCATCTGATCCTAGCTTCCAATGACATGATGGAATATGTTGGCCGGTGTTTGCTTTCACCAGGTAAAACTGAAATATTGATGAAGAGGGTGAGGCGGATTTTCCACTGCCTCAGCTCACCGGCCAGCTCCCCCTCTCGTTTGGCGTGTCCCAATTATTCGATACGACGCCGTGCCGGAGCAGCGACCGCTTCGGCGGATAGATGGCTGGGCGAGCTGGGCAAAGTGGAGAAGGGAAGGGAGGAGCGGAGCACGGCGTGCTGCACATTTTCCATCTGTCATGAAAGTGGAGCAGCTCATTATCGCAGAGTGCTCTCTACTGAGCTGACCTGAAAAGACAAGGAGAGCATGTGTGTAGGTGTAGGTTTGAGAGAATGTATACATTGTGTTAATGTGTCCTAGTCGAACCTTTCCAACCCAATATGTTCAAACAGATGAGCAAGCATATATAACAGGAGTTACAGCACTCCTTCTTTGACTCTTGGAAAAGTAATTTAGTCAAACATTGAACTTTATTTGTGGTATGAGGAGCCATTTTTGGAGCATTTAACACCAGTGCATTCTTACATCTATGAACTACCATTAAACTGACATGTTTTTACGTTGTTTTCCACCTGGTCCCATCTATCCTTCTCAGCTTGGCTAATCATCTCCTTCAAAAAGGTATAAATAATGAAGTGCTGGCAGCTGCAATAAAGTAGCCGACAGGTGAGTGGCTGTTATGTGAAGTGGGACATGATGACAGTGATAAAGCTAATGCCTCGAAGATCAAATAAAGGCATTGATACCTCGTCTTAAATCGGCAATCTCCATCTTGGTTTGCAGGTGATGGTTAGGCCACTTGGGTTTGGGTCATCATCTTGTCGCATTGTGAGCACATAAATATTGCTTTTCACGTGAGGCTTTTGTCTGTAAAGATAAATCCCAGTCGTCCTCATCTGCCTTTTGGTCTCAGGAGGGAAAAGGTTTTTTTAATATATTTTTTCTTTGAAGCGCTGTTGCAGATTTGAGTCCTTTGTGTGGAAATCCACCTAGTGCACCATGTGATGAACATAAACAACTTCCAAACAGAGAGGATATAAAAAAGCTTTCTCTGTATGCTTGATCCCTGGGGTTTAATGTCCCAGTTGGGAATTCAGCATGTCAATTTGTGACTGTGCTGGAGGGCACAGCAGAAGCAGTGGTTCTGGTATAGGAGGGCAGACAAAGTAAAAGTAAAGGGTAGAGAGAGAGGATAGTGGCACAGCAGGGGAGGGACCTTGCGGATTGTTAATAAAGCCTCTGAGCCCAGATGTCCATCTGAATAAGAAGCTATTTCCATCTTTTGTTGTTTTCTTCTTTTCTTTTCCTTCCACCAACAGGCACACTAACAGGCAAAAAGAGCTTTGTCAAAAAAGATCTAGACTCTCCCCTGCACAGCCGGGGCAAAGTTTGCTGCTGAGCATTTGGGATGTTGCCTGAAAAAATTGTCCTTATTACAGAAAAAGCCAAGGTCCAAGCCTCAAACCTGAGTGTACAATTTGTAGCACACTGTGAATCCTTCAGCAGGCTTTACCACTTGTGCCTCGACTGGAATTAACTTCACGTCCTCACTCAGCCATGATGATTGATTTCAAGGTCTGGCTGCAAACCTGTCCGAACTGTAGCTGGCCAAAGAATCTGTCCTCAATAGACATTTCATAATTGCTACTCCCTCACTATGATAGAAAGGATACCATACAGGATATAATTGATTACCTGCTGTGGCCTTGTTACGTCTATATCCTTGCTGTGAAGATGTGAGACTCTGGGCATTCTGGCTACTAGGGATCATGTTTGTGGTTAATCAGAAAACAGGCCATAACCCCTTTGAAGGTTGATCCGAAAATGGAACCCATGGAGGGCAAGAATCAGAGCTGCTTAGTGAAATAATTGTCTCACAGCAGCAGCTTAAACATTAATGTTAAGCTCATCAGCAAACATGCTGATTCTGTGCTTAATATTAACACAGGGCTGACTCTGGGTTTTGCACTGAAGTCTGTCCTTCCAAGAAAACCTAGGGGATCAGTTGTTTCAGAAAATGACTGAAAATGACATACGCTTTCATGGACGTGCCAAAGCCTTTCAGTGACTTCTCCTAGACTAAGGACCAATTGTTACCCTTAGCCCTCATTTTTGAGGTTTAGGTCAAGCAAAGGAGTGTCCTAATTCTCCATTTAGGTTGGGGGGAAGGGCTAAGGGTAAGGAACCTCACTTTAAATTGAGGTGTATGATCTTGATATGATTTTTACAGTGATGACATTCATGTTTTTATCAGATATTCAATCCCTTGCAACTCCACGTAAATATTATCAAATTTGGAATTGTTTGCTTTTTAAAATCGCTTGTTATGATGAGCTAGCTAAGTTAGCTATAGCTAATGATGTGAGACTCAGGTGACAAATTCACGGCAGATGGACTTCCCTACAATGTACTGAATTTTATTAATGATTAAAAGGAATGATCAGACAGCTAAGCTACATTCAGTACATCAGTAACCTCTAACTCTAAAGGCTACATCAGGAGCTTTTACATATGCCCTTGTATGAGTAAAATACCATGTTATGTGTTGTTTTCAACTGCTAATGCTAACAACAGCTAAACGTTACAACAGTAGGCGTTGTTTTCCGACATGTCTACCCGTATTGTCACATCAGCCTACGACACCCCAGCAAACAGCAAGGCAAACAGAATTGAGTGGCGTCTTGTTTCTTAGAGGTGTGTTTTCACTCTGTCGCCTTGGTCCTCAGTTTTAAGGGAAGGGGAAAGAGTGAAAATTGGAATTGGGCCAAAGTCCTGGATGGAGGAGGTGAGGATGAGAAAATGGATCAAAAAAAGTTGGCCTCTGATTTGAGAGGGTGTTGCACCTCTTCTCTTTTTCCCAGTTTGTCAACAGTAGTTTTTATTCTTATTACTATGACAGTAAAAGGGTAGAAGATGTGTATTGAGCCTCACATTTTCATTTTATGGTTTAAAAAAGGTTTTAGTGCAGGCCAGGAAATAATTGCATCATCAACATGACCTCTTGGTGCTGTAGGACCATCTTTGGAGGACATTCTGCTGCTACTGTTTAAAAAACAATTCTGTTACCATTGATTCACTTCAGCTGACATCCTGCCTGGTTATGTCTTCACCAACAGAAAGTGGACTTGAACCCAGCAGGAGGCCCATCTTCTCTCAGTTCCTTGACCCTAAAAGACAAGAGTCATAAATTCAAACACTAAGCTTTAAAAGAGTCGCAGAATTGCCTTGTCCCTACAACTACTCCCTAATCAATACTTCTTTTTACAGCTTTACAATCACCAAGTAATCGAGCCTTGAATTCTAGGCAGGAGATATATAGGTCTCTGTTATCTTTTTGGTCCACTTTAAGACAAGTGTTTCCTTCCTTTCCTTGCAATAAACAAGCATTACTCTTTCCAAATTGCATCATAAACCTTCCATCAAGGGAGTGGAAAATTGTCAACTAAGCATGACGCTATTCCAGCTTGCACAGGCCGTCATGTGCTTATAAAGACTGAAAGACCAAAGGTGGCAGCACAGGGACTTTGGCTTAGGGCAAAGTATGTTCTCTTTCAGATAGGGCATAGGGTTCATTTTTTTTTATTTCTCACTGGATATTCCTTCTGCCATTTGTGCATTTTATATCACCAGAGTTTCCAGCTGATAACATCTAACTATCATATTTAGATGCAATTGCAACACAGTTTGCTTGTTCCTGTTTTTGACAGAGTAACATGCACAAGAAAACATTTTCTCGAGAGCAAAAATTGTCTGCAAAGAAAAAGAGAAGGGGTCTGAGTGAGTGTGTCTGCTCAGTAAATCGACCGTAGATACTTGACCTTGTACGCTGTCTCTTAAACCGCTGGTCACGGACGAGCCATCATTCTGGAAATGGTTTATTGAAGAGACTCTCTTTGGTGTCCCTTTGAACTTTGATGGATGTTGTGGGGGATGGGTTGAGAGTTCAGCCTTGGCCTAAGAGCTAAATAACCTTGTTGTGCTAATACAGCATCTCGATAAGCCTTTAAAAGCTCAAGTCCTAATCTTCATAACTTACAAAGCATTAAAAAACCACAACAAGCGAAAGATTTGTCTGCTGGGCAAGTTGTTGTTGGTTTGGTTTTAATCTGCAAAAGGGTGTGTTTGAGTCTGGAGAATTTAGCACCAATCTGTATTGAAATAATTCTATGGCAAAATGACCGGATGGCGAGAGTGTGTCCTCAGCTGACCTAGTTTACCATGAGCATAATATCCCTCTGCTCCAATAGCTATTGACTCATAGTAGGATGATCATGATGATGATGAAGCCTCTTTTATGAAAGGCAATGAAGAAGCTTAAAATGTGACTGAACACCATAAACTCATCCCCCCCCCCCCCCCCTTTAGGAAAGATCACAAATATGATCCTATAAAAATCAAACATCTGCAAGTTATTGTATGGACTATCTGGATTGGGATTGGTTATCAGCAAGCTCAGCCTGGTATTTCTGATGTCTTTCCAAGCAACTTTTCCATCCCACTCTGGGGATCCCACTATGTTCCCAGGCTAGATTATATATAAAATCCCTCTAGCTTGATCTTGGTTCTCACCGTTGGTTTTCTCCCAGTTGGATTTGCTTAGACAACTTCCAAAGGTAGACAACTGGGAGGGATCCTCGTGGAAAACCAGACACACTTTCTTCATTCCAACATAAGGGACAGCCAATCAACTCCAGCCCCTTTCAGGTGCCCCTCACACTTTCTTTAAACTAATGATGAAGCATCAAAGTGGAAGTTTATGGCAGTATGTCCAATATTTGACATTAGAAGAATCCCCTTAAAACTTACATGTGAAATAATAGTTAAGTAGTTCAAACACTCATCATATTAGTAAAGTAATTAAGATTCAGTCACATGTAGCTTTGTATGTTTGGACCAGATACTGATCTGTCTACTACATGATAAACTATTTTGCTCGGTGATCACCTCAATAGCTAGAGATGAGATCTTCCACTCCCACAGAGTCTGCCCACTCTCACTCTCAGTCTCACTCTCAGCCCACGGTAAATCTCTACTTCATATCCTTGTTGCCTTGAGGGGTTACTGAACCTTGGCACTCCATTCACTCAGCACTCAGAGTTTAGCCACTGGCCCGTATCAGGCCATGACAGGCTTGCCACTCCATGTATCCAGACAGCGATACCACTTTGTAGCAACACGTTAACACATGTGCTGCAGCTAGAAGTGAAGCATGCTGGGCCATGGCACTGAGACAGGTAATGATGTAAGCCTATCTGCAGTTTCTCAGGCCACAGGTCAGTGTTGTGATATCATGTATTCATGTATTCCTGGTGAGTATGTGTAAAGCAATTTTAGCTACGAGACCCAAGGGGTGATTTGAGGAGGATGAGGAAAAACAAAACCTCCTACTTGTCAGGACACCTTTTAGTTTGGATTTAAAAGGAAATATTTGTGTAAGTGACTCTTCATCTACAGTTCACAGGGTTTGTTTTACTTGATTTAAGTGTTGTAGCTCCAATGAAGTGTTTTTATTCCTTGTTATATTGACATAATGCAGGAGAAACCTGTTCAAAAAATTTTGCACTCGACCCTGCTGTTCTGGTAGCATAACAATATGGTTGAATTCAGTGCAGCTGTGCTTGCTAATGCAAGAATGTTACCACGTCTGTTGAATGTAACATCCCTTAAACTCGAACAACAGAGCTAAAAACTGCAGTTAATAATGAATCAAAGCATAAAACCGACTCGTGGTTTTGCTTAACAATTTTCTACATCAACCTGAGCATTTAAATGACAGCTGGAGATGACTGAGTCTTTGGTTTTTGGACTGTTTTGTCCACACTGTTCCAATATCCCAGCTGCTCAGTACCTTTCAGGAGACAGCAGTTCAACTTGGCAGCACCCAGGTGTGAATGCATGCATGGAGCTGTGTGAAAAATAAAGCACAGTGCAGCTGAAAACAGAGCATACATATTTGTGCAGTCGTCTCTGCCTGAATCTATCAAACAGTCTTTTCAGTAGCTCCCCCTGTGCTGTTTGTTTGAGTGGCTGCTGTGTTGACTCAGGGCACTTAGACCTTTTTGTTTACATACTGCTGTTGAAGTAGCATGTACACTAAATGCAAGGCTCCTCCTCAGATAAGAATATGCACAAACATTACCAGGAAGGACATACAGAGGAACAGGAGCTTAGAGTTTGAAACAGGTTTTTAGTTTCCTGGATTGAACCAGCAAAAAAACGCTTTGACATTCAGTGATGTGATTCTCTGTTCCTACAAAACATGAATGTAATTACTCCATATTAAATTGGAAATTTTCCATAATGAAGTACATGGACACTCATTAGTGGGAAACATTTTGTTCTATATGGTTACCTGTTAAAGGGATATTCTGGCGTAAAATTAAATAAGGATCAAACACACCGTAACACTGAGTTAAGACACCCCGTTGAGAGATAAATGTTGCAGACAGCTTGCTTCTCTAGTTATACCAACTTTAGTAATGACTGCGAGTTCATCACTGACTGCAGCGGGGTGACGCAACTTAAGGAAGAACATTTATGATTCATTCATTTCTTTATCATTTCTTTAAAGTAATAATCATCATATTAATAATATTGCACAGTTGTTCTTCTGCCATAGCGTCTCAGTCTGATTGCATTTCCATGAGGAAATGATCATAAATGTTCTTCCTTGAGCTGTGTCACCCCGCTGCAGTCAGTCATGGACTGGCCTGAGGTCTGACTACAAACAAGGGCTGCTGGAAGAGAGTGGGTGAGTTGTGTTTAGTCTCTGTGCTGGAGAAATTAGGCAAAGCTAAAAAGATGTTTAGTGGCTAATGCTGTGGCTGGGACCCTATTTGTACTGTTGATAAAGTTTTGCTGTTCTGAGCATTATTTGTGGCTATAGAGTGGCATTTTGGTTGAGTGTATGGCTCCTCCCACCGCTGTGTATTGCTCTCCTGCGGTCGTTACAAAAGTTGGTATAACTAGAGAAGCAAGCAGTCGGAAACATTCATCTCTCGATGGGGTGTCTAACTTAGCATTACGGTGCGTTTCACCCTAACCTGATTTTAGCTGGAATATCCCTTTAAGTGATCATAACTTTATAGCATAAGCCTTCCACGAAAGCTAAGCAGTTTTATCTTTTTTTTAATAAATGCATTTGAGCCTAACTCTGCTTTCTTTTTGTTTTGTTAAAATATGAATATAGTCTGATTATCCATTAGTGCCCCCAGCTCTGAGTGTGTAGTCACGATGAAATGTGTAGATAGGAATATCAAAATATTTTGAGGATTTTGAATGACATGATTAGACAGACAGGTTTTGGCTGGGATGGTATTTACAACAACCCTCGCTAAAATCCCATGCATAAATCAGCCTGTTGGTGTGTAGTTTGTGTGCGTCTGTTAGTGTGTTTGTGTACGTGTATTGGTTATATGTAGTGTCCTCACAGCTGCATGGCCTCTCTCTCTCTGTCTGTCTGTCTGTCTGTCTCCCTCGCGCTCTCTCTTCAACACACACTCACTCACAAACACACAAACACACACATGGATCAGACCAGCCAAATGCCTCTATCAAACCCCCTGCAGGCCACTATCATCCCATTCCCTGGCATGGCACAGCTTAGCCAACAAGTGCACTTGAGTGTGTTTGTGTTCGTACTTCTCTCATTTGTCACCTCTCTTTCCATTCCGCTACCTTATTCCCCACCTTCCTCTTCCTCCTCCTCCTCCTCTTCTTCTCTAGTGTGTGCATTCTTCAACACCAGGGCACGTGAAGTAGACGATGACCTTGGCAGCAAACTGAAGGCTTGTCAAGCCAAGAGCATGAGCGACGGCGTGATAGCTGGGTTAAATTGATACAATCCCCTTTAGAAAATTGGCTTAATCTTGTAGAAAATAGATTTTGTCCAGCAGGATGCTCTCTCAGATACGTGGACATCGCTAAAAGAGAAAGCGGGGAAAGCGTGAAACGGAAAGGCGTATGTAATTGGATGGTGTTATTTCTGTGATCCAGTGGAGGAAATACATACAGTTTGTCCTGTTGGAACAAAAGATAGATTTGTATATCTCTACAGGGGCATGGTTAAGACTTGGCATGACGTTTTTCACATTTGGAAATAGAATTTGAGTTTCACTTTGACTCTAAAGGAAACAAAGGTCTGTGTTTAGTGTTGGACAAATGATATACTAACCTTCAGGAAGAAACATGGGAACATGTTACAAAGGGAACTTCTCGTCCTACAGAAAACCAGGATTAGCAAATGTGCTGTTGCAACATCAAAAGCATTGTATTCCTATTTATGGGGTCAATATAAAACTATGGAGACATAAAGCTTTAATATAAAAAAAAAATTTGTCACGTTCCAGTCAGACAAAAGCGTGAGTAAAATCATTTACTTGCTTAATTTGCACAAATCTAGATGCATGAATGAATGGTATTTACTTGCTTCGTTCGCGTGTCACCGGTAATTTCAACAGTAATCCCTGCCAATTACACCTGCGGGATCAAGTCATAGACAAAGGCTTTTTCACGAGCTCCTTTTCATTCTTTTATTGAAAGAAAATATATCATATAGTTCAGGGCACCCACACACCGACACGGTCAGTTTGTCCTCCATTTTAGATACCAGTGAACAACCGACCGTTTTCATACGTCACCCAGCAATCTTCATGCTGATTAGTTATCGCGACATGAATATCCGCTCATGTTGACATTTGCAGCTCATGCCCAATTCGCGTCATTCGCACTGCCAGGGTAGTAGGAGCGTCTTATTGCGTCTTTGCATTGACTTAACATGTAATTCAATCGCGCGAATAATTTTACTCACGCTTGGTGTGTGGAGACAGTCAGAGATGATTGGACACTTAAAAAACTGAGATTCAAAAACCTACTTTGAACTTTGACTTTTTCCAAAAATAATGTTTCTGTCATACTTTTTATCATGAGGTGACAATCTGATATGTTGACAACACTCATTTTACAACTGGATTATGGATTATCTATATGTAAAGATTTAATTATCTATGAGGAATGGAAAAAGACAGACATTTGTGCATAATTTTGAGTTTGTTTTGCAGGATCAATCACAAGTATGAGATACTTCAATAGATATCTTACCTGCATGCACTTTTGGATAGTCCTAATACTCATCTTGTCAGTTTTGTCTCCACTTCAGTGAGCCTCTGTCACATCAAGAGGTGAAATAGCATGAGAGCACATCTTTTGCAAACTCAGTATTACAGACACAGTAAATGTTTTTTTTAAATCTGTTGTGTTTTTACTCACCAAAAATGCACTCATATTTGTTTTAAACCCCAGAAGGCAGTCAGCACACCAACGTTAATGTAGTCTATAAAAGCTCTCATCTCACCTGTGTCCATAAAAGTGAACATGTTATACTACGACTAAAATACCTCCAACTGAAAAACACCAAAATAGAGCGTGACTACAGTATGGAGTGGTTTCGAGCTCATACTAAAATAGTTCCAACCCTCCACAGTTCTGCAAAAAACAAGCTGTGGTTTACTGCACACTCACTCACTCACTCACACACACCTTAGACTGAGGCGTAAATTCAACCCTCAATGTTGACGGAAAATAACATGGTTTGTCAGTGTTTTATTTTGGAAAATTCTTCTTGATTGTAAATGTATTGCAGGCAAAAAGTTCCTAAAAGAGGAGAAGCTTTATTTTTACAAGGATACAAAAACCATCTAAGATTTTCATTCCTTCCTTTTTTTCCTAAAACAAAGCAGAGAGCTGGAGTGTATGTATTTTTTCCTCTTCAGGATGTAGTTTTGTACAAATAATGAAGGAAAATGAAAAAGGCTTGACATCTGGCCAGTGGTTTGCCAAGCTTTGACAAACCTTGATGTGAGCTGTATGAGTTTGAGAGGAAGAGACAGAAAGGGAGGCAGTCAGGAGGGGAATATTGCTCACATTCTAACACACACACACACACACACACACACACACACACAAACGCACTCGGAAATCAGATGAAATAAAAAGAGATGAGGGGAGATTGGGTAAATATGCAGAGCCTAACTGACAGGAGAAGGGTAAACAAATTTGTGTGCATGATGGAGAGACTGAGATAGGGAGGCAGATGGAGAGGCAAAGACAGAAACCAATTCAATGACATCACTGCAGTTGGTTTGTGTCAGCATGCATGTGTTGAAAGTAGATGTGAGTGCGTCGGGGAGGGAAGGCTGAGAGTCAGGCGGTGACGTACCATAATCTGGAATACTCAGAAGCCCAGCTGTGCAGAATCTGGGCATAGCCGGGGCTTATGTTACGTCACACCGACTCCCACTCACACACGCATGCACACAAATGCACACATAGTCCTAAAGGGACACAACTGTCACTCGGAAGAAAGGTCAGGGGGGTTAACTCACGTGCGTGCCAGTGTGTTTGCACTTTGTCTGATTGGTGGTTTACTACTACTAAATCTTATTTACAGTGTATTTATACATGATGATTTACCATGTTTTCCCCATTTCTGATACAGTTTTATTACCCTGTTTGAAATGTTGGCCAATACTATGCACCCCTTGGATACCAGTTAGTTTAAAAAGCATTCATGTCGGCATATATCTTGCAAGATTTAGCTAGCATTTCAATCTCTTCTAGATTGTGCAGTTTAAAAATGCCATAAGACATCTATGTTTTTATTTTCAGGTTGTTATGCTGTGTTCGAGTTACCTCGTAAGTCAGAAGTCCAAGCTGAAAATGACGTCACACCCGAGCTACCAGCGTTTCGGTTACCAAATCAGAAAAAAGAAAAATCGGAGGCAGAAACAAGATGGCTACACCTACGAGAATTATTTTAGCACTTGCCTTATATTCGGACAAAGCAAGCACTAAAATAACTTTCGTAGATGTAGCCATCTTTTTTTCCGACAGCTCCAACATCTGACTTTCGAGGTAACTCGAACGCAGCATAAGTACACACATTCTTAGTCAATAGTCCCACCAGCAATTCAACAATGTTGTCCTGAAAAGTTAAGATTTTGTTCACTATAGAAATGTTGGCCACTTAGTTTACTAGCAGTGCTTAACGTCTACAATGATCACCATCTTTCATTTTATCACTTACTTGCACTAAACATGAGTATTTAAGATGTAATTTTACTCTATGATAACCCTAATATCACAAGGTTATAGTTACTAATGTGATGGCATGTGTTGGCAATTCATCTTAGGTTATCAACATGTTGAAAAAAAATAAAAATAAAACCAGAACTTTTATTCGTTTTGTCATCTCAGGACCCTGAATATGTATTCATAATATTATGGTTACCTGTTGAGTAATTGTTAAGTGGTCTGACCTGTCCTAAAGCCATAACAACACACTGACCATACTAAAGTTTAACTCTGTTGGTTAATGTCTGGTTCTCCACTCTGAAGTAATCTGCTCAAGTCTTTGGCGATTTCTTTTTTATCTCATGGCTGAATGCAAAGCCACAACCTGCCCCAGAAACCATTGAACAACTCTGTACTCTGTGTTCCCAGGCCACTTTTAAAAAGTCAAGAGATTCTGCCTTGAGATTCCTAAATTGTCCCTTTTTCAAAACTTTGTGCTTTTTGTCTGTGAACAAGAAGAGCAAGGGATGGAAAGTGGAGAGTAGGCGGGCTGATTCTGTGGTAAAGGGCTGCATTAGTGGTAGCAGATTATAATGGAGAGTCCTCAAACACTCAATTTCTCTTAAGAGGACCACTTTGCCCCTGGGTACTAACTGTTCCAGCAGGTTGTGCGAGTTCAGTGTGTGTGCTGCCTTTGATTCAGATGCATCTCTAACTATACGTCAAACATGCTTTATTGACGTCAGCGTGTGTTTTGTGCTGAGATTGCGTCTTCTGCAGGCATGAAACATGTGATGTTTCCAAAATGACGCTGTCCCAGATAGGTACGTGACTCTTTCCTGTGCATTATCAGCACTTCCTGTCATTAGCAGGAAGTCTGGATGTGATTGAAACAGATGGACACATAGCTGGAGTGCTATTGACATAGACAGAGACAGTAAGGTTATTACTGCTTCACCCAGAGGAAAGAGACCTCTCTCAGGTCTCTTAAGTGCTTCCCCTCCTGCTCTTCCTGCATCTGAGTCCTCTTGTCACCGCGGGCTGCCTTAAAGACCAGCTCCATCAAAATAAGAGTGTTATTGAGATGTGTCAAAGTCACAGCAGGAGATGCCTGTCATGTTTAGAGATTTCTGATTGGCTGGTGTCTTAGATAATCATATTCACTGTCCTTGTCGAGGATCATTTACTACATTCACTTTGCAGCTACCTTCCCTTTGACTTCTTGCTCAAGATTGGAAGCTGAAATATGTTAATGTTTCAGGTTTTAAGTCTTAGAAATGAAGATTATCTGATAAATCATCGTCAAATCACCATGTCCTGATTGATGAGAAACTGAAAAAAGTAAATAGTCAGCATTTTCCAGGATTTCTAGTCATGCTAATCTCCAGTTTTAAGAAATGAAGCCAATACAAAAATGCCTAAAACTGCAGTTCCCGGACTGTCCACTTGAGGCTGGCTTTAGAGGCCCTGAAGGCCACATACACACCCTGCCTTTACTAAATAAACACGTTCACATCCTGGTGTAAAAGGAATCCCAGCCTGATTAATTTCTTTATTGCCACTGAGGGTTAGGGCCATGTTTAGGAAGAAAAAAAAAAGATGTATGATGTATATGGTTTATGGAAACAGGCATATAGACTTGGCTTACTGCATTATTAGCAATGATTGGTTTGATGCCAAAATAAGCAGTTGTCTAGTAGTGGCTAATGAGTTGTTAAATCAAGTTTTATTTTAAAATTTGATTTGATTTAATTTGATTTTTAACTTGGCAAGATGGCGCACGCTCTGCTGTGACAGCACTGACAGTTCTCTGTGTTCTCTGTGTTTTACAATTCGGCACAGTGTCCCATCAGATTGTCCTTATTTATTTGACTTTCTACAATTGTATTATCTCTATTACATTCAAACAGTTTTTCAACCTCTTGTGAAGAACTTTCAGTTTGTGTAAATTTCGGTGCTCCTTGTGGACAAAGCATTGTTTGCTTATCTTGATATCTATATGCTTGAGTAAGGACTTGTGACAAAGGGTCTCTTTCTTTTCTCTTCGTCTTTTGACAGCCAAATTGATCCTTTATTTTGATTTTTTAATTAAAATGACCATTTCTTCAGCTGCTTGGCTAATGCCTACCCCTGGTACCAGTTTCATGCGTTAAAAAATGGGTTATAAGAACTATCAGTCCTGTCGCCAATGGTCTTGTTTGCTCTCGGATATCATGAAAGGGCATCAATATGAGTTTCAGCTCATTTCAAAGACATCAATAACTCCTCATAAGAGCTTTAAGCCTCCCGCTCACAGCTAGACTCTGATGAAAAATGCTCACTGTGTGGATATGGTGCAGAGATCTGGGTAGATTTGCTTTAATAAGTAAAATATGTCAGAGTTACACAGTCAAAGGCACAAGAGGGCCCAACTTGTGATTCCAAAAAGTTTTCATGTACAAGTGAAAGCAGCTCTTGTCAACATTTAATATTTGCAGAGGAAGACATGCCCCCTGCTGCTGCTGCTGCTGCTGCTGGTAAAGTTCTGTAACTTGGACATACGGACACCGTGTTTGAACCCACAGTAGTCATGCTTGACTGTGTTTGCGCTCGCAGGCTCGCTGTGTGCTCACATACCATAATTAGCGTAATGAGTTATTTATAGCCAGCTGTGGAATTAGCTGTGGAATTGCCAGGCAGCCTCGGGGCTGATTAAGCCACTTGCCAATCAATTATTTATGGCTTCCTGGAGAAGAGTAGCTTGTCCTCTTTTGTGAGCAGCACCATGGCAACACAACAGGAAGCAGAAGAGCCTGTGGAGAGGAAGTAGCCCCCATGATAGAATCAGCTGTGCCATCCCTGTCTGCTGCAGCGTCTCCTACCCTCGCTCGCTTACACTCTCACACAGCGCTCTAATCTAAACCATACTTTTACTGGGAGTCCTCTATGAACTCCCTAGGCCCAATGAAAGGTGTTTATGTTCTGTATTTGAGAGAAAATAAATAACATGGTAGGATGAAATTAGATTATTCCCAGTTGGCGAGATGGAGACTGAGGAAATGTGATTTTTATCCACTCGCTTTGAGATCAGGTAAACCACCTCTGGACAATAATAAACACACTTAATGAGGTTGTCCGGGTCACAGGAACATCTATTTCACACTTTGTAATTGTTGCAGGAGTAAAAAGTCCCAAGACGTAGTAGTGGTAATCCAAGCACATGTGGCTGTGGAAGTCAAGTTTTATGTCTTTTTTTGGAAGAAATGTGTTGCTCCAATTGCTGAACATCCCCCATTGCAAAATTGTAAATCAGTATGAAACTATTTCCTGCCATATTACGGTTGCCACATCCTTCCTGTGAGTAACAGTGAATCACTTGTTTGTCAGTCCAACAGCAAAATGATGGTGATTTTTTTATTCTTTAGGTTGGCGCTCACGAGCTGTAGCTGAGAAATTCTGTCTAAAATGACAAAGGACTTTGCAACAGTCTTTTTCAACACTTTCTTTCCATTAGCACTTATTTCTATTTCTGTAGCTTCCTCTGCATTGCCTCTTTCTTTCGCTTTTTTGTACCTAATAAACATAAACAAAGTCCCAGTCAGGAATATAACTGTAAATAATAAGTAAAAGTGAATGCACCCTGCTCACATGACCTCATAAAGTTTTCGTACAAGGTCTTCCCTTTTAATGTCAGCAAGGGCAGAGTGACGCTTTGAGGCGAATTTCAATCAGTCTGTGTCACTCCCACACAGCTCGTCGGCTTCTTGGCTGTGTGGGAGGCCCACAGGACATTGCCACGGGCTGTACTGTATCTTCACAGATCTGCCATCTAAATTGAATCTCAAATCTTCCTCATCCACTTTTCTCCACTTAAATAGACCTCATGCCTGGAGAAAATGCTGAGCTTAAGTTTTAAAACTAAATTTGCAAAGTTTCACACACAGCCAACAGCCAAGACTACATGCTTGAATAAAATACAGTGAACTTCATAACGCAAAAGAGTATTTCCTTTCTCAGTGCACCAAATGGGATTTTGCAGATACAGTATTAGTGTAGACAAAAATGATGACTACCAAATTTGTTTAAATAGTGATATTTTTATTTGAAAGTACATTTGCAGATACTTCATTTGAATATTTAAAAAAAAAACAGCATTTCTTGAGATTTTAAACTTTTATTGACCAATTCATTCATCGCATCACTTTTAAGTTCATTTACTTAAAGCTACTATGAGTTCTCTTGTGTTTGTGAAGTAGACCGAACTTTATACTGATGTTTTATCAAGATATGAAAAAAGCAAACAAGACCATCATCAACAAGACAGACAATTTTTTTTTCTTCTAATTTTTAATACAGTTGAATGTCAAAGGTCACAGCTTAAAGGGATATTCCGGCGTAAAATTAAGTTAGGTTCAAACACACCAAAACACCGAGTTAGACACCTTGTCAAGAGATAAATGTTGCCAACCACTTGCTTCTCTAGTTATACCAATTTTTGTAACGATCACACGATAGCAATACACAGTGGTCCCAGTAGCCACGCGCTCGACCAAAATGCCGCTCTATAGCCACAAATAACGCTCAGAACAGCACCTAACTTCATCAACAGTACATATAGGGTCCCAGCCACAGCACTAGCCACCAAACATCTTTTTAACTTTGCCTGATTTCTTTAGCAAAGAGACTAAACACAACTCACCCACTCTCTTCCAGCAGCCGCTTGTTTGCGGTCATTACTCAAGTTCCTTGTTTTGTTAATCAGTTAACCAATAATTGAAACTCCTGTGGGGACATTTCAGTTTTTGTCTATACTTGAGTATTTTTCCCTGACACAAAGATGTCATTCTTTTGTTTCTTGTTATTATTTAAGCTTAAAAAGATTAAAAAGGGCTGTTTTGCTGATACATACCTCCTTACACCAGTTTCAGACATTAAAGTATGGTCGGTTGTGTTGCTGATGATAGTTCTTGCTTTTGTGTATTATTAGGAGACATCGCAATAAATTTCAGTCTGCCTTATAACCATCAAAAAGCTTCCCACGGGAGCTTTAAGATCTTGAAAATAATTATCAATATCAGCCCAGATGTGAAGCCTTTGGAAATCCAATTATCGCTGTTTTTTTATCAAGTATAGGGGAAAGTACAGTTTAGTATAGTTCATCTGCTGGTTAGCCTAGCCAAACAAAGCATCAGGCTAGGAACAGGGAGAAAAGGCTAGCTGGGAGGTGGAAAGATAAACAAATCATGCTACCACCATCTCTCAAACTCACAAGGTATCACAATTTACTTTGTGTTTCCAATCAAATATTAGACCAAAAAAAATTGAAATTACAAATGCAAGCTGATAAACGAGTAAGCTAATATTAGAGCAAATAATCAAATATTTGTGCAATTATTTGACTACCCCTCTAAGTATAAAACATGGAATTTAAAAATCAAAATGAACAAATACCGGCCATATCCCTGCTGGGATCCAGCAGAAGTAAACTTATACTTTCAATGTGAAACACATTGTCAACGCAAACTCCCATGTGTATTTTTTATCACTTCCTCCCTCCTCTTCTCACTCTCTTTCACACGTTTTTCCTCACTAAGCAGTATATTCTCTGCCACACTTGCTCCTGAAGGACATTTGTTTGCCCAGAGAGTCATCAATCGCAGCATGCCTGGCGGTTGCCAACTCTGGCTATGTGTCTTTTTCCTACCCGATGTCACACTTGTTTGCACACCAATCGTCACTTTCTCATTTACAAGGCAGAGGACGTACACACAGATAGAGCTAGTGCAGGGATGAATGTATACTCCTCATGCAATGACACAAACCCATTTAAATATGAGTGGTTGCCACTTTAAATACTTATAGAAACAGCTTAAAGAGCTTGAGCTTATTCAAATTCAAGGCCATGATTGCAAAATAACTCTCAACGTGAACAGTTTATTGTGAGTTCTTTAGAGGACCACCATGTCTATATACACCAGGTAAACAAAGGAGGAGAGCTCTGTCTCCAAGGACAAACAAATGAATAATGTTTACCCTTGTGGGAAGCTGAAGTAGATGCAGTTATTTGCATAGAAAGGTTTGAAGCTACAAATAGGATATTTTTACAACTTATAGAGACATCAAACTGCTCTATACGAAAAAAATACCCTGTCCAATCTTTGTAATTACTCCCAATATTAAAGGTGGTGACTGAAGGTCTTTGGATTGGTGGGTTTGTTTGGTGAAATAAAATTCACTTACATTTTGTACACAGTGAAACCAATATGAAGAAAAACATCAAGCTCATTCATTAAGATGTGATAGACAGCTGTACTTTCTCTACTGAAAAACAAAGGGTGCTTATAAATAGAGGTGCCGTTATTTACAGATGGCTGATTCTAGCAATGACAATGCCAACATGGTGTGATTAACAAAACTACACTTGTTATGAAAGGTGGTGATGAGGGCGGTGGTAAGATTCATGAATTGCTGATTCTAGCCACAAAATTGCTAATGCAGTGTAAAAAACATGGAAGATAGGAAGGATAAAGAGGGTAAGGTCCAAATTTGGAGCCCATGATAAGTGCCATAGCTCTGCCTGATGTTAGCTACAGCTAGTAGGCAGCTGTTAGCTAGCAGCAGTAGAGTGTTACTTTTTGTCACATTGAGGAAGAATGAAGTCTTCTTTTAACTTCATATAAATCAAGTTTGTGCCATGATGCTTTACTGCGAACAACTTAAAGTTACAGTGAGTACAAATAGGAATAATTAGTGATATCATGAGGTCAGCTTTCAGATTGAAATGCTCTCTTGTTTAACCCTCCTGTCTGTGAAGTGAAGGTGGCCTTTGAGGACAAAAAAACTCCTGTAATTCATGGTAACTACAATACTCCATTTGTCAAGTTTTTACCCACTGAAAGGCCTGTCATTGCAATTTCTTATAGACATTTGATGCAATACTAACAATGATTCAGTGTTGATAACTATTTTAATACCTTTGCAACAAAAGTTAAATCACTGGGGAAACACTAAAAAGGATAACTTTGTTTTTACCACATTACAGAGAGGGTTGGTTCAGAAAAAGTCACTGAACGGAGACCAGCATTTGTCACACTGATGAATAATGTCTTAATATTCTCTTTTGCTGGGCTGAAAATATAACTGTAGATCCATCTTCTTTAAGGATTTAATACTTTTCAATATGATTTAAAGCTCCTGTGAGAAACTTTTAGCTTGTGTCAATTTTGGCGCCCCCTGTGGACAAAGCAGTTTCTGCTTAAATAGTCCTCTGCATGTCTTCTGATGAAAAATCTCATCCTGCTGACTTCTGAGTGTCAAATATCTCATTTCTTTTGAAAATGCAATAAAGGATGCCATTTTTTTCATTTGCTCCACTCACCTACCCTCTTGCAGTAATTTCAGGCATTTAAGACAACAGAAAAAAAATTGTTTCTGATGGTCTTGTTTGCTTTTGTATACCCTAAAAAGGCATTAGTATGAATTTTATCATATCTCCTAAATGTTACAAAAACCCTCACAGGAGCTTAAATGTAAAAGTGATGCTGAGTGAATCATTAAGAGGCATGTGGCCTTAAGAAGTATTTAAGTATCAGATACTTTGACAACCTAAATGGCATTAATTGTGTTTCTATGTAAATTAAACATTAAGTTTAGTACAATCACTCAGCGTTTTAACCGAGACAATTGAATATTATTTTTTTGTTGTGTTTTTATTTCTTTAATTTTTGTGACATGGAATCTAAGTGGCATGTGTTACCAACAAACCAGTCCCCATGAAAGCTTGCTTGAATAAAATCCTGTCACAGCTGCTGCCTGCAGACTACTTAACATGTTGTTAGCCTGGAGTCATTTTTTTAAAGGCATGGCTGAGAACGGTCTTGTTTGACTTGTACTGAAGTGAACTATGATTTAGTATGTAGCGTTTTATTCCAAAGTTTGACATTTATTAATGTAGTCCTGGACTGTGCACTTCTGGGAGGCAACTGTTGCTCAAACACCTGTCCCGCTGCTCCCCTTGAGCCTACATAGCCAACAAACAGGAGGCCTGCACCTGTTAAGCTTGTCTTTGTGTCATGTTGCTCTGCTGCAGCCACATAACCTTTAATTCATCTTGAACACTGTCAGAGTCGCGTTTACTTTTTGCTTTGAGGGCCATGAAAGTTTTGCAGGCTACCTCTGTGACTCTGCTCCTTCATGTGGGGGGAATATTATCAAACAGACGTGGAGGAGCACTGTTTTGGGGGTTTGACTAACACTAAAACAGGGCAAAATCAGATTACTCTGACATTAGCTCCAGGTCACTTTCACTCTTTTTCCTGTTTAAGATCTTGTGTTTACTTTTTCCTGTTACACTCAGACTCTTATACACTTGTATGTCTTTGTGTGCCATGTTGCCCGTCCACATTTCCCTCTACACACACAAACACTCCTACACACACACACACTCCACTTGGCCTTCGCCCCTTACATCATGTTTCCATTGCTCAATGAAAGCCGACCTGTATCATGTGCCGCCGTTATTGCCGCTGAGAGACAGACGAACAAACACCCTGTCTCGTCTTTTCCACCTCTTCGCCGCTTCTCCACAGTCTCTTCATTGTGTGGAGGCGTGTTTGACAGCGAGTTTATGAGATAGCGTTTTTCCTTAAAGAAAAGCTGGAAAGTGGTTCAGTGCAGCAGCTCCACATGACTGTGTTCACAATCCTGCAGATTAATTCCTCGATAATTACATTAAAACGATTGGACTGTATAATGTAAAATCCTCATTAAAGAGGTAAAGAAACCAGCGAGTATTTGATATGCTTTGCTTTGAAATGACTTGGACTAATATTTGATTACCAAATTAGTTATCAGATAATTTCCTGTTGACTAATCCCTGAAGCTCTAACACACATGAACACACACGCTGCATGTGCAAAGAAGTTCTCCTGATGATTCCTCCTCCCACAGCCATGTGACAGCTATGTTAATGAAGATATTAAACACCATCTCTCCCCCCTCTTACACCCTCCTTTCTTTTCCAAAGTCATTTTCATCTTTGCATAATCTCATTGCGGTGATTCAGCAATCACAAAGCTGTATTAACTTCCATTTAACTCTATTAACTCACTTGTTTATTAGATGTTTAATGCATTTGCAAGCACTTCATTTAGTGCACGCTTGTGTTTTTCCTAACTGCACATAAGCACAGGTAATTTTTTAATATTGCCTCTGTTTATTACTGATCAATGACCATCCCCATAAACACATTTCTGGTGCAGGTTTTTAAATGAGTTAAATACATCAGGAAGATTCTGAGGCAAGTGTTTAATAGGAACACAATATCTCGCTGAATTCTCGCTGAGCTGGCCTGCTTCTCATTACCTGCAAACATGCACACACTGAAATGTACTTAAAGCTGGGTTTTCACTAATTTGGGACCTGGTTAAAAAATGTGGAAAACACCATGTGTCAGCAAAGCAGCTTGTAAAATGTCCCCTGCATTCCTGTATCAGCAGCTGCAGGCGTGCGCACAGATGCAGACATGTATTTCGTATTTTCTGTTCAGTATATTTCTGCAGCCACTACTTGATTGCATTTGTGATTGCATAGTGTGCATGTGTGCTTGTGTGTGTGCTTCCCCTCTGCCCTCCGGGTATCTAATCTATTGGCTTCTTTTGATAGAGATTTCTTTTCATCCACTTACTCAGATGCACACGCACAAATATGTATTTACCTCTGGCTACATGGCAGAGGATGAAAGCAAAGGTTAAACAAAATGTTGACTTATTGACCATCATGCTTTGTTAAGCAGGAACAGCTCACTCCCCCCCGCAGTCATGTGCTCATGCTGACAAAATGCAGCCACTGCTCACAGTCACTACCACAGGCGTGGACTTTATGGAAATGCTTAATGGTTGAGACAGAATGCAATACACACAAGCACATCTTGTTGTATATTTGAGGTGGAAAGTGAGCAGCCCTGTCCATTGCCTTGGAAACGGCAGCAGCACTGCAAAGTAATGATGTTATCACTGAACCAGGGTCAGTCCAGGACAGACCACTACACACCTACTGTACTCTCACTCAAACAGGAACAGACGTAAAAAGGTTGAAGTCAGGAAATCTGAATTTTCCCCCTAAAGGAATGTGTGGTGGAGGAATGCAGCCTGAATTCTTCCAGCGTAGTGCAGCAACTGGAAACTGTAGAAGAAGCAGGGGAGTCTTAGTAATCTAATGGCATTTTACAAAGCCATATTTTAGGAGCCATCTGCTCTGAGCCCCTTTCAACACAGATATGTCCTCAAGCACTCAAACAATTGATTAAGGTTCATAAAGCTGCCTGCCAAAATTGGAAAGTATTCCGCAGCTGAGGTCTGTGTGTATAGACATCATTCAGAGACATAAGTTCACAAAAAGGACCTTTAAAAAAACGGAATTTATATTTATACCCGTGGATTCATAAACCAAATGAGATGGCTAATATTTTTATATTAAAAAAAACCTGAAGAGATGACATTTAAATCACAGCTTTCATTTTCAAGAAGTTAGTCAGTGTGTATTATATGATTTGTAATAGTGATGGGCACTGCAGTTCCTTTAGATGTACTGAATCACTAGAATCAGTTTACTAAAAAGATTTGTTCAAAAGATTTGTTCACCAAATCACAGAATCATGTAGCGCTTGGCAGGACAAGTCTGCGACTACGACCTCCTGAACTGATACCTAGCTGAACGGTTTAGGATTCAGTTCAATTCAAAGCTACTGAGACTGGGAGACGAGAGTGTTTGGTTGTGTTGCTTTGGCAAACTGGTTTGTAAAAATGAACTTGTTTATAAGTCATGATGTTGTCATGGTTATAAGTGAACTGTCCTATGGTATGCTATTTACCAGGTCTGCTCGGTAAATTGGGGTTAGTGAGTGATTAGAAGAATTCACACTGAACATGCACCATTCCCTCGCAAACTGCTGCAATGATAGGATGCTGCGGGTTTAACGCACTACTTGTTACATGCTGTGTCCTATTGTATGCAAGTTGTTGTGGTGGCAATTTAGCAGTGAAAAAAAAGGGGTAGTTTTGTCCAACAAAAATGATTCCAGAGAGTGTAGTTCAATGCGTGATTCGTTCACCAAGCAATTCAGGCATCGGTGAATGTGGTCCCTCATTCGCCTGGCAATGGCAATGCTGGCCTGGCAATGCTGCAAAACTTCAGTTGAGCTGAAGTGAGAAATAAACGAATCACTCGAGGAAGTGATTCGGTTCAGTATATTCACTTAAAAGATTCGGTTCTTTTGAACGAATCGTTCGCGAACGACACAACACTAATTTGTAATGTAGTGACCACTCATATAAATCTAGGCCTTGTGTGCTGGTTGTATGTCAGGTCATGATTCAATTTTTTTTGTCTTAATACCAGATGCTTAAAAGTACCAGCTTGTTACAAATCCAATCAAAATCCTCTAAATCTTCAAATGTCAAGTATAACTGATCCATCTGGGATTGTTGGGTGTAACTTGTTGTCACATAAAGTGCAGAAATCTAACTTACTTAGCTGCTCCTGCTTGCTGCATGTTGACTGTTATTGATATCCTGAATGTCCTCAGTGTGTGTGTGTGTGTGTGTGTGTGTGTGTTATAGCTTGTGTACATACTTGTGTGTGATGGAATGATAATGTTAATGAGACGCAGGCATGTGTCTCTTAGTTATTTATAAAGTGTTTTGTGCTCAAGGGTACACACAGCTCCCCCTGTATCCCGTTACAATCGTGTCCCAGTGAGGACATAACGCACTCACACACACAGACACACACACACACACACACACACACTTCTTACTTTCCAGGGTTGTTATGTCTTGATCAAAACTTCATTGCATTCAGACTCTGGTATATAACTCTATGCAAATTCATCAACATCTATCTGTGTGTGTGTCCTTGACTGTGAAAGCTTTTCATGTGTGATTCTACTTTTGATTCATTGACACGGGTCACATCACCGCTACAGGCTCTCCTCTTCCTGTTGTGTCTCCATGGCGATGGTACATACAATAAAACGCACAGGCTGCTCTCCTCCTAGGTGCCATAAGCTGTGTTTGTCTTACACGTCAACACATGGAAAACAAACACACCGAGACAAGTGCACACACTCACACACTCTCTCTCAAGAGGGGTAGAGACCACACACATAATTGCTTAGCTCCTGTTCGGTTATAAATACTCAAAACAGCAACATAAATTACATTATTGCGACACAAGAGAGCAGCTAGTTTTGGTTTTATATGATCAGTTAAGCCATGCTGGGTGGGTCAGCTGGCTAGAAAATAGGTCACTTTATTGAGATATTCACCACTCACATCATTGTGGATTACCAGATGCAACCACAGCCCATCAGGACATTAAATATTGAAAGTGAACTGGAGGATTTTCTTACAATAAGAACGTTTCTAATGATCAGAAAATGTCTCACATGTGGGTACTTAACTTGTGCCTGACTCTAAAATCTGATAACTCGTGACTTCTCTGAGCTAGGATTCACAGGCAGTCTGTTTCGCTCGTTCCCCCAAAACTTTCACTAGTTGTGGTGAATGTGAAAGATTGCACAAAAACAGATCCAGTATCTCACACAGAATAATGAATTATTGTAGAGATAGACCGGGAAACACAGGCATTCACTTTCCGATATATTCTTCAATATAACAGCTTTCTTATGCAGTCACAGGTTTTCTCAAACAGGGGCTTATCAGCAGCATGCAGTGTGAGATTGTGGTTGCATAAAATAATTCATGCTGCGTCATTTTGCAAACATGAGCCATCTTCAATGATCCGTTTCTGATTTAAAGTATAATAATATTGTACTATGCTGAGGTTTCCGAGGGCTGCTTTAATGCGGTTGCCGTGCAGGAGGCATATTAAGCTCAGAGATGTTACTACTGAGATGAAATGCCCTGTGGGGGTAAGCAGCAGTGTGTCTGTCTGTGAATCTGAGCGCACATGTGTTCAACTGAGAGAATATCTGCAGGGGATGCGTAAGTATGCTCATTTCCAACATGTGAGCCTGCGTCATTCCCCATGAATACATTTAAATAAAGATTAAAATCCAGAATAATGGCCCTGTTACCATCTATTCCCATCCCATACATTTCACAATTTAGCTGGTGCTATCTGGGCTGAGGAGGAGTTGACCCCAAGGGTGCCTCCTCCGCCGCCGTCAGGTGACTCTTCATATGATGGCTCATCAATCACTGTCAGTAGTTAAGCATCCAATCAGAGAGACCTTGGCAGTGTCATGTCCAATCCGATTGATGGGGGGATTTTTCATCTTTCTGTTTAATCAGAGAGAAGATGTCAAATATCTGCTGAGACATTTCACCTGCTCAGGAACAAACGTTTTCTACCTCTGGAAAAGTTTTTCTGAATACATTCAATTAGAAGATCTAACGGATATTACAAACCAGTTTTACGAAAACCCTACTTTTGTTTTCCTTGGTATAGGGCTAATCTTGATCATCCATGTAAGTGATTCTTAAATTAATCCATTTAACAGGCTGACATCAAGCTAATTATATTTAATAATCTGATGATAAAATGGCTGTTTCAGTTTTCTGGTTTAAGCTGCTGTTTAGGTTGTATTTGACAGTGAACAGTTGTTTTTTGTTTTTGCTTTTTTAAGGTGTTGGATTGTTGGCCAGGCAAACCAGAAAAAAGAAATGCATTGTCTGTAAATTTTTACTTTTATAAAATGATGTAGACAGAACAGCTACCTCAAAACTTGGTGAATAAAACACTTCTTTCCATCTGTCTGTTGACATATTATTCAAAAAGTCAATTTAAGTCCAACTGAAATTGTCCATACAAACACATAGGTCATACTGAAACTGCACTAAAACTTTTCCTAGTCTGACTAGCATACCTAGATAATGCAGTCTAGGATCAGTTTTCTCTTCCATATATACAGCTTAACTCCACTGAAACTGGCCAAAACATTATGTACACCCCCCCCCCCCCCCAAAGTTTGCACACTGGGCTTTAATTCTGAAGTTGGATCGCTTAAGTGCTTTGCTAGGAGGTTGATTGGTAAACAAAACCTCAACAGAGTCGTAAAACTAGATAAAGCTGACGTGTCATGTGTGCAAAGGGTTCAGAGCTGTATTGTCTGATGTACTATATCCTGTTAGCCACTTGCTAAAGTGTTTGTTTTGGTACCTAACATGTCAGGTGGAAGACGACCCAGTAGTAATGAGCAGAAAGGGAGCATGTCGCCACCTACTGCAGCGGAGGCCAACACACTTCTGAAATAATCCGATTCTTAGTGCGAGGCTAAACTTAGACAAAGACAGTAGACTATTTAAATTACCTAATCAAGCTATATGAACATAGCCCAGCTTAAATGTACATGTAAAAGTTATACCAGTGCAACCAGTATACCAAGTATACCATGCAGAGGTGCTTTAATGAAGTTTCATCATGGAGCAGCTGGCATGTGGTCCATAACTCACAACTATCTGCATTATCATAGGCTGAGCTCAACTATCAATCTGGCATTAAATTCTACATTCTACAAAAATAAACACCCCAGAAATAGCTACACAGCTGCACAAAAACTGCAAGTTGAGGACCTTATTTTGAGGACCTGTATTTATTGTACTTGGCAACTTATGTTTGTTCTTGGCAGTAATGGAAAAAAGGTTTGGGCTCTACATAGGGGAAGATAAGATCATTAAATCTCACTGCATGATGACTTCCTGATTCATGATGTAAGAGGTAGATATGCACAGTGCATGCTCTGCTTACTACTTCCACTGCGGTGTACTTGTGTAACTTCTTTGTCTCAGTTTGAAATCATGTCACGTAACAAGATTTTGAATAGTTCTTAGAGTGACTTTAAAAACACTTCAAGTACTGCTTGGAGTAAATGGTAATTGAAATATAATGAGTGTTCAAAAGCTGAAGATTTGTTAGTCATGTGAAAATGCAATGCAAATATGAATTGGGGAAGTAGTGCATGCTCTACAAAATGACCTCTGATCATCTTTAAATGTTTTTGTCAAGCTATGGCGCAGAAAAGAAACACAACTGCATCGACAGCAGAAATTTAAATGAGCTTTCAATATGACACATCACCTCAACAGATGTTTCATACATACAGACATCAGCATTTCTGTTACATGTATCACCGGTACAATGTTGTGGTTGTGTGTTGTATTTGATAAAAAAAAAAACTAATAAAGGACTTCATAAGATTTGTTCGTTGCAGTACAGCCACCACACAATGTCATCCCAGACTTGGGAAATGGATTTGCAAAAACCATTTCTCTGACACGACACTGAATGTGCAATCTCTGAGCGTCAAATGGAAGTGAGATTTCGTGGCCTTGCACTATCGGTGCTGCATGAGAGATTGAATAAGACTTTTTTTATGGCAGGGCAGATGACATTGCTGATATGTGGTGCAAACAAACACGCAGAAGACTTCACACTCTTGTATGTACAGTATATTGACACTGAATATACTGTATTTGTATGTTGATCTTTGATTGTACAATGTGTGAGGGCATATGGCCTCTGAGCACTCGTGTGTGTTCTCAGAGTGTAAACCAACAACACTTTTAATGAACTACAATCTCAGAGTGATATTTGTTACGTGAGAAGATATCTGGTTGGAGTGTGATGAACTTGTAGTACTTACTGGCTTACAACTTTACCACCACTCTGCATTTTTTTGCCAGGTTTCAACCCACAAATTAGAATAAAAGTTTGTTCAATTCAAGCGCCTGTTTGGTTCAAAATTTTGAATATGTACAGATGAAGGAATAAGCGGTTATTGTAGGGTTTGGGAAAATGTCCACAACTTGAACTTGCTGATGAATCTTATGACAGTGTACCTCAGCTGGCAGGGTGCCGGAGGGCTTCACATTGCAGAACAACAGCACATGTGAGAAAAAAACCAGTGTTTGATGCTCTCATGTTTTCAAAATTAGCATGAACATTACCAAACACAAGAAATAAAATACATTTGCTTACTGTGTTGGCAAACTTAGCATCAAATCTGGGTGGCATATCTCAGCTCCTTGCCCAAGATGTCACCATCCTCCACAACCCTCTCTGCTGAACATCACAGGGTTTTTGTGAATGACTGTGCCATTGTTACAGCTTTCTTTTTTATCTACCAAGCAGTGAATGTGTCTGCTTGTTCTCCCCATCTCTCTCTCATTATCTGTGATAGTTGCACACTCTCTGTACAAACACCTATTTCTCTCTCTCCGACTGACTCATGATTCACGCGCTCACATGGTTTTATCCTGCCAGTGCATGATCGATTTTCTCTGGCAGATTTGTGCCTACACGCTCACAGCCAAAAGCTTTGCTATGTAATCACACAAAGTATGTGGGAAATCCTTTTTACTTTCGCACCTAAAGGTTTGTCGGCTCTTGGCCTGCTCCCCAAATGACATTGCCTCTGCGTTTTATGTAGCAGTAGAAATCAATCGACAGCCACTTAGAAGCGAGGGGGATCTAATTAAATAAATGAAGCACATCATCGGGTACCCGTGAAAAAGGAAGAGTGCGGAGGGCAGTACAATCCGTCTCTTTGGGATCCCACCCTCGCTGCAGGAATGAGTCAGTCACCCTCTGCAACACCACGGCTCTTGCCTTCATGCGGATATGCACACAGAGAGACATGCACACTCTCTCTCACAGTCCATCAGGTGTGTGACTAAGCATGCCATTGTCAGTGTAGCTCTCTAGTCCCCCCATCACCATCCCTCCCACACAAAAACAGCCTCAGTGTTTCCCATCTGTCACCCTCTACTCAGCAGACAGCAGTGTCGCCTGTCAAAAGTGCTGGTCATTGATTGCTACTGTAAGGTGGGGCGGGCCCCAGGGTATTGAATTTCAAATGACTGCATTAAACTGCGGGGCTGTTGTGGGCAGTGGCAGCTGTTTGGGTACAGTGCTGTCTTTGTGGGGGCCAGCTGACTCAAAAGATCTCATCATGGACAGTTAATACTTAGCTGTGGGATCAGTGGCTGAATCATTCCACCCAGTTCAAGCTATGAGCAGTGAATTGGCTAAATTAAAGCCTGCCTTCAAATGGCTACTCCTGAAAATTAGCTTTGTACTTCCAAGAACTGAGAATCATATGAGAGGGAATGAAAAATGACCTATTAAAAAGAAGAAGCAACAGTGTCTGACTCTTTATGGCTAGTGGGGGTGAAACTCTCAAAATAGCGGCTTCCATGACTCTGCAAATGGCCCCCAGTGCGGGCCACCTGGAGGCAGCATAATTAGGTTTTGATCAAATTGATATATCACCTTTTTAGTTGATGTCATAAGCTTGTTAGCATACAAGTACTTGTGCAAATAGTCAGCAGTGACAGAAAAATGTTAAGCTTTTATTTGAAAACTTGTCTAGAAACTCTCTCGCTCTTTTCGCTCTGCTTTTGCGGTCTACCAGACATTCTGGGAAAGATCTGGTCTCGTAGCTTTGAAATGCTCTGCTTACTTGCGTCTTGCTGATAACTATCTAGAACACTGTGGCTTTGGCCTTTGCTAAATACAATAATCTCTTTCAGCTCTCTTTCGTCTGTGCTGACTCCTGAATAAGGGCCTATGTCCACTGATGGCATTTTTTTGCAATGGCAGTGCACTTTTCAACAGTGATTACAGTTGCTAGGTGACCTTTCAGCACCTTTGCTTTGCTAAGTATTTGCCATTGAGTTGACTGTAATGTAACTATATATACTACATGTATGCTTTTACTTGCACATTTTTTTCAATAAAAATGTGCTCTATTTCTTGTACCCCCTTAAAAATAAGTGTGGTTAATTTCTCCTTGAAGCATACTTCAACCATGTGGTTGACAAAGCTGATATAAGAAGTCCTGCCCCTTCTTGTGCTTGATATTAAGGCGTACAGTTGGATTACAAAAGTTGACTTCCTGGACTATCGACTGAGAGAGTTGTGAGCGCAGTGGCAAAAATAACAGCTGACACCAAGGGTATTTTAGCACTTATAACACTGAATGCTGAGGTATGTTGCTTTTTTGGTTTTATACAAAAATAGATACTGTCAGCAAGTAAAAAAATGTCATCAGTGAACACAGGTCTGAATTGATTCACTCTTTTACCTGATAAGTGATGAACATTATACTCACAAGCTACTTGCAAATGTCATTCTTTGTGGTTAGTGGCAAAGCCGCATCAATTAATCTTTCAAATGCTTTACTTTTACTTTGTAAACTAACTTTTAACATGGATGTGAAAATGAAAAATGGATATAAAAACCTTCACCTCAGTTCAGTTTTCCCTGATGCTGTCATTTTTGCATTCCCTGAATTCACTGCCAGAATCCAGCACTCTGGCATTAGACAGTGCAAATGACTGGATTCTAAAAACCAGGTCTTGTAGGTCAAAATAGTCCTATAAAGAGCTCCTTAGGTGTCAGAAGAATTGGTTCTTGCTGAATCAATTGATCTGGTTTGCTAAAAACAGTCTAAATTCCCATCATGGAGATCTATGCCTGAGGTTGTTAAGCTAACAAAGAAGGATCTAAACCCTGCTCTTCCATGGTAAGATGGATCACAGACAAACTGGGGGGGGGGGCATGCTGCTTTTTAATGATTTGGAGTAATCTGTGAATCTTTATGGATAAAATGTGTTTGGATTAAACCTTTTACTGGATTTGGGTTGCTGGGACCCTTTCTGCTGCAGCAGGTGGTGGGTGGGCTGTTGGACTTTCAACAGCTCTTATCATCAATGTTAACCTCCATTAATCCTAAATAGAATTTATGGATTATTAAGTGTTAACCAAGTTAATGACTTTATCAATGAATGGTTAATGGTTAACAGAGTTAAAATTTGGATTAGCTGTGTCCACCTCTGATTAACAAGTTGTATGAGCTGCCTGCCATATTAGACATCCGAAAACAACATTTGGAGAATGTTTGTGAAATAAAACTAAAACCTTTAATTGGAAAGTTCAGCAGTTTGTGCTCACTTAAATCTTAATATGGCTGATCATTTTCTGTTGGGATTACAGAGAGCGATTTCTTTCTCTGTGCCACTCATATCTAAATGTTAATGCTCAAATAATGAGTATATCAGATTGTCATTTAATTAACAATGTATGGGTCACAGACTTTGTCCTCTCTTGAGTACAAAGTGCTTTCTGACAAGTATCACTGGCCATCTGATTGGCTGGAGTGCTTATATGGATTTATTCCACGGCCACCATGTTTGTTTTCAACGCAGCCGTGTCCGGGCGAGCATCATGTTCCTTGTTTTCTGAGAAAGGTTTGTTGGCTGACAACAGGAGGAGGAGGAGGAGGAGGAAAAGGAGGCTAAGGCCCAAGCAAGTCTCCATGTCCCACCACATCCTCAGGTTACTCACCAGCCTCATCCATTATTGCTGACCCTCATCCATTATGGATGAGCAGGTACAATGCCACATGGCTCCGGAACCGACGGTCCTGATGCTCTCCCCTTGCACCGCTAACACCACTGCCATTTCTGCTGCTGCTGCCCTGCCGGAAACCTTCACCACCCTGGAGCTCCTTTATCATCTCTTTTCGCTGTGACCTACATAAACAGAGAGCAGGGACAGGCTTGCAGGGAGAGAGCGGAACTTAAAGTTTGAAATGATGCAGAGCAGAGATTCAACAGGAGGATGATAAGACAAACAAAATATGTGATAATAAAGATAAAAAACTGGAAAAACAAGCCTTTAAATTTATCTTATCTCCATTGTTGGACCTATCACTTGATCTTTTCCATTTCACATTTGCAGACCAGAGTTTATACCTTGAGCAAACAGCCCATCCATAATGATAGCAATTAGCATCCACTAAAACTGGCAGGGTGCCGGCTTGTAGCAACATTAAGTTCCAGATAATAACACTAATGATGACTTGCAGCCTCCGACCAGAGTCTCCTCTCTGTCCTTTTTCCCTTTTATAGCTCGGAGTTCCTCGATGCTTCTGCTCTGGGGAATGTTTTTAGTCACAGCTTCCCTGCATTTGACATTCAAGAGGTACTTGTTTGACATTGGGAAGTAAACTGGAAAGAACCCATGTTTCGTTCCAGCCTGGAGCGCATCAACGGTCCTGCTAGCATTTGCCAACTAGACCTTGAAAACAGCTGGACTTGCTGTTATTGAGCAGAGCTGGAAATACTATAACACATTTGCAGACTACTTCTCAAAAAAAGCGGATATTTTTGTCACCAAACTTGCCAAAGACTGTCCTTACAACTACACTCCGTGCTCATTAACAGCTATGTGTCCTGCCAGCATGTCCTCGAGCTAGATCCTGGAAGTCACAGAGAACAAGCTTGTCAGATAGATGTCTAAAACATACATGTACAACATCTTATCCAAGTGCTGGCCCACAGCAAGAATTCTGCTCAGTCTTTTCTTTTTATTTTTGGGCGGGGGTATAGCTTCAGAGTTAACTCAGAGTTGCCATTACTTATTTGGACTCTGTTCTAATGGAGAGGCTGACTCTTCTGGGTGTTTTTGAAACTGGGCTATTGGAGCCAAAAGTAGGGTAGCCTTCAACTAGGCTACAAGCAGAGCACTCCCTCTAACTGGAATACGTGTTGTCTGGTCAGTCTAATGAGGCTAAGGCCTGTTTCTGAAAGAGAAAGGGGGAGTCTTGCAATCAGCATATGGACATATGGAAAATATGACAATTAGAATCCAAGATAAGGGTACTGATAACAATGAGATCTTAGTCTTGAAGAGTTCGTTACAAAAAAGAGAAATCATCCTCGGCTCTTCAAAATGTCACGCCTTTTATTAATGTAATTTTCACTCATCTTTATCTGCAATCCTGAACGTGTGAGAGTGGGCCCGTCATCCGCTGCAGCAGTATTACTCAGTTCAGCTCACAGGACACTTCCCCGAGCTGGAGAAACAAAGGCCAGTCTGTTTCTATGGTTTCTCACTTACTGGAGATCTGAGTGGAATTTTACATAGACAAGGCTAATGGATCAACTGCGCCAGTCGACACTGAAGGAATACCAAGAAGAGGTATCATAATGGAGAGTGTGACTTCCACTGTGTCATTGTGGCGCTCATAAGTGAAATGAAGTACACTTGTTACATCATAGGTGTCACAGGAGGAAAAAAAGACTTCCAAGAATACGCTTTGAGCCCAAGGTCCTCCTCCCCGAGTCGAGAATACAAACCCAAACCTCCCGACAATTCATAACAGGAAGCCCACCTAAAGAGCTTTGACAAACATGTCCTCCTCGCTCCAGATGCCCGATGCTTTATACAAAGGGAAGGGTTTTTTTCTACAGACAGAGCATTGGAAAACTCCTGCCTTGCCCTTCACATGACACACCAACAGGGAGGAAAGTTTCCATTAACTGTCGGGCAGCAGCTGAAGGTTGTGACTTTGTAAGAGAGGGAGGGCTGAAGGACAAGAGAGAAGGGGATTCACAGCTTTACTTCAGAGCTAGATAATACACACTGAATATGTTTAAGTTGTGCAGGAGCTGAAAGTCAGTCAGGTGCGCAACCAGGTCACAGTTGGCGAAAAATACACACTGAGATGGCACCGATGTTGCTGGTATGCAGAGGTACTGGTGAGGCAGAGTTTTCACTCTGCTAAATCTCTCTGCGAGTCTGGTAAAAGGTTCCCAACCTCAGTGTCCATATTGTTATTTGCAGCTGTTGTGAGCTGCTCCCTCTGAGGAAGGGCTTGCGGAGACATTACCCACAGCTGCAGCACTCAGTTGAGAGTCTCCACTTTGCACAACACTTTTAGCCGGCGGGATCCCATTGAGACATGCTTTAACCTCATTACATCACTGTGGTTGCTGAAAGAGAAAATGTGTTTGAGGTTATCCCTAATAACCAATGGCTCGATATTCAATTAATTGGAGTTACCCCTCGTTCACGCTCAGTCATGCAGTAAAGGAATATATCAAGGGAAAACCCGAACCAACCAGATCACCACACTCTACAGAGAAGGTCATGTGTGCCGAGATAAATCTTACAAGTATTAAATCTACTCTTTGATACAGATTTGTTGGCATCACATTTTTATGCCTTAGGGTAATTGGACAACTGCCTTCTGTTAAGCCTATCAGCAAGTGCTCTGTTCATGTGACACCCAAGGAGACCACATTGACGTCCTGGATCATAATGCATTGTGTAAGCACCAATGTGATCGGTTCAAAGACAATTTAATAAACAAAGATCCTTTTCAAAAGCAGTTCCCCTCTTGATCTTTGCAGCTATACTTGTGGTTAACCCTTATTCTATAGGACAGAATAAACCTTCATTTTGTTCTTTCTGTCTTAAGGTGACACGATTTTCCTGTCTGGAGTAACACAATCCAACTCATGAGTGGCTCTGCCCTGCCTGCTTGTTTCAGCAAAGTGACTGACTTTTCTCCAGACAGACCCGGGATAATTGGAACAGTGGATTGAGGGACTGGCACACACGTACGTACACACACACACACACACACACACACATGCAAACCCACACAGGTCATTACATTTACCACTAAGCATCTCCATAAGCCCAAGCAGGCATATCTGACATATCCATCTGCTATGCTGGGATCATGCTGGATCTGCCTCTCTCTCTCACTCTTACTCTCTCTCTCTCTAAATTGGGGTGAGGGGTGTGCCAGCAGTAATAATGCTGATGATGGCATGTAATCACAGGGGTTGATCACAGCGAGCTAACCAAGCAGGGCTATGATTTTACCCTCTTTTACTTCATGTCATATTGGTCTGGTTTTAAGCATTACAATAAAAAAGACAGTTAAAATCTGAAAATCCTTTAATCCTTTAAGAATGACTCATTCTTTATTGATTGTGCTTTATTGTTGCCAACATATTACAGATCCTCCTCCCTATTTTTGTCAGCGTCTGCGTCATGTAAAGCATTACTTCAGTCAGGTTTATAGTTTAAAAGCTTTAAGTGGTTACGTCACATTGCTTGTGTAATGGTGAGTTTTCCTTGTTTTTTTTTTTTTTTTACCCATAATCATGTCATCCATATCATTGCACCACTTACATTAAGAAAATTTGTGTTTTGTATAAGTCATCTACCCCTTTCATACTCATTGTTCCACCTATGGTCTGCAGCTAGCGGGGTTAGCTGGAGACAGAGGGAAAACAGCAAGCCTAGCAAGTTACTGTAAATACGGTAAATAAGAGGCATTTGTAATTTGACTAAGAGGTCGGTTTACACCAAAATACTGTTATAACATACAAAGAGGGGTATTTTGTGGTGTTACAATACCCTGAAGATGATGCTCCAAGGAGCCAGTGACTAGTTTGTAGCACAAAATACGCCAAGAAAAGACAAGTGGTGTCACTTTTTGATCTGTTTTTGCAATTTTCACCCAAATTATTCACAATAAATTATACATCCTACTGTCAAAAATCAGCAGAATGAGATGTTATGCCGATAGATACTACTGTAGAGTGAAGACACAGGGACTGCTTTGTCCACAGGAGGCGCCAGAATCACAGGAGCATCAACGATTAAACATGATTGGCTTACTTGTACTGTATGTCATCATCTATTACTTGAGTTGTGTTTTATCTGTTCTCAGCCCCATGACAAAAACATCTTTGAAGAAGCCTGCCTCATAAAACCATCTATCTTATGCTTTTATTTTGACATTTTTACGATAATGAGGTTGCTTTATTTTCTGTGTTGTAAATCATGCTTTTATTTTGAAAATTGAAAGCATATGCTATGCCAGAAGATTATAAACTAAAATCATGAATGAAAACTCACAATATCTTCATGAAGACTAGTTTCCTTTAGACAGGGCCAGGTTAACCATTTCCTATACTGTTCACATTGACCATGCCAAGCTTACCACCTGCTTGCTTTGGCTTATACAAACTGACACAAACAGCACTCTTTTTTTGCTGAAATCCACAAACCATTTTGCCTCAATGACTTTTATTTGAATATTCTGCCTGTATGAAATATAATTTATATTAGGAGTTAAAGATGATATTTGACCTGCACTTGTGAAGTTCATTTTGATGTCTTTGCTTGACTTACATCTCTCTTTCACCCCCCTCTCCTTCCAGTAACACATGTTCACATGTCTTCACGCCTATGGTAGGATGGCCAAGGACACCGACTTGGACTGCAGGGCAAGTTGTGTGTCTGTGGTGTGTATGTGGATGTTGTGTTTATGTATGCATTTGAATGAGCTTTCTTTAGCCCCAAGAATCATAGGTCCAAGTCTGTAATCCTCCCTCTCATCCTTTCTGTGCCTTTCTTCCCTCCCTAGGGAAAAGCCCCCATGCGAAAGGGAAGAAATGGGGTGTAAAGGGCACCGAGTTCCCATTGGATCCATGCCCCATCTGTGCCTAGACTGTGCCACTCTGCTTTGGAAATTGCAGCAGCTTTGAAGCGTTTGTAATGTTTCCCTTCTTCTCTTGCTCTCTGCACATTCAGTGGGTAGAGCAAAAAAAATCTGATATGGCTGTGTAATTAAGTTGCCATTAATTGTTTTGCCTGGTCCCGGGTGGCACTGCTCAGACTTTGGGGGAAGAGAACAGCTGATTTATAGAGCTGATGGGCTGCACGCCTAACTGAACAACTAAACACAGTGAAAGTGATTCTTAATTACTGCCTGTTGCCTCTAATTTACCCAAAGTCACCTCTGCCAGAAGGCTAACTAGCCCCCGCTGTCTCGCACACAGACTTTGAATCATGTCAAAACACCTTTACTCATTGCCTTTACCCTCCAACATTTATTTCTGGCTTGTTTTAAAAACCTAGAACCTCGGAGATGTTGTTTGATCCTGCAATATTTGTCTTGTTTGTTTTTCGTTCTGTTTTCCATGAGCGCTGTGCTGAGTCTAAATGTGGAATCTCAGGTGGTTTCTCCGCTGTGGCGGTGATTGAATCAATTCTATTTATACGCTCTACATTTTATGACATGTAAATGTTCACTGGCCTGAATGAAATACACTTTCCAGCTTCAACCGCCAGCCGAGCCCAATGTAAATACTGAAGATATCAACGGAAAACAGACCATGGAAAACATGTCCTGGAGGGCAGTGGCACTAACCCCCCCCAATCAGAGCAGCACTTACACCCTTCTATGGCTTCACACACACGTGTTTATACTATGATGGCATACCATACTCACTCTCCTCCACTCCCACACCCTCATATTGCACTGGGTGGGACCATGTCCTGACAAAGTGTAGCCTCAATGGGCACTTGAGGTGAATTATTGTTTGTGAGTGGAAACTTGGCCAGATAATCTCGGTGCTGCTGGCTCAGGGCTGAGTAAGACCACTGTCTCCTACCCTTTTACGCACACACAAACACGCCCTTTTGCGCACACGCAGCTTTTGTTTCACCGTCTATTTCCAGTTCACGCTTATTTGCTGACTCTTTGACTTTTTTTCAATGACTCCTTGTCTGTTCTGGCTGTGCTTTTGCTCCATCTTTCTCTTCCCTTTTTTGCTACTTCTTTTTCCCAACAACCCCGGCCTTTATCCTGGAGGCCATTCACCTCTCCGTGGCTGCCCTTGCCAGTGCCTGCAGTAAATTCCAGGAGAAGTTGGAAACACAAACACGCACAAGCCCAGGACGAGAAGCCCAGTCATGTTAGACCCCTCCTTACCGCCACCGCTCCGCTCTCTCACAAGGGGTCTTTGTGTGAGTCTCTTTCACAGGGTCACTTTAGATCCTCTCTTACCTGCATCATAGGTGTAATTCATGCGTCTGTGTTGGCTTGTTTTGCCGCCAGTAGGAGTGTGAGTGTTAATCATATAATTGTAGAGTTCTCAAGCAGACATAAACTAATGTTTGGACTCTTGTGGACTTCAGGATTACAGTAATTGTGGCCTGCTAATGACGTGCTAGATTAGAAAGGTTTGTTGATGCAGCTTACTGTCCTGCATGAATAACATGTTTAAACAGTTTAAAGTAAATGCTGTCTTCTCTGAATTCAGACATAAAGAATCTTTACAACGGACAAAATATTGCAATGTGAAATATATAGTCTTCATGCTTTGTATCTTACTCAGTAAAAGGCGTCGTTTAGATCTTGCTTTTAGCTGGTTTTATTTCCCTCTGTCACTTTGATCCATATTTATCGTTCATATCTCTCACAATCTCTGCTCTCTTCCCATGTTGCACCTGCATCTTCACCTTTTTTTTCTTTATTTTATTGTTGGGTTTTTTTGTAAGAAAAAAATGGACTGTACATTAGCATTTGAATAACTAATGACATGAATCAAAAGTATTTTAGTTAATGGTTCAGTTTCTTTTTGATCATGCTAACAAATAATCATTACTAATCACTAATGTCCGATTGAGTTCCACTAATTCAACACAATACAAAATTATATGCAACAATATAATACTGTTCAAGACCAATATGATTTAAGACCAATACAATTAGATGGGATGCAATGCTGTTCATTATGGTATTATACTATGATACAACACAATGTTATACAATGCAATAAGGACTGATACAAGACCACTATGGTATGATATGATACATAATGGTGTAATAGAAAATAATAGTATGATACAATATGAAACCAATGTGATATGAGACCTTTATAATATGATAAGATGTGATGCAATGTGAGTTATGGTATGATACAAAACAACACAATGTGATACAATCAACACAATAGAATTTGATACGATATGGTATGATGTGATGGACCTTATTGCCCTGTAGGGAAATTTGTTCCAGACTCTTGTACTTCTGTGTGAGTATTTAAATCAAAAAGAAACAAACAGTAATATTTGTTTTGCATTGATATTACTACTGTTGTAGGCCATGTGATTTACCAAGCTAATCCCAGAGCTGTATTTGGTGCTGTGTGATATCATATTGTCCTGAAAATTACCTTGCGATGACATGATGAAATGATACAATTTGACACTATAAAATGATTTGATTCAGTTCACTGTATTTTACTAGTAAGGACAATTTTTTGGGACGTATGCTGCAGGCAAATACCAGCTCCCACTATAGTTTTATACCAGATAATAAACCTAAGAAATAATACACCACTGCAAATTTAAACAGAAGCAACTACCAGTCACAATGGAAAAACATATATTTCACATGACCCATGACCATGGTCTGTATGATAAACAATATAAAGAAGTGAAAGAGAGGAACATGTCAGTTGCATAATACCTACAGCCCAAAGACACATTTAAGTTTTTTTTTGTTGTTGTTGTTGTTGTTGTTGTTGTTGTAGACATAGATGTGGTCAATGAGGGGATCTCAATCTAACAGATAGTAGAAGCTCGTACTCTGAAGTGAGAATGTTGGATTGCTCTATGATTGATTTGCTATCGGAAAATTCTAAGAAACCATAAACCTTGATCAGCATTTCTCACTCCAAAGTATGCAACAGAATTTTTCCTCTTCCTCCAAAAGAAGGAAGCCCCCCTACTCTCTTCTTCCCTCCCACCCTCCCCCTCCATGTCCAGCTCTTTGCCAATGTGCTGAGCCAGTGGAAAATCCAACGTCCGTTCAAGAAACAAAGTGGTGTAGAAAGACTGGTTGACCGAAAGGAAGCAATATTCATACAGCCTGTCCCCACTGATAGGGACCCTGGTTGTGCAAGTTGAAGTTGAATGAAACATCTTCACATTTGCAATTTTTCCACTTGAGAAGCACATGATCCAAGTGCACCATAGGCATTTCCACCGTGGTCATATGTTTGTTTAAAAAACTGTTGAGGAAATAACTGATAATCTCTCTGTGGCTTTATGATTTATTTTTTCCATCCCCCTTGGCTTTTCCATTGTGCTTTGTGCAAGTGTCTTAATCAGTTCGCAGCAGCTTGGTATCTAAAACTGCGATAAGATGCCGAGTTTGCAACTAAGTTCCTCTCTCAGTTAAAACGGCAGACACTTCACGCCTTTAGGAGACACTTTTCCACCAAACCTGCAATTATTTGTCAAGCTATCTTGTCCCATAGAGTGTGGAAATCTACCCCTGTAATTACAGCTCTAGATTGGGATGAACACACACAGAGGGAGAAAGATATAACAGCAGATAACTTGTTTATTCTCAAATGTGACAACAGTTTTGCCTAACTTTTTTTCACAGCTTCTACTTCCTCTGTGAAACTGCATGTTCTCCTTCAAAATAAAATTAATGAAGCAGTTCTGTGAGTCTTAAAAAGTGCAAAAGTTACCCTTGAAGGCAACATCCCCCTTTTTTTGGCATGTCTCATCATTAATGCTTACTCAGACAGCACGAGTGACACATTAGTATGCACAGAGGTTAATGACACTTGACATTTACTGTAGTTCACAAGACGCTCCAGAGCATATGGCAAATTTCCACCCAGGAAGAAACTGACTCAACAACAAGACTCAGACAACAGCTGCAGGGGGAATGATTGGTTTACTAAATTTAAGAACTTTTGATTTGCCCCCTTTTCTTTTTTTGTCCAATTTCCAGGAATCATTATTCACCGTCTGCATTAACAAGTCAAAGGACCAGGCAGCTCTCAGATTATGTGAAGACAGCTAAACGGCCGTTTATGCGGGGTTTCTCAGTCTGTGGTCCTTGAGTATATAAATGGATTGAAGCAAAGATTAAGTGGTTTCAACTGAACAAACAGGGCTGTGATGACACAAGGCGGGATACCAATTTATTCTCTGTCATGTTTAAATGACAAATAGATGACACAGAAATCAGGAATTGACTGAAAAGAAAATGTTGTGGTAGACCTTTGAATATTAATGCTTAAAAAGTTGACTCTTTGATTAACTCTTGTCAATTTTAAAGTAGATTAATGTAATTTACTGTGTGTTTATATACGGGGCATAGGGGCTCTCTAACTATGTGACCTATTTGAGTTGAAATACTGTGTTTTTAAGTGAACTAGGGGATTGTTTTTATATATAAAGGCTGGAGGCATCACATAATTCAATGTAGCCCTTTACAAATACTGAAAACAAAGGGAAATTTCAAACAAGGTTCAGTCCTTAAGTCATAAAAATAGCTAACTGTTGCTGAAATACTACAACCAAAGACTATTTTGATTTTGCCCTACAGTTAAACTAGTGTCAAATGAATAATTTTCATGTGCATGTGGGGTATTAACAAGAATATTTCCATGTACTTTAAACCCACAACCTCAGAAATAGTTTCTGAGAGTACATTTTGAGTCTAAGTAGCTGCCTCCCCCTCGCACCCCAGCCACTGTAGTAACTGAAAAGAAGAGATAAAGAGGGAGGGGAGATACATAGAGTGATGGACGCACACAGATAGAGTGAGTGGGTGAGAGAGAGAGAAGAAATGGGTGGCATGTTAGAGAGACATCTGCTCCGGGTTGGCCAAACACAAAGTACTGCAGGCTGCCAATCAGGAAGCCACCAAAACCACTGACAGTGAACTGGAAAAATGGCAGGCGTAAAAATAACTCCTTCTCTGCTTTGGCGCAACATTTTTTTCCTAAAAGCCCAAAGAGGAGGGAAAGCCAGTTTGCTTGTGCCAGCTCAGCTGAGGCCTGTGTTTCTGTTGGGTGTTTGAGGAAGACACAAGTATTGAAGCGCTTCTTTGCAACAGCTCGAGTCTAAAGTTTTAGAGAAGAAGACTGACTGACAGCTTTGAAATGTGTAAGGGTGTGGATGTGTAAATGTGCTCCCAGAAATGACTGAATGCTGCATCTCACTGACAGCTGCCTTAGCAAAAATTCAACTCATGTTTTCTCTTGAATCTTTTCTGAAACACTACAAAATACTACCATAGTGCAGAGTGCAATATAGAGTATTTTAAACTGTCTGTTCTTTTCTGTTATTTTACATTATGCACCAATCACATGCCTCCAAATGTACTTTAAATTGTTCCCTTTTCCTCCTTTGACTGAATAAATGTAGTTGCAATATGCAGACAAAAACCAAATAATTGCGCAAGACAACTTACATAAATCACATTTTTTTCCAAACCCCCCCATCTTCCCCTTTCTGGTATACCACGCAAAGGTGACACATCAACTTCTGAATCAACATTTTCCAACTTTCAAATTACACACAGGCGTAAACACATTGACCTTTTCCCCCTGTTTACAAATCTGGAGAGGTGCTCTTAGGGCTGTTGTGTTAATGATAAATCCCATTATGTCAAGCCAGCAAGTATATTACACCAAGGTTTGACCTCCTCCGGTGTTGTTTTCTGTTTATCATCTACCACCACTTGTTTCTCTTTCAAGCTCCAGGCTCTATGTTGATGTCATGGCTAAAGATAGAACTGTCAAAGTTATGTTTTCTGTTCCTGACTGTTCATGGAATCAGAAATAATTGTATGTCAGACAAAGGGGAGAGTGGGGTAAGATGAGCCATTATTCACATTTCAGATCACTACATCAAGGCAATCATAGTTTTGTCTCTAACTGGTGTATCTGCGTATATTTCAAGATGTTGTGCATCCCTGCAAACCAACAGAATGAGTGTAAAAATAACTGTCTTAATAATATAGCATGCCAAAAAGGTGGTCTCCTATGGTCAACTTACCCTGTGTATGGGGTAAGTTGACCATAGGAGAGGGGTAAGTTGAGCCGTATCCCTACTAACCTCCCACTCTCCACTGCAGCCCTCCCTCACCTTCTTCCTCCCTAAATAACAGTCATTTCTTCACATTCATGTGTATTTTTATCTATTATATGCAATTCAACTGGTACAATAATTATTTTTATTATTATTACATATAACTGTTAAAAAGCTGTTTTGTTAAAGCCATTTTAACATGAGAAAGCCTTTAAGTGCACTTAGGAAGATTCAGAACATTCACAGCTGTATTTATGAAAAGAAAAAGTAACACATTTCACATTTCAACAATCTGGCTCAACTTACCCCAGAACTACTATGATGACTTTATTAGTCCTCTGAGTTAAAATGGTGGACTTTTATGCTAGGTTTTTGACCTCATGTTGTAGTTCATAGATACCATAATTGATGTATAAAACAAACTTAAAATGATCTTTTTTGGTCTGAACACAATTCCAATGAATATTATGACAGACCAAATTCACTTTCAAGAGTGAAAAATGTTTTTTGGAAATAAATGTCTAACCCCTTTACCCATGCGCTTCGAACCATAGACATTATACATGTAGACGCCTCATTACGTGCTAGAGCGTAATCCTGCGTCGCCACCATGTTGGATGGGTCTCCCCACACCAGGCTCGCTTAAGAGCCAAACTGGGTCAATGGAGAACAAGCAACTATGCCCGTATTTTTGCACTCTGTGGTTGAAAAACCTGATGCAGTATTGAAACCAGATCATGTAGGATTATATTTCACAAATAGGATTGAAAAATAATTTGGTTTACTTTTAATGTGTGACATTGTCCTGTAATATGGCTACATCCCTACCGTTGTAACAAGCCAAACAGTGTGAAAATTGGGCAGAGATTCTTATTATTGTTAATATGGTTGGGCATTCCCACCTATGGGGAGGCACATGGGGAACCCATCCAAGATGGTGGCCGCGCTGATACATGAGCTCCAATAGGCAGCGTCAGGCTTTGATATGTCTATGTATATTATGTCTGCTTCTAACCTTCACAGACTCTATGAATTGATGTCCATCTCCTAAATATTTGGTCACATGATCAATTTCTTTTACCATTTCCAAGCAATAGGGGGTGGCTCAACTTACCCTTTGGCTCAACTTACCCCACTCTCCCCTACTGGGTTGCAAACTTAGACCTTATCCTGCACTACATGTTTATCTTGCACATAACTAGAGGGGGGTGGGGGTATTTTTCCACCATAATTGTGAAGCATATTATGTGGTCACTTTGTGCACAAATGATCTGCTGTTTGGGTTTTTACTGCATAACAGGAGTCATTGACCTCTGCTCACATTGCAGTTCACTTCATTGCTGTTGGCCCCTGCAGGAAGACGGCTCAAGCGTGTGACTCGGTCTCAACAGGGCAACTACAGAATCGCAAAGAATACAGGCATTGACTCCGCAGAAGAAGAAGAAGAAAAAAAGCGCTACGTCATGGAAAGAATGACGTCAGGTTTGATTAGACGCCGAGGGAAGCGCCTCGTGAAGCCGAGGTGGACTTGAGACTGTCAGACAGTAGTGGAGGTTTTGGTGCCTACTTTTTACAGGTAGCATCATACGATGAAGGAGAGGGGGGGTTGAATAATCCTGTTATAATAAAGCGACACTGGAGCAAAGAGGGAGTACGAGGGGATCATGACGTAACCGTTTCCATAGGCGACTGATATGCTTGCTAAACCAATGGGAATCCACACCAGCGGTCCATACCCATCCTCCTTTTGACATGCATCACATGTCCCCGGCGGTGTTGTGACAGAAAGGAGCTAGGTTGGTCGAGATGATTCCCCGCAACGTACTTCCGGGTTCGTCAAAGTCTGTAGCAGCAACTCTAGACCCTTTGTAATTTGGTTGTATGTTTCCTAAGATTTGTCTGATATAATTCATACATATTTCACTGCTTTGACCATTCTAAAATTAATAAAACTCCTGTTAGAAGAAAAATTGAACTCAAGTTAATATCCAGATAATGACGTGTGCCATCACCATAATAACGTGCTTTTGCGTTAACACAGTTGCCATTATTTATCAGCTGGTAATTATATTGTTATCGATGTAGCACTTTACAATAACCATAATTTATAAATGGTAAATAGATAGTTTATTAATGTTTAATCATCATTTAAAAACGGCATATAGACCAATCATAAATGGCAAATAGATAGTTTATTAATGTAAGTTAATAGTTACTGTACCATTAACAAGCAATGAAACTATGATTATTAATGGACTGTTTATTAAAGGTTTATTAAGGGTTTAAATGTTGGTTAAAACATCTAGATTAAAATGTGTGTCAGTAGCACTTAGTAAATGGTTAATATTTGGTTTTTAAACCATCTATAAACATTACTTAGATGGTTATTGTAAAGTTAGAGCTAGGGTTGGGTTTTTAAAATTGTTAAAAAAAATTACAATTTAGTAATGGTCTATATGCTATTTATAAACGATGATAAAACACTAATAAACTGTCTGCTTACCATTTATAAATGCTCTATTTACCATTTATAAGTTATGGTTCATGTAAAGTGTTACCAAAATCAGCTGTGGTGAGAAGTCGTCGATAAATGGTGGTGCAAGACCATAGACTGTATATGCTATATACACTATATATATATAGTATACTATAAACAATATATACCATATTCTATATACAGTCTATGTGCAAGACTTAGTGAAATAACTGCGCACATGCGTGATGTGGCTTTCGGCCATGTGTTTCCTCAGGCCCCACTTTGCAGGCAACTATCTTGTCAGCTCTGGATGAAGACTTTGGTTGTGGTTGTGACAGCGCAGTGGGCGGGATTTTACCTCAGATCAGGGGAGAGAGTCTAGTCTTTGGTGAGACTGAGGGGGAGTTATCGGGAGAAAGGGATCTGGGGAGCTCTTCTGAGAACGGAGTAAGTATTTTTGGTTATATTTCTGCACTGGCGCTCTTGAACACCCCAGGACTAGAGGTGTTGCCTTGCTTTTTACACATTGCATTAAAAAGCCTTATTGGGGAGTCTCATTTTTGTGTGCAGTGATCAACGAGGGCCAGTCACCGGTGGATAGCTGCCTTGGGTAGTTAGCTTTACAGCAAGCTAGCGTCGCTAATGTTATATGTGGGATACATACTGACATTGGGCGTCTCAAAGCAGGTAGCTAATCAGCCAGGATGCTGCCAGATTTCCTTCGCTTCTCATGAGCTTACTTACACTTTGTGAACCGCCCTGGGCAAAGTTTGTAGACTTGACAATCTGTCGGAAGACGCTTTTGTGTATTTTCCCCCTGTACAATTAACATAAGCTAACGCTGGGGAGCTAGTTGGCTAACATTGAACGCTAGCCCGGATCGGTGTGTTTTTTTATGTTGGCTCCACGCGTCGCTGTCTCTCGTGGATGGCAGTTTGACGTTCACGTATTTGGGCAAACCGTTTGGAAACTTAGAAATAGCGATAGTGTCCTAAAAAGAGGAAGCATCCCATCTTACTCAACACAGAGAGCGTTAGACGAGCTGTCATTCAGTCTAGTGTTTAATGTATATCTCTTTTCAGTGATTAGGAAGCAAACCTTATCAGGGCGATAACGTTATTGTCAACCGGCTTGAAGGAAGCGTGGAGCCCTCGCTCTACGGATAATTTAGGCGCACCAATATGACTGAAACAGGTACAGCGGGTAAATTTAAGTGTTTTCGTCGCATTTGTATTAAAAAATGAGCAGGTAAACGTGTCAACTGAACCTATAGGCAGTTACGCCCTGAAGCAACCAGCAACGTATCTCCATGCTATCAAAGTTAAAACAGCTATTCGTGGAAATATCATTCAGCGGTGTTGTGTCAAAGTCTGCTCCCCTTTGGATTTGTGTCATTCGTTACCTCACCCTGAACCCCGCTGTTATCTGTAAGGCAACCTATCGATGCCAAAACTAATATTTAACTTGCCAATTTGAGGTGTGAGGTATATCAAGCTTTCATCTTAACACGTATGTGCGAGCTATTCCGAGAAAGACGTCCGTTTTAAGCCGAACACGGCACCTGAAATACGTACAGAATGGCAACCCCTTTAATATAGCATGTCGCTTTAAATGACCATGACAGTTACTTCATAACGGAGCACGTCGTGTTTCCCAAGCTTCCCAGCTACTGCAAGTTGATTAAGTGTAAAAAATGTTACACACTTCACCTTGTTTGACAATGCATTGTGGCTTTGTACCCGCCAACATTGCATGCAAGTTTCCAGGTAGATGTAGAGTGCGGTACAGCCACCACTGAGCACCTTTTGGTGTCTAGTTGAAGGGATCACTCCTTATCCAATTAAACAGCACCCGCTTTGCTGCAGCGCCAGCAGTGTCTCCCTGAGAGTGTGTGTGTGTAATGACTTGAGATCCTACAGTGGATTGCGAATAAGGTTATGGTGTTATCCAAATACAGTTGTATACAGAATATAGCCTGACCTTTTACTTCATGACTGCTACTCCACGCTACAAGGAGTGCCTTTGCAGTGTAGTTATCTGTAGACACATTACATAATATAATGTAGGCTAAGCAGTTCAATTCTCTAGCATTAGTCAGGCTACCTCGCAGTAGAGTTTATACTGCAGTTGGTGAAATTAAGCTTAGGCTCAGGTATGTTTGTATATAGTTTTTAAGGTTTAACACTGAATGAATGAAATCTTAATATATATATTTAGATCGGCATATAGACATGCAGAATTTGTTTAATGATTCACTCAAACCACCGGTAACACAATCTGTGGCTGTGTCTGAGCCCTTTGAACTGAGACTGTTGCTGTCACTCAAGAATGACAAAAATATCTTTTCTTATTCCCTCCTATACCGACTAACAGTAGTCCAAGGATCCAGTTGTTGTAATAACCTTACAGCATCGCTTGACTTCTTGCTGGTTTGTCTGTGTTTTCCAATTTTGCATTTGGAGACCAACATCCGTTCAAGACTACACCTCCAGCTTTTCATCCTTAATGCATTTCATATGAAGTTAATTGACCACACAGGGGAGTGGGAGCAAGAGCAGTATTCTCCTAATCCAGCATTATAGCTTGCTGTTAAAGTAAGTGCTGTTTTCGTCTCATGGCCCGGGAGTCTTTAGTAGTCACATAGCGATAGTCACTGCAAAGTAATGCAGCATACTGAGTGCACTTTCTTCCAGGCAGTTATCGCCTGTCAAGTCTGCCTCTTAACTCATACCAGAAGAGTCTCCTCTACAGCTGCTTTATATGTCCGCTGATTTCATTGTCATGCTCTGTATCTGTGCCATTTACAAGCACAGCCTAAAAAATGAACACCAGCATTTGTCCCGAGCTCAGTGTGTGTTCCTCTATTGCATTTTTGTTACTATTTGGAAGAGCAAGCCAGTGTGGGTCAGTAATCTAAGGTGACATTGAGCCTCATGAACACTGACATGGAAAGCTAAATATAGTCTGTTTTTACCGTTAACTACAATGTGTTTATGGTACTATTCAGTGACAGAAGATGAGGTTTTGACTATCTTTCTTTCATCCCGGTCTTAAAAGACTAAGGTTAATCCAAACACTGGTGTTGTGTTACACCAGGTTTAAATGATTCATTACTGTGTATTCATGAAAGCAACATCAATGAAAGGTAAAGGTAGAAAGTCAGTGCAGCCCAGTAATATAAAATATGTTGTGTGTTATGTAAGGATGTTGATCACAAAGTAATATTGTGTTAATTGGAAAAATGAGGGTACTGAAAGCATATTGAACTGTTTGTGCTCAAAGGATTTACTGAATTTAGGCCACTAAATGTTGATGTCATTATAGTTACTGATCTGCAGGACTGTAAGGAAGTTATTCAAAGCAAAGATGGGATTTTGTTTTATCATTAAATAACAATAATTACTGTTTTATGAGGTTATGGCAGGTTCTTGACCACAGCACTTATCAGGATGTCTGATTTACAGTCTAATTCTTCTGCAGTCAGAAAGAAATGTGAGAAATGGACCAAAACTTTGCAGGTTAAGACACACAAACAGTCATGAAATGCTGTACATAACTGCATTACTCAGTACATTGAAAAATGTTCACATAGCAGTATTGTCCTATCCTGACTAGAATGCATGTCAAATATTATAAAACATGATTTCTCTTACGACAAAATCAAATCTAAAATGTGTCTGTTTTGTCTTTTAATCATCAAATTGAACAATCGCTGTAAAATTAGACCGTCTTTAGCATGCTGTGGATTGTCTTGCCTGACACCTACCCCTTTACAGCGACAGAAGCATAAAAAACTACCACACAGAAACAGTCCTTTTTCTCAGTGATGGTTTGGATTGCTATTGTAGGTCATAAAAAGGCATCAGTATTAATTTCAGACTGTTTTACCTTAATTTAAAAAAAAAAAAAAAAACTCCTCATGGTAGCTTTAACGTTATTATATAATTGTTACTTGAGGGAGATTAAGAGGTTTGAATTTAAAAATTTGGCAGAACTAATGGTAAAAACTTTGATCCTGCCCACAAAAATAACCCTGGAGCACACACTGTAAAATATCACAAATTAGTCATGAAGAAACAGGAAGGCCTAACTATGCTACATATTAATCTCCCAGGCATTTATGACTTTGGCAAGAGCCTTTTTTGTTTTTGGCGGTTCTGAAAAGCTGGTGGGTTTCAGGACTTAAAATGCAAAGATATTTTTGTATGGCAGAATCAGCTGTTCTCATAACAGTTCTTAATTAAACTGTGTAACCATCACTGGGAACATGGCACAAACTGCATTGGGGTAGCATAGAGATTTACCTAACTGTATCTAACGTCCAACTTGTTACCTGTTATACTCATCTAAAGAAATCCAGGAGCAGATTTTTGTTAGGCCATCTGGTGATCATATCATTACAGTGCGGTAATGGAGTTTGACTGACAGAGAAAGCACAGGTGTTGAGGTTAAAACCTGACACAAAGAATGGATAGCTTCTACGATTTCTCCATTCTCTATAGGCTAACTTCCTCAGATGCAAAAGGGAAACGAGCCCTCGCTAGCAGAGGCCTTGAGTCTGACTTTACATCCACTTCTTTATTCTGTCAGTCAATGCCAGCATTGTGTACATACTGTATATACTGCCTTTCACATATTGCATCCCCTGCTCCAGGTCTTGTTGAAATGAGTTTAATGCTGAACATTAGTGTGTCCTGAAATGGGGAACAGTAAAGACAGCAAGGTCAGACTGTGGCAGCGAATGGCAGGGCGGCAGGACCTCAGGCCACAGAGCTGCTATGTAGGATCAGACATGACAAAGAACACAGAGAGCGTCTCATCTTCAAAGTGGCTCGATGAAAGATACTCCATTTTGGAATATTTTCCATCCTATGGACATGAAGGACTCTGTAATGGCAAAATAAAAGCATGGCTCCAGGCTCTCTTTCCTGTGAAGGAAAAAGATTGTAACATGTGCTCAGTGAGAGGAGACCAGTCTGCAGCACTGATATAACTAAGGCTGGAATATTACTGCCATCTTTCTCTAAATTTGCTCCTGAAGAAGCATTTTTGCTGGTGTCACTCATTAATAAACCATACCAACAGGATTTCAGGACTACGAAATTGCTGAGCAAATGAGAAGAAAATGATTTTCCCGCATGTACTCTCACCAGACAGAATGGTTGTAAGGCATACTGATGTGAAATAACGGAAGAACAAACTCTGTGTGACTGCTTTCATGATGCATTCATTGATGAGGTTTGCTAAGTTATTGATGAAACACGGGTTCTCATCTTGCTTCAGGTTATGTTGAAACCCCACAAGTGATCTTTCCAGTTGTATATGTTAATTTTGACACTGTCATAGTCTAAAAAACCTAGTTAATAGGAACAACATTGTTTCCTTCAGTTAGCTGTGCGAAATTTCATGTTTTCTTGGCAATTTGAGGTGGTGGACTCTTATTCTTTTATGCTTTCAGGCCAGCATATGCTCTTGTTGCGTTGATGAATTTAAGCATTTATAAAGAAAGCTGTTTTGAAGATTGTCTCACCTACCCAAATCAAAGAGAGTAATTGTGCCATGTATCAAGAAAATCACACCTTTTCTTGTGTACATAACAAATAAATGAATCATCCCTGGTTAATTTCCACACCTGAGATACAGATCAAAAAGATAAAGGCTTACTTTCATTGTAGACACCATCACGCACCCCTACATGGTGTCATAAGAGCTGAGGAAGAAAAGCGTGTTGATGGTGACACCTCTGCCTGTGACTACATATGAATTGGCAGCCTGACAGTGTTGGAGAGCCGTGTAGAGGTTCCAGTGTGCGGGGTGAAGTAGTGCACTTAGCTGCGAGCCATGCAGCACACAAGGAGGGCTGGGTGCCTTTGCTTTGTACCCTCCACATTTACATGGCCTGACCCAGTTCAGCAACGGCTAGCGGTGGGGGGAGGGGACAGTCTGGGGGAAGCTAAAAATACCAACCCCTCGCATTAGGCAGCTCTATTGCAGAGGGATCCCTAGAATTGCCATCCCTGACTTGCATCGAGTTGTTGGCACGTAGGGGTGTACAAACTGCCAGAGGGTTTCCGTAGCGTGGAAACAAAGATGAAGAAGATGAGTATAATTCTGAGATGGTCATCGCGGTTTTCCTCTTCTTGTTTCTGCTCCTGCATCACCTAGAAACTACGAATATTGTTGCGCATGTGATGCCTGCATCAGCCTGAAATAGCTCGGGCTGTAGAGATACTTCCTCGGCCTGTGTGTAGAAATTGACGTAATTCCATCATGCTGAGCTGTGGATTTTTGCCGTTGTGGTGAGGAAGGGGTTAAGTCCAGCCTCTGTCATTCAACCATACCATGCCAGCTGTTGGCTTTGAGATCCAATCACAATGATTTTCCACTGTTGTGACATGTGACCTGCTCCGCAACCCGAAACTGTCGCAGCACTGCAAATGTTGGCACTTCCTTGGTCTTGGCGCTGTGGTGGCTGCTCGTGGGGTGAGGGGTGTGCGAGTGTGGGGTGAGGGCTCATGGTGTTAGGCGTTGCGACAGGGAAATGGAGAGGGCACAAAATTGCATGCTGTTCTCTAAACAGCACGTGTGATCTGCCCATGTGGTGTATTCATATACGTACGTCTCAAAGATGAGTCATTCAGAGACCGTATTCTCATTTCAAAATGTGCACAGTAAGTGGCATTTTACCAGTTTCCTGGAATAGAGTTTCCTTTCTCTAAGAATTTGTGAAATATGAAGGCAGAGGAAATTTGAAAACACTTAATCGTAAATTGAATTTAAAGGGGAAGATGTGTACAGTTTTGATGATTTTTGTGTGTTTGATTTCATATCCATAGCTAAAGAAAAAATACATTTACAGTCATCATTCTTAAGTAAAGACATACTGTACCATTAAAAAACAAAATATTTAACAATTTGGGTATCTGCTTTAAAGTCCCAAGACTTAACTTAAAGTCTAATCTTCTTATTGTAAGTTAAAGCTACAATGAGGAGTTTTTAGCTGTTAATGGAACAGACTTAAAATTGTTTTGATGCTTCTTCATGGGCAAGCAAACAAGACCATGGCGAACAAGACTGATTTTGTCTGTGTAGTTTTTACAGTAGGTCTTAAAATGCTGTCACAGGGTAGGTGTGCTAAACTGACAGCCGATAACATAAAGGATTTAGGAAGAGTTTTTCTTTGTGAAATAGAACTTACATGTACATACACGTATAGAAATAAATAGAAAAGAGATAACACAGCCCATCTTGTCAAGAAGGGGCGACAAAATCAACCCAACCCAATAATTCTTCACATGAGATTTAAAGCTACTGTGGGGAAAATTTGACAGGGTATGATGCAGACCAAAGTTGACAAAGATGCCTATTTAGATGAAGTATTTGTCAGAAAAAATCGGTTATATGTGCATGGAAGGAGATCAGCAAAAAGGTTTCACTTTTCTACATGGGGTGCAAAAATCAACACGAACTAAAAATTCCTTACTGGAGCTTTAATACGGCACCAATACCTGTCAGTTATCTGTTATTTGCAATCAGTGTTTTCTCATAGGTTAGGATTCCTTGAGTTCCCTCAGACAGTGGCTTCAACAATTAAAGCCGTGTTAAATCTATGGTTGGTGGTGTCCAGATTTAAGTAGGTTATTTTGTACTTTTGATGTTACAGATATTTTTTTTATCTTTAAATGGTGCATGGAGGTTGCAGTAGGCCAGACTTGTTTCATGATTTGATGACAGCTTTAAGATGTCATTTATCATGATGCAAATATGTCTAACTTGTCTGCTAATGGTCACAGAGATGTGCTGGGAGAGGTATGACTTTCCTTCATGGATCTGACTCTGGCTACAAACCACAAACCTTAGACATCATCGCAGGACTGAGTCTGTCAATCCTGTTTAGACCTAAAGAAAAGACCCCTTTCTAGTCTAGTAATTATAATTTTCATATAATAGTAATAGATAGATATACAAGATATCAAGAACTGGCTTCAGCTGGAGCTTATAAGTTTGTTATATTCACGGATTTGATAAGGCACAAGAATTTAAATCTTGCTTTTCAGTTCAACACTAACCCTAGTCAAAATTGGATCCCTAACCCCTGTATGGGTGACTACATGGGGGTTAGCGCCATTTTGAGGGGTGTCCGAAACCCCAGTTATCAATTCTAGTGCCCCATATAGGCGACTCAAAATTTCCCATAACGCATTGCAAAATGTAGCGACCATCCGATGGTCACTCAACGGGGGCGGGCATCCCGTCATGCATTGCGTCTTGCCATGTAGTGTCCGAAACCTCCGGTAATTGAGTTCACTACATAGTCAACTATATAGTAAAACCCCATATGGGGGTTAGGGGTTAGGGATTGAGTGATTCATTTGGGACACAGCCTTAGCTTCAGTCTCAGGTGCAAGGCTAACCATTGACTGTATGTAGACTGCACAGTGTAATTTATAATTTGATATACCATGATTTTCAGCTTCATGGAAGTATTGTTAAGAGTTGAAAACAGACAGCAGACATTTCTGAATTTGAAAAAAGACAACATTTGCCATTTAGTGATGCCTCCTTCTATGACAGAGACCTTTACAGTAAGAGTAGTATGACAGGTACATTCTCAGCACCCCTGCTAAGAGAGAGCACCCTACTACCCCTCTCTGTATGAGTGCAGAAAGTGTTCCCTGCAGTGATTAAGGGCAAGTTGAACCAGGTCAAAGTGGAGGAACGTCTCTGCAGTGGCAAGATTTGTGCTGCAAAGTACTCACTGCCATTGAGTGTTTACATAACAACCATGTGTTGATAGTGTGTTGTGTTTGTAACATGTTTTTGTGACATTTTTAGTCAAGAAAGTGTCATTTTTATTTTCATAAATGAAGGAAATAGAAAAATTTGTGTCAAAGTTGATGCTTCATTTTTTTAGAGATTAAATATTCCAATGATAAAATTTGGCACATATTTGTTTAGTGAATATTTGCTTTTATTTTACTCTCCAAAAATAATGGAATTGGAATCACTGGTGGGATCTAGAGCCAGAGTCTGGATAGGTAAAACTGAAATGGTACTCAGCCCTACTCAGTCCAAATGTTCTGTCAGGAGAAGATGTCCAAAAGTATCCTCTCCTCTCTAAGGGGATTTCAGTGATCTCTCCCACCTCAGTAACACACCCGGCCCTGCAATTATGCTGTGTAATAAATAATGAATCCTGTCCCGTTTTCCATGGCAGATGGCTCCAAATAGAATCTCGACATGTGACAGAATAGTTTCCAAGAATCTCAATGGAATAAGCTGCGAGCATTCATTCGTACATTTTCTCTCCTTCTGCATCTGCGTCCCAGTTTAAAGTTGTGACACATTTTGACTTTTGGATGTTTGAGTTCGGAGTATGCATGTTTGAAATCCTGTTTAGTTTAAAGACAGAAAAATGGTGTTCTCTTTAGCCTGTTTTGGTTTCTGTTATAGCCAGAAAGAGATTAAATCCTCCCCCAGCTGAGAGATAAATGCCGCATTTTTTCCAGGCCTGGAATAACATCCCTGTCTGTCTGTCTGTGTGCGCTGGTGCCTTTCTTTATTGATCCATCCGACCTCCCCCAGGGCTTTCCAACAGAAACTACTGTATATTTCATTAAACTGTCTCAGCCTAAAAAAAAAAAAATCCCCTTCTATCTATATTTATCTTTCCAAAAAGTATCCAGTTTTCCCCTTGAGGGTTGAAGAAATTCATCAAACCCTCCTTAAACAGATTAACACCTCCTGCTCCTCAGCCCTTTGTAACTCTGCTGTAAAGTCGCACTAAGATAAATTCCCTATCAACTTGTTCGACATGAATGAATCAGCGTCATTGTGTTGAGCTGATTAAAGCTGAATGGACGGCGGCCTCTCATTAGAATGGACTCTCCTCTCCCATGTAGAGCACCATGGAGCTCCCTGATGCCACAGATAGTCTTAATTAGATTAAACAGAAGGCTTTTCCTGAGGTAATCAGTCACCGGCTCCCTGCTACACCGCACTACCCCATTGGTTCCACTGCAGGGAGGCTACCGGTTTTCTCCTCCCTCAATGACAGACCTACTGTATGTTGTTTGAACACAGCAGGGGTCTATGATACACTCTCATGGATCTCGTGATAAAAGGAGAAGGCTCAGATGCTTTATTCAACACCTAGTTGTACATGGAGGGCTTCCTGCCTTTTTAGCAGTCAGATCTGCCTCGTAGAGTTTAAACAGATCACTCATTGTCACTAGAGGACTAAAGAGAGTAATCTCGACTTCATGTTTAATCAATTTCTTCAAAGATCATCACTAACCTCTGTGTCTTTTCACTGGAGTGAGAGATTCTTGAGTTGGTGTAGATGAGGACAGAGATTACTTAGCAACATAAGCTAACAGTTTAGGTATGTAACATGCTACATGAGCTGGATTATTTAAAGCTTGAGCTCACCGTTAAGTCATTTGCATTGTATTTAAAGCATTTGTGTAATTTTCCAGGGTCTGTATACACACATAAGGTTAGAAATTGATCCATATGCAGTCGTTTGAAAGAGCCAAGTAAAACAGTTTCCTTGTTGTATTTGAGGGACTTGATGTAAATGGTCTTATTCTTTTAAAAGGGCCTTGATCATTTTAAGGTCACTCAGCTGATTATACTTGATAATATCTGCAAATACTGAATCATTGCCAAAAGAAGGAAAAGCAAACAGCTGTGTTATGCTATTGTAAAACTTGTAACTCAGGGCCTGGTTCCACCGCTTGCATTTTTCTGTGTAAAGTGCCCTGAAAAGCACCCACAGCATCAGCTATCTGCACCTTGGCTCTATGTTCCCATGTAAGCTAAACTTTAGGTGCTTGAAAATAGAGGCTTTGGGAAGCACCTTTCAAGGTTGAGGTTTTTTGTCTGTATTCCCGAAGACAGCAATAATTAAGTTTTGGGGGAATCCTCATTTCCTCGACTTGTGCATGGAAATTGTTGTTTATTTGTATTCCAAGAGAACCTTTCTTAATCTCCTCATTATACCGCTGCCCATAGGCAAATAACATGTCACTCAATGCTTTTTAATTTGCGTCCCCGTGCACTATTCAGAGAACTGTTTACAGTTGCACTTCTCTCATGAGCATGCTCAGTATGCATGTGTACATTGTTCCTCTGTGTGGTTAGCATGGCAGTTAAATGACACTTTATGGTCACCTAGTGGTTTGGCGTGCCTCTGTGGGCTTTTTCAACCATTTCAGTATTGCCATGTTGTCAGAGAAAGGATTATATTTTAATACAGAGAAAAAAACTATTTCCAAAACATCTTTTTACCTGTGGAAGTAGCCTCAGTTAAAGATAGTTGGACCCTTTGAACATTGACACACCTGTTAATCGTTCTTTATCACCAATTAATCACAATCAAGGTCAGATGGAGCCGACAGCGTCATTTTTCAAGGTTAAGCTTCTGTTAATGCCAGGACAGATTCCTTTACAACAGTCTTGCATCTTTTTTTGTGAATAAAAGTAGCTATTAAGTGCACAACATTTACTTGACGTTCCTGAGCATGGTAAGCAATAAGTTTGATACACTAGCAACATTAAGTATGGAGTGGTACCTTTCTGAAAATCAAGGTTGCACAGGCCCTTACATGCCTTGTAATTATCCCCTCGATTTTCAGTGTTTGTAACAGCCTCCAACTTCTTTGCTTTTTTGTACAAGTACGATAATTTGGTTGCTCTGTTATTGAAATTGAGATGCTCTGTGAATCCATGTCATTCGGTCGTTCGATTTTCAAAATAAAACCAAAAATGAAAAAACAAGAAAACGATTCATTTTCCAAATATTCGTCTCTTAAATAAAAATGAAAAAACGGATCACGGCTCATTTTCCGTATCAGACACACAGCTTTTGCCATCCTGAAAACAGTGCTGTGTGAGCTCTGAATAATTCTCGAGTCCAGCCGTGATGCCAAAGCCCGTTTCTTGTTCTCTTGATGTCTGAGTAAGGTTCACACAAAACTTTCTGTAGACGAAAAATTGTAAACCAGATAAAACTGTCGGTATGTATCCCATTTTCATTTGAGCAGAAAGAAAATGAAAAACCGGAAAATGAGCCATTATCTGTTTTTTCATTTTCGTTAAAGAGATGAATTTTTAGAAAACAATTAGTTTTTCTAGTTTTTTAATTTTTGGTTTTATTTTGAAAATCGATACACAGATTTCTGTGTTGTGTCTCAACCATATTTGACAGAAGAAACCTTACTTTGTAGAAAACAAAAACTTCAAAACAAAATGAGAATACAATCATTGTGTCTCCTGAACATGCCTTTACCAGGCGTCTTTCTGGTAATAACAGTTTCATAACGGACAGAAAAAAAGGTAGACACGTCACCGTCAGCCACACGGTTATAATCACAAAAACTACAGTAAAAATGTCCAAAATCAGGGACAACGGTTCAGCTCAGCTGGTGGAGCAAGAGTAGGTTTGACTCTCAGCCTGTCTCTCGTCAGCTTTCCCGTCTAATAAAAGTATAAGGTTTGAAAATAACTTTTAAAAAGGATTGCTATCATTGTTTTACTTTGTGGTTATTACTGCCACTGCAATTTAAAAACTAATTCTAAATAAACTTGACAGTCCATTTTCCGTTACACACCCAAAGCAAATAAAACCAACCTGAGTGAGTCAATTCAGACCCATCAAATAAAGGCAAGGAGCAGGAGGAGGAATAGGAGGAGGAGGAGGTGTAGGCTACTGCGAGCCCTTTGCTGTACAGCAGCTGCTGTAACTTTGTATTAATAGTAGATGAACATAGCAGACAGGAAAGCTCTACCTTTTAAACTGTCTGTACAGGAAAAACCCTGAGAGCAGCTCTGAGCAGAGTGATCTCTGAATGCTAATGTCCCACTCTCCTCACACACTCTGACCACAAAGCAGAGTGGCAGAGTGCACATTACTTGACAAGTGTTTTTGTCCAGATGACAAAATTATTATTATTTTATTACATCTCAAGTGCAGCTAATCAAACATCTCTTGGCAGGAACTGTAGGCAGTTTCGCTAATTACCGAGCCGCTCATCTCGGCAGCTGGAGTGGTTTTGTCCAAGGGTTTCCATGTTTTCCTTTTGTGCAGCAGTAAAATGTTTCGACTTAAGTGTGGTTGTTTGTGTTTTTTAACTGTAGTGTGAAAGAAACAGGATAAACATTGTTTTCAAATGGGAACACTGCCCAAGGGAAACGAATGAAAAGATGATATTGCAGTGAAAAAATGAAGTATAGACTCGGCTTGTTCCTGATAGAAGCAAAGTACAGAACGATGATTGAAAACAGTGTTAAAAATACTAATTTCTGCAAAAAAATCTATATTTTAGTGCTCATCAAAAATAACTAGCTTGTGTATGTAATTCTGCTTGAACTTAAAAAAAAATCATCCCTCAGCTTCTTTCCATCGCCACCTCACATCCCGCTGATATCCTCTCTGGTGATTCTGCAGCTGTCGCCTTTTCTCCCCCTGGTGTATAACCTTTTAGCAAATCTAAGATGACATGATTCAGCCCTTGATAGTGTCACTAATTTCCCTGCTCTTCTTTTTCAGATCTGCATGCATGGTGATCTCCACATCTGTGGGTGATCCTCAGTCACCATGAAAGACTAGGAACTCAGCTCTCCGAGGGAAATGGCCTGTTTTGTAATACCCCTGCCCTGTTACCAGGCACATGACTTCAGCCGCCTCTGAAGGGCCCGTCAGCTGTTTTATGGGAACTACCACTGCGTTTGCATCCTTGAGGATTTAAGCTTTTCCAGGAACACACTTTTTTTTTTTTCTTGTTGTTGTTTTACCCCCGCCGTTGAGCCAAAGCAGAGAGTGGGGAGGCGGCAAGACAATGGCGAACAACTCGTACAGTGGGGTGAAGAACTCCATGATGGAGGCCAACCATGATGGAGAGTTTGGCTGCACGCTCAAAGAACTGCGCTCCCTGATGGAACTGAGAGGAGCGGAGGCGCTTAGCAAAATTGGGGAATCTTATGAGGATACTCAAGGACTCTGCAACCGGTTAAAAACATCACCTATAGAGGGTAATACTTCCTCTACACTAAGCATGATTAATGGATCAAATACAGGATGTTATCTAAACTCTGCTAGTAGCCAGTGCTGCTGGAATGCTAATGTGCTGCATAGTTTAGGAGGCGTGTCATTGGCTCTGTCATCCACATTGTGGATACCTTGACATCACTTCCTTGGAAAACTCATATGCCAGACAGGTGGCCGGGCAGGCTGGCTCTGACCTGGGCCAGTCCTGCTCTATTTCTAGGCCTGTGGATACGTCCCTCTCACCCTCTCTCTCTCTCTCTCTCTCTCTCTCTCTCTCTCTCTCTCTTTTCACCTCTGTGTCTCTGTGTGTGTGCACGTCTCTGTGTGTAGGCTTCAGACAGACCAGCTGTCTGCCTGGGCACAGCACCAGGCTGCAGGCAGGTCAACGTCCCACATGTGGCGGACTAAACAGGAGGCTGGGTAGTAATGACTTGAACATGTTAGGGAAGGAGTGAGTTCATCTTTTGAATGTCTCCTCTGTTTGTTACTCCTAAACTCAGCACACAAAGATTATTTCGCGATGCTGGGAGCTCTGAGGAAAAATGGCCAGTCACAGGCTGCAGTCGAACCCCACTTGTGCAGAGGTGGTCCAGAGGTCCCTCTTTTTGTTTTGTTTTTTTTTGCCGTTTTCTACCACTCTATTTTCCCTCTGTCTCGGTTTGTCTCTCTATAGACAGTCGGCCTAATCGCCAGCATGACCTTGACTGAACTCTTATGGGAGGGGATTTTCAGTTTGATCCCAGATTAAAACGGCACCGCACATTCACTGCGGCAGCAACAGTCCTCTATTCACCGTCTCAAAAGCAAGGAAACAAATTTCCTGGGCTATATCAGACCAAGAGGAATGCAATAAATACCAAATGATAGAGCAACACAAAACATCTCAGGCTATCAGTACCTCACTGTTTAATTTTTGACCTTTCATTTATCGACTGCACAGCGTACATGCACTCTCTCTCTCTCTCTCTCTGCTTTCACTTGTTGTTGCGGAGGCTAGAAGGCTATTGTCTGGGGCTGAGGACAAATTGCTGAATAGGAATTTGCCTGTTGAAAGAGAGCGTGAGTTGTCCAAACATGCATGTAGCTGTGTCAGGTGGGTGAACATGGAGTCCTGTCATATTTGTAGAGTGAGTGACATTCACTGTTTCACAAGTGCACTCGTCCTACCCACGTAACTACGATGCACTCTGCTACAAAAGAAGCGGGATAGTTTAATCCTGCTTGCATTTTTTGCACTTTTGGGACAATATTGATTAATCTGTAGGTGTGTAAAGTGGGTAAAAAGTAGAAATAACTGTGTCCTAAATGTGAATTTATCACAAACCTATGCTTTAGCTGTATACAGCTTGAGTTCTGCAGCCTGTTTTTAACTGATTTCAGGTCATAAATCGGGTTTTAAGAACGGGAAAAGACTTAGTTGTGTCTGTGTTCCAATTGCAAACATATCTTTTACACTTTAGCCAGCTGCCCAACAAAACAAAACCTGCCTTTTCCAAAATGTTCCAAATATTAGCCGCATTTATTTGTAACTGTACCGTGCTGATAAGCTCGAACAGATCCTGGTTTTGTTTCCCCCCCTCGCAGCAGGTTGCTGTTCCACTTGGTCGGCGGCCACTCAGCTTTTTTCTTTTCCACTTCCACTTTCAATCAGCTCATTCCTCATTGGCTTGGGAAATTAAGCCATCATTTAAGATTACAGGAGCTTGACAATTGAAAAGGGATTTCTAATTAGTTGGTTGGCCATTTCTGGAACCTCTTAAGCCAATCCTCGGCTAATCCCCCCACGTTTTCAAGCGCTTTTTCCTCACCCAAAGAAGTTCCACTGAACTTCTGTGTTGCAGCTGTGCTCGGATGTACCACTCCACGTCAACTAATTTTTCAGCTTGGATTAGGCTAAATATAATTTATGCTGCTGGTTCTGTTCTACCACTCAAGGCTGGCTGTTTTTGAGATCAGTTAGATTGCAATTCATGGTGATGTGATTCAAATTGAATTTGCTAATTAACACACTAATGCTTTGAGTTGGAAAATTATGCACTTTCAACAATAGGCTTTCTAAAGTGTAACAATGAGTGCAGCCAAAGTCTTATTCAAATATTACATTTGTCTGTTTGACAAACCATTAACCTGTCACAGTGCTGTGTTGTAGCTGAATGAGGGTGAAGTCAGAGTGGCAAAAATCGCAGAACATTTCAACCCCGTATGGATGATATTTCCTCCAACACATCAGCCCGCTGCTATTTTTTGTGATGTACTTCCTAAACAAACCCGTTTCCATAGTGATGAGGATCCTCTTGTGTGGTGGAGAGTGGTGGTTTACTCATACCTGAAGGTTGTACAGTTGGCTCAGTGTCTTTTTTCCGATGCAGAACCACTTTGCATGCAAACTTGTATTTTTCTATTCTCCACTAAGTCTCAGTCTCAATCAGTCTCTGTTCATTTGGAGTTGTCAGGCTCAGTTTAGTAACTGGAAGGATACATTTAAAGAGGAACTCCCCGTTTCAAACACACCAAACCAGTCCACTCATTTTGGAAAGTTGTACTCGGCCTGTGAAAACACTAGTGCTCTGTCATCTGTGGTTCTTGTAACTGATGACTGGGACTCAGAGATGACACATAGAAACTGTAAGTCTGCATGTCACGCTTGGAGTAATGAGCTTGAAACCATGAAGTTTCACAAAGATATCAGATGCTGGCAGGACACGTCTTGACATCTTAAATTTGTTCATAGGATAGTCTAGTAAAAATGAGGTATCTCCAAAACAGAATTACAGACTCTAGGTTAGAATAACTAGACCCCTGACCCAAATGCTAACACAGAAATAAAGCCCATATCACATTTGACTTTGTCATAAAGAGGCCAATTTTTTTTACCCCAGCAGCAAATGACTTCTATATTAGTTTTTTCTTCATCCATTTTCTTAATTTTCAAGCACAATTTTTAAAAACTATGGTAGTCTCAAAAAAGACAAACGTATTTGGGTACAGCCACAAGAGTCTCTGTTTACCAAGCCAGTGTACAGTAGCCCTGTGTAAGTAGGGATGTCCTGATTGGCTATTGATATCGGATATCGGTCCGATATCAGCAAAAAAATCTACAGTTGGGTCTTGATAATTCATCAAACAATGAGCGTGGTCTGGACCTGCTCTTGTTCTTTAAAAAGCGTCTTGGGATGACGACTGTTGTGAATTGGCGCTATGTAAATAAAATTTGATTGATTGAAAAAAATGAATATAGGATTATATCGGCTGCATCAAAGTAGCAAGAAGTAGGAGAGATGTGGCTGTATTTTAAGTCTAATTCCGAAAGATGTTGCTGATGAATGCAAAACTTGTCATGCACAAGTTTGTGCTAATATCAGATCGATATCGGTATTGGCCAATACTGAAGGCTACAATATCGTTATCGTATCGGAAGTAAAAAAGGTGTATTGGGCACATGGGACACCCCTATGTGTTAGACTGCTTTATGTGATTGTTGAACTTAAATGTCAATCTGATGGGTAAAGTTACCTTATGTTTACCAGCTACGAAGTGTTTAAATAGAAGGCGATTATTTTGCACTTATTAGAGGCTCAAAAAAGATGCATACTTTTTGGGGATAACTGACACAAGACACCTTCACACACAAAAAGCGGAAAGCTGTCCCTGGCAGACTCTCTTTGGCGTGAAGGGAAGAACTGCTGCTGTGTGGGTTACTCCTGTTTTATAGCCCTGCTCGATGAGTCAGGACATCTGAGCCTCTGTTCTACCAGTTGTGACCATTCTTGTTGCTTTGAATCTGTCTCTCATGAGTCCTCCAGCTGTTTGTAAAAGAAATGTTAAGTCACAGGAGGATCGTAATGACAAAATTCCCATCTTTTAGCACATTTTCTCAGCAGTGAATATCGCAGCCATGGGTCATTGTATTGTGCTCCGCAAAGTGTATCCAGATGTCGACACTCGTGTTTAAAGATGTTCTTCTGGGCCCCGTTGTTGATGCTTGAAGATGCAGGGATAATGTTTGCTGAAATCACACTGAAGTATCAATATTTTCAGCTGGCTCTGCAAACGCAGCAGCATTTCTTTAATATCCCATGGCATGCTCTATTTCCTCTGCATAATAAGACCTATCAAATGGCCACTTCACATCAATATTATTGACGGTATCCCCCTACTTTTCACAGCCATCCCCTGTTGATTGCTATTTTAGTGTAGTCAAATATTTGGGTTGCAGCCTATTGATCTGATCGGCGCGGGGCTGAGAGGCTTGCACAATTGAACCACATTTCACAGAGGCTGACAGGCTCTGTGGATCCGTGATGCCAGACACCACACCCCCTCATTCAACAGGGAGGTTCAGGCTGCGAAATGATAGTTTACTCTTTTGTTATTCAGAGGGACCGGATAATTTGTCTGCGTGTCTGAATGCAGAGCGCTAAACGCTGTTGACAAGTCCTGTCTTTCATCTTCTCAGAGGCCTAGTTCGGTTCTGTCATTCTCATCATTTAAAACTGAATTTCATACAGTGGTGTTTTTTGTACAAACATGTCACACATGTGGTTTCAGCTTAGACATGTGGCTTTTTTTTTTTTTTTGCTTTTTCTTTTTTTGGGTCAGACTGTTTGATTGAGCAAACCCTCAGTTAGAAATGTGATATAAGTCTAGAGAAAGTCCTAATTATTACATGAGAATAAAATCCGCATAACACTGTATTTGGGAGGGAAATGAGTATGCTGCACTATTGTTCCATTTAAGGAACAAAGCCCTGCTCATTAGCACACAATCTGCTTATGTACAAAAAGGAACCAAAACACTCTTATCGCTTTTAAATAGAAAAGAATTACATTGGAAAATATTTGATAACACTTGAGCCGGTTGAAGTGTAAGAAAACACCTCAAATGTAACAAACTAATATTATTGTGTCCTCAATCTTTTTGACACACATTGTGTTTTTTTTCTGCTAATTATCTGGGCTAATATGATGAAACCGACACGGAAACCACCATTTTGGGTTGACCTTTCAGCGATGTTAAAACTGTAGTTTCATGTTTCTCCACTTGTGACATTTTTACAAAGGTGGCTGAAGATCTTCATTAGCCTTTAAAATCCTGAATATGTAAGAATCTTAGAGCTGTCTGCGTATTTGAGTTTAACAAGGGATGATCTGAAGCAAATGATTTCCCCGAGTGTAAAGGTGAGAAAACACTCAGTTGTTCAACTCTATGGATGCTTGTTAACTGCTGCACTACAAGATGCTGTCTGTCATCTATGTGTGTGTCTACTTGCAGGTAGTAAATCATTACAGCATTAGGACTTAATTAGCCATTACCAGAGCTCAGACACATTATTCACAGGACTCTCAGACAGCCGACAAAGTCTCTTCAGTTTCTTATCGTCTATTTTACCTGCACTTGTCTTTTGTTATCAAGCAGAGATTCGCAAGCAGCTCTTGGAGAGGCAACAGCCACCATGTTGCCACCACAATACAGCCAGGCTTAGTAAAAATAATGAAAAGGTGTCATTTTAAGATGTTTTTTTTAATCAGCACTCTGCATTTTTTATCATGAGAATTATGACTCACCCCTTCAGAACAGGCCTGTTGTAATAAAAATGATAATCATTGTTTGGCCCAGCTGTAAATCCTGTGGAGATGAGGGTGACAGTGTTAAATTGTTCATATTATATTTTTTATGCGTGTGTGTATAATTCAGAAGAGGACTGAATATAGCAGAGAGTAAAAGTAGAGCACTCTTAAGCCTTGGATACAGCATGAAACGGGGGTCAGGTACGGGACACTGTACCAGCCTATGCTTTGATCTGTTCCTGTAATTGTATGCTGGGGGAATTTGAGCTTGTTTTGGTAAAATCAGTTATTTTTGATGCTCTGAAAGAGTTTTTGACATGGCAAGTGGCACTATTCTGCAACCAAAATGGTTTAGTATTAATTTACTGTGTGATCTATCTTGAGCAAGGTCAGCAGTGATGGTGCAAAATTCAGGCCATCTTTCTGAGAACCCAACGATTATCCCTCTTCTAAAGAGATAGCAAGCCTGATTCCTCACTTTGTTGTGTTTTTCTTTATATTTGCCTTTCAGAAATTAGATTGCGCTGACAAACTCTAGCTGGTCCTGAGCGGCATGTTGGCTCATCGCAGCTGTGAAAAGCCGCTGAAAGAAAAGCAGTGATCCTATTTCCTTCAGTTATGACAGAGTGAGAGTGAAGTCTTACCTTGACCCCCCCAGTGGCGGCTGAAATGACAGTGCTGTGAGGGGTCAGCTGGGGACAAGCATCCAAATTAAATGGTTAATGATTAGCTGCTTGACTTGAGTCGGACTCTGGCTGCTAAAAGGATGTGAGAGGCCAAGGACGGCCTATTTTCTGTCTGTGTATCCAGCCCAGAGACGACATGTTGATCGTCCTCTGTCACTTGTATTTACTGCTCTAATGCAAAGGGAAAACGTGGTGTAAAATTGAATGGGGTATTAGCTGTCAGCATGTTTTCATTAGAGGCGTAGTGAATCAAAGCAGACGGTGAGAGACAGCCAGGGAGCAGCAACAGGCAGCTATGCAGGATAAACCCAGTAGCCTTTTCATGTGCGGCGCTGATGAGTCATCTTCATTCTTCTCACCTCCCTTTTAGAAAAGTATGTGTTAGCATTGGGTTGTAATGTCAATTAGCAATGTACCTAGATTATTTCCTTCTTTTGATGGAGAGGAATAAAACATTTAAAGTGAGCAGCGAGTACGAATGTGAAAATCAAACCCAGAGGCTGTTAAAGCTCGTCTTTCAAGTTGAATGTCGTCTGTGTTGTAATTGATGTAATTTGATTATTATGTTTGAATTACGAAGGGAGTGGAATTACTTCTCTAAAGCTGAGAGGATGACTCACAAATTAGTTTTTACTACGACTGATATGTTATCAACAACTGTGTGAAAAATTAAAGCTCTGCATCAGACAACAAGGCCTTTCACACTGGGATTGATTTTCTAATCTCTTTTTGAGATTTCAAATGACACCCCGAAACTATTCAAACCCACGAAATCACACAAGAAGAATCCCAGCTCGCAGCCTTACTGTTTCCATATTTTTGTCATATTTTTTTATATTACGATATTTAAGAATGTGGTCATTATTTTTGGAGTTTTGAACGAGTTGTGTGTACAAATGAAAACATCTTCAATGCATCCCATACATGTAGGAACATCTGAATTTGAAACTGGAATCGATTTAAAGCTACGGTGAGGAATTTTTAGTTTTTATTACCTTTGGTGCCCATCAGTGGACAAAGCAGTCTCAAAACAGTTAAATGAATTACATATTGAGAATCTGTGCTGCATCAGATGTTAAAATAAACAAGTAAATAAAAGGCTGTTAGGGCTGGGCGATAAACTGAAAATTTACCGATACCGAAATTTATGACATCATTTTGCCCATATTGGCATAATCGGTGTCAAAAAATAAATAAATAACAGTTGGTTTTGGAAGTGTGTAGGTAGGCTATGGTCTCATGTCCCTTTTAAGACGCTGTCCTATGTCAGAGTCCGTAAAAAAGAGGGAAAGACAGATGAGGAGATGGAGGACGGTTCAAAAGTTGTGGCGGCTGAAGTAGATAAAGTTAATGTGGGAGGGGGTGAGCAGCTTGTGGAGTAGTTATCGTCCATTTATCGTTACTGAGGTGAACTGATCAATATATTGTGATATTGATTTGAGGCTATATCGCCCAGCCCTAGGTTGAATCCTTTCTGCGACACCAGCTGATTGAGGCATTTTTTAAAAAATGCAATACTCTTGCTTTAACTCTGAAGAAACTACTATTACTTTATCGAAATAGTCTGTATTAGAGTTTGAGGTTTCTTTTACTTTTGTAAGTGAAACACAGAGGAGAGTTTCCACACACCTGACTGGGGGACTTCAGCAGTGTGCGGGAGTTCCCTCTGTACAAAGCTCTTGTAACTCATAAAGAAGCACCAACATTAATTTCACTCAGTTTCATAACCATGAAAATGCCACCTTGCTTTAACATTTAGTGTCAGTGAGGCACGAACAACGGTTTACAACTTTACATTTGCCTTTATAGAAGTGTACCTATAAACCTTAGCTGCAGGGCACTGTAAACAGCGACTGTTTGAAGATCATTGATTTAGTGTGAAGACTGTATGCGGTTTGAGCGACAGCAAGGGTTTGAAAAATCTAAATGAAATCAATCAGGGAATATCTGTGGACTATAATGAAGATAGTTACCAAAGGTCTTTTGTAGGGGTGGGAATCACATTATCTTACTATACGATATGTTAAACTGTCTGTTTTCCTGTCCTCTCAATTGAAGCATAACAGCCTAAAAAATGATAAAAGCACAGGTCCACATGGGTGTCATGAAGTAATGATTCGATAAGTTGGATTTAGAGTGAAATCTGCACGGGGTGCCATAAAAAAAGGTGGTATTTGGCACAAGTAATACAATAACTATATTGCTTTATATTAGTCAGTAGAACAACATACTGCCTTGTTGTATTTCTGGAAATCAAGTTTGCTTTTTGCATTTTTTCAATGTGGCTGAGTGTCTTTGATTATTTATTCTCTCCAGCATTTTAGATTACACATTTAAGAACAAATAAGTCAAATCAGGACAGTCAGGCGGAGTAATAATCACTCATAATCTCCACAAATTGCAGTAAATTATGTGTTAAAAGGACAAATCCGCACCCATGATTATACTGCCAAAATCACTTCAATCACATTTGTATCTGCTCCTTTTGTTTCGTATTTGTTTTGTCTTGATAAGTAGAATCTGCAAAATGTCTCCTGTGATAGCTTTGTCTTTATTACCAGAAAAGCGAGCTCATTAAAATGTATTTTACTCTTAATTTCTGCATATTTATTCTGCCAACCACAAGATATTAAGTTCATTTAATTACAACTATGAGCAGTCAGATTCAGAGGCAGTAATGTGAGGCATGTTCGCTCAATAATCTACTGAAAGAAGATCGAAATGGTTTCATTATTCCTCTGTAAAAGAAGGTGAAGGGTTGTATTTTCATATTTAGTACTGTCCTCCATTTACTGTTGTTACTGCACAGACTCATTATTCAAATCCTGAGTCTGGATTTGCATTGGACCTCTAGCCTGAGTGAGCGAGTGTGTGTGTGAGTTAGTGTGTGTCTGTCCTTCCCTCTGTCTGTCCACACCTTGACCCCGCTGGTCCCTTTCCCTATTAAGACTCAGCTATTCCGAGTGCTGCTTCCCCTTCAGCCGTCAGGAGCTCCTCTCTTTATTAGTCTCAGCACCCTCACCCGCCCCCCATTTGTCTGTCAGCCACACTTTCACAGTCGCTCTTCCATGGCCCCCCCCCTTCCGCACACACAGTTCTGTTAAGTCCACACAGCCCTTCACACAGTTTCCCGGGCATGAATAGAGCTGGAAAACTATCATGCATCATCAAATGTGCGAAAGCCCCTTTGAATGTATGACCGTGCCTTGAATGTGTAGGCATGTGAATAGAGTGGGGGCTGCAGAGTGCTGTCTGCGCACATGGGTGAATGAATGGGTCCTCTAGCCATCCAGACGTGTGATGTGTCAGAGGGATGAGTCTACCGCAGGACAGTAACACACCTGTGATTCTACAGCTGATTTTACATCAGTGTGTGGGATTAGATTGGGCCTGTTTTTACTTATTCTGCCTGTGTGTAAGAGGTAAAAATGTCCAGTGTGCTGAAAAAGTGTGTGTCATTGTTGCCCAGCATTGTTGCCCCCCTGTGAGAAATGCTCATTCCTCATCGGTGGGGTGTATTCAAAAGCCTGATGACCTTTCGATTTTCGGTGAAAAGTGCTAGTAACACGCCCAAGCATGTATCCTATTATACCCAAACTACACTGCATACAATTAGACTTTTCTGATTCATGTATTTGTTGATTGGTTTTCAGTTTGTATTCATGGCAGTGAAATCTTTTTTTTTTTTGTGTTTGTCTCTCTCTTTCCAGGTCTAAGCGGACAGCCCACAGACATCGAGAAGCGGAAAACAGTGTTTGGGCAGAATTTTATACCGCCCAAAAAACCCAAAACTTTCTTACAGTTAGTGTGGGAGGCGCTACAGGATGTCACACTGATTATCCTAGAAGTGGCAGCCATAGTTTCACTAGGCCTTTCTTTTTATAAACCTCCAGATGCCGAAAGAGAACGTAAGCAACAACAACTCTTTATTGATTTATGCCCATCTTTCATCTTATGTAAATGTTTCTCTTTCTTGTGTCTGCTTCATTTATCGAGCTAATTTATCATTTCATAGTAAAATCTGAACACGAGCCAACTCTCAAAGCGTTTAGCGCTGTATTTATTTGTTTAAATTGGCACCTGAGTGGCAGGATGATGTGATAAGCTGCTTGATTCAACGGCGTACCTCGTTGTGTTAATTTCTGCCCCTGTGCCTCTGCAGACTGTGGGAGGGCAGCTGGCGGTGTGGAGGATGAAAATGAGTCAGAAGCAGGGTGGATCGAGGGCGCCGCCATTCTTCTGTCAGTTATCTGCGTGGTGCTGGTGACGGCGTTCAACGACTGGAGTAAAGAGAAGCAGTTTCGGGGGCTCCAGAGCCGCATCGAGCAGGAGCAGAAATTCACCGTCGTCCGTGGAGGACAAGTCATCCAAATTCCTGTGGCTGAGATTGTGGTGGGCGACATTGCACAAGTAAAATATGGTGAGAAGTGATTTACAGCTTTGTTTTTGTTTGTGTCTCTGCTCTTTAAAAGCAAATCTAATGATCCAAATATCAATTTATCACTCACTACAAAGTAAAAAACTCCCGACTCACCGAAAAAAAACTGCATGTGGTGCATAACTGTTCTTTCAAATCAAAACACTTCCTTGTTTGGTGCATTTCAGGTGACCTTTTGCCTGCCGACGGAGTCCTCATCCAAGGCAACGATCTCAAGATCGACGAGAGCTCACTCACGGGAGAGTCGGACCATGTCAAGAAAACACAAGAAAAAGATCCTATGCTGTTATCAGGTAACCTAAAGGCATCATTTTTTTCTCTTTGCTGGTTGGTGCCAAAGACAAAGATGATTTGTCTTTGTCTCACTTGTGCAGACATTTTCACATAGCCTATCATAAATGCTCTACAGTATTTCCAGACACCTCCAAGAAGTTCATCTTAATAATGAGATACACATAATTTTCAAAGTCTGGCCTTAAGTGAGTCCAGCCTCAATTAAAAAGGAATGACCCTTTTACAATTATATCATGTAAAACCCAGTTAATTTTTCAAACGTTTAAAAATGGAGGTCAATGGGGGAGCCGACCCTTCTTTCCCTTTTAAAAATTAATTTGATAATTAAAATGAAGTGCGTCCGTTTTTTTCAACAGGATGTTTGATCTGCTGTCTGCAGCTTCCCAGACTTCAAACCCGGGAGTTGACCTTTGACAGACCGGGCCAGACTGTCATCAATGAGGCCGTTTGACAGGATTAGCTAACAGAGTTCTCAACTATAGGAGCAACTTATTGGTTTTAGTTTTAAGGCTTCAAAGCCCGAACACTTAATTTTCACCAGCTGACTTTCAGAACATCTGAATTATTGAAAGTGAACCAGGCACTGACTCTGAAAGATAGACATTGACGAAATAGACAATAATAAACTTTTGTCGTGAAACATAATAATGAACATAAAATACCATACTTTTCGGGCGATAAGGCGCACCAGATTATTCGGCGCTCTGTGAATATACATGTCTTTGTTCACACATGAGGCGCACCGGATTGTAAGGCGCATTAACCGTTGATTGGTTTAGTGGTGCTAGCGCGTACTCTGGGCCCAGGCTGCCTAACATGAATGCACTTTTAATTTAGACATTACTGTCAGGCAGTGTTGCAGACTGCTCAGGGGTCCTGTTATGGGGCCGATCAGGTAGTGACACAGCATACTGTAATGCTCCGAATATCCATTGAGGGGAGTGGCTTTGTTGCTCACCAAAGTCGTACAAATGCACTTCGGCAGATTTTTAAGTGCATTTCACCACATAAAATCAGTCAATGAGCACAACAAGTAATCATACATAAGGCGTGCTGAATAATAAGGCGCATTGTCAATTTTTGAGAAAATTTAAGGATTTTAAGTGTGCCCTATAGTCCAAAAAAAAAAAATGGTAATAACATGACAGTTTATATCATAAGAGCAAAATTTAAAAAGCAAATATTTTAAGTAATTTCTGAGTTTATTTTCAGGCTTTTTGACTTTATTTTGGAGATAAGTCAGTGGATGAAGTATGAGTAGGAAGTATGAAAATGGGCAGAGAGATTGGGGAGTGATATACAGCAAAGGGGTGCAGATGATGCAATATGATCATAGATTTTGATATTATATATAGTTATTTAACCATCCAACACTCCCCAGCTTTAATGCTGTTCTAGCTTCATTATATCCACACACTGAGTCCACTATATGCTCTCAAGGCTCTGCTGGTCCTCTGTCAGTGCTGTCAGATAGCTCTGTAACTGCTCGGTACCTCAGTAAAAGGGTGTTTGGATCCTGGAGGAGCACAGGTGTTTCAGTTCATCCGGCTTCCTACTCCCAAGCCTCCTAAAGATAAAAGTGCTGCACTCCGTGTGTGTTTGTGCGTGCGTGTGTGTTCGCGTGTTAGTGAATGTGTGTGTATGTGTGTATTGCTCCACCACTGCTTTCTGATTTCCCTCAACACCGGCTGTGTCCCTTCTGTCATCACTCTCCTGAATGAAAGGAAAACATCCTCTAATTAACACAGGCATGAGAGAAATTTTATACGCTTTCCACCTCTCTGTTTCTTTTAACATCTCTTCTGTTATTTTGTTTTCCTGCTCTTATCCACAAGATCTTTTTCCTGTGTCCTTAGAGGGACAGAGACCCAGAGATATTAAACTGTTTTAGCCTCTCAGATTTCCATTAATTCACCCACAGCGACGATTGGCTTTTGATTAAAAGCTGCTGATGAAAGGTTTGGAGAGTATGTGCATTAGTGACTGTGGTTCTTTCCCTGCTTAATTGCAAATGCACAATTCCTTTGGTATCTGTTGCATCTATTTAAAAATGACATTTGTGTGTAGCTGGAAATGGCACTTCAACAAAATCTGGCTCAGCATTAAGTCTAAATTTAGAGGACAAGATTCAAATCACAAATTAAGATAGAAAGATGTGTTAGGCCAGAGTTAAAGCTGCTGCTAAACAAAGAGAGACATAATTTACTAATCCTTCTGTAGGGTTTCTGTGAACGTTGTTTTCTTCTCGCATTTAATGACTCACGTTTTATTTTCCTCCGTCTGTCCAAAGGCACTCATGTAATGGAAGGCTCAGGGAAAATGGTGGTCACTGCTGTGGGTGTCAACTCTCAAACTGGAATTATCTTTACTTTACTCGGGAGCGCTGAGGAGGACGACGAAGACGAAGAGGAGAAGAAGAAGGAAAAGGAGGAGAAGAAGAAACAAAGAAAAAGTTAGTATCCTCACTGCTTATCCCCCCTCTGCTAGGATGATATGTTTGTGCACACATTGCCATTTTTCTTCCACCAGTTTTGTACCTCACATAAAGATCACATCATTTCCCATTAAGACTTTTTGAATACTAAAACAACAAAAAAAGAGTTACATGCATGCTTTTGGGTTCATTACCTCTGCAAGTTGAGGTCACGTTTGTCAGAGCTCAGATTGCAGATGCAAAGGTCCATAGGCTAGCTTTTGCAAGCTCTGCAAACATTATCGTTTGATAATGTCTACAAAATAAGAAAAATGCATGAAAAATTTGCCCCTTGTATAACTCCAGAACTGTCTCTCCCAAGTTGATGTCTTCTCATGTCTTTTATTGTTAAAACCAATAATCCACAAGGGTTTAATGTCAAAGCAGACAAAGCAAACCTTTACCTTCACTTTAAAGAAGTTGGAAAATAGTTAAGATTTGTGCTCAAAACTAAAATTAAAATGTTATTTGGTTATCAAATGAAGTTGATTAACTGGTGTGACTAACTCATGATTATAGTCATGTACAGAGCCAGACTTGAAGGTTGTAGGATTTTAGACAGGAGACATAACGGGAGCATTTGACCTTAAAATCACAGCAGAATATCGCCCTTGCCTCTTTTTAACTTTATATTCAGAAATTACTCATGAATAAACATGTCAATATCATTTTAAGATAGAGGTTAATATTAAGGTTACCATGTATTTCCTGCTGCTGATTCCATGTTATATAATATCCACAGATAAGAAGCAGGATGGATCTGTGGAAAATCGTAAGAAAGGTTAGTTGCTTGCCCACACACACACCCGCTCAAGTACACTTATAGCCATATATAATTGTCTTACAGCTTAGCGCCTACATTGGTGTATAAGCCCTTAGCTATATTCATGTCTCCCTCCTAATATAACAGCGCTTGATGTAGGTTAAAGCTTCAATTTGTGCTTAATTGGCTGCAGTATAAGTGTTGCCATTGCGTGGAGCTGCATGTCTCTGCATGTCAGCGCATATGTGGCACGCGTCCGTCTTGTCCCATCCATTGTCCTGTCTGACCCTCCCTCCTGTCTTTCTCTCTCCTCGTTTCTCGTCCTTCCCCGGCACATTGCGCTTTGAGCAGCAGGTGCTACTGAATCCAGTTATAGCGATTAGTGGTGAGGAGATTAAAGCCATGCAACAATTCTGGGGCCAGAACATCTGCTTTCCCACCCATCTCTCTCTCTCTCTGTGCGACTCTCCCTCCGGCCCCCTCAATTTGATTTTTATCGATGCCCCAATCTGAACCATACGCAGTCAAACTGTCACACTCGCTTTGGTGCAATCTCAGACTGACAACAATGATAATGAGGCTCTTTTTTTGGCAACTCGGACAGCTCGGCCCAGCCCGTAGTCCTGCCGGGGCGCTGTGATCAGTAGTGCTTGGGTCTGTGGCCACAACCCTGGCGCTAGTCCCTGGTGCACAGATTCCCTCTGCCTGCCAGGAATCAACAGTAATCCTTTAGACTGAGATTACACAGGCCATGTAAGTGCAGAACAAGCCACAGTCCACAGCAGCTGCAGTAGCCCAGTGCTAATGCCCCTCCTCTTCCTGCTACATACATTCACACACAATGCCACACTGCAGGTCATGCCATAGTAAACAGAGCTTTTAGCATTGCCAAATTGGACATGGAGCTGCAGAAGCTTAAAAAAAAAAAAAAAGACACAAATATAAAAAGCAGTGGGTGAGAGATGGCAAAAGATGTGACAGTTGTCCTGCTGCAGCAGCAGAAAGCAGCAGTAGTTTCAGTGCCCGGCTGAGCTAATGATTTTATCAAAGTGAGCGACACGGCAGAGAGCAGCCCCCGCTGGCCCTGCTGGCTGCCTCTCCTCCCCTCCCTCCTCTGCCATTAGAGGCACTGCGTCTCCAAGGTTACCTGGCTAGATGCAGGTTTGGGATTCCCGTCAGTCCTACTCGCACGGCAGGGGGGGGTCCTGAGGGACGCTGGGGAAGAGATGAAAGAGATTTATGGGAATTTAACTGGCAACGAGTGCTGGTGGTGGAAGTAGGAGGCGATTCCTCCGATGCTGCAAGCTAGTTAACCTGTTCTTTAAATCTCAAGGTGGGAGTATGATAATTACACTTCCAAATCTTGCTGCTAATTACTGAGCCGTCAGATCACGGCGAATATAATTACAGTGACATTTCCCAAGTTCCATGACAGAAAGAGACAAAAAGTGTTTAAACTTTGAGTGATGTGGCATCTCTGTGACTCTTAAACTCTCCTCTCATTAAAGCCGTTTCCCTCAGTTGTAGTTCGGTTTTTACTTGATCATCTTCTGAGGAAACTTTCTGCAACTTGAAACCGACTAAATCAAATAACCAGATCACTTGGAAATCAAATCTAGTACAAACCTGTTGTTGATATTCTTGTCAAGTGAGCAAATGAACACGGACAGAGGAAGATTGCTTTGGATACACGGTTTGTTTGTAGTCTGGGGAGGTTCTTTAATTTCAAATTTTCCAAATTTGATCAAAATGACATCTCAACTGCGTTCCTCTTGTGCCTAAAAGCAGCTCTTGTGTTTCCTCTTCGGTTGTGCTGATTTTGCTACATCTGGCGAACTGGCGGTGCTCTTTCCGTGAATCCTGGAATCACTTAGACTATGAAGACACCGAACACAATATTGCTATTGTATGAAAATCAAAATGAGGTCATTTCACTCTGAGACTTGTTTTTTTCTCGTTCCGTGCTGCAGCTAAAGCACAGGACGGAGCTGCCATGGAAATGCAGCCTCTCAACAGCGACGAGGGAGCCGACGCGGAGGAGAAGAAGAAAGCCAACCTGCCAAAGAAAGAGAAGTCTGTCCTCCAGGGCAAACTGACCAAACTAGCTGTTCAAATTGGGAAAGCAGGTACTTCAAACAATCACATGTGATTCTTGCAGACTGTGGATGTGTAAACACTCTTATTCTGTGCTCTCATTTTGAGCCTTGTCCTCTCTCTTCCCCTTTAGGATTGGTAATGTCAGCTATCACTGTCATCATCCTGGTGGTGCTCTTTGTAGTCGACACTTTCTGGATCCAGAACCTGCCCTGGGTCAAGGACTGCACACCCATTTACATCCAGTTCTTTGTGAAATTCTTTATCATCGGCGTCACAGTCTTGGTGGTCGCTGTTCCTGAAGGCCTGCCGCTCGCTGTAACGATCTCATTGGCCTATTCCGTGAAGGTAAACTCTCAGAGCAAAGTGACCTTTAACCTTTGCTGACCGGCTTACTCTTTAGCCTATTAAAAGTAGCCTGCAAGGTGTTAAAGTCAAGGAGACTTGGCTCACTGATACCTTTAAGCTAAGCTCCTATTCTTTGTGCTAAGGTGGTTAAGACTTCATCCAAACAAAGAGCTGCTGATTTAACCCCGAAGCCTTTAAAAACATTCAAGAAGAAGATGTACTTCTGGATTTTGTGCTTAATATAGACGTGTTCAAACATTTGATATATTCTTTTCTAACAGAAAATGATGAAAGATAACAACCTGGTACGACACTTGGACGCCTGTGAGACTATGGGCAACGCTACAGCCATCTGCTCGGACAAAACCGGCACGCTCACCATGAACCGCATGACCGTGGTGCAGGCCTACATCGCTGAGAAGCACTACAAAAAAGTCCCAGAACCAGAAAACATCCCCTCCTCCATATTGGACATCCTGATTGTGGGCATCGCTGTCAACTGCGCCTACACCACTAAGATCATGGTGAGCCTGAAACCTTTCAAACTAGTGCAAAGTACCGATGCTACTAATAGAGATGCACTAATCCAATATTTGGATTGCAGATCGGCTCCGATATTGACAAATTAACTGGATCGTAAATCTGATGAATGACGCTGATCCAGTCTTTTTTCTTCTAATTAATATCATACACAGAAACGCAGCGATTCTGTCCGCTCTATATCATATGTCTGTCTATCCTTTAGCACTAAATGTTTACATGGAAGTCTTCCTTCTTTTTGCTGTGTGCTAATGTGCAATTTGTTATTTGTTAATAATTTATATTAAGTAAATTTACATCTGTGTCAATTTGTTACCTTTCTATTAACAAGGCTAATGTCTAGCCTGAGGCCTTCACTCACAGGGCCAGGTATACAGTTCATTTATTTAACAGTAGTATTGGATCGGTATCAGATATCAGCCCAGGTATCGTATCGGATTGGATCGGAAAAAATGGATCAGTGCATCTCCAGCTTCTAAATTTACAATTGTATAGATCTATGTACTATGTGGGATTTTTCCTTGCTTATCTTTCTTCCTGTCTTTCCTCAGTCTCCGGAGAAAGAAGGTGGCCTGCCACGACAAGTGGGAAACAAGACCGAATGTGCCTTGCTTGGCTTTTCCAACGACCTGAAGCGGGACTACCAGGCTATCCGCAATGAAATCCCAGAGGAGAAACTCCACAAAGTCTACACCTTCAACTCAGTGCGAAAGTCTATGAGCTCCGTGTTAAAGTTAGCCGACGGCAGCTACCGTATGTTCAGCAAAGGGGCCTCCGAAATTCTCCTAAAAAAGTAAGAAAACGATTCATCCCAGTGTTTCTTTCTCTGAAGTTTCACGCTTGTTTGTTCAAAGTGTCATCATCTCTGTCAGCGTAAATGAACCTGCTCGGTCAAAGTTATCCTGTAGACTTTTTGACTCGCTGCGGCTGGCTAGAGTTTGCAGTAAATGATATGTGTAATAGCTTAAGCAGCTAAGAAGTTCAAGTGCATCCCACCCCAAGCCCCTTACTTTGCGACTTAGAAACAGGCGCTGAGAAAATGAGCCGGTAACAACTCAGTAAGCCTCTTAACCAAGCAGGCTTCTTTTTAACCCACAGAGGGCTTAGTGTGGCTTCTTACTACTGCAGCTCACCATTCAATTGCTTTGTCCCCTTCACTCCTCTATCCAAAATATTTTGATGTTTATAGTTTCATATCTGTCTCCTCTTTATCCACTTTTTTAAACCATATCTCCTGATACGGCGTCCTCCCACACCCTCTCCGTTAACCCTTCTCTCTTCATGTGCATGGGTACTGATAAGTCCTTCATTCAATTTCCAGGTGCTATAAGATCCTGACCGCAAACGGTGAGACCAAAGTGTTTCGCCCGCGCGACAGAGACGACATGGTCAAGAAAGTGATCGAGCCCATGGCCTCAGAGGGCCTGAGGACCATCTGCCTTGCATACAGAGACTTCCCCGTATCTGAGGGGGAGCCAGACTGGGACAATGAGAACGACATCCTCTCTGGGCTGACCTGTGTCTGCGTGGTGGGAATCGAGGACCCTGTGAGACCTGAGGTTAGTGGCTAAACAAATTAGGACACACGGTAGTGATAAAAATAAAAAAATTGAAAAAACCTCTCATAGTTTCTTGCAAAAACAAGACCACTTGGGTTTTGTTTTTGCTCTTCTGGGGGATTTTTTTTTTTTTTGGGTTGTTTTTTTTTTGTTTTCTATTTAGTACAGGCGAGAATTACTGATGATTGGAGTAACAGTAAGATGAGATTCCGACATAACCTCAGAAACCTCGATTGAAAATGAAACAAGAGTAAGTAGATTATGTAAGTCAAGAACAGAGACAGGCAGACGAGGACAGAGAAAAGAACAGTGGACAGCTGTAGTTTCATAAAAGGTGCCAAAAACCTCAGTTTTACAGGACCTTATACTACATTTGATAGTTTGTGGTGACCATTCCTTTTTCCAAAGGGAACTGCCTTTGATTTATATTTCTTTTTTTTTTTCTTTTTTTTACATTTATTACACCAACAGAATGACGTGTTGATCATTTTGGTAAAAAGACTCTTGTTCAGACAACCAAACACAATATTTAAGGTTGAAATACAGAGACAAATATAACCCTTAAATTAGATGTATAGGACTCTCCTCTAAACAAAAAGATCAGCTGCTTCCTAAACACCAATGCTTCCTATTTACTTCTATCAAGTGCAGGAGGAGGTATTCTGTTATGTCGCAGTATTATATCCAGAAGATATCCAACCTCTTCAGTTTGCAAGGCATGCTTGTTGTTGTTGTATAGGAGTATGATTTTTGTTCCATTCTGCATTTAAAGAAAACTGTGGTAAAAAGTAAATAAACTTAACGGAGGAGTTGGTTTGATTGAAAAGACTCAGTCATGGGCGGTTCATCTGTCTCTGTACCTCATAATTTGTACACTTCACGAGCTCTGTGCTTTGGACAGACTCGTGATCTTTCATCAGCTCAGTGTTTTTAAAGGAAAGGGAAACTAGGGAAGGATTCTGTGCCTGTACTCGTGTTTTAATCAAGGCTACAAGTTTTGCTAGAATCAACCGGTAAAGGGTCAGGTTATTTAAAAGATAGACTGTTTTGTAGTGTGTTCAAATCTGCTCTGGAGCCACGTTGAAGTCACTTGTAACTAGGGCTTTGACCAAATGCTTTTCTCCCAATTCGATTCTTGTACTATTTTTTTGGATTCTGATTCGATACAAATTGCGAATCTACGATATTGTCGATTTTCTTGATTTTTAGTCTGCATTTTAACACCAATGAATCAGTTGAATGATTATGATTGTCTATCTCCCCTAAAAATACACATCACATGTAAGACAGTTTTTAAGATTTATTCTAAATTTGAAAAAAAAACAAATTGATTTTTGAAAAAAAAAAAAAAAAAATTTCAAAATCGTAAAACAAAAAACTGCGATACTTATGTGAATCGAATTTTTCTCCCACCCCTACTTGTCACACAGAGAGAGAAGAAGCACAGCGGCTTAAATATTGTAAAACTGAGCACATTCAGAGCATCGGTCACAGATATAGTCATGTCACTTCTCTCATCTTGTCTCTGCTGTATCCATGGAAATGTTGGATTTGGGGTTTCTAGAGGGGATTAAGCCGCATTCAAGCACACACCCCCTTCTTTCCCGTCCTACACATGGTCGAGCACTTCTTAAGAAACTCTCTGACAGATGATCTGATTGAATCTTTCCTCTGCACCGTCGAGCACTTAAGAGCTTTTTGAGAGTGTATTGCAGGAGATGCAGAATCAGCCATTTTTAAACACATGGAAGAGCTCCGTTCTGGCGCAGGCATCAAGTATTGAACCAGCACGTGATTTATGATACATGCCTGTAGTAAAGGAGTGGCTCCACAGTGAGACAGGGGTATGCATGTTTGAAATAGTTCACTTATTTAGTTTGGTTTCCAGCCAGGATGTGCCAGGCTGTTTGCGCGTGCTGAACATGTTGGATGAAAACATCTGCTTTGGGTGTCAACGGAGTAATTAAACTCAACCGTACTGCCTTTATAAATGACCACTGACCACCACAAAGAACAGGGAGATGCTAAACTCAGCTACAAGAGTTTTTAGCCATAAACTGATAAAAGAGAGGAGAAAAAATAGACGTATTTTCCGCTCCTGCTTTCTTTTAGGTACCAGATGCCATCAGAAAGTGCCAGCGCGCGGGCATCACAGTGCGAATGGTCACCGGTGACAACATCAACACAGCCCGAGCCATCGCCTCCAAGTGTGGCATCCTGCAGCCTGGAGATGACTTCCTCTGCCTTGAAGGGAAGGAGTTTAACCGCAGGATACGTAACGAGAAAGGAGAGGTGGGCCACAGCAGAATTTTGTACCGCAAACCGAGAGTAAAAAATGTCGTGTTTGGATTCTATCAGGTTTTATCTCATGTTTTTAGATTGAACAAGAGCGCATCGACAAGATCTGGCCCAAACTACGAGTGCTGGCTCGCTCCTCCCCTACAGATAAACACACACTAGTGAAAGGTCAGTTGTTTTATTCTGGTTTAGGTTCATGTTTTAAAATAGTTTATTGTTAAAGAGCAGACAAATTCATTTTGACCATTTCTCCGTAGGTATTATTGACAGCACGGTGGTGGAGCAGAGGCAGGTAGTAGCAGTGACAGGAGATGGTACCAATGACGGTCCAGCCTTGAAGAAAGCTGATGTTGGCTTTGCTATGGTGAGATTTCTTTCACTTCTACTAAAACATAACAAAATTTTAACATTTTTATGCCAAGACAAAATATTTTCCTCTAAACCGTCATCCATCTTCTCTTCAGGGTATTGCTGGCACAGATGTCGCCAAGGAGGCCTCTGACATCATCCTGACCGATGACAACTTTTCCAGCATCGTCAAAGCAGTCATGTGGGGACGTAATGTCTACGACAGCATCTCGAAGTTCCTCCAGTTTCAGCTAACCGTCAACGTGGTGGCCGTCATCGTGGCGTTCACAGGAGCGTGCATCACACAGGTTAGCCGCAGATTTTTGTCTCCACTCTGATCGGGAATGTATTTATTTTTCCCCTCTAGTTTGAAGGCGGTTTGAGTTGTGTGAGAAGTTTTGTTCTCTTGTTCACACTTTGACTCAGCAGCCATGGAGTTGGTACAGCTGGCAGCAACAGACTGAGATTACATAAGCTTTAACTCGCATGCGGCAAGTTTGCAGTTCTAGGTCTCTAAGTGGAGATCCAGCTGTCAAATTTGAGAGGGTCTGGATTTGTTTGGGAAAAAAAGGAGCTGGTGCATTTTTATGTATTTCATCTCTAAAGAAGCTTCTTCATACGATTATTTGACGTATATATGGTGCACCTTATGATATTGCTTTAGTATTATTTAAATCTAGTCTGAACTGTGTTCAGCTGCCAGGTGCAGTGATTTATTTGAAGTCATTTGTGTCAAAATAATGGGGATTTCTGTCAAACATCCACTATATTTCTTACCCCTGATTTTCATTTTATTCTGTCTAATAATGTTTTACACAGTTTGCACGTGTGTGTGTGTGTGTGCAGACACCAAATTACTCATGCCAAACACACGCGTCTGTGCTCACTCTGACGCAGCCTGTCAATGCCACAGGCAACAGAATAAATTGTTTTCAACAGGCAATTTAATTCATGTCAATCTTAATAATCCATAGAAACCATTAATTTTCATCATATTTGAGGCACCGTGTGTGAAAGTGATGGAAATCTCATCGGTTGGTAATCTTCCGCCTCCTCTCAACCTAAATTGCCCCTCTCTCTCTCTCTCTCTCTCTCTCTCTCTCTCTCTCTCTCTCTCTCTCTCTCTCTCTCTCTCCCTCTGTCTGTCTGTCTATTTGCTCGTTTTGCCTCCAGGACTCTCCGCTTAAAGCCGTACAGATGTTATGGGTCAACCTCATCATGGACACCTTTGCTTCACTCGCTCTGGCCACAGAGCCCCCCACAGAAGCACTGCTGCTGAGGAAGCCATATGGCCGCAACAAGCCACTCATCTCCCGCACCATGATGAAGAACATCCTCGGCCAGGGAGTGTACCAGCTGGTCATCATCTTCACTCTCCTCTTTGCTGGTAAAACTAAATAAGACATATCTACTTTTCACGCTCTAGATTCAATGAATCCACGTGTTTTTAGATAACTTTGTTTGGCTGTTCTCGCAGGAGAGAAAATGTTTGATATCGACAGCGGCAGGAACACACCCCTCCACGCCCCGCCGTCCGAGCATTACACCATCGTCTTCAATACTTTTGTGTTGATGCAGCTTTTCAATGAGATCAACGCCCGCAAGATCCACGGGGAAAGAAATGTCTTTGAAGGCATCTTTAACAACCTTATCTTCTGTAGTATCGTCTTTGGTACCTTTATTATCCAGGTAATAAACCAGCCTGAAGCCTGAACGACACATGGTCAACCTGCAGGTGCCGAATCCAAGAGTAACCCCTCTGATTGATTCTGCTCCTCTAGATCGTCATTGTGCAGTTTGGAGGGAAACCGTTCAGCTGCGTGGCTCTGACCATCGACCAGTGGCTGTGGTGCACTTTCTTAGGATTCGGCTCTCTACTATGGGGACAGGTAGGATGCTTCAATACTCCAGCTTTACCTCGAGGAGGCCAGAACTCCACATGTGGTGCAACACTGCCCCCTTCTGTCCAAATCGGTTGAAAGGGTGTCCAGTAGTGTCTTAGTGCCCGCTGCTGCTGCTGAAATCTAAAGGAGTTTGAAATCTGCTGTGTTTTTTTGTTTATTTTAACATGACTTTATAGAATCAAAATACATGAAGTAAACAAAAAGATCCTTTGCTGTCAAAAAACAAACTGTTGTTAGTCCGTGGGTTAAGGCAGCAGTGAGATGAGGGTGCGAGAGTCCTCTTCAGTCTCTGCTGACATTGCTAGAGTCCTAGTTGACAGCATGTTTGAGGTCATTTGAGTTCGCTCTCACTGCCTCTATCATCTTACAGAGCAGTGCACCTAATATGTGTTATTATCCCCTCACATCAGGCCAGTAAGAACAAACATTTCTCAGTCAAGACACAAACAAACAAACAAGGCGTGCTTTTGCTTTGCTATTGTGTGAGGAATATCAATGACGTTTATTCTCTTTGTTTATATGGATTAAATCTGCACATCCCTACCCTGGATATATTTGTATTTATGGACTTAGTGGACCATGTTTCTCTCATTTTAAGAATTTCATTACATAACTGTGCTTTGGATAAATATATTTTTTAACATTTTTGGTGGTTCTTGGCAGTTTGAAGCACCGGTGCATTGGGAGTATTTTGGATCGGAGTGTATTAGATGGACTTTGTCACTTATTATATCACAGGTTTTTCCTTTGAGTGTCTGGTAGGTCTGTCACCAAGTGGAATTTGACTATAATGGCCACTCTCGTTGGTTTCCCCTTGCATTTGGCGTTTAAGAGCCTGCACCGTTCATCCCTGTGGAGAGACACACCATGAAACCAAATGATCCTGTATCTCCCCCTGGTCATGAAATGTGTCAGTAGAAGTTAACATGATGAAAACCTCCATAATAATGACATTCAACATCATCTTTATCAGCTTTAGGGAAGGGTTCGGAAAGTGTCATTATCCGTGAGTGTGTTACTTCACTCCGAGGGAAGAGATTTGTGAGACAGAGCAGATGACGTCAAAGCGGGTGTCTCAGCTGTCAGAGAGGCTTACTTTCAGGCTGATGCCGCCAGAAACGCTTCTTGTTCTGCCATAATGAGATGTCACTTCACCGCGCTGAGCGCTGTAACATTATCTTCAGCCGCTGCCGCTCATGTAAAACCCTGATGTCTTCCAGGTAATCTCTTCGATACCTACCAGCCGCTTAAAATTCTTAAAAACAGCGGGCCACGGCACACAAAAAGAGGAGATCCCAGATGAGGAGCTGGAGGAGCTGGAGGACATGGACGAGATCGACCACGCCGAGCGGGAGCTTCGCCGCGGCCAGATCCTCTGGTTCCGAGGCCTCAACCGCATCCAGACTCAGGTAACCATCCGCAGACCTCCACGTGTGCCACCAAACACCGCACAGCACCAAGGGAATCAAAAGCCATAAACCCTTTAACTCTCTATTGCTCCTCCAGCTTAAGATCTGTTTTGTTTTTTCTCTCGGCACTCTTTAAGAATGGCTTGTGCCCTAAAAACAAACCCTCTAATTTTTTTCTTTCTGCTTTTGAGCTAAAGCGGGTTTCTATGCCTATTTTTCTCTGACTGGGTTTGGATTTATTTAGACTAGTTTGAAGGTACTGATGAGAAGCGATTGGATTTGGATGGAGAGCACGCTAAAAACAAGCTGAATGTTTAAAGGAGGATTGGCATGGCTATAGCCGGGAGGGATTCAGCAGAGAAAAGAGTGAAAGTGAGGTCAGATTTCGGAGTCTCCTTCGATCAGTGCCTTTAAACCAGACCACCACCCCACCTTTCCCCCTCTCTCTTTTAACTATAATGCCTAAATCCAATTTCCAAGTGACATTTTTCCTATGGTTATTGGTGCCTTTTCTTTATTTTTTTCTCTCTTTTCTCTCTCCTCTGGCTGTGTTGTGTTTTTATTTTCTTCTGGGCCTTTTTTTTCTCCTGTCACGCTGTCTGATTCTTTGCAGATGGATGTAGTGAGTGCGTTCCAGAGTGGAACTTCCTTTCAGGGGGCTCTGAGGCGGCAGGCCTCCAACTCCAGCCAACAACAGCACGATGTAACCAATGTTTCTAGCCCTACACATGTAGCCTTTTCTACTACTACTACCACTACTGCCACTGCCGCCAACTCCGCTTCTGCCACTGTGGGGTGTGAGTGCGTGTTCTCCTCTAGTGCATGAGACTTTTTCAATTTTTTTTCTTTTTACTTCTTCTGTTCCTCTAACATCTTCCTCCTCCACTCTTCTTCTCACCTAACGTTGACACTTTTGACTCTCTCATGCTTCTCCTAATACCCCCCTCCCCTTGTTCTCTTCAAAATAAGACACCAAAAAAAAAAAAAGTACCACATCTTCCATAATGCTTCGATAACACAGCTGTATATATATGTATGTACTCTGTAACAAGGTGTTTATCTCTGTGTCATCATGTTTTCTGTTCTGCTTCTGCATTGGTCTCAAAAACTGGGAAAAAAAAAGGGTTTGACTGTTATCACATTTGACATTTAAAAAAAAAACACACATTCAGGATTCAGGTTTGTCCGCAGCTGCCTCAGTCTGCTCTGTGCCCTCCTGTAGCACCCATGGGTCTGTGTCGCAGCTTCTCTAGTCCCTAATCGGGTAAATGTTTTGAGTATATGCCCATGATCACGGCCCAAAACACTTAAAGACAAACCATGACGTGGAAATGTGTGCGAGTCAGCTGACGAGTCTGGTGACTGTAATGACTCTTTTCTTCTGCAGCTGTGGTGCATTCTGGGAGATTTCTGTGTAGAAGAAAGCGTGCATTGAAAACAGGGTGGCTACGAAGAGGCTTGTTGTTGTTTTTTGGATGCGAATCTGTGCATATGTTTCAATGTTTTGCAGCTCTTACTCCATGAGAACGCTCAACCAAAGGGAGACGGGAGGATCCGCATGGTTGAGAAGGACTTTGCGGCGCTTGACAATCATTTTTTCTCTTTCAGATCAGCCTGAACAGAGACCAGCTGTGCATTTTGAATGTTTCAAGACGAACTTTACTGAATAAATGAAAACATGTGAGAGTTTCCCAGACACTTAAACTCAAGGTTGGCTGTTGTTTCTATGCAGCAGTAAGAATGTAAAATTGTCTGACATGGCATTTGAGTAGATACATTTATGGAGGTCTCTAAACCTTTTCTTCCAGGTGCCCTTGAAATGCCCTTTTCCTTGTGTGAATACATGTTTGTTGGCAGAATGTGTCCACCCATACCCCCAAAATAAGACCGAATACGACTGACCCCCCACATATTCTTCTTTAGATTCTGTGAAATGTGTCATGGGCTATACTCAAAGGTTTACTACCATTGAACACAAGGTAGTGCCGCGCTCTGCATGGGTTCAAAGTCTCTGGTCTCGTTTGTGACTTTTCTCTCTTTGTGCTGTTTTCTGACATGTTAAACCAGCTTGTAGACATGCTTGGCTGCCGCAGCTTTTTGTTGTTTTTTACTCCACAAACATGAGCTGTAACTGACCACCCCTCTCTGTCTGTCTCTCTCCCTGTCTCTCTGTTTTTTTTTTTTCCTCTAATCCTCTTTCTGTCTTTCCTCCTGTCTCTTCTCTCCTACTTTCAGTCTTCTTTTCTCTCCTCTATCTTTCCAAAGCATGTCAAACAAGAGTAAAACTCTCGTGTCCAGCCTCTGTCCTTTTTTTCTCTCTCTCCGGATGCGTTCTTGTCTAAAGAACAGCATTCCCCTCGTCTCTTGATCTTTGCATTTTGATCAGTCAGACACAGAGATCTACCAAGTGTTTTGTGAAAATACTACCACTCTTCAACTCACTAAAAAATCAAGTGGATAAAAAAATTGCATCAGGTTTGATGTTGGTTTGTACCCTTCCCTGATATATTCCTGAATTTACTTAACAAATATTATTCACACTTTTATGACCAACCCCTGTTTAGTTATTTATCAAATAAAACCAACAGCTTAAGGATTCAGCTCTCAATTTAGCCACTCATTTTTACTCAATATATGAGTTGCAGTCTTCCAGTTTCACATGATTTGAAAAGCTTGCATTCTTCATAGTGACCAGAAGAGGGCGACTCTATTGGTCACAAAACTACATTGATTATTTAGAGACAGATCACAATCTTCTATCACATAAGAAAAGGAAATTTACCAAACTTTTTAGTCTTATTCGCTAGTCTTAGTGTTTTTACTTTAAATTTTGACCTCATTTGGCATCAAAAATCTTAAGACATTGGTTCTCAAGTCCAGTCCTCGAGGCCCACTGTCCTGCGTGCTTTGGATGTTTTCCTGCTCCAACACACCTGATTCAAATGATGAGCTCGTTATCAAGCTCTGTAATGGCTTACTAACGAGCTGATCATTTGAATCAGGTGTGTTGGAGCAGGGAAACATCCAAAACATGCAGGACAGTGGGCCTCAAAGACTGGACTTAAGAACCAATGTTTTATGGCAAGGTTAAATTACTGCTTGGGTACCTGGGATCACCTACTTAAGTACTTACTTTAAGTTCTTTTGAGGAGTTTTTTTTCCACATTCATGCCTTTTAATGATAAACAAATTAAAACAAGACTGAAATATTTTTATAACCCTATTTTTATTATTTGATACTGGTGAAAGGGGATAGGTCGAGGTCTTACAGCTCAAGAAATAGTTGTGTTTTTACTACTTTCACATAAAATATTCACAATAAATGATATGTTTGATTATCAAAAGTCAGCAGAATGTGATTGGCTGTCATAAATCACTACTGAAGCATGTAGCAGACAAGATAAGCAATCTATAAATTTAGCACTCTTACTGTAAATTGTTACCATAAGTTAAGTGTTACCGGGGAATTCATAGGAATTCATATCCACCTTTAGTACCAAATACGGTAACCTCAGGTCCCCCAGTGTGGTCGGCATCACAACAGTTGTCAACAAACGAATATGTGACACTGTAAAATCAGGATAAATGCAGGACAGAGGAAAACTTGGACAAACAGGAAGAGAGACGGCGGTTCATGTTGACACGACCCGATCTGGTCTGGAAAATAAGTGAGGACATCTGAAAAAGTTGATATAACTGCACACCTGCACGTTTCTCTGAGAGTTTCCCCTCACTGATAAAATCCGCCCCTAAAACTCACCGATTTTTGACCTAATAGAACTTGTGCCCCGTTTTTGACCCCTTGAATTATGCAGGTGTTGAAGTGCACTCTGACTAATTGTGACTAAATGTCCCGCCTCTTCCTCTCCGTCCCTCCAGATCCGGGTGGTGAATGCATTCCGCAGCTCCATCTCCCTCTATGAGGGGCTGGAGAAGCCCGAGTCGCGAACATCCATCCACAACTTCATGACCCACCCTGAGTTCCGGATAGAGGACTCCGAGCCCCATATCCCCCTCATAGACGACACTGACGCCGAGGACGACGCCCCCACCAAGCGCAACTCTGCCAGCCCCCGTAACGCCACGCCCACGCCACCTTCACCGACACCCACACCCACGACCACTGCCGCCCCCACCACGCCTGTCTCCCCCTCCCCAAACCAGAACAATAACGCTGTGGAGAGCAGCAACCACCTCCTTCCAGAGGGCCCCAAATCAGGAATCCCCTCGGCCCCGGGGAGCCCCCTACACAGCCTGGAAACCTCCCTCTGATCTGACCCCTGACCTCCACACGATGACGTCACCACCAACCTTTCTGCCCGCCACCAAGGAGCTCGACCCGGACGCAGTGAACGGACGAAGGAACACTCAGAGAGGGGAGAGAGGGAGGGGCCAGGAGGAGAACGGGGTCCTGTGTGAGCTCGGCTCGGGCTGGACTAGGAGAACAGCAAACATTCAGAGGAATGTACGGCTTGGTGTGGATGATTTGGTCTTCTTTTATTTTTGGTTCTTTAAAAAAAAACCTGCTGCAACACGAGGACTCCGTCTCCACCCCTCCCTCCTTTTTGTTTTTCTCGGTAAACAAGGGGTGAAAATAAACTCAGATTGAAAGTGACCTGTTTTTATTATTCTATTGTTATTATTATTATTATTTGAATTGAGAAGGGGAGGATCTCCTCCTGGCTTGAAGATCGTCTGTAAGAAATCTGAACGAACCTTTTAGCTTCTCTTTTATCTGAATGGTGTTGTATATTTATCTCTTTGGCCCTTTGCTCATTCAAAACTTATTTCTGCTCCATTTGGCTGTTAATATTTTGAGTTATTTATGTTTTTTTTGGAAAAAGCAGGTCTGTTTACAAAGTTTGTAGATACTTTTTTTCTGTTTGTAGGCAAAAGAGCTTCCTGATGTATGATGCAGAAAACTGGGACAGAATAAAAAATGAATGAGAGGATTATTTCAGATACTGCTGTATTTTCAGGAAAAAAAGGGTGTTTCTATTGAAACTTAACTATTTTTGCCTGCAAGTTTTATTTGTTATATATTTGTAGATAAATGTAGAACCTTCTAGCCAAACCGATAAACACTAAGGCTTGTATAGAAAAGAGGTCCAGGGTCTGGGGCATGGCGTTTTCACAGGAGACCGGGAAGGGAGAGACGATTCAGGCCTCTGTCCACTAACATTGCTATAAATATATTTACTTCTTCCATTTCTTCGATAGTTTTCATGTGCACAAAAACCTTCTGGAGTTCTGGATGCTCTTTTCATTCATTATGTTGTGTTCAAGGATTTCCACATGTTGAAAGGTTCACTCGTTTAAAGGGAGTTCAGAAAACATCAGGGCCCATATTTAACAAGCAGCTCAGGATGACACACAGAATCATGCTGACAGCTGGACCAGGAGGAAAAGTCTTACCTCTGAGGCGACGTGAGGTCACACTCATGTCGCTTTTAGCACAAAAACAAGCTCTACTTTTACATTTTTTTTTTTTTTTAAAAATAGGGAAATATTTAATTAAAAATGGCTGGTTGATAATGCAAAAATAACATAGCTTCAAGCTGATTTTTGCACTGGGGCTTAAAATGTGTTTTGCCAAAGTCAGAAACACTTAAAGCTCCTGTGAGGAGATTTTCCGTGTTTACGAAACAGACTGAAATTAGCACTGGTGCTTCTTTATGACCTGTAAAAGCAAACAAAACCATCAGGGACGAGCCGATAATTTCTTTATTGTTATTTTTAATGTCTAAAACTACTGGTGGGGGGTAGGTGTCAGTCAAGCCTCTGAACTGCACGCTACTAAAACTGCCCTTTCATTTGCATTTCAGCGCAAGAACTATGTATGATGTTATTTATTTTTACTTGTTTTGAAAATGTAACTGGCCCACATGCAGACAAAAATCAGCAAAGAAGTTATAGGTACTGCTTTGTTCACAGGGGGGCGCCAAAGTCGACACAAACTTTAAAAAAATCCCCACAGGAGCTTTAAATATCAAATCTCACCACCTTTATAACCGCACAACCTGGCCTTCTGTTGTGAGCTGTATCATAATTTTGCAATAAGAAGTTCGTAAACAGGAAACGTGAATGTGCCTTGGCTACAATAACAATTTAGCTAGCGCCACCTGCAGGTAAATACCCCTTCTCCAGCTTAAAGCCTCATTCTTATCATCCTGGTAGAGTTTCTCTTTGAACGCTTGTTGAATTCGGACCCTGGTTATCATTTGTAAAATTCTGGTGCATTTTCATCACGTAGTTTTATCAGAGAAACGTTAGCCCCCTGCCAATGTACAATATGGACATTTGTTTACTCAGGCATAGACAAAGTATTTAATTTAAAAGGAATCTATAGAGGACGAACCTTTTAACGACAGAATTTGTGTATTTAGATAGAAAACATTGTCTTGGTTAAAAAGAAAAAACAAACAAGTGAATTATTTTCATATTTCATTCAATCTTTGAGATCACGCCTTAGGACAACTTAATTTAACTCCTCTGATTTCTGATCAGAGGGGAGACATTTTTCTTTCACCCTGTCCGTCAGACTCCTTTCACCATGAATAAATGTTGCTGCATTTGATTTGTTTGTAAGATATTTTTGACACCTGATGTACTGGAAACGCTAAAGAATTGGACATGTGCATTTTTCAAGAATAAAGACTAGGCATACACTGGTATCTATCTGCACAGGGTACTTTATTTCATAGCGTTCCTCTGGGGAAGACGAATTTTGATACAAATCACGATAAAGAAAATGAACCTTTGTATTTTTATGACGATACTGATGATACCTTTCATCACTCTAAACCGATTTTGGATGATTTGACACCAATTACGTTCTACGGGGGAGGGTTTTTGGCCACTAAAAATGTGTGTTGTTCTGGAATCTTCATCTCAGGGTGCAAACGGTGTGAAAGAGAACAAGGCCTCTTTTGAGTTTGTATATTTCCACTCTTAATTCAGCATTTGGGACGGTGCTTGTCAAACACACAGGAGGACTCGGGCAGCAGGCTGCAGATTCTTCCTGCAGCTTTCTGGCCGTGCACAGAGAGGGTAAAGGAAGTGGAGATGTTAAATCACAGCGTTCTCTTGGGGGAAAAGGTTCAATTTTCCTTGTTTTACAGATGACACAAAGCAGCTAGGATTGCATACAAAGTGAGAGATTGAAAAGACGAGAGGAATCCACATGAGGAGTTTGTTCTGTAGCTTCTTCCTGTAATGGGAATGAATGTTTTTCCATCTGTTTTATGGATTATTATTTTTTTATCTTTTAACATTTGGAAATAAAAGTACTTCATGTCTGTTTATCTTGAGCATTTTAAATGGATATCGTGATTGGATTTACATTTGAAACTTGTCGAGTAATGTGTATGGTTTTTAAAAATAAAAAATGTATTTAGCCTAACTGCAGGGCCATGTTTGTCATTTACTGGAGAGGATATTTGGAGGTATTAGAATGTGGATGCTGCAGAGGGTCGGACTTTATCTGACTTGTAGGCAAAAAAAACAAAAAAAGGAGTGATTTTTCAAGATATGAGAAGTGAACCCGACATTATATTTAGAAAATTATAGCTATCTGAAAAACCTATAAATCAAAATAAAATTTGATCTTTTAATTCCTCTTTTAATCAATTTTAACCATTTTAAAGCTCCTGTAAGGAGTTTTTTACCTTCATGAAATAAACTGAAATTCAAGCTGATGACTTTTTATGACATACTATCAGCAACAAGACTAAAGACTTTAATATTGTAATTTCATATAACTAATACCAGTGTGAGGGGGTAGGTGTCAGCCAGCCTGCTGAAGAAACGCTCCCATCCAAGATAATGATAATAAAAATGATAATAATAATAACAGTATAACTTACTTTCAGCTGGACAAGATGTTTTATAAGAGAACACAACTTGAGCATGTAGAGGATGAGATAAGCAAAAGCTGCTTTGTCCACAGCGAGCACCAAAATTGCTGCCAACAGAGAGTTCTTCACGGGAGCTTTAAGCATTTTTGACTGAATCATGTAAAAAAAAAAAAACTGTTCAAGGTTAATGATTATTTGAAAAAGTCACATGTTTAAACAGGGTTCCTGCATGATCTGGATCTAGAAAATTCAAGGTGATAAGTCTAATCAAGTGTTATTATTTTCTTGAGAGGTCTGACAATTGAGATGGGAAATGTCAGAAACATGTATGAACACTTCACATCAAATCTACACATTTGGATAGTGCAGCGTTTTTCAACCACTAGTGTGCAATGACAGATAGTCAGGTGTGCCCTGAGAAATTATCCAATTTCACTTTATTGGTCTATTTTTTTTTTTTTAACTTTAAATAATCTGCAAATAATATGCAATTCTAAAGTGTCTGTGCTGTAATCTGCAGCCCCAGGTTTCAAACATGGTGAGTATGAATAAACTGAGAGACTATATTGTCGTTACATAAACTGTATTTGGGGCTACCAAGATGCATTTAGTAAATTTTTGGTTGGTGGTGTGCCTCGCAATTTTTTTTAATGAAAGTTGAAAAACACTGATATAGTGTATAACATTCTATGATAATTCACTGTTGGTTTGTTTGTTCCCGTGACAAATTTGAAATTCGTCATTTTGTTTTTAATTTATCATTACAAATTAACTAAACAGGAGTGAGACAGAGAAGACAACAAGGACGTGTAAGTTTAAAGAATTCTGGCATCAAGATCGATCAAAATAAAGACGACTGATTGGCCTGGGAAACATTATTTAGAGGATATGTGAAAACTGTTTCAACTCAAGAGGAGAGTATATTAAATATGCCACACCTTTGTCAATTGCATACTGTCCTGCTGTGTATATTTTTTTTATTTTTATTTTTTTCCAATGTGGGTCTTAAAGCGTCTTTGATTTTTAAAATAGATGTGATTCAACTCTAGGAAAATGAAGAAAAATACACTATATAGACAATGTTTGGGCAAAAGAAATATCCTTTATCAGTTTGTCCTCATTTAATTTTTCCTAGTCTTTTTCCAAATGGTCCCAGCACTTTCACATATCTTTGATTAGAAATAAAATTACGACTACTTAGTTCCACATCATAGCGTTACACTAAAATTGTGATTATGTATTGAATTAATCAATATTATATGTCGTTACATACCCAGGCCAGCAGAGAGCGGTATATTTCACCTCTGCAGCTGCTTCATAAAAAGATAATTTATTATTAAGATGCCTCACTCGGTCTTGTCTTTCCTCACGGGCAATAACAACCACATTAGTTACCACCGCCATACTTACCAGTGTTTCTAGGGGATTTTCGATCTAAATAACTCACATCTTGTCTGAAAAAATCTATTGAGATAAACATTCAGCGAAAACAGAAGAAGAATAGGAGTGAGACTTCTTCTCTTTTCTTCCTCTTTGAGAGCAGTCGCATCTTTCCGCTCTGCAGGAATGTAATGGAACCTGAACACCGGGCGAAGGTCTGACAGTGACAGGTCACAGCATTTCTGTAAGTACTGCTGTCTGCTAGCGTGAACACTCACCAAAATTAACTAAACTCATATCATTATTACTATTAATATAGCAAAGATAGTGTCATGTTTCACTGTCTTCGCTGGGAAGTTGAAGTCAATCATAGAAGCTAACTCTGGGAGGTGGAATTAGCTTAAGAACACATTCCCATGCATGGTCTCACCTGTACGGGCTGAACTTTGTCCTCCTCACCTGTCTGCACAGTCAGGAATGAGACATCCACACGGCTGAGCTGAAAATGAGAGAGTGGTGGATTCATGTGGGTTTGATCTGCGTCCCACTGGTGGCTGTTTACCTGAACATCCCGCCCCCTCAGCTGTCACCTGCCCTGCAGAAGTGGTACAGCGCCGGAGAGGTCTTCCACTTCAGAGGCAGGGAGATCTTCTACAGAGGTGACAACACACCGAGTTTAACATGTCTACATTCACTTTCATAATGTTACATTACATCTATGCTTCCTCAGGGGTCTGAACTGTTGGCTCGATAACACGTTCAAGGCGCATTTCTACCAAAATTATCAGAAACTTTTAGTTCCGGGAACTTTGTTTTTAAAGAATTAAAGGGATATTCCGGCATAAAATTAAGTTAGGGTCAAACACACTGTAACACCGAGTCAGACACCCCGTCTAAAGATGAATGTTGCCAACCACTTGCTTCTCTAGTTATACAAAATTTAGTAACGACTGCACGATAACAATACAGAGAGCCACACGCTCAACCAAAACGCCACTCTATAGCTACAAATAATACTCAGAACAGCACCTAACTTCATCAACAGTACATATAGAGTCTCAGCCATAACACTAGCCACCAAACATCTTTTTAGCTTTGCCTAGACTAAACACAACTCATCGTCTCTCTTCCAGCAGCCGCTTGTTTGTATGGAGACCTCGGACGAGTCAATCACCCAGTGCAGTGGAGTTTCGCAGCTCAAGGAAGAACATTTATGATCATTTCTTCATGGACATGCAATCAGACCGAGACGCTAAGGCAGAAGAACTACAACGTCTGCAGTGCAAAATGATTAATATGATGATTATTACTTCAAGGAAATTATAAAGAAATGATCATAAATGTTCTTCCTTGAGCTGCGTCACCCCGCTGCATTAGATGGACTCTCCCAGAGGTCTCCGTACAAACAACTGCTGGAAGAGAGTGGGTATGTTGTGTTTAGTCTCATTGCTATAGAAATTAGGCAAAGTTAAAAAGATGTTTGGTGGCTAGTGCTATGGCTGGGACCCTATATGTACTGTTGATGAAGTTAGGTGCTGTTCTGAGCATTATTTGTGGCTATAGAGTGGCGTTTTGGTTGAGCATATGGCTCTCTGTATTGCTATCTGCGGTCGTTACTAAAGTTGGTATAACTAGAGAAGCAAGCGGTCGGCAAGATTTATCTCTCAAGGGGGTGTCTAACTCAGAGTTATGGTGTGTTTAGAGTGAATATTAAACAGATCAGACCAATGACAAAAATTGGACCTGGAGGATTATTTGGTGATTAAAGTCACCTGAGCAGCCCTTTACTTGAGTCACAACTCATGTTGGCAGTAAGTAAGCTGTATTAACAAAAGGATATTTAAAAAGTACATAAACAGATTTATAATTGGTGGTACATAATATAGGTACAATTTATAAGAACCCGTTTTTTTTTTTTTGTTTGTTTATTTGTTTGTTTTTAAATAAGATTGACTTAAGACTCTTCCTTCAATATTTCTGGACCTGTAGAAAGTACTACCCCTTCAGCAGGAACATTTCAAGAGGTCGATCAATTACCCAGGAACTAAATCCAGACTCCTGGTTCCTGCCATTAAATGCAAACTTACTCAAACTGTTCCAAATTCCTTATTATTGAGGCTCATCACCCAGCTCTAAAGCTAAATGTAAACATCAGTCATTTGCCTCATTTGTCGGCTGATCCGTTGAAAAAAATTGTCAAAAAGCGTCATTTTAGACAATCATGTAACATTTAAAGATCAAATCCCCCCTCATCTATTTTTTTCTATCACTGTAAAAACCTCACACAGCAAACATCTTTTATCTTTCAGTCCAACCATACAAGTGTGTTTTTCCTTTTCATCAAACTAGACTCCTTTGGTGTTTTGGGAACCTCTGATGTTGTCCTTCTGCTTCACGGCTTCCCCACATCCAGCTATGACTGGAACAAGGTACCCACTGCACATGCTCAGTAGCAAACTACATGCACTTAAAGAAAAACAAAGTGTCATTTTGGGGAGTTGCTGTGATTTTACTTTCCTCCCATGCAGATCTGGGAGCCTCTTGCTCAGCGCTTCCATCGAGTCGTTGCACTCGACTTTCTTGGTTTTGGCTTCAGTGAGAAGCCTGTGAGTAAAGTTTGTGACTTTAAATATTTCAGTTCTTGTATTTATTTTTTTTGGTCATAAATCTTCTTTTCTTCTGTCCCAGCGACCACACAGGTACTCCATCTTTGAGCAGGCCAGCGTAGTGGAGGCTCTGATGGCTCACTTGGGTTTGATCACTCAGAGAGTGAATGTGATTTCTCATGACTATGGAGACACTGTAGCACTGGAGCTGCTCTACAGGTGATTGGTTGTTCTTATGTGTGTTTATTCTCACCATTAAAAAAAAAACTAACAAACAGAAAAACAGAATGGTCAAGGTGACTCCCTCACTCTCTCGCCTCCTTTTTTCCTTCTTCAGGAGCCACCAAAACCGCACAGGTCACCTGACCTTTAATAGCCTGTGTCTTTCCAATGGAGGTAAAGTTAACTTTCTTTATTCTTTCTTTCTTTCTTTCTTTCTTTCTATTTTTCCTTTTTTCTTCTACCTTTTGTCCTTTTACCCTTTTCCTTCTTTTTGTCCTTTTGCATTCCCTTACTGTCTTCACTTCTGTCCTTATTTCCTTTTACCTTTTCTTTTTTCTTTCCTCTCTTTCCTTCAATCTTTTCCTCTTTTCTTCTTCTCTTACTTCTTTCTTCCCATTACCTTTTCTTCCTATTCCTCCTTCTTTCCCATTACTCTTTCTTCTTTTCTTCTTCCTTTAATTTCATCCTTCCAATTTTTTCAGTACTTTTTTTTCTTTCCTTTTATTTATCCTTCTTAGATCCATGTTTCTTCTATTTTCTGGGCTTTTAACTTTCTTGTCTTTTTTCTTCCACCCTTCATTCTTTCTTTCCTTTCTTTTACTGCCCTTATTTTCTCCCCTTTTTCTATTCTTTCTTTCTTTCTTTCTTTCTTTCTTTCTTTCTTCTGTTTTTCTTATATCACTTCTTTGTAACTTTTAATGTCAAGGAAATGTTCTCTAACCCTTGAGGAAAAAAAATCTTTTGTTTTTTAAAATCTATTTTATATCATCTTCAAAACATTTTGAGTAAAAACATGATGAAGGTTTGATCCTGTGATAAGTGAATCACAAAAGACATTTGTCCTCTAAAATATTTACATTTGTCGTTGATGTTAAAGCGATCCTCGTCTGATCGCTCTGTTGTGGAAATCACAGTCTGTCTCCATGCTGATGCTTTTATTCCTGACAGGATTATTCCCAGAAACACACCACCCTCGGCTGCTGCAGACCGTAAGTAACCTGTTGTCATGTTTGTGAGGGTTATTCTTCATCCAGTTTATTGAATTGTGTTTCTGTTTTTTTCATATTTCTCCCATGTTGCTGCCTGATTATTACATGAAAAACAAAAACACAGAATCTTGAATTTTCTTTTATTTCCAAAAGCTCCTGAAGGACTCGAGTTTTCTGGCTCCAGTTCTGACCCGCCTCACTAACTTTATGATCTTCCAAAAAGGGTAAGACTTGTCCTGAACTGTTGCACAATGTAAACCTGCTTTTATCATTTTCATTTATGCTGTTGGTTTCTGTTGATTGGCAGGATTGGAGACGTGTTTGGTCCGTACACGCAGCCCACAGACGCTGAGTTTTGGGACATGTGGACGGGTTTACGCTACAATGAAGGCAACTTAGTTTTGGATAGGTGAGTGTGTCTGAGTGATTTTGTATGTGGTTATCTTTACCTCTGCTCTGATTGGTCCTCTCCTCCTTCTGTGTTAGTATTCTGCAGTACATCAACCAGAGATTGAAACACAGAGACCGATGGGTGGGCGCCCTCACTTCCACCTTTGTCCCACGTGAGTTCACAGACACATCAGATAAACTGATGATTGTGTAAATAACCCACAGAGGAGAGTATCTCTGTTTGTAGGAGCCCGGCAGCCTGACGCGGAGGCCTGCTGATGCTAAGCTGCTTAGCCGGCTAGGTGAAGCCCTGTGGTCCATCTGTGACTCTGAGCTCTGGAGGGTGGGGGGTGGGGATGTATGTGCCACTGACACACCTCAGAGGAAATGATGCCAGAAGGCAACAGACAGGATACATCTGATTCATCCTTTCTTCAACCATTCCTCCCTTTTTCCTTTTACCTTTCTGTCCTTCTCTACTTCTGCCCTTCTTTCCTTCCACCATTCTGTCCTGTCTTCCTTCTACCCTTCTGTTTTTTCCCCTTATTCCCATCTTTACTTCTTTCCTTCCCTCTTTTGTTTCCTCCTTTTCTTCTTCACTCCCTTTTACCATTCCTTCTCTCATTGTACCCTCTCTTCCTTTACTTTCTGTCTTTTCCTTCTTCACCTTCTTTTTTTCTTCTTTCCTTTTATCTTACCTGCAGCCCTCTCTTACTCTCCTTAATGCCTTCTTTCAACCCTTTCTTCCTCTCCTTTATTCTACCCTCTATTTTTTTCCTTCTACCTTTTTTACTTTTACCTCCTTTTTTCCTTCTACCCTTTCTACTTTTCTTCCTTCTTTGCCTATACCCTTTCCTCCTTTCCTTCCTCCTTCCTTTCAATTTTTCCTTGTTTCCTTTCTTCATCCATTACTTCCTTGAGCCCTTATTCTCTCTTTACTTCTCTTTTTCCTTTTCTCTTTCTTTCCTTCAAAGAAATTAAAAAAAAGAAAATTTAGTCCTTTAAAAAACTTAAAAAACGTTGAAGAATTTAAAGGATTAGGAGATCTCGAAAAGTAACATGCTTTATATGTTTAATCATTGATACCAAATTCTATATTGATTGTGATCGGTTCTTAATCATTTTATGGTACCTATCAGTAAGCGCCATTTTCAGCACATCAACTGTTCAGTTAATCTCTAAACTTTTTTGTTTTAAACTGTTTTTAACAAAAACAAACTTTTGTTCCACTCCTCTACTTTACTCCTCAGTGCTCCTCCCTCCATCTCTCCCTCTCTGACCCTCTTCCCTCCTTATTTGTCTTTCAGTGCACATGATCTATGGACCCATGGATCCCGTCAACCCTCACCCCCAGTTCATCCGTCTTTACCAGTGAGTCCCCCCGGCCCCTCAAATACACCCACAGCCTGAAAGATGTTTGTGTCGCTGAAGAGCTGAAATAAACCTGGGAAATGTGCAGGAAAAAAATACTTTCAAAATAGTAGTTTGATAGAGAGCTTGAGGTGGTTTCTGAAATTTAACCCGAACAGTGATTGAAATTTAAAGCACAGGTTAAGTGTCCTTCCATGGCTAAATGTTTGACTATAAAATTGGATTTTTTACATCTTATATTGACAGTTTCCCTGATAATTCCACTTGAATAAAGGGAAGACAGTAAGACAGAGGCGACCAATCTTTGTGCCACCTCACTGTGTTGCAAAAAATATGAATTTTCTTTACTTTATTATTGTGATTTATAAACAAAAAGGACACTTCATTAGGTTCTTTAATGCACCCCCTTTAATACATCCCTTCGTCAGGTGATGGAGAGAGCTGGTTTCTTCTGACTATTCAAAATGAAAAGAGCGGGACTTGAACTTTCAAATTCATGCTGAACTAACAAATTTTGTTGTATAGTCTGACATAGAAAATGTTGATTTTGAAAGGAAACTAAAGGTTTTCTTACAACTCTGAGGAGGTGTACTCATTTATGCTGAGAACTGTGTGTATGATATACGATATGGTGAAGGAATAAATTTAAAATAATGATAAAATACAATTAAGAAACTAAAATCAGAGGAAGAGTATTATTTGGTCGGTTATAGAAATAACATTTTGTTAAAAGCCAGAATAAAAATGTAGGTCTTAATTTTGCTTTTAAAAACATGGAGACTCTGTGCTCCCCTCAGGTCTTCAGGCTGATCTACAGACCTGGGCCATAACAATAAAAAGCTGCTTGAATTTTCTATCAAAGTCTAATGCATGTCAAACATGTTCTCCGGTATCTGCAGGAAGCTGGTCCAGAGGTCTACATTCACCGTTTTGGACGAGCACATCAGTCACTACCCTCAGCTGGAAGATCCCACCGGCTTCCTCAACGCATACTTTAACTTTATCCACTCTTTCTGACGGGGCACCAAACAGAAAACACCTACGTTCATGGATGAAATCAGAAGCTACTCACAATCAGGAGTACTCGGCACTTCTGAGACACTTGAGAGTGACAGACGACCTTTTCCTGATGATGTCAGCGGGAGAAGCTGCGTCAGCATGAGGTTTTAATCACAAAATGAGCATTTAATTTACCAGCATTAACAGCCAAAATGTCAATTACTGACATTTGAAGACATCAAATATGAGCTAGGAACTAGATTACTTTCACTTAATGCGACTAACTGACTGATCTGACGGAGGCTGCATTAATTTATGAACCCTCAGAGGAAGCATGAGACTCAAAGTTGTGATTGTTGAACCTAAATGTGTTGATTCCCTCCATATTCTGTCTTGACCTGCAATCAGCTGCACTCTGAATGATGACTTTTTGATATGATTTTCTACGTTTGTCTTGACGTCTATGAAAGATTGAATGTCAACTTTTCTCGGAATAAAATTAGTTTTATAAAAAGATCTCATTCAAGTTCTTAAACAGTCAGAGTTTATTGAAGATTTGACAGATAATTCTCACTGGAGAAAAGACGAGGACCAGCAGACAGTAAACAGAAACAGGTTAAGCTCTTACATTAGTAATAATAAAATGTTTTCAGGCTTTTTATACATTAAATTTTAGAGCTGTGGGAAGAATCTCAGAACAGTTTGTCGTGAAGAAGAAATAAAAAGGTCTCATGGTTGCGTTGGCACAAAGCAGCGGAGTGTTTCAGCCCACAGAGGCCAGGATAACGTCGACTACCGTCTCCTCGCTGCTGCGAACCGTCACCTGCATGGTGACGCCGTCAGCCAGCGCCAGGCGAGCACGGACCAGGACGTCATGACCTCCTCTAAACACACCTGAGAGGAGAGAGAGAAAGTTGGCTGAGTTGCAGAACATTTACCCTCCAGGAGTAAAACAAAAATTAAGACTTGTATTCATATATTTGTGCTGAACTCTTTTGTGATCTGTGCAGCCAATTTTCCTTACTGTAACGATAATCCACTTTAAGAACGTTGTATATCGAGAAGCAAGCAGCTTAAAAATACATTTATTAACTTGAAATAGCAACCACAACCATCCTGATATCCAACACCCACCAGCCAGGAAGAGGACATGCGAGTTCTTGTTTTCTGGGACTTTGTCCGAGCGCTCACATGGCTGCATTCCCAGGAAGCTGATGATGTTACCCACCGCCTCTGCAAAACAAATCCAACGATCAGTCCAGTGTGCGAGTTATGAGTGAATATATAAAACTGATCTTTGTGTGAGGAATTAGTGCATCACATCCAGCTTACCGTCTAGAGTCCGTACGGACGCCAGGGCGAAAGTCTCCTCCTTCTCAAATTCATCCCCCACTTCTTCCCATGCTGCACCAAAGTTTGGTTTTAGGACCTTCTGAATGTGGTCCGCGACCGTCACCTCCAGATCCTCCAACTAAAAGAGGAAGGAATGAGAAAAATCAAAAGATGAGGAGAGAGGAGCTGGAGGAATAGACGCCAAAAGAAGAGCAAGTATATCAAAAAAAGGAAGAATCATTCTTGGCGTGAAGGTGTGCAGAAGTTTCGTACCACATATTCATCGTCATATCCGTCATCATCTGGCTCTCCTGTGTTTGGATCGCAGTCTCTGACCAGATACTTCATAGTACAACTGAACGTACAAGACACTGTGGGGAGATGGGGGACAAGTTTCTTAGATCTCTCAGAATCTTGGATTGTGGTTTTCGTGCGTCATAATACAGTCTCTTCAAACTCTGCTCCTCTGGGCTGTACAGAACTTTATTACACTCTTATTTAGTCTTACCAGCGGTGGGGTCGTCATCAGGCAGCTGGACCAGAGTGTAGCAAGAACCCGGCTGACTGTAGGGGAGACTGGGGGCGGGGATGTAGTGTACCACCTCGTAGGCCTCTGATGGCTCCATCTGTACTACGACCTGAGAAGGAAAGCACAATTATGAAATCACAAACTCAAGTTGAAAGACGGAAAAATACCCGCTGTAAATTTTCTCTCGGCCGGTACCTTCTGCAGAAGCTGGTCGTTCAGCGTGTTTGTACAGTCGAACTGGAACACCATGTGCCTGGCGAAGGTGTGTTTGACGCAGCGCACCACGTACTCCGTCTCGGCCTCTGTGAGCTGCACTGGCTCTGACGACTTGAAGAGCGGACCGAGACTCTGGAACTCTGGGATGGCTGCCAATTGTTCTGTCGGGGTGAAGAAAAAACAAAACAAGGGACACTCAACATGAAACCAATCCTGATTTCTGTGTCCGGTTGCTTTATAATCTTGTATTTGCAGCCTTACCCTGATAAATGTCCTGGCGTGAGGGGGCCAACTTTTCGGGCAGCTTGCTTGTGGCAACAGGAGCGATTTCTGGGAGTGAAAGGTACAAACAGATGCTTAATTTTCTCAGGTTCTCAGCAGAATAAAGAAAAAAGCTCAAATTCAGTGCAGAGCTTTGAAGATATACCTGTTTTCTGCTCTGTGATCGGAGTGGTGGCCAGAGGGACACTCTTCATATCGAAAGGTTTCTCTGACGGCTCCAGAGTGTACTGATGGAGGGATTTCTCCAGGCCGGGGATGGATACAGACAGACCTGAAAGAGAAACACAGAGGAGGAGGTGTTAATGCTTTCATTTTACATCAACGCTCCGTTTGTGCCCTGCAGGCTGCCTGGCAGGAGCCCAACTTAACAGATTTTGTGACTAAGCGCTTACCATTGAAGATGTAAGCCGCGTTCAGAGCCTTCTGCTTCTGCTGCAGCACGTTCATGTAGAAAGTAGCCCTGTCTCGTACTTCATCGTCACTGTCCATCATACACCTGGAGGAACGCGCAGAGGTCATTGTAGCTCGCGTAAAGGTGAATCAGGCGGCATAGGTGACATTTTCTTTATATTTTCAACAGTCACATGAATCATAGAGGAAGAAAATGTAGAAAGTAAATAAGTACCTCTGCATGAGAACCAGGACGCTCGGCAGCAGATCGTCATTCTGAGCTCCGAATTTAGCGAGAGCACTGACAGCAGCTGAGGGTAGAAGAAGACACATCCCAACTGGTTAGGAAATGCTAGTAATAGATAAACTGGGTGTTCAAAGTCAGCTCCTGCAGTAATCCCACGCCAAAGAAATTGTTACAATTTCGAGTATCCTACTTTGTCTTACCTGCACGCACAGCCTCGCTCTCCAGCACCACCCTGTTGAAGATAAAGCGGATGTACTTGGAGGGCTGGGGGGTGCGCGGGCCCTCTTTACCCAGCAGGTGCAGGATCTTTGTGGCTAACACCGTATGCTCACAGTCCTCGATGAACTCGCACAGATGGGCCAGACCTGTCTCCTTGCTCTCTGGGTTCTCCTCAATGATGCTGATGATGCAGTCCACGATGGCTCGCTTGTACTCAAAACCACCCTGAAAGTAGAGGACGGATGTTCCTGTGAGTCTCAGTTTGCTTCATTTATGAAATTATAAGCAGCAGTGAAGTTTGTAAATGATCAGCTTACATCGTCTCTGAGCATGTTGGAAAGGAAGTTCATCATGACGCTGTGCTTCCTGGGATACTTCTGGCACAAAGCGCTGATGGCCTGAACCACCACAACCTGAAGTTCACAAACAGCAGGGACAGATTTAAGACAACAGCACAAGAATAACCTGATTGAAAAACGAGTCAAAGATGTGAATTTCAGATAAAAACACACATTTTAATATGATTAACAGCTGTGTTATCAAAGCAGGAAAAAGTCAACTTTAAATCAAAGTGTGTGTGACCTTGAACTCATCCGATATCTCAGAGACAAAGGAGGAGATCTGCTTCATGAGGCGGTCCACGCTGCTCTCGCTGCCAGTCTTCAGCAGGGTGGTGATGGCCAGAGTGGCGATGCTGCGGTTCGAGTCGGTGATCAGATTCTCCAGATCCAAGTTGCACGCAGTCACAGCAGAGGGATGCTTCATGGCCACCTGGAGGAGCGAAGTTACAATCAGCTTTTGCTCAACATTTTACCTTTGCAGTTTGAAGACCAGATGGAGCACGAAGCTTTACCTTGTTGAGGGTCCTGACTGCGGCGTATCTCAGGGCTGCTTTGGGGGAGCTGCAGAAGAGTTGCAGCACTGCAGCAGGACAAACACATTGACCACACTTTTCAATAAAACACTAACAGAACACCTTTGTTTTCATTTAGATCAAAATTACAGAAACATTAAAACAACGAATGAGGACCACAGTACTGACCAGACACAGCTGGGGCCAGCTCCCTGGCTGTACAGTTGGGCATATGAACAATGGCAGAAGCAGCCTCATACACCACCATCTCATTCTTGTTCCTCAGACAGCTCTCGATGAAATCAAACAAGGGGCTGTCATGACTGAGACAAAGAAATTCAATCTGTTAGAGCTTGAATAAAGTAAATCTGCCTCAGAAATATCAGGTAACAAAAGATACTTAAAGGAATATTCCGGCGTAAAATTAATTCAGGGTCAAACACACCTTAACACAAAGTTAGACACCCCCCCTCGAGAGATAAATGTTGATGACCGCTTGCTTCTCTAGTTATACCAACTTTAGTAATGACCGCAGGATAGCAATACACAGCGGTCTATGCCGGAATATCCCTTTAACCAAAACATCACACAGCTGCAGCTGAACTCACCCTGCTTCAGTCTCGTCCAGCAGTTTGCTGGCGATCCTGATCAGCATGCAGTAAGCGAAGGGAGACTTCAGACCAGACTTGGTGAACTTGTTGAGCATCTTGGTGACAGCCAGACGGTCGTTCTTCCTGAGGTGGTACAACAGTCCCAGGGCGTGATACTGGAAGACAGGACACACATTATCAGGCCAAGTTTCAATCACTGATGCAGCCACACAAACACACATTTCAGGTTGTTTGGAATGACATATTACAGATATCTGTATTACCAACCTGGACCATGATGTTGTCACTAGAGGCAGCCTCCTGAGCTTCATTCACCCAACGCTTCACCACATCGTAGCTCATCTTCACCATGTGCTGAACAAAAAACAGAGAGGACGTCATCACCCACCAGCAAAAACGTGGGGTACAGTCACTCAACTTTATATAAATTATACGGATTGAGAAACAAACAGGACCAAAAATTATCATTTCTTACCAGTGAGGAGACCAGAGCTGAACTGGACACACTGGGAACCTTGTCAACAATCGCCTGCTTCATGTATCTCTCAATGGCCTGCAGCATGGTGGTCTGTGGAAGGAAGGAACAGAGAAAATTTATAGCACATATATGTTTTGTTGTTTCTCTCTTGCATTAACTGGCACACTAGGAAGAGCTAAAAAGATGGAAAGGTGAAGAAAATCAAACAAGTCAACACTTACATCTGTAATCCTGCAGAGGGCTCTGATAGCAGGACCACGGTACACGTCCTCCTTCCCTGTCATGTCTTTGGTCAGGCTGAAATATGACACCCAAGAACCACCTTCAGAAAGTGCAACTTCAAAACAAATCTGCCAGATCGGGCTGATTCATAACAAAGAATGACATCCCAAAACCTACACGCTTTACTTTCTTATTTACTAACATGACAACAGGACTCAGTCTTCTCTGAATCCAATATGAGCAAGAACTCAGATGCAAATGAACACTTGGGATGTTCCTGCGTAAAAAAGATTTAGAACCAAACACACCGTAACACCAAGTTAGACACCCCCTCAAGAGATGAATGTTGCCGACCGCTTGCTTCTCTAGTTATACCAACTTTAGTAACAACCGCAGGATAGCAATACACAGCAGTCTGAGGAGCCATAAATAATCCTCAACCAAAACGCCACTCTATAGCCACAAATGATGCTCAGAACAGTAACTAACTTCATCAACAGTGTATATAGCACTAGCCACCAAACATCTTTTAAACTTTGCCTAATTTCTTTAGCAAAGAGACTAAACACAACTCACCTACTCTCTTCCAGCAGCTGTTTGTTTGTAGGGAGACCTCAGGCCAGTTCATTAAAGACTCGTGCGGGGGGACACAGCTCAAGGAAGAACATTTATGATCATTTCTTCATCATTTCCAGACGCGGTAGTTCTTCTGCCTCAGCGTCTCGGTCTGACTGCATTTCCATGAAGAAATGATCATAAATGTTCTTCCTTGAGCTGTGTCCCCCCGCACGGATGGAGGATGCTAAGAAGACACTAGCCTGTTAGCGTTAGCATACCCTGAGGTTTGTTTATGGCTCCTCAGACCGCTGTGTATTGATATCTTGCGCTCGTTACTAAAGTTGATATAACTAGAGAAGCAAGCAGTCGGCAACATTTATCTCCTGAGGGGGTGTCTAACTCGGTGTTACGCTGTGTTTGACCCTAAATTAGTTTTATGTTGGAATATCCCTTTAAGGTTGGTGTTTCACAGCATTACTCAATAACAGAAGTCAAGAAAAGGGTTTCAGAGTTTGAATCCTATGAGATTTTACTCAAACAGTACAAACCTGCTGGTGACAATGATGACATCCTCAGAGATGTTGGCCATCTCCTTAATGGTCAGGTAGCACATCCTCCTGAGGGTTTGCTGCAAAAAGAAAGACAATTTGGTCAAATAAAGAGCTGTAAAGTTTGAACTAATCTCATTAGTGGTTTTTGGATTCATCTCTTACATCATTGGATTGAAAGAGTCTGGTCATGGCAAAGAAGGCCTCTGTAGCCTCTGTGGTCCCGAAATGCTCTCCCTAAACAAACAAGAGGAAACTTTAGTAAGCGAATAAACACCCAGAGAGGATTGATGGACACCGATCATACAAGACAAAGATTTGTGTCTTTTTGGATCATCCCTTCACCTGGTTGAGCAGGTAGATAATCTTGGTCAGAATGTGGAGACATCTTCTCGGATTGATAGGAGTCTCATTGAATATCCGCGCCTGTGAAAGAGAAGCAAAGTCTTATTTCAAAATCCGTGTTAAGGATATGATTTATAAGGCTTCAAATTCCTATTTCTGATCTGGACAAATCATGTGTTAAAGCAAAGTCAGACTGAACCTCCTGCAGCACGGCGCTCTTCTCCAGGTTCTGGAAAGGGTTGGACCCACTCCCTAAACGTCAAAACAGAAGAGACAGACGTTTTCACCTCACGTAGACAAGTGTTTATGCAAAATCTTAGCCTCAGTGACCGCAACATAGTCAGAGGAATCATAATCCACCCCGATGAGTACATTAACTTTGACTGGGTATGCTAACACTAACAGGCTAGCGTCCTGTTAGCATCCTCCACCCTGACACCGCTGACACAATTTCATTCATTTATTTGAGCAAATCTCCAAACTTACCAGACTCCTCGTCCTTTTTATCGAATTTTTTAATCATTATGTCGGACTGAAGCTGACTAACGAAGACAACAGCTGCTCTCAGCCTCGGTTAGTAGACGAGCTACTTCCACGTAGCCAGAGTGAACCCGACTTCCTGTTAGGACGTCCACGTCAACGGAACGTACGTCAGCGTCACTGTGAACCAGGACGCGAAATCTTTTTTGTAGGATAGTAGGGGAAGGTCCCGCCCTCCTTCGCCTCCGATTGGCTAGAAAACGTGGACGCGTTATCACCATCGTACTTATGTGTGCATTTGTCACGACTTATCATTTGTAAATCTTCAATTTTGTATGTGAATTGTTTAAAAAAAAACCACACAAGTCGAGGATATCCACATGTGTGGAGAACATCACCTCTCCCATCCACTGGGCTGCAGTGTTGCTCCCTCTGTGAGAGCACAGACTGTGAGGAAGATGACTGACAGCTGTCCACCTTAGAAGTGGGGTGAAGTTTCTCTGCTTCTCTAGTGGATAGCTGTCAATCATCCTCCTCACAGTCTATGCCCTTAACAGAGAGACAGAGAGCTCTTTTCACAAATGTGGTCAGGTTTAACCCAAAATAAACTTGAATTCTGATGATTTATTTGTTGTGTTTTATGGTACAGGTGCCCGCAGGTGGACTCGACATATTGGAAGAAGAGGAGGATCATCAAACAGAGCAGCAGATACTCTTAGGTGGTGTTATCATCCGTGTTTTTAAAGTTCATCAGTGTTTTTTTTTTTAAATTATTATTACTGGAAAATTAATTATTGCGTTGTAGATCAGACACGACTTAAAATAAAACGTAGGGGTCAAAAAATCAGGGTTACGATTTAATGAAATTATTCACCAAAAATCACAAATCAGCTGACATTAATGTGTTTTTTTGTTTAATTCGCTGCATGAATAAAACAGAAGTAAGCAGAAGTATGATTGACTTTCCTGTAAATGTTTCTGTAAATAAAATCAGTGTAAGTTTTTTTTTTATATAATGTTGTTTTGAAACCAGATTAATGTGGACAAAGTTAAACATAACCAGTCATTGAAAAAATCAGCAACATTACGCTAACAATAATTAGAATTTTTCATCTGTAAATCTTTAATTCTAGCTTTAAACTCCCGTGGATTCTCAAGACAAACAAAACAACCAACCAAACAAAAAAAAAAAACATCAAATATAACTTTCCACCAGAGGGCGCTGTTTCCTCACAAACTGCTTTGCCATAAATAATGGCTGTATTATTCCACTTAATTTATAATAAAAAATTATAAACAAACACATTTTATATATCTTTATCAATATATATATATATATATATATATATATATATATATATATACACATATGATGTGCTGCATATGTAAGGAGAAGAAAATTTCTCCCAAGGAAGGAGGATTTGCCCTTGTGTAATTTCATTTGAGACTCATTTTGTTTGATCTAAGGAAAAGTTTGTAGTTTTTAATGGAATGTGGACCAGTGTGAATAAAAATATTCACTTCTGGGAAAACAGCAGTCTGTTGAGTTGCCTTCCTACCACCTTCCTAGACCCTTGAACCAAAACTACTTTACAAAGACCCCTCTTTTTATTTTTATTTAATGAGGCAGGAAGTCAGAGGTGGGTGAAAATTTGAAGGAACCAAGTCACGCAGTGTAAATAATAAATAATAAAGGAGCAATGAATGAGCTAGATAATGTATGTAATAGATTAAACTTAACATATGGAGGGATAAACATCCAAGAAATAAAATATATACATGGAGTAACAAAAGGTAAATCCTTCCAGTCTTGTATTGACTTCTTGCTGGTCTCAGCTAGCACAACTGATAATGTGGAGAAAACAGATATTGAGCCCACCATTTTCATGGACCACAAAGCAATTTCCATTAGGATGAACTTGTCAAAAAGACCAAAAATCTACACAGACTACTGTAAATTGAATAAAACACAAATTCAAAATCATGACTTTCAAAACCAACCATTGAGAAGTAGGCAAGCAGTGACTACCAACCTGTATGGAGTCCTGGGAGTTATTAAGATATGAAATCAGAAGAACGGCTATAGCATTGGGCAAAAATAAATAAATAAATAAATAAATAAAAGTCTAAAACAATATGAGAAAAAGAACCTCAAACTGTTACAAAAAATATGAACTTAACTGAAAAAGAAAACCTGTGTGAGGATGAGGCCAGAGAACTTGCTTCACTGCAACCCGCATTGGATGTAATTTGTGAGGAAAAGGCTAGAGGTGCTACTTTTTATTGGGATCACAATTTTGACTTATTGTGGATATCTACAAATGTATTTATTGACAGAATGTATCCGGATTAAACGCTAAAATCCGTAATGACAGTTTAAACAAGGTGGGTACTGGTGGAAGTAACGCCTGCAGAGTTGAGTCATAACCAATGATGTCATTGCTGAAACTGGCCACAAGGGTCCGACATTACTCTGTGTATGGTCTCAGGCAAATATTACAGACAACCAAATACAAAAATTCCAAACTAGCCAGATGTTATTAATTCATTTATGTTAAAAATAAAAAAAAATGAAAAACTTAAATCTGAGTCAGATTTGCTTTACAAATCAGGTAAATGTAGTTTGAAGGTTCACAAGCAAGAATAAGACGTAAAATTACTTGTGAGTAAAAAAGATTCTGCCAGTCGAGCAAAAAAGATTTCATCATTTGGTTCCTGAAAATTTGAATGAAGGCTTTAGTTCAAGAAAACTTCAGTCAGTTTTGCCTGCCTTTTTGGTAGATTTTTGCTCCTGATAGCTTAATAGGGAGCTTATCGTATAGAAAAGGATTATTTGAAGTATTATGTATGTTTTATTCTAGGAATGAGGTAAAAACACTTGTTTGTTTGCAGTATAGCTGATCAAAGGTTTAGCTGGAAAAAACAGATTTTTTTGTATGACGTACACATCAAAATTTACCTTTAATAGTTAAATTTAAAGATACATTTTGTACTCCAATTTCCCATTTTTTTCCATACATCTCCAGCATCATTCAGATTTTTAAAAAGCTCCACTCAGTGATTGGTTCTAGATGTGCTGATTCAATGATCACCTCATGATTAGTGAAGTGATAACAGAGTTAGGGAGGTCTCATTGAACACACTCCAAATGTCGTGTAATAAAAAGGCCAACATCTTTGTGACTTCTGCTTTATTTGAGGAAAAATAATCCTTTATTTGGAGTATAAAAATAACAGACATTTGAACAAATACATTCCCATGCAATAGCATTTTACTGTATGTCATGAACTTACTGTAGGTTTGTACAGTGTGTTCTGTGTTTCCTCGGGAATCAAAACAAAGAGGCTCTCCTGTGAAGATCTAAACAGAAAACCTCTCGGACAATATCTAAAGAAAGCACCAAAGAGAAATGACGACAACATTTGCCAGAAGTGATAAACAAAGTTGCTCTACTCTTGAGAGGAAAAAAAAAGGGTTGGGCATTAATCATTTGTTTTACAGCAAATTTGATACAAGGGCTGATCTGTACTTGAACACTTATTTTTCAACTGCAACCTCACTCCATATTAAGTGCAAACTTTTAAAAATCCACTAATCTTGAAGTCTTCTTTTAGGTATGAAACAGGTCTGCTGATGTGACCTGAAAACACATCTTACACATTTAATTTCTAGTGTCACTTGCTGGCTTTGTGAAATATTTCAATCAGCATTCCCTTGACCTTTTGGTATCATGATTTGGTGCAGTGTTTTAGAGTTTAGAGAGGCTCCAATGACTGAACTTAAGGGTGAACGTTTAAAATATGGTCAATTGGTCATAAATGGTAATTTTTTTCAGCTAAGATTCTTATCTTTGTGGGTTGGAATATGTCCCTAAAAGTCAAAGAAACACAAGATTAATGATCCAACTTCAACTCAAAGCGTTTTGAAACTAAAAACGAACCCTGTTTGGATCGATGCTGTTAGATATTTGGTTACCAGGACCTTTCAGATGAGAGCAAGTAATTTGACCCAGACAAACCAAGACAACTTTCAAAGTGATGCAGGAGTAAGGAGGCCAACGCTGGTCATGGCTGTCTGTTAAAGTCGAGTTGTCCAACACTACTTTTCATCACTTTCTCCGTCCAATCTGAGCCAGAAGACGCGCGTTCTCTGCCGCTTTTGCGCGCAGGTTTTTAGCCTTGGCCACATCAAAAAGCACGTTCATGATGTTAGTGGGCACGTCGAGAGACAGGGTCAGCCTGCTCCTCCGGTCCCCTTTGCTGCTGTTCCGGAGCATCTGACCCCTGAGCTTGGTCCGGCTCATGTAGCGGTAGTTTGAAGGGTTGGAAGTCCTTTTTTCCCGGCTGGACTCTAAAGAAGAGGAAGAGGAGGAGGTGAGATACTCCGCAGACTGCAACAGGGACCCCCAGCCGTCCACGGGGGAGAAACCGGGAGACTCGTCCTCATCGACTCGGACCCCGAGCGGCAGCTGGTCGTCGCACAGGAAGTCAGATCGGGTCTGATAGAGGCGGAGGCACAGACTGGAGGTCGGTGTGCACAGGACCGACAGCAGCAGGAGGGTCTTCAGGGAGGACAACATGCTGTGTCCTCTGGGGCGCACACGGGGAGAGAGGAAAGGTTTCATAAGCCCTAAAAAAAGCTGAAAACAATCTCAAACTACGTCTGACTCTAGTATGAGTATTCCTGTATTTTCAATTCAGCCAATTTTACGTCTGGATATGCTTTGGAGTAGAACAAATCAAGTCTCCTTCGCCTTTATTCTGACAGGCAGAAGTTTTTTGAGATTTTGTGGAAAGAAGATCATTTAAGTTTATTTGGTGTCTTGTAATTTAATGCTCAATATTTACCCTACTGAAGCAAAGAGACGGCGCAAAAACTGTGAACAGTTATTCACGCACAACTTACCACTCGCGTCCTGTGATAAGAAAAACAACAGGAGTGATCAACCGACACGTATCTCTGCCAAACAAGATCAAGGTGCTGAAATCCTGCGATAAAACCGTGATGAGAAGTCCCGATAATAAAGTGTGCGAAGGGTCAGCAGCGCGCGCTGTCCCACCAGCAGAGCGTCTCGCGCGTCCATTCCCCGTGCAATCGTTTAGTAGGAGCCATCGAACCGCAGCCTTACGCCAGCAAAGACGTCATCCCGTTGACATTTTAGTTTTCATTGACATGTCCCATTGGTTATGATGCAGTGATGAGGAGAAAGTGGATGTGACCTCCTGTTGGTGAGAATGAGGCAGCAGAAGTATGGGCAAGTGGGAAAAGTTGCGTCTTTTAAGAAGACCAAGAATTTCATGCAGGTTTGGAGAGTCTATTTGCCTCAAATATACTTCCCTTTAGTTCAGTGTGCATTACACTGAACACTCTCCAGCTGATTCAAGTCATTTTAGATAGAATTCAAGACTTGTTTTACGACATGGATGTGGGAATGTTTGTTTCAGCACCATGGAGAGTTCAGGACCATGGACAGGTCTATCATTCAACTACAAAATCAAAGAAATACTAGGCTTAATGTGGTTATTTTATTTCCAATGTCATGCTGAAGTCATTCACATTTTTTTTATTTATTTGAGGAGCACCCCTATTTCAGAAGGTCAGAGGAGGATGGAGGATCAAGGAGGATCTTCAGTTACCTAAATAATTAGCTTCAACATGAAAAAAGCCACGCTAGCAGAGAGGGAAAGGACAGCTAAATTGGTGCTATCAAGAGCTGATTAATATGGTGGCCGAGAACCGCCACTGATGCAAATAAAAAAATATGCAAAAAAAGAAGAAAGAAACCACAATGGAAGTTACTGATGCAAAAAAAAGGAAAGAAAGAAAGATAAAAAAAGAAATGGTGCAGAAAAAACAAACAAAAAACAAACAAACAACAACAAAAAAAAACCCACAACAGAATGAGAAAAAAGTGACGACGGCGAGAAGACGAGCAAAGAAGTTGAAAAGTTATTAATTTTGCTTCTTAAACTTTTCAATGTGTCATTTGGTTAGGTCATGTAGCGCCTGAGTCGATCTGGAGGATGCCGATGTAGTGTTAGCTTTAGTTCTGCTTCATACCAACTCAGGCGCTACATGGCCTAACCAAATGACACATTTAAAAGTTTACGAAGCGAAATTAAACAACAACCTTTCCACTTCTTTGCTCGTCTTCTTGCCGTCGTCTTCTGTGCCTAGATCATAAAACACCGGTGCATCATCATTATTGGTCCCTGGCAGCTCATTTCCATTGTGGCTTTTTTGTGACTTTTTTTTTTTGCATAGTTTACTAACGTTTTGGCTTTTTTTTTTATCTGCGCTATTTCTTTTTTTATTTGCAGCAGGCTTCGGTTTCTTTTTTTTGTGTTGTGACTTTTTTGCATTCTTTTTTTACTTACAGCAGTGGCAGTTCTCGGCCACCGTAGATTAAAGCACTGGATGAGTATATTAAAAGTAAATAAAGTCTACTGTTATTCCCACAATTGAGACTCGCTTCACAGAAAGTTTTAAGCAACGCTTCCTTTTTACTATGTAATATAATAAGAAATGAGATTCTTTTAAATTACCGAGGTATTCACCATGTAGCCTTGTTTATGAAACATGGTATTTGCATTTGCATAAAATCCCTCATGCATGATAATCTGTGTAAATTATTTGTGGTTTGTTCAAACAGATAAAAGTTCAAAGAGTTCTTCACTGCCTGATTTATCTTCTTTCCTATACCACTATTGAAGTCAGTGACCTATCTATGATGTGATGCTGCCCAGTATGAGTGATTAGCATGGTGCACATATGGCTGTTTCATGTCAGAAGAAGATACGGTATCTGACACCGGGAGAACATTGTGTTTCAATTAAAACTTTGAGTGTACATGTGACACAGACTGAAGCCACCTGCAGAGAAACACAGCACCATGTCAAAAAGAAGAAAGAGTGCGTCAGGAGCAAAAGGATCAAAGGGTGCTGGGTCAAGCTCTAATGAGAGACTCCACTGTAGGATTAATATGAGTGTAAGTCCTCACAGCTGGAGTGATCTCAGTCTGTGACACATAGTGATATGAGATGTCCTCCCACTCCTGGTCTCTCTCTGCGGTTGAATCCTGAAAAAGAAGAACTTGCACCCCTTCAACTTTAATGAAAAAAAGCAGTTTCATTTTTACGCTGGATTATGTTGTTGACAGTCTCTGGAAATAGGAAGCGTTAAGAGCCACTGTGTCGTTCCCCATTAAGACTTTTTGTCTGACTTGGATGTGAAGAGGCAATGACTAAACACACATTTCTTGCAGTCCTATTTTAAGTTGTCAAAAGTTTTTCTCAAGTTTTCTCAAAGACTTTGTCACAGACTTAGAATACCAATTTTCTCCACCAGTTTTAGATCTGCAAACCCAAAATGATCTGCCACAGTTAGAGCAGCTCAAGGTCATTTAAAAGAAAAAAAACTGTCATTTGTATTTCTCTTCCTGTTTTTGTTTCTGGTTTAAAGTGGGAGTGACCCATGAGATTGTCATTCTAGATGTGATGTGTAATCCCTCCAGTGCATCCTGGCTCTACCTCTAGTTGGACATGTCAGGTAGGTATCCTTTCCAGTTCTTCTCTGAGCACCCACTTCGAGCTGTGGACCCCCAAATCGCATACTTCCATACTAAATACTTAAAATTTTGAGTATACTCAACTCAAAATGGAAAAAAGTATGGCTAGAATGCAAAAATTGAGTATGCAAAAGTACCCGGATAAACTCAAATCAGTCAAAATTTTGAGTGTGCGACTGTGGACACTTGCCTGCACTTGGTAAGGATTGCTGCGTACGGCTGTGGTGCCGTTGGGTCTGCGACAGTAGACCTGGGAGCTTTGTACAGATGTAAATAATAAGTTGCCTTTATATTTTATATTATATTTTATATTCTATAGATTATATAAAATGTATTTAAAAATTAGTTTTTTGTAAATAGTTTCTATTAGTTTTAAATTCTTAATTTGTAAATAGTTTATCTTTAGTTACCAAGTTCCAAATGTTTAATATGTAAATAGGGTATCTTTAGTTTTCTTGTTCTAAATTTCTTCATATGTAAATAGTTTGTCATTTTTCTGTTATGCACAATAAATGTTCAGACATGAGGCAAATTGCGGCGTCATTTCCAGTGAGTGCACCGCACGGCAGTATGCGATTTGGGGCAGCACTGCATCCTCGAAACTCGTGCACTGCATGATTGAGTACATAGTATGCTTAATATACTCAATTTAAAAAATCAAAGTATTTAGTATGGAAGTATGTGATTTGGGACACGCCATATGGCTTAACCCAGTCATTCTGGAGGAAACCTATTTCAGCCACCAGCACCAATGCCACCCAGAGGTCCCAGCTTGAAGAAGTCAACAGAACAACTGGGAACAATCGTTTCACGCATACAGAATTGGTATGAAACTGAAAAAACAACTGCTGTATTAACCAGGGAATCTAGACATCACAGAGTAATCAAAATAATCTCAGAAAAATTGCTCACCATACTGACACTAATCTCTCATGACACTCCTGTCAAAGAATAAATCATGGTATGTCTGAGTATAAGCACTTTGAAGCTGTTTCCTCCCTCTGAGTCATGGTTTAAAGCCACACTGGTGCAGCATTCATTTGAATAATAAGTGTTAAAGTCAAGACCATCAAGGGTACATTTCATTGCATACATCTTATTCTCGAATCAGACAAGGGTAAGAATTGGTTTACATTATTATTATGGACTTAAAACTGTTCTGAAATGCAAATCAAGTCTTGCAAATGCAAATGTTGTTCACTCTTCAAGGTTTGGAGCTTTAGCCAGCAAAGACAGTGGAAACAAAAACTGTTATCAGGAAGAACATGGATTACATTTATGAATATTTCTGTAAATTCTCCCTGTGGGACTAATAAAGGAATATCTTATCTTATTTCAAACAATAGTTAATAAATGTGTTAAATATAATATTGTTTAAAGAGCCGTATCTGTTTTTGGTTAATGTCAGGTCGTGGATGACAGAGGGTGTGGTTCAGCAAGACAGCCTGTCTCCGTGACTGTGTTACCACTTCGTGCAGATCTATAAAGCATCCTAGCATGTGGGAGTTCATTACAGAGCTGAATCGTGACTTATATGACGAAAGCCTGTGAAGACTTGTCGGTAAAAATTTATCAATCACACAGAGATATGATTAATTTCTGCACTAAATATTGAAGAATCTGAGCTTTTTGAAGCATTGATTTCAGTTTCTGACAGCTGATGTTGACAACAAGCAACGTGTCGCCCTCAACATTCTGCATTACAACAACACAATTCAGATTTTAAAAAACAGTATCTAATTTGAAGGAGCCTACACTGCAGTATCCTTTCTAAAATATCAACCAATGACAACCTGAGAACATAAGATGTGTCATGTATTGTCTCCTGTCACACTGCCTGAATAAAAACCGTCAATGCATGCTGCCTCCACATCAACACCCACGCAGGAATCCCCTCTACTGCTGTGTTAGTCTGATGGAGAGACCTTTTAAAACGTCCCTGCCTGATTTCCCTCTCTAGGCCCCTGTTGGCCTCTCATCTGGCTCCCTGCCTGACCCATAACACCCCCTGCCAGAGGGACATATGTAGCAGTGGAGGTGGCAGCAGGCAATCAGCCACCAGAGTCTTATTTTTCGCACAGGATGCACGGCAAATTACAAAAACATAAGAAAAGTGCTCGAGCGTTATGTAAAAATGCGGAGACAAGCACGACAGGGAGATCTGAAAAAGAAAAAAACGATTTAATTTCTTCTGCAGAAGCATGAGTGTTGATCACTTTTGTTATTTGAAAACTCAGTTTGTCACATTTTGTTTTTTTTTAACACAAGTAAAAAACAATTACAAAATATAAATAAATCCAATAAAAAAGGCACAACTTGAAGACTTTACACACTTATGTACAAAACTGTAGGAGTGGTTTATACCTCAATGATAAAGATGAACAGATAAATGCATCAATTAGCCTTTTTGAAGCTATGGTATCTGTGAAATCTGTACAACCAAAACCTTTTTGAAGTCTTATTTATCTGATCAGCTGTGTCAGTGGATACTTCCCCTGTGATGTGATTGGGTGTCCCTACCACTCCACTCCTTCTCACACAAGCTCTGGCACTCCTGTCTGGATTTGAACCGGTTTCTGTTTCCTCCACAGCCACCGTACACGAACGGCCGGCATTCCCCTGAGCGAGGATGGAAGTACCAGAGCAGGACATAATCTGAACAGGCACCCTCAGACATTGGGTCCAAGCAACGGTCTGCTGCCAAAACTGCAGGGAAAGGGATAAGGCATAAAAAGTTGAAAACACAATTTATTTGCATGTTTGAAGAACTTACATTAACCTTCATTTCCCTGCAGATTAAGTACAGGCAGCCCACTGCCTTGAGCCACTCCAGTAAAGTACCTGGTTAAGCTTTGATTAAGAGGAGATGTCAAGAGTCCTGGAGAGGATGTCTGACAAGACCTCAAAACTAGAAAAAAAAAAAGCAGCTGCACCCTTGAGACAAGTGTTTTTTTGTTTGTTTCTGATTGGTTATGAAAAGCTGGACTAAAATGAAACTGCTGTGATGTAATAAACTATCTTCACAGGCTGTCATAATGTTTGTGAGATGGTTAAAGTCAGAAACTGCTCAACAAGCGGCTAGCTTATCGATCAGCCAGTTGCTAATCAATCACAAAAGAGAGAGGAGAGTGAAAAAGAGTTATATAATAGTGTACAATATTTTGACATCTATGGGATGCTTCACAACATTGTGGCTGTGACAAGTAACATTAAACCTACACACTTTTTACAAGAGAACGATCAGCTGTAAAACAGAGTTGGTAAAGTTTTGTCATCCCTGTGCATTTAGTAAAATGTATGTAGCTACAAATCAACACATTACCTCACCATTCTGCATCCATTAACACTCTCTTGAACAAACACACCAAGTTATTTTCAGTCTGTTTTGTAGCAGCTTAAACACAGGAGCTTTTAATGCGATTTAGATGTTTTCTGCTAACTTTTGAGTATCTTTTCTATTTCAGACACAAGGTTGACTTACAAACTTTCTTCATTAAACTTTAGATCTCATTCTCACAGCATTTTACCCTTATTTATTAAATCGCCTAGTGAAAGCTAACACAGGCTGTCAAATAATCAGAGATTAAAAACTCTGCTCTTATCTTTCTCTCCCACCTTGTGCTTCCAACTTTGTAAAGCAACTCATGACTCATAGTTTATGAAAATACAAAAAAAAAAGCAAGTAAACAAGAGGAGAGGAGGAAAGATAAGAAGACAATCAGCTTTCTTGGCCACTCACCAGAAGTATTCACTCCAAGTACTCGTCTTTTCCTCCGCTGTCCCCACTCTGCAGCTCCGTCCTCTGAAGCTTCTGAAGGAAAACAGCACCAGAAAGAAGTTTTACAAGTTTTCACTTCAAGATTCACTATGATTTGACAGAAACATAGGTGGCACATTCACTCATATTACAGTCAGGAGAGAGTGCTCAGTGTCATCATCAACAGCCTGTTTGACTTGTATGTGCACAAAAAAAAAGCATTATGCAAATCCAGTAGGCAGAGAATTTAGATTGAGGAATTACAGTAACACCATCACAGAGGGGAAATCCAAGAATACAAATTAGAGGTGGTAAAGATTTACTGATGCACAAAAGAAAACAGTAAAATAGCTTTTTTTAGTACAAAGAAGTTGATCTATATTTGAATGACAGGATCAACAGTAACACAAACATTAGACACACAGTTGAGTCATACACACATCTGGTAAATGACTACTCAGATTTGAACCCAAGCCCTACCAGTACCCTGAAAGGTGGAACTAATACCTCACTTCTTACTAATTCACAAGCTTCAAGTCTAAACACTGAACCCTGACTCTGTGTGTTTGTGTATATCTATCATTTCACATGCATAATACACCATTATTACTTTACATCTAGTAATTGTGTTTTATGAATAAACATGATGACATTGACCATGGGCAAAGACAGCCAAAGACCCCGTTTGATTATTTTCTGGTTGTTTTAACGGGAAGCAAAACACATCAGTATTAAAAATGCTCTTGCCTGGGGGTTGTGTTCACTAATGAGCTCCATCAAATACTGGCGATCTTTTGGTACATGCTGACCCTTTGTTCAACTACTTTGACCTGCTGCTGATGACTCAATAACAGCACACCATCAGCATTAACCCTTCCGGGTCCCTGTGGCCGAATTCGGCCATTTGACGAAAAAACAAGAGACTTATTTGGACATATTTTTTTTTTTACTGCAGCAAATGTGATGAATTTTTTTTTCTAAGCTTAATTTGAAATTCTACTCGAAAACATGAATTCAACATTTTCACCAGGTCAATAATAAAGCCAGGACAAATTTTCACCCTCCAGAGTCCCTCGTGGCCGAAAAAAGCCACTTTTTTTGTCGGCTGTAAAATCATATTGGATTAATATTTTTTTCTGATTTTTTTTCACACATCTCTTATTTTACTTCTGCCCTGTTCGAAACTAGCAAATGTTTCATTGAAAACAATTTTTTTAACCCTTTAAGTGCCAATTTAAGACAAAAAGTCACAAATATAGCAAAAATTTAAGGAAAATGACCCATTTTTTTTATAAAACATGATCAGAAACTGGTTATCTCTTGCAGGGTATCAAAGTCATGAATATGTCAGAGATTAGTAATATCATTGGCTTTGATGCATTTTAAGTTTTTCTGTAGCATCAGATTTAATGAAAAACTGCGTTTGGCGCCTCCCAGTGGCCAAAACTACTTTGTCTGCTGTAAAATCATATTGGATTAATATTTTTTTCTGATTTTTTTTCATACATCTCTTATTTTACTTCTGCCCTGTTCAAAACTAGCAAATGTTTCATTGAAAATAAAATTTTAACCCTTTACGGGCCAATTTAAGACATAAAGTCACTTAAAAAGCAAAAAAAAATGGAAGGAAAAATTTAAGGAAAATGACCAATTTTTTTTATAAAACATGATCAGAAACTGGTAATCTCTTGCAGGGTATTTAAGTCTTGAATATGTCAAAGATTAGTAATATAATTGACTTCAATGCATTTTAAGTTTTTCTTTAGCATCAGATTTAATAAAAAACTGCCTTTGGCGCCTCCCAGTGGCCAAAACTACTTTTTCTGCTGTAAAATCATATTGGATTAATATTTTTTTCAGATTTTTTTTCATACATTTCTTATTTTACTTCTGCCCTGTTCAAAACTAGCAAATGTTTCATTGAAAATAAAAATTTTAACCCTTTAAGGGCCAATTTTAGTCATAAAGTCACTTAAAAAGCAAAAAAAATGGAAGGAAAATGAAGGAAAATGACCAATTTTTTTAATAAAACATAATCAGAAACTGGTAATCTCTTGCAGGGTATTTAAGTCTTGAATATGTCAGAGATTAGTAATATAATTGACTTAGATGCCTTTTAGGTTTTTCTGTAGCATCAGATTTAATGAAAAACTGCGTTTGGCGCCCCTCAGTGGCCAAAACTACTTTGTCTGCTGTAAAATCATATTGGATTAATATTTTTTTCAGATTTTTTCATACATTTCTTATTTTACTTCTGCCCTGTTCAAAACTAGCAAATGTTTCTTTGAAAATAAAAATTTTCACCCTTTAAGGGCCCATTTAAGACAAAAAGTCTCTTATGAAGCAAATAAGGTCATTTTCCTTCCATTTTCCTTCCATTTTTTTGCTTCATAAGAGACTTTTTGTCTTAAATTGGCCCTTAAAGGATGAAAAAATTTTTTTCAAAGAAACATTTGCTAGTTTTGAACAGGGTAGAAGTAAAATAAGAAATGTATGAAAAAAAATCTGAAAAAAATATTAATCCAATATGATTTTACAGCAGACAAAGTAGTTTTGGCCACTGAGGGGCGCCAAACGCAGTTTTTCATTAAATCTGATGCTACAGAAAAACCTAAAAGGCATCTAAGTCAATTATATTACTAATCTCTGACATATTCAAGACTTAAATACCCTGCAAGAGATTACCAGTTTCTGATTATGTTTTATTAAAAAAATTGGTCATTTTCCTTCATTTTCCTTCCATTTTTTTTGCTTTTTAAGTGACTTTATGACTAAAATTGGCCCTTAAAGGGTTAAAATTTTTATTTTCAATGAAACATTTGCTAGTTTTGAACAGGGCAGAAGTAAAATAAGAAATGTATGAAAAAATCTGAAAAAAATATTAATCCAATATGATTTTACAGCAGAAAAAGTAGTTTTGGCCACTGGGAGGCGCCAAAGGCAGTTTTTTATTAAATCTGATGCTAAAGAAAAACTTAAAATGCATTGAAGTCAATTATATTACTAATCTTTGACATATTCAAGACTTAAATACCCTGCAAGAGATTACCAGTTTCTGATCATGTTTTATAAAAAAAATTGGTCATTTTCCTTAAATTTTTCCTTCCATTTTTTTTTGCTTTTTAAGTGACTTTATGTCTTAAATTGGCCCGTAAAGGGTTAAAATTTTATTTTCAATGAAACATTTGCTAGTTTTGAACAGGGCAGAAGTAAAATAAGAGATGTATGAAAAAAATCAGAAAAAAATATTAATCCAATATGATTTTACAGCAGACAAAGTAGTTTTGGCCACTGGGAGGCGCCAAACGCAGTTTTTCATTAAATCTGATGCTACAGAAAAACTTAAAATGCATCAAAGCCAATGATATTACTAATCTCTGACATATTCATGACTTTGATACCCTGCAAGAGATAACCAGTTTCTGATCATGTTTTATAAAAAAAATGGGTCATTTTCCTTAAATTTTTGCTATATTTGTGACTTTTTGTCTTAAATTGGCACTTAAAGGGTTAAAAAAAATTGTTTTCAATGAAACATTTGCTAGTTTCGAACAGGGCAGAAGTAAAATAAGAGATGTGTGAAAAAAAATCAGAAAAAAATATTAATCCAATATGATTTTACAGCCGACAAAAAAAGTGGCTTTTTTCGGCCACGAGGGACTTTAGAGGGAAGTCAATCTAAAGAGCCCGGAAGGGTTAAACACAGTGGGCACAGAGAGAGTTTCATTTGACTTGAAGCGCCTGTGTTTTAAAAATCTTCAATATTACGTTTCATGGAAAAAACTGAAACCAGTACATCAGTCAGAGAATAAAAGTTTTACCTCAATCAGATAAAAGTGTCTTAAGGTTAGCTGTTGATGGATGTTTGTACTATCTAAGTGTTAAAACACTTTTAAATCACATCTAGCCAAGATTTAAACTGGACTAAAACAAGATAAACACTGATAGAACATGCTAGAAGGTATTAATATTGTTATACTTTATATGTATAATTTTATTCTTATACATTTTCCTAACCGTGTTGTCAAAAATGTTATGTTTTTCATAAATATCACAATATTTTATGGCTACAATAATCATAAGATGAAAATCTGACGTCATGACAGTCCTGATCCGAACACCTCAGAGTGCATTTTTACGGCTCTAAGACATCAAAAGCTAAAACCAAACACCAGAAGAATACAGCAGCTGTTACACTAGAGTGTGAAATATGCAATCATTTAGCTCGGACACACATGGTCACACAGCATCATTTCAAATATGATAGTATCTCAGGCATCTGTGAGTTCGGCCCTCAGGCCTGGATGACAAGCCCACAGTAACAAGCGACATGATGCGAGAGGTTGAAGTGATAAATCTCACCGGTACTGTTATTTTGAATTCCTGTTTTCTCAGGGATCAAAGGGGCAGGACTTGTCATGTCTCCCGCACTGTCTCCGTATTCGTACACCTCTTCACCGTATTCATACGCTTCCTCTTTGTTGGGGTCACGACTAAGGGATATCACCACATCACCCGTGACACTGTTCTTCTCTGTCACTGAGTTTGTTCCATCTGGATCCACAGACTTCACCATGAACTTGTACTCCAGCCCTGCAGCCATAAAAACAGGATAAATAAGTATGTAAATGCATGGATTGTGATAGAATTTGATGGCTTTAATGTTTTCAATCTTCGACAGAATTATGAAGTTTGAAGAAATAAAGTAGATAAGTCTTACACTATCAAATAACTTAAAGCTATAGTGCGTAATTTCTACATATCTGTAAACATCTGTTTCACCCAAGACACTACAAGAGGAGATGAGACAAAGCTGATTAAGTTTGTCTCCTCTAACACCTCGCAGTATATTTGTTCTTTTTGTATTTAGGGTCTTTGGCGACATTCCTGCGCTGGCGCACAGGAAATGACGTGTTCTGCTCGGTCTTAGCTGACAATGAGAAGGGAGAGGGGAGGAGAGCGCTGCTAGAAAAAACATGGGGGAGAACCCAAAGAAGCAGAGTGGAGATCAGACTAAGGTCCGACACCACCACTTTTTTTATGGCATTTAAATTGTGTATATTGTAGAAAGCTTTATTTTTTCTTCTCCCTTTTCTAATTTTTTTCTTATTACATTTATTTAAGTTCTTAATATTAGGACCCTTATTGTTATAACTGCATTTGTGCACTTTTTGGCTTGTCTGTGATGCTGCTGTGACAAAAAAATTTCCCCCATGGGGGATCAATAAAGGAATATTCTATTCTATTCTATTCTACAAATGTTGCCTTGATACTGAGTGTTACTCTGTGTACGGGTTAGACTGGGCCATATGTCATCTTGAAGTGCCGGCTGTATCGTTGTAGTAACGCAGAAATCCTCAAGTGGGGGATGGAAGTTACATACTATAGCTTTAACCTAATAAACTGTATAATGGTTTTCAGGTCTAGTTATAAAAGTAAACGAGTACACTTCTCTTAAGATTTTCTAAAACAAGACCAACGCCAGGAGAGAGACAATTGAAAGCATTAATGTATTCTTAAAAAACAAAAAAGTAAAAAGAATAAAAACAAATTTGTTTTGAAATCAATTAAAAGATTAATTTGGGATTGAATGTAAAAAATTGTTCACTACAGAAGTGCTTTTCTCGAGAGTGACGAGTGTCAGTTTCCCCCCAGGTTGAAAAATTCACAGACTTTTATGAGTTCTTGAATTGGTGAATTCCTGGAAAGATGACTGATTTAATAACAGTTTCTTGTTTGTGAATGGCTCCACTGTTGAGGGCACCATGGTGTGTGTTCCTCTGAGAGAACATAACAGATGGCACTACACACATGGGTGCCTTACTGCTGCCACGGGTGATCTCAAGCACACACACACACACAAAAAAATGACACATGTACATACACATTTTCCCACAGTACACAGGCCTATCTGGAGTCACTCGAGGATACATGTAGAGAGAAGTACGAGCATCCAGAGAGGCTTCAAAAAATACGAGTGAAGAACATGACACTCCACGCCCACACGCATGATCTTACCGCACTTTTCTACCACCTCCTGAGTGACCAGCTCCTTCACTTCTTCAGCCTTGGTGAGGAGAAAACAACATTCAATATGATTTCAAACTTTACACTCATAAAATACATTAAAACGCACATGTCAGAGTGCATGATTGTGTGTAGACGTACTGAGAGTCCAGGTTCTCCTTTCTCCCCTTTTCCTCCATCAGTGCCAATTAAACCCTGTAGTGAACACACCATACAAAATACAGACTTCAAATACATAAATGGGGTTAAATCAAAATTATTCACAGTGTGTATATTTATTTCCCTAGCCAGTCAACAGCACCTGTAATGAGGAATTACAACACATTCATGTCATGTTGTACCAATGTACCGATACATGTAGAGAACTGAGAGATGAAACTTTCATGTCAGACAGCTGGATTCAATAAAAAATAAAGTTTGGGAGGAATTTTCAAAGGCAAAACAGTGTAAACAAACTGCGAGATTAATATGAGTGAAGAATAAGGTGATTTGATTTGACCTGAGGACAGAAAACATTGTGTGTGAGATGCTAGTTTGAGGAGGAACTGAGTATTATTGTCTTTAGCAGATGTCCAGTGGGTAAAGTGTGTTTGTGTAAGACTCTCACACTGGCTCCTCTCAGTCCTGGAGTCCCTGCTGCTCCTTTTTGACATGGTTTAGATCTGCCCCGTCTGCCGCGCTCTCCCTGTGTAAAACATAATTAAAAAAAACATATAGTCTGTGTAACTAAAAACCTCATTGCTAACAAGGAAGAGTCCACGGTGTCACATCACAACACTTCCATTAGTGCATTAGAATGAAAAAGAGACAGTAATTAGAGTTCATCCTAAAATATCCTTGTTAGAGGTTTACAGCCTCCCTGTCAACACAGAGTCTGGTAATTATGGCTGAAAAGAGCTGATTGAGTGAAACCTAATTTAACAACTACACACAGAAATAGACCCTGTGTGTGTATGTGTGTGTGTGTGAGAGAGAGTGTTGATTAAGGATATGTCCCATTGTTTTAACTGCAGTATACAGAGCTAATGCTGCCAATCACAGATATGATGACTGTAAAAATCAGGCTGAACTTCCTTTGGTCCTCTCTGCACGAGTCTTCTTTTACACCTCATTAAAGGAAGAATATTAATCTATACATTTGTGCAAATACATACTAAATGTTGCTCTTTTATGAACTAATAAGCTTGTTCTCATACGTGTATATTTCATAGAGAAAGGCTTTAATAGTATACATACGGCTAGAGGAACATCTGTAGTGTTCATTTAGGGACTATTTCTCTGTACTGATGATTTACTTTGATTGCAATTACTAAATCTTTGTTTCTCTACCACTTTGAAGCACAGTAATATGCCATTAATAGCTTGAAATTATGAGCCAGTACCAGTAGGGGCGCTCTAAATGTACTAAAAGAGCAGAAATACCCTACCTTTGACCCTTGGTTCCCACGGGGTCCTGGTGCTCCTGGTGGTCCATCATCTCCATCCCTTCCTGGAAGCCCTGTTGATCCTTTAAATCCTGGGAAACCTGGGAAACCTGCATTTCCCTACGTGGAGACAAAACCATGTAGGACACAAACACAAGTGCTCCAAAATAAAAGTAATTAAAATCTGGATGATGGGCAGCGTTGTAAGGGCTGCTTTCTTACTTTTTCTCCTTTGACTCCTTGCTCGCCATCAGCACCATTTGTACCTCCTTGTCCTTTATCACCCTGTATCCATAACACATGATGTATGACTGAGTATGAGTATGAAGGGGGCAGAGCTGGAAGAAATAAGAGCACTCATGGCAGCTCACCTTCCGCCCTGTTAGTCCATTTAATCCTGGTATGCCTGCTGCACCAGATAACCCCATATCTCCCTGTTTCAAACAACAAATAACAAACACTCAGTCATGGGTTCTTAGTTTGATAAAATAATATATAACTCTGCCTTGGGCCAGTTAGACACCTACCCTCTCACCATCTAGGCCTGGACTCCCTATGCGCCCGGGTAAACCTCTGAAACCCTGAAACAGCGGGCGACACACTGAAACATGACTACCAAAGCAGAAGAGCAATATCGTACACACCGACAACCTGCAACTTCAAAACACAACTGCAAGGGATCAAAGTTGAGAAAAACAATATATCAGTGGGACAGCTGAGACCAATAATGGCTGTCTTCACCTTCTCCCCCTTCTCCCCCGTCTCTCCTGGTAAGCCTGATTCTCCTGGATCCCCCTACCAAAAACAAAGTGATGTTAAAGCTTAAGGAATTATATTATAATTTATAGTTAGTTGTATTTTAAATTTTAGTGTACCTGATCGCCTTTCTGGCCCTGCAGTCCTAAATCTCCTTTGTCCCCTTTGGTCCCATCCACTCCATCGTCTCCATTACGACCCTTAAATCACATCCCTGGTGTTTAGTCTCTGTTTAATCCCAAAGTAATGCATGTTTACTGAATACTTTTATCGGTGGTTTTACCATCACTCCATTAAGTCCAGGCTCTCCTGACTCTCCCTGTTGAAAAATACAACAATCAAGTATCCACAAAGACGATAAAACACTGAACACTTGAGCTTGTCTTACTGTTGTGTCTTTACCTTCTGACCTACGGGTCCTCGAGCTCCAAATCGGCCCAAAGCACCCTTAGTACCTGCATCACCCTTGACGCCCTTTTAAAACAATTAAAGAAAATTTGATAAACTTTTTAGAGATCTTATGACTTCCTTAGACTCAATAATGACCGGAGATATAACAGGAGAATTGATTGCCTTGACTCCAGGTGGACCATCTTCACCCTTTTCTCCTTTATCTCCATCAAAGCCTGGTGGACCTCGCTCACCCTGAAACCAAACACAGACTCAGTTCTTCACAGGTCTTTGTGTTCTTGACTGAGTTGTGTCAAGAAAATGTCAAAAATAAAAAGTCCAGATTTGTTTTATATGTCTGATAAATTAAGGGCAGCCTGTTAGCTAGCTCACTTTGTGTGACAAAGGTGTGCACTTAATCTTTATTTGATTAAAGTTATACAAAGTATTTTAAAATGGTGCAAGTGTAATACTTTTGGTGCTACATTGTGTTAATTTTGGCAGTCAATTAGCTCCACTAACATGAGAACAGAGTAAACTACATAGACCGTAACATAGCTTTAAATATGATAGAGTGAAATAACAACATTTGGTTCCATATTGTAGTGGAGTAGAAGAATAAATACAGCACTTTATTTGACTTTCTGAGAGTAAATTGAACAGAAGTAGAGAGACGACATCTTCAAATTTGAACCCACCGCATCTCCTTTGGAGCCCTTAAACCCACGAGGTCCTTGAATTTGAAGCACACTCCCCTATAGGAAAGAGATAATAGATAATAGATGTATTGAGCCATGACTCATGTACACGTCATGCAGTCTTGTATGATACACAAACTGGGAGCAAACGACTTGCATGTGAAGCGTTGCAGTGACTAATGAAAGTATTTACCCTTTCTCCTCTGACTCCTGGTAAACCGCGGCCGCCCTGCAAAAAAGATGCTTTTTATAAAAACATCCAAAGATCTTCATTCCAATTCAGGGTGTCAGGCAGTACACTAAGCAGATTATAATTCCTCAAATCTAGCTGCCAAAACAGGAAGCTGAGACCTCAAATCACCTTTGATAAAATGTCGCAAGTAGTAGTCATACTAAAGGTTTCGCCGCTTTTGACAGGAGTGATCGGTTCAGTTGTGACACATGAGGACTAACTTCTGAAAACATCCCTGACATCACTCCTCTCAACACAGCCACGACCTGCTGACACTTCAAAATGAACTCTGCTTTGGGACTTTCCCTTTTTTTTTTTTAAGGGAATAAAAAGAAGTCAGTTCAAACTTCTGAATATCGAAAAGTCCAATTCAGCCTCGTCTTTTACTCTTCAAACGTCGTGTTGAATGAGTGAGTCAGTCTGACAGTGAGGCAGGTGTAAATAAAATTACAGCCATGCAGGGAGAAAAAGGTCGGGAAGTTCACAGAAGCCTCAGAAAATGAAACACCTCCAGGCTTTTCACACACCGTGGAATAAAAATAAATGAAGAAGAAACTTTGCTCTAAATAAAGAAAAATCAAGGTTACCAGCTCGACTCCTCTTGGTGAAAAACTTTGGTGATATGTTGTGAGATTACAAACCAGCATGGGTGTTAACAGGTATTCATGACATGCTGCTTGAGTCACCAGGTTATTTCACAAGCTGCACTTGATAATGAAAAATGATGCCAAATTAATCCCTCTTTTGTTGTTCTTGCTGGCTGGTGATGTTTTTGTTTAATTGTTCATGATAATTAATTGCTTAATCAACGCTAACTGTGCTGTATTTTATGTTTTGCTTGACCTGTAAACAACTAAATCAACATATTTGAACAAAATCAAATTTCCTATGTTTTTTTCATCCCTGTCACGTATTGCTGTGTTCCTCGACTTGTTGGTTCTCTCTACTTGTCGTGCTGCTGTAGATTTAGTTTTAGTTTAGTTTAGTTTATTTCAAAAATAAAACAACACAATCAGTCAAAATGACAAACTTAATAAACTTAACTAAAACACGCAATAACCTCACATGTCATCATCTATTTCTAAATATGTTCAAATTTATAATTTATCCACCCACTAACCCTGTGACAAACACTTCTTTGGAGCAAACACTGCCCCTTAATCAATTTTCATGCTTTTATTCTGAAATTCTATTCCACCTTGTGTTCAGAATGCTTCATTTCCTGCATGTTCAAACTATCCTTTTACGTTGAAGGTAGATCCTAAGTTATGAAACTGCAAGAAAACAGCTAAATCAACATGTAGAAATTATAAATGTTCAATTGATTAGTCACCCAGAGAGGCACCAGTTTTCATGTTGTCTTTATATTCACAATAAATCACAATAAAAAGTCCATATTAAAAAGTGCCTCATCATCTCTCCAAGGACTGCTTCTTCCTCTTCGTCTATCCTCTAAGAAAGACTGTAAGATGTGCTGCAACAGCCCTAGTCTGCACATGCTAGCTAAGAAATGACTGTGCCATTGAGATTATTGCCTAACAGACAACCGTAATAATATTTAGGGTTATTTAACATTAATGACACACCAAAAAATAAACCTCAAAGTTGTAGCCTCCTCATCTCTTAAGCAGCTTACCTTTTCACCTTTGCTGCCCCTCAAACCTTTTGGACCCTGTTAAAAAAGTTAAGAGAAGAGAAATTTCAGCTCCAAGTGGATATAAAAAAAAAAAACAAAAAAAAAAAACACTATGTTTTTGGTTTTGAAAAGTTGCTTACTATGTGCCCTAGAATTCCTTTAATACCTGGAGCGCCCTTTTCACCCTGAAAAAAAAAGAAGTTTTATTTAAATCCTAGTTATACAGTGATGTCTACAGCCTTGACTAGTAAAAAAAAGGAGATTATCCTTCACCTTCTGTGTGATAACATTTAACATTAGCTAAACCCCAAATTTTACTGTGTGTATGAGCCCCTTCGAACTCACTCTCCTTCCTGGAAAACCAAACAGACCCCTGGCACCAGGTTCACCGGGAAGACTGTCACCCTGATGAGGCCAGAACAAAGTGCAGAAAAATGAAGTATCATCACTGCGTAAAAAAAGTCACTTCTTTAATGATATAACTGTAGAGTTTGTACCTTCTCTCCTTTAACTCCAGGCTCACCAGGAGGACCCTTTATCAGAGAAATGAATATTAAACATCATTTTCAGCCGTGATAAAGTGATTTTTAAATATGTATGTTTGTCCTTCATATTCAAAATTTTATTTTTCATAATTCAAAGTCAGTTTGATTTCAATAATCAACTCAAAAGATAGACAGGACATAATATGTCAATCGAAGGCAGAACTTCCAAACTTGATTTAAAGCTACTGTAAGAAATGTTTATTTAGGTGTGTTTGGCGCCCCCTTTGGAGAGGACTAGGTTGCATGTCTCCACAGCAGCAAACCGTCACTCAGCAGGTGCACAGATGTCAGACAAAGTTGTACAAATGTGGAAGATGGCCTCGTGTACTTTCATTAGAATTGATGTAAGCCTGTCTTGTAACGAGCTAAAAACTTCTTCACAGGAGCTTTAATATTTTCTTCTTACAAGAGGTCCTGCTGCCCCTCGTGGTCCAGGAGGTCCGGGTGATCCATTCTTTCCTCTTTTACCCCGCTCACCCTGAAACAAAATCAAAACCATTTAATTTTTAACCTATTTTTCAAACTTCTGCATTCTTTCTCACTTCACCAATACTCATACTATTGGGCTTGCTCGATCAAAAACAAGCAGAAACTAACTTCAGGTTGATAAATAATTTTGCACCTCTCTGCCTGGCTCTCCTAGATACCCTGGCGGTCCCCTCAGGCCCAGGGAGCCTTGGATGCCTGGGTTGCCACTGATACCTTGAATGCCCTGAGCACCAGGAGGCCCTGACTCACCTGGTTCCCCCTGAAAAACAAAGACAAAGTAAAGTACCTGGAAGACTTCTGGTAAAAGGTCAGTTTTTTTCACTTCATTATCACTTTTGATTAACTACGTTCAAATTGAAGGCCTTCTTCCCTCTTATCAGTTTATGTCCTCAAACACAATTTTAATGAGTGGGTGAGTCACTGAGCCAATTACATCCCCTAAATTAAAACCACAGCGGGAGACAAAGCCATTTAAAGTTAAAATGATTGAAAAGACTCTGAGGAGTAATTGATTCAGAAGTTAAAAGCTGTAAAGAAGACATTTTCACTTTCTTTTTACTTTATAAGAGTGATGACGGGAAAAAAATCACCTTTTGTCCTGGAGGACCAGCCTGTCCTTCTGGACCTCTGTGGCCGATGCCTGGTTCTCCCTATAACACACAACAAAAAAATGTGTCTCTACAATATTTCTCTGCCATTGTTGTCAATTAAACTCTTTCAAAATAAAATATGTTCAGTTTATGAATAAATATACTTACCTTTTGCCCCTTCTCTCCAATTTCACCCTGAGAAAATTCAGCGCATCGGTTAGAAGGTGCTCCTCAGTTCATTGTTGTCAATGAACCAAAATAAACCAACACAATTGAAATTTAAAATCAAGCTTCCACAAGGAGAATTATTGATGTCTGCTTTAATCTGTTGTCTCAGTCAAATAGAAATACAGACAAGAGGACTTCAAAAGCCTGGAGTTGACTGGCTGACCTGACAGACGAGACAGCTGAGAAGTCCTGATGTCACTGACTGATGAAATGTGGGTGGGAGGGGAAAGCAGCGATGATATTTTTATGAACCGAAGGTGAATTTTATGTGGCGACTGTCATTTTTTGCTCTGTGATCTCAGGATGATGATAATGACGCCTTAAATCAGTGAGACTATTTCCAGTGATTCAGTAAATCCTGACAGAAAAATGATATGTTTCACTTCAAGCCACTTCATTCAAAAATATTAGCATATTTTCTCTCTCTGTCTTGGTGATGCCTCTCCTTGAAGATTTATTCCCGGTTTTGGTCTGTGTTTCAGCTGCACATATCTCAGTCCTCCAACCACTCCAATAAAAGCCATAATGGACTTTGCCAATCGAATCTATTCACAGGTCCAGGGGCTGGGATTGTCTGAGAAGAGATGAGGGCTGGAAGGGCACCCTGAATTGCTTAAAACCACTTTTTTTTTCCAATTAAAAAGCAAAAACTTTTCAGCGCCTAACATTTTCAGACCTTGAGGAAGATCTATGTCAACAACAGAATTAAGTAGAAGCATCAAAAGCCTCTGAGACATGTCAACAAATTCTTTTTAAATAAAGCAAAAAGGCATTGATACAATCAATAAGCCCAGAGGTCTCTGCAGTTTATAATTCAACATGATTTCAGGAAATGAAATGATATCAGACAAAATTGTGCAGAAAGGAAAACTTGAATAAACAAGAAAAATGTGTTTGGAAATAATTTGGCTTAAAGGCACTGTTCGTACTAATGTTAGAAGTTTTTCCACTTCCACAGTGTGGTGAAACTGTTGAGTAGACTCGCTGCATAGCTGGAGTATAAATATAAGACCTTGAAGTATGAAGTACAGAGTCATGATTTTTCAATAAATACAGGGCTGAAGACAGGCTTTAGCAATCACCAGGTAGTGGGACTTATGTTGACTAGCTAACTTTATTCACGTTTATTTCTTTTATATTATTATCGGTAGATAAATGTGTTATTAATGATTCACAGGTACAGATAGCTACATAAGAAATTATTCTTCAATAATAAATAAGGGCTGGGATTCAATATGTGCTGCTTCTCCCTGCTCCTTTTTTTGATATGTAAAAAGAATTTATAACAGTGATTGACAAGTATTTTTTTTAATATTTTCCTTTTATTTCTGCCTGTATGAGTGTTTGTCGTTCTTTTTTATATATGTCTTTAAATGTTTGAAATAAGCTCTCTAGCATGACTACAGATACAATTGTTTATCACCTTTTCTCCAGGTATTCCATTCTCTCCCGGCTGTCCCTGTCAGATGACAAGTTCAACAGTAGATTAAAACAAATGTTTAATCTGGAAAAGCTAACAATAAAAGATGAGTATTTCTCCATGATGAATGCATTTAGGTGACTTCTTTCTGCTCTTACCTTCAGGAACAAGTACTCTGGAGGGTAAGGGTACGGCTGCCCTGTCTCCCCACCATATCCTCCTTCAGCCCCCCTCTCCATCTCCACCCTCCTCCTCTCCCAGTCCTCCCTCTCCCTCTCGATTTCCCTCTCTCTCTCTTGCTCTTTCCTTTCCCTCTCCAGCTGCTTCTCTCTCTCCATTTCCTCCCTCTCTAACACCCTCTCCCTCTCCAATCTCTCCCTCTCCATTTTCTCCTGCTCCAGTTCCAGCTCAGCCTCCCTCTCCTTTTCCAGCTCCTCTCTCTCCCTCTCCATCTCCAGCCTTTCCCGTTCTCTCTGCCGCTCCAGGTCATCTTCCTCCTCTTCCTCGCCTTCCCTCTCTCGGTCCACGTCCTCCTCTGTTTCCCAGTCATAGTCCCCACTCTCTACTTCCTCCTCATAGTCAGGAGCAGGGCTTGTTTCTGTTTCTTCTTCTCTCTCTTGTTTTATTCCCCACTCTTCCACTTCTTCAGCTTCAACCTGCTCCTTTCTTGTATATATCCCTCTCCTTGTATTGCTGTATCTCCGTCTCCCCTTCTGTTGTTGTCTCTGTCTCCTGGTGTGTGCTTGAAGGTCAGCATTTTCTTGTTGTTTTCTCTAAAAAACAATTTTCATGGCACAGGATAATGTATTTATAAGTCAAATCATCCTATTAGATAGTTCCTTTGGGATAATTATCTTTAAAACAAACTTACATTCCAGCTGTTGTAACCTTGAGCTCCAGATGTTTGATGCTAAAATTTGAATAAAGAAACAATCTTATAAGGACCATTTTCCATCTTAAGAGCCATAAAAAGCTAGTGAAAAAAAATTTACCTTTAAGGCCTCCTTGAAGCGGTTTCTTCCACCTTGAGCTCCTGGCATGAAGACCTACAAAATAAAATACAACATAATGTCTTTTTTTGTTGTTGCTTTGCAGTTTTAAAGCTCCAGTGCAGAACTTGATTTTCATCAGTGTCTCCTGATGAAAATCTCATTTTGCCAACTTTTAACTACCAACCAGTGTACAATGAAAAAATATTAATTTAAGAACATATTATCAAAAAGCTTGAAACGACGGGGTGTTGTACAGTTTACTCAGATGAAAAACAATGAAACGAAGTTAGCTTTTTGAGCCAAGTGACACTTGTTACCAAGTGTAAGGGCAAGTACATAACACAATCTGAGACATGATTTAAAAGCAGAAAACACTGCAGATTTAACATCAGTTGTTTGCCAGTTCCAGTGCTTGAGTGCCTATATAGCATTGTTTGGTTGTCAGTAACCTGGTCTCTGAAACAGCAAGCAAGTCTGGAACTAAGAAATTTAGATGGCTGGTACATATAGCAGAGCATCATCAGCACAACAGTGAAGTGAGAAATTTAGATGGCTGATACTAATGGCAGTATATCATCAGCAAACCAGCATAAAAGCTAATTGAAATATTTGGATGGCTGGTACTAAAAGCAGTGTATCATCAGTATAATAGAGATATTATCATGCCCAATGATACTAATTGTGATAAATTAAGTGTTGAATCTTCAACGTAACAGTGGGTTGCTCTGGAGACTAATGACAATGTCACTTTGGAAACTTACCATGGAATCAGGCCAGTAAGCACTTCTCCTAATCCGTATGTGGGAATGAAATGCCTGTCAAGTCCCCCAAAAACAATGTCTTCAGCAAGTTTGTATTACCATAAAGTTTGTTGATTCTTGTTGAATAGCAGTTTACAGTTATCAAACATGTTTTGAAGCAAAGTAATGTATTTTGTGAACATCAATAACGCAAGAAAGGAAGACAAAGTCCAGATTTGTAGAGTAATTTAAACATTTATTACTGAAGGACACATGCACAAAGAGGTTAAACACTGAAAGAACAATGTAACAACAAGGGAAAATTTCACCAGTGAAAAGAATGTTTGGCTCCAAATGTGCTCATAGTACCAATACTGTCTGAATAAACTTTTTTAACACAAGGTATTATCTGTTATTAAATAAATAAAAATCAAAAGAAACTTCACGAAAAGTCTTTTCATATAGTTCTCACGTTTGACAGAAGCTTTGTAACTTATTTGTTCCAGTGAAATATAAGTCTTAATAAATAAATTAGGGGTTGTAGAAAAGGTTAAGTAAAAGCTATACTGGTGTTTACAATGAACATAGTGTAGAATGAAAATAACCTGGACTGTATCAAGAAAATTCTGCAACATTTTCTCTTAAAAAGCCCTCCGAAAAGATATGAAGTTTGGTGAGTGGCATCGTCTCTGTGTGGAAAGAAGTCCTTCCTCATGGTCAGGTTCAGGGCTCCTCACCAGCAAAACAGTTCACAGTTTTTTTCACACTCTCCATGTGTTGTGTGTTTTCTTATGAATGCTTTAACGCTCTACAGTCACAGTCTCTTGAGAATTAAGAAAGGTCCTGTTTAAAAAAAAAACAGAGAGAGAAAGTATTAAAAGTAACTCTCTGGAATATCTATTTAGTGAAAAATCATTCCTCAAGAGCGGGACCATAGGTTTTTTTTATGGCTCATTCCCATAGAAACCAACCTTTAGAGGAAACAAAAAGCATGCTAACTTGTCTCATGCTTTGGTTTGTGAATTATAAAAACTTTAATAGTATGTTTTCATTCCAGCTTTGTTCACATTAGCCTTAGTCAAACATGTTTACACTGGTGAGATTTTCAAAGGAGAAAAGAAGGAAGGAGATCTACTTAAGTATGTCCAAAAGTTCTCACTCAAAGCATGGGTTATTCTTCCTGTCAGTCATTTTCAAGAGCGAATCAAAGTGAAGTGTTAAGAGTCAAGAAGTGAGATATTCATTCCAAGGCATGCAAGGATCTTCAGAAACATCCAGTAAATGAAGATAAAATCTTGTAATAGGACAACCCTACCTTGTCTGGTTCTTCTGTAGTGATGGGTGGTGTAGGCAGTGACACTTCATCCTGTTCATAGCAATAAAGGACAAATGGGATATGAGTGTGGCAGCGAAAACACTTCAAAGTGAAGAGCAGTGGTGAGTTTAAACCACTTTGCAGCACTGAACGTAAGAGCCAACAAGGCCAGCTGCTGCCCTGTACCTGTTCTGTGTCTTCTGTGGACTGTGATGGTGGCTCTGTGGTCATCAGTGTAACCTATAGAAAGAGAAGAGGAGGGTGACTGAGAAGCTAAAGGATGACAGTAAAACTGTTCATCCATACAGGAATAACTGCATTCCTACGTCTTTATATTTTCATAGTCTGATGTCTCCTCATTATCCTCTGCAAATGTAAGAAGCTCAAATGAGACCAAACAGTTTTTAGTGTTTTGTACAGTTAAAGCTAAAACAGAGGAATAAAAATCAACCTTAGAATATCAACTTAGATCCGAGTTGGAGTTTTGACCCTCAGGCCGTCGTTTTAGGGCCCCTATGAGAAGGACTAAAAGATTTCAGGTCTCAGGTTTCAGTTGACCCTGAGGCTGCTCATGTTGTTTTGCACTATTATTGCTCATTTGCACACATTGCACTTTTAATTACTTGGTAGTAGTTTTTCTCCATTTTTGGTACGAGCTCTGGACTGAATTTTAGGTGGTTTTGTGTATGTGTTTCTGATATTGTGTTGTTATGTTTTTAATTGTTCTATGTTTTTTTAATTTATGTTGTCATTGTGTACTTGTCTTTTGTGAGCCCTGCTGCAAAACTAATTTCCCTTTACGGGACAATAAAGAGATTCTGATTCTGATCTGTTAGAAGTGTAACTTGACACCCAACTTTCTCTCCACATTTTCTCTTTCTGTCTCCCAAAATTCAAAAAAGTTATTGTTAAGAATAAGTTTTAATTCATCTTACATCAAGTGTTGTATCTGCTGCTTTATTTGAAGAGAGTTTTAGGGAATGACTTGCGGTTTCTGTCAGTGTTTCTAACTGGGCAGGACTGTGTGCGGATGACTGTTCCCCCTGTGAAGAGAAAGACAGCGTGAATATGTTATTATATCCCAGGTACAGCACACAACTGAGCTCAGCTGTCTTTTCTCCATTTCCATCAAAGTGCAGTCATGCAACATGAAAGAGATTTGGTTATAGACTGATTATTATTCACCTTTCTAACAAGTGGAATGGAGGATTCATCCGTAAGGGTTATAGGATGTATATGACAGAAACACAACACATATTCTATATTAGCAATTCAACCAAAACAAGCACGAGCGTGACATTTGAAGCCAACACACCTGTCTGTTGTTTTTTCTCTCCTGAGAGACAGACAGGTCATCTGGGTGAACTTCCTCCTATTTAAAAAAAAGAGATGATAATTCAGAACACTTTAAATCTACAACTCTTCATCGGATGATATGCAGGGTTGTTGGAGTGGGCTGTGATGACAAACTCATTTATTTCTAATAATTAATTCAGGTAGTGGGTGTGTCATTAATCAAACCCTCTCTGGAGTTTAGTGTGGGCACGGGAATGAAAAAAAAACAAAAAACATGCAAGTCTCATTATGAGTTTGACAGGTCTGTTAACTAGAAGACACCCACAACGACAACGCTCCAAAATCTGCAACAACCCAAACGCGTCATCAATCATCACTCTAAATTGAAGTTTCCCACCGCTCACGAATTAGTCATTTACTGCAGCTGCTGCCCACCTCCTGTTCTTCACTGTATTCTTCACCATAATAAAACTCCTCCTCCTCCTCTTCGTCTTGTTTGTCCTCTTCAGTTGTCTTAAAATAAAGGAGAGATGGCAACAGTTAGAAGAGGATACTGTTACAGACTATCATTATTATTATTATTATTTGTGTCAATAGCTGAAAGATAAAAAAGCCAAAGGAAACCCATTAATCAGAAGTTTAAAACCTGCTATCATTATGACGAGACGTCAAGACAATGCATGCATTTAGTTGAATGAAGAACACCATATAAACAATAACTGGTTAATTCTGTGTGTTGCCTTTAAAACAGTTAGTGCACCATGATCACTTTTGTCAAATTGTAGTACTACAGTTGTTATTTTCACAGTTATGATGAAGTTATGTTAGCATTAACCAGTACCTGTGAGTTCACTGTGTTAGTTCATTTTACTGGTTTTGTTTAGTAGGGGCAAAAGAGGAGTGAAGGAGTGAAGTTTCCAGGTTTTAGTGTGACCCCCCTGTTAAGGACAATTACCAGGCGTTGTCTCTGCCTCTTATGTCGTCCTTTATTTCCTTTGCCCTGGTTAAGAAGTTCACAGTCAGAGAGAAAAAAGATGAAGGTTTCTCATGCGTCAGACGTTTATGATCAAGTATTAAATTATGAGTTGATATTGTCAGTTAAGTGGGAGGTATTTAAGGGGAATAAGTAGTTAATGAATATCAAAAATCAGAGCAAAACTTTCGTGTTAAAACTATCATGTGGTTCAGACCTATTTCTAAAGGAGCACACAGGCAGGTTTGCATGTTTCAGTGTATTTACTGTTGCTGGACTCATTCCAGTATCTGATAAGATTTTCTAATTGGGCTGAAATGACACTTTAATACTGAGGGGACATGCACCTTCTTTGTAAATGTAATTATCCTACTTTTAAGACAGCTGCTGAATTTAACAGTTTTTTTTATGTTACACAAAAATAATGGTGCAAGAAATATGTGATATAAAGATGTTTTGGGAGCAGATATCTATACAGATATCAGCTGATACTCAGAGAGCAGAAAGGTCAAGCTGAAATATACATTACATGTATGCTCCTTCATTGATATGTGTTATAGCATTAAAGTTAATTGTTAAAAAATGATTGAACTTTTGAAAAATATCAGGTCAGTAACAAATGCTTATGGTTGATATGCTGCACAGTATGTAAGGATATTATTGGGTAAGTCAAAAAGGCAAAACTCAGTCAACAAAGAGTGTGTCTATGGTAGCTTTACCTTCCCACGTTCCCTATTCTTCTTTTTCTGACCCGAGTTTTTCTTCAGAGAGTCTTCCTGAGTGAGGAGAACAGTCTCCAACCCAGTGTCTGGCAACCCTGAAACAGTCTGACATGCAAATTTGAATATTAATGAGCAAAAAACTACAAACATGTCTGTCTGAAACAAAGAAGTGTCAATTATAACTGGAAGCATGGACAACAATACGTTTTCCAAACAAAGCAAAGAGTCAGAGTGAAAATAGAGGGTAAAGATAAAGTGACATGAAACTACAGCAGACACTGAATCCAAGTTGTTTAAAAAGTCAGCAACAGCTCAGTAATATTTTACATGCTTTTTTTAATACAACACAATTAAATGTCTAAATTTGGCATACTTGGTTGTGAGATGTTCTTACCTCCTGAGCTGTTGTATAATTTAAAGTAGAATTGATCACAGTCTGATTGATTTTTAGTGAAGATGCTCCATGTTTACTTTCATCTACTTTCTCCTTCCTTAACTTCTTCCGGAGCCAGTCGAGCTCCTGCTCAACATTCACGATTGTGTCCGTCCACAAAGTGGGACCCTCTGCAGTTTCCTTTAAAGGGTCCTTCACATCAAAAGACAGAATCAGTGGTTTTGAAAAGATATGCAGATCTGGACTAGAAGCATCTGCTTCAGGCGGAGCAAATCAGTGACAAGATACATGGTTTTAATGTGGGTTTAAGGTGAAAGACAGAAGAGAAAAAGACATCAAACACACCATAGACGATGAAAAAAGATATTAGTAAAACTTCTACAATTGGAGGAAATACTTTTTCTATACATTTTAGACACTTGAAAACCAGACTTAATATTGTGTTGTTCCCTTTCAGTCGATTCACTCGGTACAACACATATAGTATGGGATATCACGCCCCTGCGTGACCTGACTGAAGACACCTTTATTCACGTCTTTAAGGCAGATGATCTGTGGTGACGTCTGGGAGGCTCCGCCTGCACATATATACGTGTAACACCACAGTCATCCTTCAGTTCTTACGCTCTTCACCTCGCTGAGAACACCTACACCGAGTCGGGCTAACTAGCTGCTGCTAAATTAGCCTGGTCTTGTCTCTGGCTACTGCTTGATCGACTTTAGCTCAACTGCCCCTGTTGGTGTTAGCCTACGGCTACCCGCGGAGCGCTAATTTTGTTCAGCTTTTGAGTCTCGTTATGAGCTCTAAGCCCATGAAGGTGAAGGCGAAGTCTTCTGTTCGCCCCTGTCCTCAGGGGTGCGGCTTCTCCCTTCACGAGAAGGATCTTCACGAGGCTTGTCCCGTTTGCCTGGGGATTGTCCACGCCAGGAGGGCGTTGACTGAGCCCGAGTCGTGTGAGTCCTGTCACCGGCTTCGGAGCTCAACCCTGGGAAGGCGGGTCAAGTTTGTGGAGAAAATTCTTGGAAAAACCGCTGTTGCGCTGCACGACCCCCTCCTTTCCGAGTCCAGAGACCCGGCTTCGTCCGAGTCCGGTGGTGAGGACTTTCTGGTCGAAGGCTCAGTTGGAAGCTGGGCAGACCATGTGGAGTGTGCTCACGGGTCAGCTGGGTTTGAGCCGGGCCCCTCCGAGGGCGCTGGCCAGCCGCTATCCGGGCTAGCTTGTTACCAGGAGGACGATGACGTGCTGGACATCGGCCTGGACGTGCAGGGTTTTTCGGAAGATGAGCTGGAGCCGTTGTCTTCAGGTCAGTATGCCGCCGCTGCTGCGCCGGTTGATCTGGACGACACATCCTTCCTCTCACTGTACCGCCGTGCAGCTGAGAAACTGGAGGTAGAATGGCCCTCTCCTCCACCAGCTCAAAAACCGTCGCGGTTCTCGGGGTTTTTTCTCCCACCCGAACCGACGACTGTTAAGAACAGTTTGCCCATGTTCCCGGATTTTGTCGCGGAACTAACCTCGACATGGAACAAGCCGCTGTCCACCCGCGCCACAGTGCCCGGTTGTGGACAGTTTCTGGATCTAAATGGAGCTGAAAAAGCTGGATTGGTGAACCCTCCGCCTATGGAGGCGTCCCTGGCAGCTTATCTGGCCCCGGCCCAGAATCACGGTGTCGGTGGCCCCATCACGCTCCCATCCAAGCACTGTAGATTTTCAGCGTCACAGCTGGATAAAATTTACAGGACACAGGCAAATACGGCTCGTGCACTGAGCTCCGTCACTATGCTTCAGACATATCAAGCTATGTGTCTGGCGGACTGTCAGGAGGCATACGCGAGCCGAGTTCCGCCAGACACATAGCTTGATATGTCTGAAGGAAACTCGGAACTCGGCTCGCGTATGCCTCCTGACAGTCCGCTTACTCCTCTCCTCAATGAAGCTAGGGTCGCCACAGATTACATCCTCCGTGTGTCCCGCTGTGCAGCGCTGTCTCTCGGTAGAGGCATGGCTTCCACGGTGGTGGCGCAGAGGCACCTGTGGCTGACTCTCTCCGACGTTCCGGAGAGGGACAGAGCGGTTTATCTGGACGAGCCTGTGTCGGCCAGCGGTTTGTTTGGGCAGTCCCTCGACGACATTCAAGCTAAGTTTGAGCTGAGGAAAAAACAAACCGAAGCTTTGAGAAGCATCATCCCCAGGCGTGATGCGAGGCCCAAACAACAGGGTTATCCGCACAAACCGGCACCAGCGCCTCCCCCTAAGAGGACTGCAGCGCCCGCCAGCTTGGGGCCCCAGCCGGTGAAGCGACATGTACCCGGTCAGAACCCACGCCCTTCGGCTTGGAACAAGGGTCCGCCACCGAGCTTCCGGAGGGACTCGGCGCCCAGGAAGAAGAAGCAGCAGTCATCCTAGCTTTGGGATCGACTCGAGAGGGCCAGCAGCACGGAGACACTGCCGCCCTTCATTTTCTGCCGCCAAAGAGGCCGCGTTTAAAGTTCGTTCAGGGGTCCGGTCCCGAGAGGCGCTGCACTCCCTTAACACAGTCTCCCAAGCACAACCCCCCCTCACACACACATGCCCCAATAATGGCGCCTGTTGTTCACTGTGTGAATGTCACAAATGTACGTTCTTTGAATCAAATAAAGGTTTCGTTTTGTTCTCAAAACATCATGAATCAATCAAGTCTGGGCGAGAAAGTGTTGCCGTTCCCAGCCGGCACACTAGGGGGCGACAACCCCTCCCCCACAGTACTGGAGGTCAGTCGACTGACTGTTCGTCTCTCTCGGTGGCGCGCATGCGCAGTCTCACCGTGGGTAGAGAGAACTGTTGCCATCGGCTACCGCTTACAGTTCAGGGTCCGGCCGCCTCGCTTTCACTCTGTAATACACACAGTTGTAGCAGAGGAAGCAGCAGCAGTGCTGAGGGAAGAAATAAACAACTTGTTGAACAAGAGAGCGATACGAGTTGTTCCCGCTTCGGAAACGAACAAGGTTGGTACAGCCGCTATTTCGTTGTTCCGAAAAAAGGAGGAGGGCTCCGTCCTATCCTAGACTTGCGAGTGTTAAACAAATACCTACGAACCTACAGGTTCAAGATGCTAACACTCAGACAGCTACTGGGCGCGATCAGACCGGGAGATTGGTTTACAACTATCGATCTGACAGATGCTTACTTTCACGTAGCAATTCATCCGGACCACAGGCAGTTTCTAAGGTTTGCATTCGAGGGTATAGCCTACGAATACCTGGTGCTGCCGTTCGGCTTATCACTCGCCCCCCGAACATTCACCAAATGTGTCGAGGCGGCATTAGCTCCGCTACGGGAGAAAGGTGTTCGCATCTTAGCCTATCTGGACGATTGGGTGCTAATCGCGAGCTCCAGAGAGCGAGCAGCGGCTCAGCTGTCATTGACCCTATCGCACATCCAAACACTGGGCTTTTCAGTAAATTTACAGAAAAGTTCACTGACTCCGAGTCAACAGGTATCATTTCTCGGGCTGGAAATATGCTCCGTTTCAAGCCGAGCACGTCTGTCAGAACGCAGGGTGGCTGCGTTTCACCGCTGCCTTGCACAATTTCAGTTGGGACGCAAACTGTGTTTCCGGACGATTTTACAGCTGACAGGCATGAGCATCTATGATCGCTGTAGTGCCGCTCGGACTGTTAAAAATGAGAGCGTTTCAATGCTGGACTCAGTCTCACCGGCTGTGCGCGCAGCGTCACCTCCAGAGGAGGCTGACGATAACTCAGTCTTGCATGTCGGCTCTTCTCCCGTGGAGAGAACCCGGTTTTCTACAACAGGGATCTCCGATAGGGAGGGTGTCTTTTCGCAAGGTGGTGTCCACAGACGCATCCCTGAGGGGTTGGGGGGCTCTGTGCGAGGGCGCAGCAGTGAGAGGTGTGTGGACGCCAGCACAATGCAAACTCCACATCAATTACCTGGAGCTACTAGCTACCCTTTTAGCTCTGAAGCACTTTCGTCCCGTTCTGACAGGCCATCATGTTCTGATCAGGACGGACAACACAACCGTGGTTTCTTACATAAACAAGCAGGGAGGGACACGCTCTCTTCCCCTGTTAAAACTGTCTCACTATCTATGGTGCAGTGTTCATTTTCTGTCCCTCAGAGCCACACATATTCCGGGTCACTTAAACCTTGGACCAGACCTTCTCTCCAGGGGGGGTCCTCTTGTGAGAGAGTGGAGATTGCACCCACTAGTGGTGGCTCAGATATGGGACCGCTTCGGCAAGGCAGAAGTAGATCTTTTTGCCTCCAGAGCAAATACTCATTGCCCCCTGTTCTTTTCCATAACAGACTGCAATGCTCCCCTGGGGATGGATGCGCTAGCTCACCCATGGCCCAACACGCTGCTATATGCTTTTCCCCCAGTGGAAATGATTCTGCCCATTCTGGAGAGGGTGCGCCAGCAGGGGCTCTCCCTGATCCTGGTGGCTCCTCGCTGGCCGGCGAAGTCGTGGTACGCAGAGATAATCAGTCTGCTGGCAGCGAGGCCCTGGCAGCTCCCTTTTTGCAGGGACCTCCTCTCCCAGGCGGGAGGAGAGGTGATTCACCCGCACCCAGAACTGTGGAAACTACATGCTTACCTGTTGAAAGGTCCAACTTAATGGCTCAGGGTCTGCCCCCAAATGTGGTGGCAACAATCCAGAGTGCAAGGGCATCATCTACTAGGGGCCTATATGCCTATAAATGGCGGGCGTTTGAGCAGTGGTGTCAGGACCGAAATGTACTCCCATTTCAGAGTTCTATTGTGGATGTTTTAACATTCCTTCAGGACCTGCTGGATAAGGGTCTCTCTTTCTCAACAATTAAGGTCTATTTGGCGGCTATATCTGCATGCCATGTTGGCTTTGATGGTGTGACGCCAGGCGCTCACCCTCTTGCTATGCGCTTCCTAAAGGGAGTCCGCAGGCTAAGACCTGTTCTTAAACCCAGTGTTCCCTCATGGGATTTAGGGTTGGTGCTTGAGGCTCTTGGTGGACCCCCATTTGAGCCTATTGAGTCGGCAGACATGAAATTTCTTTCATACAAGACTGCACTGCTACTTGCTTTGACGTCTGCAAAGCGAGTGGGCGACCTTCATGCTTTGTCTGTGCATCCCTCTTGTACCCAGTTCACTCCGGATGGATCTAAGGCTACATTGCGTCCAAACGCGGCGTATTTACCTAAGATTATCCCCACAGCCTATAGCTCTATGAGTTTTGAACTGCTGAGCTTCTGCCCCCCTCCATTTGCATCTGAGGAGCAGAGGAGGTTGCATTCCTTGTGCCCTGTGCGTGCACTACGCACTTACATAGATCGCACTCAGAGTGTGCGTTTATGTGACCAGTTGTTTGTCTGTTTTGCTAATCCAGCCAAGGGCAAGGCGCTGTCTAAGCAGCGGCTTTCCCACTGGATTGTGGAGGCTATCTCCTTAGCATACGGCAGCAGGGGTCTCCCGTTGCCCCAAGGTGTGAGGGCACATTCAACCAGGGGAATGGCGGCCTCTTGGGCCTTGTTTAAAGGGGTTTCTGTGAGTGATATCTGCACTGCAGCCAGTTGGTCATCACCGCACACTTTTGTTCGGTTTTACCGTTTGGATGTGACAGCACCTTCGGTGGCTCACGCTGTCCTTTCTGCAGGGTCTACAATGCACTAAAAGTTTTGGAGGTTTGACTTCGGTTCGGTGGCTGCTCTGCGGGGCGTGTATATATGTCCCATACTATATGTGTTGTACCGAGTGAATCGACTGAAAGGGAACGAAATGTTATGAATATAACTTCTGTTCCCTGAAGGAGAGGAACGAGGTACAACACTGGGTTGCCCCGCTGCGCGGCAGAGCTCGGTGAAGAGCGGCTATCGAACTGAAGGATGACTGTGGTGTTACACGTATATATGTGCAGGCGGAGCCTCCCAGACGTCACCACAGATCATCTGCCTTAAAGGCGTGAATAAAGGTGTCTTCAGTCAGGTCACGCAGGGGCGTGATATCCCATACTATATGTGTTGTACCTCGTTCCTCTCCTTCAGGGAACAGAAGTTATATTCATAACATTTCGTTTCATTGGGTGCTCAAAAAAACAACTCCTCATTTGAGGTGTGTTTGCACCTGTACAATTGGCCCTGAATGTTGACTTTTTTTTTTTTTAAATGTCTCTGGTGGATCTTAAGAGAACTACAAAATACTAAACTCACAACAAGGTTGTTCTGTTACCACCATCATATATTAAACTCAAATTAAAAAACTTCAAAAATATACTTCTGACTGGTGAAGTTAATGTAATTTTGATACGAAGAGAAAGGGTTTACTCACAACTAAAGAAGTCTCTAGAAGCTGCCCGTCTGATTCATGGTCTTTAGTGTAATCCAGCTCTGGGTGCTGATCTGTGAGTCCAAACTTCACTGAACTCTGTTGAGCATCCACAGGAAAAAAAAAGCAGTTAATTTACTGTCTTTTGGTAAAGAAAGATTGTATTTTATTTTTTATTTTTTTGACAAAAGATGTTATTGAGTAAATGAATACATAATTAAACAAAGAACAATTAAAGTTCCAATAAGGAGTATATTTACATATCCAAAAGCAAACAAGACCATCAGCAATTAGGCTGATGATTTTTTATTATATTATTTTAACACATGAAACCAGTGTGAGGGGGTAGGTCTCAGCCAAGTAGTTGAAGAATTTAGACATTTTTACATTAGATGACACATTTGACTTTCAGAAGTCAGCAGGTTTAGATCTTTGTCAATAGTCACAGCTCAAACACGTAGAGGGCGAGACAAGCAAGGACTGCTTTGGCCACAGGGGGCGCCGAAACTGACACAAACTGAAAGTTCCTAACAGGAGTTTTAAAAGGGCTGTAAACATGAGATTAACAGAGACTAGCTCATAAAATTCTGCAATTGATCACGATTAACATATGGATCCTTCTACAGCCCTGTCTTTTAGCACTGAACTAATGTTTTGTAAGCTGTGCTGTTTCATTAAATGTCCTACAATAAACACATTTCTGTCTCTGGGTTTACATACTGTGTACTCAGTGATGACGTTGGAGGTGTGAGTTTCATCTTTTGTTTTCTTGGACGTGCTGAGCACGAGAAGCAGGTCCTCTATCCCATCCTGCAGCAGCCTGTCAATCAAAGCCTTCAGCAAAGGCAGCTGACGGAAAAGAAAAAGTCTTTTAAGAGAAGGTCAGACTTGGAAGTGATCAGAAATTCTATCAACTTGTGAAATCGTCAGTGTCAACCTTAGAGCTTACCCTAATGCCATAGGCTTCAAACATGGCTTCAATGTCCTAAAGGAAAGGAAAAAAATATATATATACTGCTAAGTGCAAAATGAGGAAATGTGTCTCAGAGGACTTATTGCTATATTTGTATTCACCTTCATGTTGAGAGATTTTCCTGGAGCTCCAGCATCTCCCTGCAGGAACATTTAAGTAGTCACAATGAAAATAATGTAATTTCCATAAAAATCGTTCTGTTTTTGGTCACGCTGAAGCACTACCTTGTCTCCTTTCAGGCCTTCTTCTCCTTTATCACCCTGCAAACAAACACAAATAATGCAAATGAGCAAAAAACTATTTTTTGTTTTCTTTTTATTATTAAGTTTCATTATAAACCCAATGCCAATCTTACCTTCAATCCTGGTGCACCCTAAACACACAGAAACAGAGGAGCAAAACATTGGAACATGCATCTACAATGCATGACGTGGAGCTTATCAGTATGCAGATAAGGATAAAACTCATTGCAGCCCACAATAAAAGCAATACAGTCATCATCTCTCTGATGACTCAGACACCATGCAGGCAAAATACAAATTATGCCATGCAACAGTTGAAATAATGTGCCATTATGCATGAGCTAAAAATACAAACAAACATGTCGAGTGCAGGCATCAAACTCACAGGAGCTCCTGGAGGACCCATTGGGATTGGGAATGCTTGTCGGATTTCATCAACGGTGGCGCCCTGAGAACAGATGCGAAAGAAAAATCAGAAATTCTTTGATTTCTTTTTTCTGACTCGAAAACAAGCAGAAACAAGAAAAACTGATACTGATGTCAACTCTGAATTCAAGAGTCAACCAAACTTTTTCTTTTTGCAGTGGACATAAAATCAACTTTGTTTAAAAGATAAAGGTAGTTTTTCTTACGTCGGGAGTGACGAGAACCTGTCTACCTGGCAGGCCTGGAGGTCCCGGTTCCCCCTTAATTCCATCTTTACCCTGAAGAGAAAAGAAACTGCTTTAAGCCTGCAATCCTAATTTTTTGCAGAAAGATTACAGATGCATTTTGTCTCAATATCAAGGCTGCTCACATTAGCTCCAGCATCTCCTCTGTCCCCCTGCAACAAAAGGAAAGTTAACATCTGCATTGAAAATACAGCTTTTTAATTTCTAGTAGGTTGTTTATTTTGAGGACCTTCTTGCCATCGTCTCCTTTAAATCCCTTTTCTCCCTGTAAAAAGAAAACACAGCTTAGTGCTGATCACTTTTGTAGGCATGGATATTTTAAGAGTAACACAGCTGGTATCACAACGCAGACGACAGTGTAACACAAAAATGACCCTCACATCTTTTCCTGGCAGCCCCCTCTTCCCATCAATGCCCGGTCTCCCCTGCAGAGCACAAGAGATCAAACCACCACAGACTCAGGAAATGTTCTCAGATCAAGGTGAAATAACAGAATGTTTATAGTGCATGCCTATAATGTATGTTTATTTTCAGAACAGATGTGAATGTCCTGTATTTTTGTGATGAGAAATGTACAGATTCATAGGTGTTGTTTTGCAGAGCGGTACTCACTGGAGTTCCTGGTAGACCCGGCATTCCTGCAATCCCGACCCGGCCCTGGTCACCTTTCTCTCCCCTCTGATCACAAACACACACAATTCAAAACTTTTATTCATCAATTTTTCCACATTCTTAAATAGTTCGAATTTGTTTTTTAATCTTTCAACAAAGCTGAAGTGATTTTATGAGCTTTTATAACAACATATAAACACCTCCATTGAGCTAAATTCTCTTATCAAGATCCATGTTGCCTCTTATATTGTCTGGTCTAGGTCTTTAGTAAATCAAGAATGCTATGTAAAATTGCATCATTATTTTTGCACTCACAGGCCCAAGATCTCCTTTCTGTCCTTGGTCACCCTGCAAATGTTACGAAAAACATGTGAGTAATCTAAGATGGCAAATATCATTAACGTTCACATAAGTGAGTGCAAGTATTGCAATAGTGAATGTAAAACTGTGCACAACCTTCCCTCCTGGTTTCCCTGGTATAGCATCAAGTCCAGAGGCACCCTGCAAAGTACAAATGTTCATATTTCAACACATTTGGAAAAATTCAAGAGCATCTGTTTAAGTTTGTCAAATGTAAAGGTTTATCCACTTACCAGAGATGGTCCTGGTAGTCCAGGTTTCCCCTCTGGGCCCTGTTATGGAGATAGATACTTAAAATGTAGCTAGATGATTGAGAAGTCTAAATAACCGTTGTTGTGATTTCCCATAAAAAGTCAATCACGGTTGAAAACATTGGTGTGACTGTAAAACAACATAATTTAGTGACGCAGCCCAAGGAAGAACATTTATGATCATTTCTTTATCATTTCCTTGAAGTAATAATCACCATATTAATCATTTTGCACTGCAGACGCGGTAGTTCTTCTGCCTCAGTGTCTTGGTATGATTGCATTTACATAAAGAAATGGTTATAAATGTTCTTCCTTGAGCTGCGTCACCCCGCAGCAGTCCGTAATGGATTAGCCCGAGGTCTCGCTACAAACAAGCGGCTGCTGGAAGAGAGTGGGCGAGTTGTGTTTAGTCTCTTTGCTAAAGAAATTAAAAAGATGTTTGGTGGCTAGTGTTGTGGCTGGGAACCTATATGTACCATTGATGAAGTTAGGTGCTGTTCTGAGCATTATATCTGCGGTCGTGACTAAAGTTGGTATAACTAGAGAAGCAAGCGGTCGGCAGTATTCAGCTCTCTCGGGGGGTGTCTGACTCAGTGTTATGGTGTGGTTGACCCTAAATTAATTTTACGCCAGAATATCCCTTTAACTTGCAGCATATAGGTTCAAGACATACGAAACAATCAACAAGAACCTCACCCTGGGTCCAGGCAGACCTGTCTCCCCTCTCAAACCAGGCTCACCTGGATCTCCTGGTTCACCCTGAAATGCAGAGCAAAAATCGAGAACTCTGACTTTCCTCATGATCCGATGAAAATGGAAAACAATGAGCATCATGCATGTTATTCCTCAGGTTACCTTAATCACTCTGAGCACTCCATTATTGTCTCCTACAATCTGGAAGGACAGAGATGAATCAAAAGTTGCAGAGCAAATTGACACCAAATATCCTCCAACAGAGGAAACAGTTTCATTCCTCATAGTCTTCTGGGATAGTGGTGTTTTTTCTTTTGTTCTTTCCAAGCTTCATTACAACAAATGTCCCTGTCAAACATGGCTGAACTGATGAGGAGCTGTCAGAAATGATAACAGAGGTTTTGTTTACTTGTGTTCCCGGAGGTCCAGGTTTTCCCTTTGTGACCACGGCAGCCCGATCAAAAGAAGAGCACAAGAAGACACCAGTTAAAATCTAAAATGTCACACTGGAAAACACAATCCATAATAGTCAAACAAAGGCAAAAATAAAAGGTGAACTGAAGGATGGCACACACAAAAAGCCGAGCTTAATTACTGAAAATATTAAAGCAAGAATAATGAAGTTATGGGATGATAGCAGGTTGTTAATATGGTCTCAGTGACGCAGATGGATGATCAGAATACGTCAATATGGGAAACAATGAACATCAACGAAGGAGAGAGATGTTGATACAGACATACCGGCTCCCCTTTGTCCCCTTTCCTTCCGTCAGAGCCCTGCAAACAAAGAAAATTACTAGTTTTCTTTCAGCATTGCAGATTTAGCTAAATTATTCTCAACATTTATAGACACAGGCACCTAAAGAGACGTAAAGACGTACTATCAAACATCAAACAGTTTACGTCCATTACTCTAACGGAGTGGGTCATCTGGTATTGAAATTTGACTAACTTACAATCAGGCCTGTCTTCCCTGTGTCTCCTTTCTCCCCTGGGTCCCCTGGGCGCCCAGGCAACCCCAACGGACCCTTATTAACATAGAAAAGGAGTTAGACAGAGCATAAAGCGCTATATTAGTGCGACTTTAAAGGGACAAATCAAGTCAAGAGAAATGTAACATGATCCCTTCAATCCCTTTCAACTGTCAAATGCATCACTACCTGTAGAAAACAATGAACAACTACCTTTATTCCTCTGTCACCAGGCTCTCCAGGTGGTCCTTGTTCCCCCTGTGAAAATGAAAGTTAGTTAATGGATGTTTTGATTAAAAAGGAACATAAAACTGTACTGATTTTAAGTTATCAATGCAATTGTAAACCCCTCCGAGCAACAATACATACTTAAGTTGACTGTACCTTAATTCCAAGGTCTCCTCTAACTCCCGGTGCTCCCTACACATAAAGTTAAAAGAAAAGTCAATAACTTTCTTATGTCAATACAGAGCTATAGTTGAAGAAGTTCTCCCAAAAAAGGAGGGAAGTATAACTTTTATTTGGGTGTCACAGATATTCATCATCTACTTTGGTCTTGAATAAAAGGGTGCTTAATCCTGAAGTCATTTTTGTAACTATCAGAATTACAGGTACAAACAATTTTCATCATTGCTGCAGCAGCAACTCAGGATTTACTTACATCTTTACCTCTTAATCCTGGTTCTCCAGGTTTGCCAGGTAATCCAAGCCCACCTTTGTCACCTTTGGAGCCATCTTGCCCCTGAAAAAACACGGTTCAGTAACATTAACAATCTTAAATGTTAAAAAGTGAAAATATGCTCCACTACAAAGAAAAGTTTTTAAAGAAAAAGGAAAAATTGATCTGTAAGCAACACATTATCAGTTTATATCAGTATTTTCAAACAAAGCAGACACTGAGCAACTTTAGCATTCATTGCAGCCTTACGTATGGTGAAATGACAACAGTATGTGTAAAGTATCAGTAGCTTTTGCCAATCAGTGTCTCTCAATCTACATGCAAAGTTTGCAGGGATGCTAAGGTTTTTGAAAATGCTCGTCTGCTTTGACTATAAAAAGTGTAAAAGTAAACATAGAAATGCAGATTGACGCTTTGGTTGTCTGCTATCTTGCATGCACAACATAAAAATTCATCTTTGACTTGTTAGTATAAGCGGCTCAGCAGCAAAAACAAACAATGAGCTGAAAGATGCTAAAATCTCTCTGCGGTCTTTAACATTGGGTTTGCCAGATCTCGCTGCCATTTGCAAAACACACATTATACTTCAGCCTCATATGAAAAAATGACAATGAGCATTTTTAGCAGACTTACTTTTGGTCCTGGTTTTCCTGACAAACCCACATTTCCCTGTAAAAGACAAAACCTTGAGTAATAGAAATTCACATCTATTCTCTGCTCCAGGCATGAAACAAAGTTTAAGCGTTTGAGGCAGTTTTCGTCTTTCGGATGACTCACCCTCTCACCATTTTCTCCCTTTTCTCCTCGCTGTCCTGGAATCCCAAAACCAGGACTGCCCTGCATGCATCAAACCACACAGTACTGATATCTTTACATAGAGTCATTTATTACCAATGGCTGATGAAAAATGAGAACATGGTCATAATAAAATGTAAGCATGCAGTATTGGTTATCATTTACCTTTGCTCCTTTGTCTCCTTGTTCACCTTTAATTCCCTGGGGTCCTGTGGGGCCGACTGGACCAATATCCCCCTGTCAAACAGAAAGTCGGCACACACATTCACAGAAAGCCAATCAGCACGATTCTGGCTACCAGCTTTAATTGTCATGCCATTTCCAAATCAAAACTGCTCTCTTCAAATTGCACCCCGTGGACTGAGATTAAAGAGGTCCTGTTCAATGGAGCGTTCAGTCCCACAGCAGAGGCTAATGAGAGAAAATCTTAATTGTGTTTGATAAGCAGACCCAGAGGACTGAGTATGAGTGTGCAAGAATACCCAGAACAATTAATTAACAAAGTCTCCGCAGAGTAAAACATCACAAAAATCACTTCCCTCCAGTTCACTCATTACATTCATGCTAGTCAAGATAAATGTAGGCAAACAAGTTAAACATATATTTGGAGTTGTGAGACAATTCAACATGGTGGTTTAAGCATCCTGAGAGTTTCCACATTTCGTCTGTGTCATTTTGAAATGACACAGACGAAATGTGGGAAATGTTGCCTTTGCACCATCCTCAATTCTCCTCTGTACTACCTAGAATAGGTTTTCTCATTTTTACGCAGCTGTACTAACTACTTAATCCTGATTGGTCAAAACCCAATAAAACTAATTCTCAGCTGTGAAAGCACCTCTAAGTATCAAACACATCAGGTCAAATCCATTTGTGGGAAGAAGTTCTGGCACATTCAACTTATTAAACTATAACAAAGTTGTGACATTTCTCAATAAACTCATGTTTAAATCACACTTGTTTAGTCTGCTTGATTATGTATTTACCTGTTTAAGTTTTTTAAGTAGGATAATGTATTGTGAATGGGTGGTAATGTGATTTAAAATCCAGACAAAGTGATGCAAAGCAGAACTAGAAGTCTTGTCTCAACCTAAAGCCTTACAGTTAATATCCTTCACCTCTTCTGTCTTTTCTCTGCTGTTTTAAATTCTCATATTCTGTTCTCAAACCAACATCAAACTAGCCTGACTTCTCTCAGTGGGTTGACATAGTTCCAGTTTGTGCAGCCCTAGCAACAGTCAGTTCTCCATAGCAACTGTCTGCTATAGTGAAATAGCAGACTGCTGTTATGAAATATTGCTATGTAATGACCAATCAGAAACGAGAACCTCACACAGCCATACTATTTGGACTTTTTCTTGTATTACTGGCTGTTAAGTGATGGATGTGGTTGGTGTTAGTTCTTTAAACAGATGCAGGATTCTACCTTTACTTTTTCTTTTTCGCATACTTGAGTGCCAGCTGAGAGCTGTTGTTAAAAATAAACTGGAATCTTGAGAACTGTTGATGTGCGTGGGCTTGTGCATCAATGTAAACCTAGAAAAAATAACAGAATTTCATGAATAAGAGTAAGACTTGGTACTTACCCGAGCACCTTTTTTCCCAGTTGGGCCAATAATCTGTTGAAAAGGGGAAATGAGATTTTGTTAAGACACAGTGTTGATTTCTTTGTTTTCTGAATTTTATTCAAGTACTTGCTTACACCCTTAGCAGGATCTCCAGGAACCCCTCTTGGACCCTCATCTCCTTTTAACCCGAGTGGTCCTGTCAGTCCCTGTAAAAATCCAGAATATGAAAAATCTTTAAATTTTCGTATTGCCATTTTTATTATGATTGAGACTTAACATTCCAAGCCTCTTTAAAAACAGCTGCTACCTCAGATTTTGAGCCAATGCTCACTTCATTTTTCTATTTACTGTCACAGATTTGAGTAAACTCTTTGAACATTATCACTTTCAGTTTACCATTCATCAGCAGTCTGGTTTTAGTAAATAGTTTCCTCTCGGGAACTGTGCTGCCTTAAATTAAAAACAACCGACGCAAGACAAATTACAAACTGAGGTTTGATAATTTCACTCATGATTGAGAGTAAAATGATTTCTTTGTTTGTTAATTCATCAGCCCTAATATCTGGAAACACTTCATAACCAGTGCATACTTAAACAAATTCAGTCTGCCCAAGTGTGGAAAGAGATTATGTATAAAAATGTGTGTAAACTATTTGGTTATAATGATTTAGTCCTAATTATATAAGTGTTATCTTCACTCACTGTTGGTCCAATTGGTCCGATTGGTCCGATTTCTCCTCGATCCCCCTAGAGAAGACAAAATATTTCCACACACTCACTCTTTCATCTATTTTGTTGTTCAGTAATGACAAAATGTGCATTTTCAGTCCAAGAGAGCTGGCATATGTGCAGGATGACCTTACCTTGTCTCCTTGCTCCCCTTTGAATCCTTTCTTTCCCTGCAGGTAAAAATTAATCACTGCCTTTGAATCCTTCCATCAATGATTCTTCTCATTACATTGTATTGGGATTAATTAATATGCAATCAAGGGTAAAATATGCAGAGGCTCATTGCAAGCTTTTTTGAACAGAAGATAATAAGTACACACCCGGGGTCCGATGATTCCTTGGATGCCTTGCTCACCAGGATCGCCCTGATGAGATGAATAAAATCACAGATGTTGTGTTTCATATTTTTCCCTTTTCTGTTATAAAAAGTCATATTTAAAGCAAACTAACTGGCTAGTATTTTAGATATAAGTTTGAATGTTTGTACCTTAGGGCCAACTGGTCCCAAAAAGCCAATATTACCCTGCAAAACAAAAATTCAAACACAATAGGAATAGGAATTTCTACAAATTGATCCATAACAACCCTCCATAAAAAGGCTCTGGTCAATCATACCTTTTGTCCTGGCTCACCACGAGGTCCCTGAATACCTTGAATTCCAATTCCCTCCTCACCCTGAAAAAAATATATATATTTATCAAGCTGTTAACTAAGCTGCATGTTTTTAATTAGTTTATTTATGTTTATAGTTTTCGATCATTAACAGCTCACCTTCTGTCCTTTCTCTCCTGGAAATCCTGGCACCCCATCGAGGCCAATGGGACCAGGCAACCCAGCAATGCCCTACAGTAGTTTGCATATGTGTGCATGTGAGAATCAGCAGGACAGAAACAAGATAAAACAAGAAAGCTGTGCTTAAAATATGCAAATTATTTGGCAGTGGGTAACTCTGTGTTATGCAATATCTTCTGCGGCTTTTTAACAATTATATCAACACTTCGCTTACATCTCTCCCCGACTCTCCTTTGTCTCCTTTCACGCCTGGTTTCCCACGTAAACCCTTTCAGAGAGAATAACAGCATTATCAGATAATAACAAAGCAATGCACACTTGATAACTGTTTCTATTGCATCATGAGAGCAGAGGACTATACAAAAGTTTTCAAGTATACAAATCATGGGAGGTAAAAGTTATTTAAAAAAAATAATGAGTGTACACATTTATGAGGCTAGGAATAAGATTTTCTAGTGCATCACTAAAAAAGAGATTATGTTAGGCATGATAAGAACCCTCCACACTCACTTTTTCTCCAGGCTCCCCAGAATCTCCCTACAAAAATAAAATCAACTGTGGTCAGCCGTGTTCCTCAAAGTATTTACAGTACTAAAAGACTGCACATCATCTTGCATTTTCATAGATGCACCATAACGCTGTTACAGTGTTTACAGCTTATCTTTTCCACTTTAAATTTGCATCCAATCCAATGTTACCTTTACAGATATTCCTGGTGACCCTGAAGGTCCTGGTTGGCCAGGTAGGCCTGGAGCTCCATTGACCCCTGGTACACCTGGAGATCCTTGAGGACCCTGCAACAAATAGTGAATCATTTTTGAGGTGTTTCAGGTTCTCTGTCTAATAAACTCCCACAAATGTGTTTTTCAGTACTCACTGAAGATCCTGGCTCTCCTTTTCGTCCAGGGACAAAATTTGCATCAGCACCAGCTATGACATATCCCGGCTCTCCCTGGGAGGAAACACAAAACAGCATGTCAACGTTGTTTTGTATCGCTCTATAATCCTTTTAATTAAAGTAGATCAGTCATGTTTTTATGTACAAAGCTTGGGTTTAGCCCAAAAAAGAGGCGGTCAGAAACGAAATCATCATTAATTGCACAGGTTAGACATACTCTCTCCCCTCTCTGTCCTTTTGGTCCAGTGATCCCTGGAAGACCCTACCATGAAGGAAAAAATAGAGAGTGATCAAAAGATGAATAGATATGCAAACTACCAAAGACTTTTACAATTATTCCGATAAATGTTCAAGAATTAAAAATTTGATTATGAGATTTGCTGGTAGGCAAAGAGTTCACACAATGTATATCTATAGTGATCTCAAATCTGGAGATCTTTTTCCTACAATGTCAGTATTATACCTAACATGTGTTAGATCAAATTAAATTAACGTTAGGGTTGTAAAAGGCTTTTGAATCCATACAGTAAAGCCAGTCTCATGTTGATGTCTCAGAAACTGACATTTTTTGCAATCCTTATTTGCCTTCATTTCTAAAGACTTGCCATTTGAGCAGACCTAGTATCTATTTTTTACTACTTTCTTTTAAGTAATAGAAACATTGTCAAAAAAAAAAAAAAAAAAAACACACCTCAATGCCCGCCAGAATAAAAGCAGTAAAAAGAAGAGTTTGTAAAAAAAAATGAAATCATTACCTTCATTTAATTGTCTTGTTTTTTGCCCAAAAAAATGTAATACTTTTATTGGTTCTGTTATCAGTTGAGAGGCAAAGGGGTTAGGTGGTTTTGCAGCTCTAATCTGGGACCACAGCCATGGGCGGGACATCACTTACATATGAAGTGAGTAATAGTTGGATGACTCACAGTAATACCCCATAAACAGTTTTCCTCCCTAACTGTATATTCCTCAGTAATTTTTCTCACCATATCACCTGGCACTCCTGGAGCTCCCTGAAAAACAAACAAAGAAAACAAAACAAATAAATAACATTTTCAGAATCAGACCAAAATCAAATAAACTTTAACAAAGTTAGTATGCAGTTTTGTTTCTTTGAATTGAGTTACCCGTTGGCCAGCAGAACCTGGGGGTCCGGTTCTTCCTGGTCGTCCTGGCAACCCAGGTATACCATCTGTTCCTGAAGGTCCCTGTAAGGTAAAAAAAAAATGTTGATCTGAAAAGGAAAATGCAATAATAGACACACAAAGGAACAGGAGGGTTATGAGAGAGGATATGAAAAAGAAAAGAAAGCAGGAATTTGATCAAGTTGAGCTCTGATGACTGAGCAGCTGTGTTAATATTTACTTAAAGTGACTGAAGGCGTGAGCAAAAGAGGGCTTCATTTCTTTACATTAGTCTCTACATATTCCTGAAATATTGTTTTAACTATTTTATTGAAACCGAAGAGTAAATTTCTAGCTGTTATGATATAATTGAAGGCATTACCAGCAATGATCTTGGTCAACCAGCATCTCTAATGCTTTGATTATGACAATTATTTTTTTCTTTAACATACATTATCAAATGTTACACATGTACTTAAAATTTAAAATTAAGGGAGGCTTCAATGTTAGGAGCTGTACCTACAAATGTACAATAAAAAATGAAAAATTTAAAGTGCTGAAATTTCTTGGGGTCGTGTGCAATCACAAATTAATGAATGCTTATGGTAGAGTTTGAGGACTTTAAGTAAATATGGTCGTTTTATAAAGTGAATTACTCATTTTCTTGATTGGTGTTGCATATTGCAAATAAAGTTAAATATATACAAACAAAGCAACAGCTGAAGATTAGATCATCTCGAATAAGTGATAATCAGTGGAGATGGAAATGTGGATAATGTGGATTATTTTTGTGACTCTTGTTTCTTACCCTTTCTCCCTTCTCGCCTTTGGAGGAAGTAAAAGGATCGTACCGTCCAGGGCTTTGTCTAAATTTCTACATCAACAAAAATAAAAAGACAAAAAATTCTGTTAATGTGAACATTTGAATTTACATAAGCAAAAACATTTAACTAGTAATAGGAAGGTAATGTAATGCAAATGCAAAAACATCATGAGGATTATGCAAAAGGGACAAAGTCAAGACAGATGGACAGAAAATATGATTAAAAAACATACCAGACCTCCAAGACCGAAACCGTCTCCCTGATAGGATGAGAGTAAGAATACGAATGAGACATAAAATAGTTATACAATACATATCTGCTTCAGGCTAAGCTTATTTGAATTTATTTACTCACCTTTTCCCCTTTCTGGCCCTGATTGAAGAAAAAGGAATGAAATTGATTCATGGACAGAGATTTATACAGAGAGGATTTCATTCATGAAGTTTGAAAAAACAGAGGAGCCTTTCAGAAAAAAACATGCAACCAGGATGTAAATAAAAAAAACACTCATAAAACATCTATCTTTATAGATATATCAACTTTGGAAGAGTGTTTTTCTTAATCTTAAAACCTGTTAGGTTGCACTTATTCATAAAGATAATAATTATTATCTTAAGAAAGTAAAATGTCACCTTTGAACACTGCGAGGTACAGGGACCCTCAGGTTTGGGCAGCTCTTCAGGGTCTTCAGTCGGGGTGTCCAACTGAGCAGACTAGAAATCAAAACATAAATATGCTTTATTCTTTTGATCAGCCAAAGATACTTTGGAGGAGTTGCTAAGATGAGTAACTGGTTTTAGCTTTAAGTTAATCAGACTTCTGTCAAACGGGAGTCAAGACCGTCGGAGTGTTCCCACCCACAGAGTCTTTGTTAGCTCATTAAAAAAGTGATTATAATGACGTTAATGTCAAAATACATGACTAATTATACTTGAGGTGGTTTGATAGTTTTGTCACTTAAATTGTCTGGAAGCATTCGCAGTACATGTGCAGTTGTGAGTAATATTTGGTTATGTGTTGGTCACCAAAAGCTGATGTTAGTTACAGTTTATTACAACTGTTACAAAAATATTATTTTACTCAACAAGTCTGACTAAATGAAAACAAAACTTCATGTAAAAACAAAGAAAAAAGCACGGCACAAAAGGGAAACGTTGTTCTTTGTCTTGCCTCATCGTGCAGTTTGTACTCCGAGAGCAGCTCCTCACTACAGATGCTGTTGATAAATTCCCTCTCTATGGACGGGAAATCATCAAAGGTGGGTGAAAAGAAGATATTTTTGTAGCTGGTGGGGGCTGCTATTTTATTCAGCTCCTCAATGTCTGCATTAGAAACTCCAACTGCAAGGACACTGACACCTAGAGAGAAACGGATGAAATACGGATCAAATTTTCATATGATATGGCTTTGATAGTTGAACCTGAAAAATATTTTAAAATTTCATGATACATTTTACTGACCCAGAGCACGTGCGATTCGAGACGGTGGCACCACATTATCCTGAGCCCTGCCGTCTGTAATGAGAACCAGTATGTGGGCCACATCCTGCCTCATCCCCAGAGACTCCTGAAACAGCTCCTGCAGAACATAGCTGATGCCTTTTCCTGAGGGTGTGCACAGGTACAAAGCCATATTAATTAAACTGTTGTGGATGACGCCGGTAGATGAAATTTACTTCTCTGCAAGGCACGGTTATGAGGCGCAGCAGTGATGATGCCAGCTGTGTGTTACATGTAATGGAGTGTAAGCAATGCAGGCCTTCGATCAAAGCTGATCTCCATAGGACTTTTACAACAAATTATGGATGACTGATGAGCTGCTAATTAGTTATATAAATGTAAGCTGCAAAGACAAACAACACATTTAAATATATCTGTACAAAGTGGATTAGGATCCTATTCAATCAGACTTTTATTACACGGGAGCTTTTAAAACTTGTAAATTAGAGACTCTGGACTCAACTTCAGCATGATACCTGTTAAAGAAAGCACAATCACAGACAGAATCAAAGGAGTGAGCATGTTTGTGTCAGTATCTAGAGTGATATACCTGTTCTTGTGTTGCCCCCTACATAGCGAAGTGCTCTGATCGCCCTGAGCACCGAGTTTCTGTCTTTGAAGTCATTCAGACGGAACTCGATTCGAGGCTCATCACTGTAATGAACCACGGCTATCTGCAGAGAGATTCATGGAGATCTCACATATCGTCATAACAACATCATCCTGGGTAAACTAAACATGATGCAACTATAAATTATAAATATTAAGCTATTATGTTGTGCCTCTCATGTCCTGCAAAGGGGGGTTGTTTTTATCTTATGTGTGTAAGTTATTATAATGAGTGAGCATGAAATAATTATGTGTGCACATAAGTTATTATCTCGTCCATGGAAGAAAATAAGTGTTTTGTAAGTGATTGTGAACACTGTCTCCTGCCATGTGTGAAGAGCAAGGCATAAACGTTTACTTTTGGCACAGACAACCAATTTATTCTGATAATAAAAGAAGCACTTTAGGTCTTTCACAGTCACCTTGTAGGAGTAATATGCAAGAGAAAAACCTTAACATAAAAAAAGAAATAAATAAGTAAGATGTGAGAAAATGCTGCAATACCATGAGGGATAATGTTGGTGACATAATCTAGATAATATAGCATGAACCATATAATCACCAATATGAATACTATTGATATGACATTCAGAGGTTCAGCACATTTAAAGCTCCTGTAAAAGCTCCTGCTGAAATTGACAAAAATACCTTTTCATGATATAAAAAAGCAAATAAAAACATTAGCAACAAGATGTTCTGCTTTTATATTGTAATTTTTAATGATACATTTGACTGTCAAAAGCAAGAATGATGAGATTTATTGTAAGAGGATACTATTTAAGCATGTAGAGGACAAGATAAGCAACGACTGCTTTGTCCACAGGGGGCACTAATGTTGATATAAACCAAAAGTTCCTTACAGGAGCTTTAAGCTGAGCCAGTTGCAAATCAACCCAATATGGTTAACTCTTCCCAGCAGAGGGCACTTATTAGCAATACCTTATTGCTGTGCTATGTTTATCCTTCTTTTGAGTCTTTTACAAGTTGAAGTAACATCATTACAACATCAAGTTGAAACAAGACTAATTGCGAGTTTTTTGCTGACCTGTGTGGCTGCGGAGCCGATGTTCGGGAAGTAAGTGGTGACCCGGAACATGAAGTCCTTCATCTTGTTAAAGTTGTCAACACCGATGCTGGAAGACTCATCCACCAGGAAAACTATGTCTGCTTTGGTTTTACTACAAGCTGAAAGAAAAAAAAAAACTTTGATACACGTCTGACTTGAAGAAGAAGTTTGCGTGTGTAAAATAACTGAAGGACACCTGGTTTTTGAGATGATGCCGCTGCACTGACTGTGGTTAATCTCAGGGGTGTGACTCCTGACTGCTTGGCTTCAGTTACACTTTGTGGACCTGGAGACTTCCTGGTGGTTGGAGGTTTGGTCGGTGGTACAGTAATGGGCTGGCGAGTTGTTCTGCTGGTTGTCTGCGAGTTGGTGATTTTGCTGATTGAGGCGGTCGTGATACGTGGGGCAGCAGTGACTGACACAGGCCTGACTGTCGCCTGCAGAGGATCCTGTCCCACTGAGACGCACAGAGCCAGAACACAGGTTATGAAAATAAGAGAATCAATCGAAGGGTCTATTAATGAGAGGCAGCGACTCTACAGGTGAATCCTCACACCTGAATGATCTGGATACTAAATGATTTGACAACATGTGAAATCAATAAGCATACTGCAGCATGATACAGATTTAGTTTAGCCACATAAGTGCTGTCTTACATATTTTCTGATAGACTGTGCTGATAGGACCCTCCACTTCTCCATACAAAGGTCTGATGGTAAATATATAGGTCCTCCCATATAGCAGATCTGTGATCTTATAGGAGCTGAAGCTGGGGCCCAAGATCTCTGTTTTTGTGTCCAACACTGAAAACACAAACAGAGAAGCTCATTGTTATAGTTGCTATCATTGGGGAAAAAATTACATATCATGATGCAATGTCTAGACCTTTTTAAATGAATGTTGCTTTCAAAGCCTTTTTTTGCTTTTTTCCTTTAATGTGGTTATTTTCCAAGTGGACATAATGACAACCACACTAACAAGTAATTTAATGCAACAAATAACAGCAGCTTACTTACATAACTGATTTTTACTATTATAAAAACCATTTCTGTCAAAGCTTTTATATCTGAACATGATTATTAGTTTTCTGAACATTTTTCTGTCCCGCTTCACTTTTCAACCAAAGGGTTCTTAGGCTGAGACTCAAAACACACTGTAGTAATAAGCATCAGGCTTCATATCTACTTCAAACTCTAGAGGACCCTTGAAATAAATCACTTTTGTAGTCATAAAGCACTTGGAATTAATCAAAATCAAGCATGTTTTTTTTTTCCAGTGCTGACTACAGGGCTACATGCAAACTCTCCAAGCTCACTTAAACCAGGTTCAACTCAGACCTGAAATGTGCCTCCATGAGAGAAAGTATCCTGATACACCGGCCACACGAGTCCAGTTCAGGACAGTGCTGCTGTCTGTTGTGTTCAAAGCAGCAAAGCCGTTCACTTTTGGGAGATCCACTGTAGCAGGAGAAACATGTGATTAATTAATGAAGTAACCAAAATAAAGTCAAAGGATACACAATATAAATACTGACATGTCACTTTATGGCTTAACTGATTTTTACAGGCTTTTCAAATTCCTCTCTCCTGATATGTCTTCCAGTATTTCACCCATGTGACTTCAAAGTGCAAATGACACCAAAAAGGAGCTTTTTCAGGACTATTTCAAATGAAAACCTGAATGCAGCTGACTGTAAAGTTTAAAGTTACAGAAGTCTGTCAGTAGGAAATTGTGCTATTGGTGATCCTTGAACTTCACTCAGAAGTTCTTCTTCGTTTTTCTACCCGAGTCTAAAACTTCTAGATCTGTGTGATTTTGGTTATTTTAAAAGGGTGCAACTTATTGAAACTTACACAAGGCTATCTAGGACTGGTCTCAGTGTAGACATACTAGACTACAGAGTGGTGGGCTGTATCAAATACTCAGTTATTTAAGAGTGAAAACTTTCTTTTTTGACTCCGAAAGATGACTCATAAATAAGATATAAAACCTATATGTGTGTTAGATACAGCAGCAGAGATATCCATGATTGCTGATTGTGAGCACATCTCATGCTGTTCATCACTGTTTCAGACAGGTATGACTCACATGTACGTGCAGTGACTAGAACTGGGCTCCCCTCCCTTTTGCCCACCATGGAGGACACCTGGATCTTATAGGCTGAGCTCTGCTGCAGGTTCTTGATGGTGAAGCTGGTGGAGGAAGCAGATACTACGTGGGACTTCTCATCACCACCTAGGACAGAAGATATTAATCATTGTTTTTGTTTTATTGGGATTTAAATGAGATAATAAATAGTTATTATTGGCAGTTTTGGGGTATAAACAGATTTTGAATGGATACTCAACCAATCAAGTTTACTGTGGGCATATATTTCCCAGTTCTTCGGGCATATAAATAATCATTTCAAATGTAAGTATATGGATGTCTCAACCTATGTAAGTATTTTGGTTAACGCACATGACTGATGGTTAATTTGTGTCCCTTACCCAGGAAAGGGATCCAAGAGATTTTGTACCCAGATGCCCCTGAAGTTTTCTTCCAGGAAAGGGTGAAAAAGTTAACTCCAATGTCCACAACCTTCAGCTCCTTCACTGGCTGGATTGGTCCTGAGTCTGAAACAGCAGCTGTAAAAATAACACAATGAAACCTGGTAATGTGGCGTTGTAGTTTCATTCCACAAAACTCCGACCCAAAGTTAAAATCAATCCAACAATCTTGTCTGTATGACCTGGCATGCTCAAGTTAACTCTGAGGGCTTTTACTTTGAAAGTGACAGTGATAAACTTAGCGCAACCCTGTACACTACAAGTGACTGAACATTTGGTTGCTGTTGCTCTGTACCTGTGAGGTGGGATAAGGAGATTTCTGGTCCTTCTGAGTTGCCGTAAACGGCGCAGATTGTTATTGTGTAAACCGATTGTGGGATCAGGTCTTCAATACGGTAGGAGAGAACATTATGGTCCAGGTAATGAGAATGAGGGCTGCTGTTCCCTGTTAGCAGACACACAAATGCACACATACAATATCATCTACAGCTCAACAATTTCTTAACACGATGTCCAACATGGCTTTACAAGAAAGAACAGGATGTCTAACGAGGGCAAAAAGAAAGTTAGCCCAATCCCAAGACTTTGAGAGAGCAGAGAATACAAAGGTGTTTCACCTGTGCTCCAAGTGAGTTTATACTCTGTAGCTCCAACAATTGGACTCCACTCAACATCTATAGAGGTGCTGGTGTAGGACACCACCTTGAAATTAGACACATAGCCCAATGGAGCTGAAAGAGACAAAAATACAACACATAATTTTTATTTATTTATTATATTTTTTAAAGATTTAGTTTTTTACTCCCACAGTTTTCAAACATCTTGGTCTGAGAGCTGGTTAGTAGTACCTGTAACTCTCTAATCAAACAGTTTTCCCTGTGTGATAAGTAATAAATAGACTTTATTTTTGGTTCTTTACGCAACTGACGTCTGAAAGTCTTGTATTTGCTGACCTCCAGTGGTTTAACTTCTCAGCCTGCTGCAGCGATCTTAAAAGAGTTGTTAAAGGCTTATCAAAACACTATAAATACCACGGGAAAGGTTTGGCAAGTAAAACTGGGTTGACTATTTACCACACTGAACATAATACTGCAAATTACAGCAGCCAAATCAAACAAAGGAATGAAAAGCACTCCTCTGTGTGGTTGTTTCTGGGCCTATAAGGTGATTCCTGGATGAAATTTTTCTGCAGAATTTAGAACAAAACCTAAACCTGAGAAGATTTTTCACTGGTGAATAAACACGTTGTGCATTTGTACTTACAAGTTTTGAAGGTAGCACTGATTCCAGGCCCAACCGCAGGTCCAAACAGCACATAGAGAGTGAGGACATACTCTGTATCGTGAGCTACGTTTTTCATCTGGTACTCTGTGATGCTGCCATTCAGAGCCAACTGTCGGGGTCGGTCTCGACCAACAAACTCTGAAAAAAAAAATACCCATAGGTCTATACATTTACAGTACAGTCACATAATTCTTTTAATTTGTTATCCCTCACTGTCCTGGTATAACTGTGAACTCTGGCACAGTATCAGAACACATTTGTGTTTCATCAAAGAGAGGCCCTGTGCCATCTGTCACATCCTCGTACATTATAAAAGCAGAGGCATTTCAAAGGCTCCTGCAGAGCCAACATTAAAAAAAACTTGAATGTACATGCATATAAGAGCAAATGATCTGTACTAAAGAGCTAGGACTAGCTGTAGATGCACATGATCAGGATTTCTTTCGCTTTGTTAGTTATTTGGGTGTTATTTTTTTATACACAAGTATCACCAGAATGACCAGATTCCTTCACTTGATGAATAAACTTTATTTAAAATAAACAGGGAGTCCAACAGAGACAGCGGGTAAATCACCTGGGGTGGGTCCCCATGCAAGTCTGTATCCTGTGGCTCCAGGGACACTGTTCCACGAGATGAGAGCAGAATTTGTGGTCACAGCTGACACCTTCAAAGTTTGAACTGCACTGCTCTCCACTGACACAAAAAGAGAGATATAGAAAAGGCTTCAATCCAGTCTTTGCTGCTCATCACCATATCTTATTTAAACCTTTTTGAACAAGCATCGTAGTTACATGTCTTGACTGTGGTGGTGGTGACAGGCCCCTCGGTGTCTCCAAAGATAGGGTTAATGGTTATGGTGTACTCAGAGCCTTGTTTTAAGCCCTGGATCATGTAGAAATTGAAGTTGTCCCCGAGGTTTATGTTCTCTATGTCACCATCTTGAGGACGCACAGGAAAAAAAAGTTAAAAACAATGATTTATTTAATTGTAATGAAGTGTACAACCTCTAAGTTCACACACATTTAATTGAATTCACCAAAAATGAGAGTTTATATTCAGTGCAGTAAAGATTGAACAACATCACCTGGAGCTGCCCACGTCAGGCGGTAACCTGTGGCACCTCTAACCGATGCCCACCTCGCCTGGACGGTGTCTGTGGTGGCGTTTTGGACCAGGAACTGCTTTACTGGAACAAGTTTTACTGTGGAGCACACACATCCACGTAAACACAGAAAATACACAAGCAAATGGTTCATATTGACTCTGATCTAATGATCTATATAGATATTAGAGTGAGGTTTATCAAATCAGATTTCTGTGGTAACATTAACAAATTAACAAATATTGATCACATTCACACTTTGAGTTGGTACGTCTCTAGTGTGGCGTGACATGGAGATAAATGAGAGTCTTACTGAATGTAATTGAGCTCAAGTGGGTATTTTTTTCTGGAACAACATCGCCCTCCAGTGGTTATGTTACGGCATAACATATTATCTGCTATCTTGTTTTATTTTAATCTTGTTCAAACTGTATCTGAAGTACTTTACATATGTACTAAATTGATTTCAGCTGGAGGAGGTACGAGGCTCTTGAAATTTCTGTTAAATGATTACTATGTATGATGCACTTACATGTCTTTCCTACGACTGAAACTGGTTCGCTTGGTCCCTGAGGGTAGACAGCATAAATACTGATGATGTATTTCTTATCCTCCTCCAGGCTGTCAATGATATGAGAAGAAGTGTCTCGAGGAAGCAGGTGTTCGTAGGTAAATCCTGGTCGGTTTGCTGCAGAACAAAAACACCAGATTGAAAACAAAACTGAATGTACTTGGACAGAATTAGTGCCTGTGATGCTTGAAGCTTAAGATATAGAGCATTAAAAACCATATCTTTATCGGACATTATGCTAACTGCTTATAACACTTCATAAAAATTGTTGTATACTCATACCACTGTTGTTGTATACTCTATACCACTCATAAGGGTTGTGATAAAGTCTATAGATGCATTCATAAGGCCTTATAAAAGTGGGTTTAAATAAAGTGTTAGCCTTCTGGGTTGTAATGATATAATATTTTGAATATTTTGGTAACACTTGACTTGACACCTACCTCTATGACACACTATAAATATATTTATAATGCGTTATAATCACATTAGAGGAGTTTATAACTGTTATAAACACTCATGAATGATCATAATGCTTCATAGCAAAAATCATAATACATTATAAAGCATTTTATCATGACTTACAAGGTCAGGTATTAACAGTTAACAACTCACTGACAATACCCACATAGATAATGCATTATACATACATTTATGTTGTGTTATAATTTGCTTATAAACTTGTATAACTATCATTATAAACACTCATTAATTATCATACGGTTTTATAACAATAAGCATAACACATTGTTATACCTGACCTTGTGAGTCATGATAAAATGCTCCATAGTGTGTTATGATTATTGCTATAAAGCATTTGAGTGTTTATAACTATAGTTATACAGTGCTATAACATGATTATAACGCATTGTACAAACATTTATAATGTGTTATAGAGATGGGCGTCAAGTTAAGTGTTACCAATATTTAGAAATTCAAACAGGTGGGTCAATAACTACTTCTAAAATATTTTTAATGGTCTAGAATGTGTCTAAAACAACAACAGTAATTATTATAGTTTGTTTATGTTTGCATACTTCTCGGGATGAAGATTTTAAACCCCTCCAGCTTCCCTAAAGGAGGCGTCCAGCCCAGACGCAGAGAGAACAGACCCTCCTCAATAACACGGAAGTTTGACACTTGAGGTAAAGGAGCTGAAAGACAGAGACTTATTGTTCAGGGAAGAGGGGAAGCAAAAGTGCAATCTAGAAATGCTTTGAGGTATTTGTATACATTTCTGAACAAAGGAATGATGTTTGACACTCACTGGTCTGGACTGTGATTGATGCTGAGTCTCCGATAAGGCTGGGGTAGATTGCATAGACAGTGAGGGAATATTCGGTTTTAGGGCTCAGGTCTGTCACGACTGTGCTGCTCACATCTGCTTTCAAATCGATCTGTTACAAACAGAGAAGAGAAGGAAATTAGGATTGTGTGAGCAGGAAGGAGTGAGAGAAACTTAAGTGAAGGGAAGTAGCATAAATCAAGGAAGCTTCAGAGTCACTTCCAAAACAAATGTGCGTCTCAGAGCACCATTATCATCCTTATGTTTTTCACAAACTTCTGTTCAAAACCTTCTTTTTTACTTCTTTGAAATTAGGCAGCTGTTGTGCCTCATGACATAGTGCAGGAATAAAACCATTCCTCTTTTGGTGCTGTTACATAATTTCCTGTCCTTGTCAAGGGCAAAAACTGCAGCACTATCACAAAAACACATGCATACAAGCACAAATTAAGATTCATGCTGACACCACTGTTCATGTTGATCCCATTAATTCAGGCTGTCGTGGGCTTTGGAGAGTAACACAGATGAGCAGCACAAATAGCTCAGGCTGCTCTGAGAGATGACTCAGTGAATTTTACTTTAGTAGAAGAGCCGGTCACAGAGGTGACTTGCAGTTTTGGTAAGAAATGAGGTTGTAGCACAAAGGAGGAAAACGAATGGAAACATAGTGATGCTTGGGGAAAGTTCATCGATGTGTCTGCTTTACATCAGTCAGCACTCTCACTTGTTTCTCCTCAGTCTTCTGTCAGACTTTCCTCTTACTGCTTCAAAATGGTGATACAGCAACAAAACACTGATGGTTTTCTCAGGCCTGTTGCTCAAAAATGGCCAGGTGCTGAGGATGATTTAGAAATCAAGTTTATATTGAGTTTTAGTCATATCCCGGCAGTTTAAACAAATCACCAAACAGGCTTGTGGTGCTTATGAAGCCACTCTACACAAACAGAATGCATAAAGAGAGCCCCTCATTACTCAAGAACGTGAGCTAATGAGTCTGCACAGGGAAGTGGAGCCAAGGACTATATATAAGCTCCCCACACCTGCTCTCAATCAGGACTCCCTCACCAAACACAGTGACTGGCCCAACATGAGTGCTCCTCACACTTAACTCGTTAGATCCAATCTCGGAGGACGTGAAGCTTTCTTTTTAATTTATGATGACATTTTTGAGCATCAAGGTGATTGAAAACTTTACTGTATTCGCAGGCAACAGATCTAAAGTGCAAAAACTACTCAGTCCCACACTGGTGAAAAAACAATCCAAAGGTAAACTGATGTGAACAACAAAAAGAACAACCAGCCAACTGTTAAAGCTAGCAAAGCAGCTACACCAGCATACAGTGAATAGTTGTCCCCTATGAAGGGTGTCTGGGCCTAGTCAGACATTCAGAGGGAGCTCCATTGTATCAAAGTGAGCCAGTTGAGGTGGTTCAGGTCTGTTCGACTGGGAGGAGACCCCAGGGTAGACCCAGAGCTTGAGAGATTACATATTCAGCCTTGGAATCCCCCAAGAGGAGCTGTACAATGTTGCTGAGGCAAAGGAGGTCTGTGCTAACTTTCTCAAACTCTCTGCTCAAACTGCCACCACTGAGACCCAACCCTGGATAAGTACAAGAAAACGTAAAGATGGCTGGATGGTAGGATTTTTCCCTTACCTGTCTCTGCTGCAGGGAGAGGAGGTGTCCCCTGGCGTTGAGAGGGGTGACTAGGAGACGGTAACCGGTGACATCACTTGTAGCCTGGGTCCATGTGAGTCTCAAGGAGCTGTGTGCCACCTCGCTTACCTGCAGGTCTCTGGGACCCACCACAGGCTCTTTGACTAGAATTAGGAAAAGGTAAAGATTAATTAGATGAATAAATCATGTAACAGAAATGTCACTAACTTTCCAAAAGCTCTGGTTTGATATTAAATTCATGTATACAGCTGTCAGTACGGTGACAGTTTTTTGTGGAAATAAAACTTTGGTCAGAATAACTTTTCTTCCCTGCTGTGTGTATTAATATTAACTCACCCGGCTGGTAGGTCTTCACAGGACGCGGTGGTTCAGAGGCAGTGAAACACACCCTGCGGGACAGTTTGGGAAGGATGGTCTCCAGGAGAGAATAGTCACTGCCGAGCAGTAGGTGCTCCTCATGAGGCTCTGACACGATCCTCCTCAGCTCTGTCTCATCGGCTCCCCTGACACCTGGATACAACATAGCAACAACAGAAAAAGTGAGGGAAAAGATAGGAAATAGTTTGGCCAAAACAAAGCAGCTGCAGTGCTCACTGACCTACCATGCATGATGAGACTCCTGATATCTCTAGGATGGATTTTAATTCATTAATACGAAATAAAAAATAAAATAGAAAAATCAGCTTCAAAGCAACAAATGTGTTTATCATCTTTGCATTTCTCATCATATGTTCTAGCAACCACCACTAGGGGGAGCTGCTGCATTTTGATTGATTTCTTTCATGTCCTGTGAATGAGAGGATCTATATTGATGCATAATGTGGACATAATCAGATAATCAAGCTCTCTCTGGCACCTCTCTCAAGTGATTTCCTTGTGTGCATTTGACAGACCCTAGTTTGTGGGAGTGGGAAGAGAAAAACACTTGATAAAGACCCTTTTAAGACCTCAAACATCTTGAAAATAAAGACAGTAATAAAGACATTTAGTAGAAGCACACGATTTTTTTCAGAGAGTTACACTGACTTGAAATGAGAACTTTGTAATCTTTTATAATAGTTGCTTGTATGTGCAGATTATAATGCATCCATCTATACGTGTGTCATCCATGCTGCACAGGCTCTACAGGCGTATTTGTTTTGCTCCACCACACAAGACACATGTGGAGCTTCTCCGCAAGAGTGATAAACGAGAGTAGCAGACCTCAGTGTCAGAGGTGCAAACAGGGGGACACCGAATCGCTTAATGAAAAATGGCTGCGATTAGCACACCATCGGCTAATGAGCAGTAATTATTGCGGCGCTCCCAACTGAGAGGAGTAAGTTGTGGACCTGTGCTCGTGAGTTTGTGTAGGAGAACAAGATTAGTGGAAGTAAACCTGCAGATAAACAACAAGTGTGTGTTTATGTGGAAGGGAAACAGTGGAGGATAATGTAGCTTTGCAGATGTACTCTTATTATCAGAAGCAGAACAGCAGAATTAGACACTTATTCATGCATACATATTTTGAAGATGTTGTTGTTGTTGTGTGTGTGTGTGCCTGTGCATACACAGTGCATAAACCTGTACGGGTGCACCCACACAGTGAGGAACGAGAATGTTACACTCTTGCATATACTCACACTGAATCCAATGAATTCAAATGTACAGGACATGAATTTCTAACTGCAAACACTGCAGATAAGCCGGCAGAGCAGGGATAAAAATCAGAGAGGACGCTGCAGTGAGGATGTTGACGGAATTCACAAGTTTTACACACACCTACTGCAAAGAGAGAAATCCCATTGTCAGCCACAGCTCTCGCTGCGTCGTCAACCTGGTCATCTGAGCGTCCGTTTGTGATCAGCACGGCAATCTGTGCAGCAATATGACAGAAAAAAAGTCATGCAACATTGGTATGATAATCATCAACCATTTTGCACAGAAAATGAGTTCTTGATGCAAATAATACATGATGCCTTCAGTCTTGGTGAAAGTGTGTTTGGTTTTGCTAAAAATGTAAGGAGGTTTGTCAACCATCAGAACAATCTTGCGTTAGGAGTAACAGAACCTTCCTGCAAACATCTCTATGCACAAAGCCCTCTGCAGACTTTGTTGTACTCATAATTAAATATACCATTAATAAATCAAATAAGTCAAACTCGAGGATGCTAACCTGCAACTGAGACTGCTAATTTGCCCATAATGGAAAATTTACATGGTTCATTCAAAGTTCAACCCTCAGTCAATGAATGAATCAGTGGGGTGCACGGCATCAATATGAGAATGTATCTGCTATTCTGCATGTGCCCCATCTGTATGATTCAATATATCAGCCTAATCCTCAATTCCCTGCCTCCCCACGTCAAGTGCACTGCTGCTGCTTCTGCTGCTGCAAGATGATTCGCACGCACACTCAGAGATGGAGAGATGATTGGAATGCTAAACCAGCTGTGTTATAGCGAGACTGCGCTACAGTGTGGAGCTCTGAGGGAATTTAGCTGACAGAAACAGAGAGCTGCTGGAAGCGCACTGGGATATTTGACAGAGCACTTTAGTTAAGAAACGTCCAGTTACTTTTAATGAGTAGTGCATGTGGTCGAGGGTCAAAAGTTAAGACACGGATTGGAGACATTTCTTACTACATATCCGCTGGTCTGTCTCCACCTTGACCACATTTTGAAGACCTTCATTCGACTTTCTGTGTGTGTCTGGTTCTCCTTTTCCTCTCTTATCAACACCTGCTCTGTCAACATGTTCTATCAGCAGGGGGTTGGAGTTATCACTGCTACCTTTTTCTTCCTCCTCACAAAAGATATACCCAACAGCAAAATCTGTTTTCAGCTGTAGCTTCTTCTCAACCATACCCTCCGTTTTTGTTCCAAGTGTAAAGCAAGGCCGTTAAATCAGATCCACAGCGAAAGGAAAATGATAGACCAGTTTGTTTTGTTTGTATTTTCCATCATGTTTCTTCCGAGTACAAATACAGACGATTTATTTTCTTGCACGCACAGACAGAATATACAGTTTATGCATTTGAGTGGCCAGCTGGAAACAGCAAGCTTTGCAGTGCAGGCTCTAATCTTATATCAGTAACTTCCTTGTTGCTTGTTTGTCCAGACTTTGTGATGCATTTAACAAGTTTGAGCCTGAAAGAAGTTTGGGGACTTTTTGTTTCTCCCGATATTCCCTAAAGTAAGTGAAATTAATTGATTTAGTAACGCTTCGGTGAACATTCATATGTGCAGAGGAAATTTGCAGCATGGTGGACAAAAGGCAGCAGGTTTTCACACATCCCAGGTTAAAGTTCTGTACCTTCGGGGCATGGTCTCTACTGATGGAGGGGCTGAACACAGTGTCAACCAAGAACTGGAGGGCCAAACCAATCCTTCTTGATCCGCCCTCGTAAGGGAGGGCTTTGATTGCTCTGAGTACCTCCTCCTGTGAGCTGTAGTCTGTCAAGGCGATCCCCATCCTGCAAGGAGTGGATTACAAGGAAGCAAAACTGCATTATGTGGGAAGTTAGAATTTGAATGTTCCTTTTGAAACAGAAAAAGAGAGAAGACAGGACTGTGTTTGATGTAACTGTTGGATCTAGTGTACCTATCAAAGTTAAACAAGTTTTCTCCATGAAAAGTGGTGAAAAACGCTTTAATCAAGTGTTGTTTTGTTTTGTTGTGACTGTTTTTGTGCTCATGTTTTACCTTGGGACATCTCCAAACACATTAACACCAAAGCGGACCCCCTCAGCTCCCATCACACTGTCCTTGAAGGAGGAGATGATCACTGAGATTAAGTCTTTGACGCTGGAGAAGCTGGTCTGACCCACACTCCATGACTCATCCACCAGAAACACGATATCCGCCTGCAACACCGTCCTGCATGCTGAAAGAACAACAAAAGGGGGAATTAAAGTGTGAACAAATATCTGGAATCCATGAGGAAAATTTTGAGATGCACCAGCACTTGTTTTATACTCCAGCTCTGGCCACCAGATAGCAGTGTTGTTCCACCATGTTGGTAAATTCCTGTTCCCTTGCTCCTGTCATGCAGCCAAAGCCCCACACAAATCCCCATGAATTTTTAATGAGACACAAGTGAGCCAAAGAGACTATCAATATTCTGAGCACTCCAGCAATAAAACTTTAGTACAGCGATGAGGAACGCTTAGAATAATAAGGTAAACACACCCAAAAATCAGGGTCAGTCCCTTTGCTCGAGCAAACAATCGCATTTAACATAAGGATCTGCTGTGTTTGGCAGGATTCAGACACATTTTAATGTGTTAAGTTAAAAAGCCAGACACACTAAAAAGCTGTGCTGATGCATCAACGACAAACACACACACTCACACATGCATATAGCAGCTCTTGCATATACGTTCTCAGTACTGTACTTGCTTCATACAGGAAGCTGCTGTGTGTGCAAAAGCCCTCTGAGTCAATATTTTGGCATTACATATGCAATAAAGCACAGTGACGACAGCATTGATTAGGCTAGTGAATAAGAGATAGGCACCGCTGATTGTTCTGTAAGTGATAACTCAGCTTCTCTGCTTGCCTCTATTTCATTACACAGCCTTCTCGACCCTATTATCTCGCCCTTCTTCCTTTGGCTGCAATCCCAGGATTCACTGGGGGTGACATATGTCTCCAGCCCGTAGCGACCTGACATTATGTTCCTGCTCACACACCTACAACTCTGGCAACACACCAAGGAAACAAAATATCATTGGGAATGCCATTTTAGTGCCTTCACTACTGTTGACCAACCATTGTTGCCTTATTGGGAGTTTTTGTGTGCTATATTTCATCACTAAAGCAAACTAACAGGATGCACCAAAGCCCTGAGTTGAATCTCAAATAGGTAGAAAGCCCTCGTATACACTTGTGGCTGTTTGATTTACAAGACTACATTTTCTATTCCACAGGTCTCTGTAAAGGCACTTAAAAAACACAGCAGAGTCTGGAGGCTGCTCTCCACCAGACAGACACAATCTAAAGTAAAAACAAGATCAATTATCCAGAAGTCTGTCCATCTGCGCTGGCAGGTGAGAGCCACACACCAAGGATAAAGAGACAGCACATGCCGAGGGATTAGAAATGCTTTTCTTGAAGGTTATCTTTTCTGATATCTTAAAGGTTGTGTACACCTCTGTGCTGGAACACCATTGATTTACGCATTAGATGTAGCTCAGTGGCTACAGCAAACGCTGCAGAAAATTCTGCTAGGAAAGAAAAAAAAAAGTCTGAGGAATAATGATGCACCACTGCAATCAGCAACCAACAAGATCAAGAGCAAAGATGTAAACTATCAGAGAGAGCAGGTCCTAGGGAGTCAAAGGCCATCAGGTTCAGATTTTATCAAGACAAATTAATATAAAAGTTGCTTCTGGAAGGAGAAGAAACTGCAGTAATTGGTAAGCAAAGCCACAGAATGCAGGACAGGAATATTAAATGTTTGAAAACTCTAATATTAAAAGCATTTCTCGCAGTCAGTGTGACAAATACACAACCACTCCCCTGGGCTCTGTTACCAGAATCATGTACTCACCCCATGTGGGGCGGTTAGTGCTTTAAATAAGCAAGTCTGTCTACTTCTCTATTCCAAATGTTGTGGTTCTGATTTGAATTTCATACTTTTTCTTATGTGGCTGAAAACAGCAGCACCAAGAGATCCATGCAGACTATTTTTCATCAGCAGAGTTGAGATTAGGATCAACCCCAGAGACCCTTTCTGAACTGATTGTTGTTCATGAACCGTGTAGGCACAAATGTTTGGCTCCACATGTTTGTTGTGCGACCTCATGGATGAAATTTTGGCAAATATGGGTAGCATGATTATCAGCCTGGCATGACTTGCAATGTCCCACTCCTATCGTTTTTTTTTTTTTTTTTTTAATACTTAAAATGTTCTCAGTAGTCTTGAAATTGTGATACAGACGTTTTTACCAAAAATCACATTACCTGTGTCATTTTCAAGGGCTTTTCTTCAGCAGAGCTCCAGTACATGATTAGCATTTAGCTTCTGAGACAGCGCTGCTCTGCTCATACGTCTTCACGTTAGTTTACAGCCTAGCATTGTCGGTGTTGTAGAAGTGGCAGGTCACATAGGAGCTATTCAGCTCTCGGACACTCATGTCTTTTGGGACATGATGAAAGTTAACATCAAAATTAGCTTCCTTACGAGCATTGTAATCCGCTAACGCACACGCTTGTTCCGAAATTGTCCTCTGTATTTCTCCTCGATATGCAGAGTGTGGCCTGAGTAGTGGGGTTCCGGGGGCGGAGCTTGGATTAGTTACGTATGAAATCTCACTGTTTCTGAACCTGCTGTTTGGGTCTGCCAGAGATTCACAGTGATTTGAATGAAGATAATCCATAGACTTTATATAGAATGGACAGCGTCTGCCTCCTCCCTGGGTGAAGCCATTCTGAGAACAGCACCGTCTATTGACGGACGGCGGTATAGCTCATAAATCCCGCCTCTGCCAGCAAAGTTTATAGAGCTGTGGACAAACTTTAGAAATTTATTACACAGAATATAATTTTTTCTCCCCCTGCTTGCAATGTTGACATGTAGTTACAGTAAGACTTTTTTTTAAGAATTAGGGAGTTCATGTTTTTGATTGGCACTTGATACAGCCTATTGTGCGAAGATTGCGTAGCTCACCCAGGGGGATAAGCTGTTTGAGCCGAGCGTCATCACAGCACTCTCAGTGACTCTCCCGTCGAATGCGCACAATGCTACTGCGCAAGTGATGAAGTGCGTACAACACTTCTGCGCAACGTTGGCTTCAGGAAGTGGAGAAAAAAAATGCGGAAATACCGCTTTTACCACAAGAGAGCCTTTCAGCTTCAAATCCGTATACTAGCGGAAGGCGGAACCAAGTTGTCCATACAGTCCGTGAGAAATATTCAGAAAAGCAATTTTGCACTTAGTTTTCTTATGATACGTCCTGTAGCATTAGAAAAATGCTATATGAACATATAAAAAAAGAAGAAAAACATGATTTTCATCAGAGTGGGTCTTTAAAGGGGCCAACCCGGATGTGTAAACTAGCCAGAGGACGCCACTACAACCATTTACATAGTGTGTGTCAAAATTTGATTATTCAGACTACAGGACGGTTTCTGACTTCACCTCAGTCTGTCTCACATGGGTGACACAAACATTTCTTGATGATGCTTGTATATGGTTTCTTCTTTGAATGAAGCAATTTTAAATCTGTTTGTTTAACTGTGAGATTTTTGAGAGATTTTTAGCTCATGCAGTGACTACCACTACAGAGTAATGTCTGTTTCTTATGTAGTGCTGCCTGAGGGCCTGATTTTCATAGCTTCCTTGTTTGTACAAAGGTTTTTATAGATTCCCCGGATCCTTTAAAGACATTATTTACTATAGATGATGAAATGCTAAATTCTTTACGTTTTTGCTGCGATTCATTCTGAAATTGTTGAACTATTTACTCATAAAGTCTCTCACTTCTCCCTTTCTTCACCTCTAAGAGACTCAGCCTCTCTGGAATGCCATTTCCCCACCCAGGCATGTAACAAATCTGTTGTAAATTAACCTTAATCGTTCGGAGATGTTTCTCCAGGTGTTTCTCGAAGCATTACACCATTCTTTCAGTATTCTGTCCAAACTTTTTTTTTTTTAACATGTGGCTGCCATCAGTAATTAAGCTTTGACATTTGATATACTGTCTTTGGACAAGTTTCAACAGGTTTATATGATTTGTAAACTGTACGTTTCACACAGCAATCCAACTTTTTGGAATCAGAGTTGTAATCTAAGCCACTCCACATGCACAGCAACAAGTAGTTTCAACTAATCTGTCATATTATTTATGACCTGGGTGCAGCTTCATACCATGGTGTCAACTACTGTAGGTGAGTTGCCAAAGTTTTCTCAGCTATTATGAGCTGTTGCTTTGACTTTGACTTTGGGTTCATTCACCTAAATTACCCTGTTTAGATTTGACTTTCCTGCTCATTCTTTCAAACACAAATGCAGAGTGATAGAAAACGCAGACACAAGTGTTCATATAGAGTCACACCGAACAATGAAACAAGCGGGGAAAAACCACCAATACTGACTTTGAAGATAGAAAAGCTCCACAAAGCTGCAGAGTTGGATGTTACTCTCCATATGCAGCTTCTGATGTGCTGTATGTGAAAGACCCAAAGTATTACAGACACTCTGTGCATGTGAATTAAGATTTACAGTAATAAGGATGCTGCTGCAGCCGCACATATGGCCTTGGGCTATTTATATCCCTCCGTAACTCTGCCCAACAACTTTACCATTCACGTTCTGCCAACCACATCCCAGGTGGAGGGAATCTTAACTTTTGATTGGCTGATTGACCTTTTTGGTGACATCCAATAGCACCTGAGGGTGAGGTTCTGTATCTAAGGGGGGATGCTTTTTGACAGGCAGGCAGACAGAGTGCGGTTCTGTACAGGAGGTGAGCAGATGTTTGAATCCCCTGACTAGACACAGTCTGGTGAGAGAAAATGGAGCTGGGTTAGTGTCTTCACCGAGGACCAATCCATGTGTGGAGACTTAATGACGGAGCACTTGAACAGACTGTGTTCACTGAGCACCTGCCCTCTCCGCAGCCTAAGCATCTGAGTCATAGATATGAGCTGACAATCAGACATATGGTTTTGACTGAGAATTTAGCAAGTTGGGATAGCATAAGGCTGGATTTGACACTTACTTCAAATAGTTGCAAAATACACAAATGGGAAAAAAGTGAAAGGAGAATGAGTCAGATTGAAATTCTGGAGAAATGATGGACTAGATTTGTGAGTTTTAGGGGGAAAGTATGCGTTGCATGTTTAAGTCTGTTTTCTCTTAGTGTAGGAGAGTCAACCGTACCTTCAGCTTGTGCCGTGACGCTCTGATGAAAGAGTGAAAGGAACAACAGAAAGATCCAAAAAGAGGAGCGGCCCATACTCTTTCCTTCCTCCCTGTCCTCCTTCGATCACCTGCTCCTCCTCCTGGTTCTTCTCTTCTCAAATCCCTTTCCTGAGCTCCACTTTACTATCATCAATTCTTCTCTCTTATCTGAAAGTACACAGATGAATAGAGAGTGGAAAAAAAAGTCATTAGAGGCACTTGAAGACAAAACCTAATCAGTGGATTTTAATTTGGGAGACGCCTCTGCAGAGACGTGCCGTTTTTTTTTTAACATCTACAGTGACATTGTTATATAAATTCATGAACAAAGAAAGATGTCTTTGTAAGCAGCTGTACCGAATATTGACACTTGGCGTTTTTTCAGTAAATAAAAAAAACTCAATCCTTTTCTTGTTTGTTTGCTTATTGATGTTGTAATTATGTTAGCCAATGCACAATAAATAAGTTTATTGGAGTGCTCTGTTACAGTTTTACAACTCAACCGAAGAAATGAAAGCATCAGTGGGGATTTAAAACTGTCCAATATGAGCCCAGCTATTAAAAACATCAATTAGAAGTCCAAACACTATACACATACTGTACATTAAAAGTTATTACCCCAGTCTTTAAATTATGACTCAGTTTTTCCATACCCAACCTGGATGTTTGCCCCCCGCCTTCTTTGCACATCTCCACTTCTGTGCTTTTACACTGAACCCCAAAACACCGTCATACTGCCAAAACAGGATTTTTCTCGTCAACTTGGTTCATATTGCTGTGCCTCCAAACAATCCTTTTGCTTCCCTAAAACAGTGAATGTTTCCGATGAAGGCACTTTGGCTTTATCTTGTTGACAGAGACTTCAAAGTTTCAGATACATGATGTGAGGAGAAACTTACTATCGCAACTAAGCAGCATTTGTGTGATTCTTGCTTTATTTAACTAGATAAAAGCTTGGACAGATTATCAAAGCAGTCAAAGTGTCTGAGGCTCCAGATACAATGGTTACTGGTCTGACTCTTCCTTCAGCCCCATAACTTGCTGCATGTTACCCCCAACTTTCTGCTCCATGTGTTTCCTGTCTCTCTTCAACTGTTTGATCCATTTAAGACAAAAGTACCTTAAAAGAAGCTTAAAGAATGTAAAAAAAAAAAACGTGAAATTGGGATGAAATATGAACTACAAAGAGGATGCAAGTTATTATCAAAGATTTGATGAATGGGAGTATCTAACTTAAAAAAAAAAATTTAAATACTGGCTCTTGATGGAAGATTAAGATCTGCACAAGGAATTTGCTGGTTTTGCCATGTTTTTTGACAAGAAATCTGATTGCGATCTCTTAGAATTGCAAAAAGCATTAAAAGCTTTGAAAATGTGCTGCTGAAAAAACATTAAAATTTGGTCTTATCTGACACTTACCCTCACAGACACAGACTTTCAAGGCATTAAAAGTCACAACAAAAGATTCTCAGTCTTGTAGTTGATGGTCTTGCTGCTTCTATAGGTCAGAGAGTCAAACCAGTGAAAAACTCTTCACAGGAGCTTTAAATAAACGTTAATGGATCAAATTTTTAATGTTAGTTTAAAAAGATGGAGAAAAAAAAACTAAAATACTTCTGGGCTTTGCTTCCACTCCCCGACAGTGATAAACATGATCAGCTTAAGTTGTGAATATGAAAATCTTTATCATGCATGCAGAAGAGTAAGCTTCAGTCTCTCATCATTCATTACACATAACTGAAAAGTAACAACCCTTCATGATTTGAAAATGACTCTTCATATAAGGCTGCCAAGTCCTGATTAAGGCTGAATCAAGTTTTGTTCTGCTAGGCGAGCAAGCTTCATTCATAATGTCATAATACATTTGATCAATCTGTTCAATCTCCATGATGGGACTTGAAAATCATATTTGCAGTTTATCAAAAGCATGCTGCTGATGTAGCTTGAAGAAAAATATTGCATCGCACCGTGTGTGAGTTCAAGCACAGTCAAAGAGGAGTGTCGGTTTGAAGTTCAAACATACTGTACTATGTGCTCAGACTGTTTAAACCTGCAGACCATGTGCACCTGACCTGGACTGAGGATTAATCAAAGTCCCTGAGGGCCTGCCATACCCAGGGATGCACACATTGGAGACAGTTATTTACAGAAGAAAGACAGAGACAGCGTGGCTAATCGCTTCCGATGTGTGTGCAGACTACCATGCACATGGTCAAATATGTGCAAATGTGCTGTAACATGCAAGAAGTCTGTCGAATAGTTTACACCGACTCTGTGTTTTGTTTTGTTTCATGTTTTTGTCAGCAATATGGTGGCACGACTTCAAATGTATGCGCATTTGTGGTGTAAAGAATTAGCTGGTCAGGCTATGAAGAGAATGGACATGTTTCTTAGGTGCTAAGAAATGGCAGCATATCAGGTCTTTGTCATGGAATCTAAATGTAGGGTAATTATAAACTGTCCATGTGAGTAAATGGGTACATTGTCGTCTTTTTTTGTTCTTTTACAGATATAGGAATCTGCAGGATAGCTTGAAAGACATTAGCCTTGATGCTACAGCTTTTGACTTGGTATAATACACTGAGTTAAGGCAACCCAGGCCATAGTCATTGCGACTGCATCCTGAAAAGTGATATTCAAAGGCAAGTGTGGAGGTATACCATAAAATGGTAAATGGTAATAACTTATTCTGGTATCTTAACTGCATCTACGCTGCTCAATGATCCACTTCAAATGCACCGCAAGGATCCTGCAGCCAAACGCCTTGGTGTTAAAACCTGTGTTGTGTACTAAGAATGGCCAAAATGTATCAACTGAACGACTTACAACAAGATTCAGTTTTCATAAGCAGCGCCTAAATTGAGTAAATCCCACACTTAAATCAGTAGCAATGCACTGGCAAAAGAATCATGCAGCAGTAACGGATTATCCCATTTGAAATGAATGAACCCCCATCAGAGAGCAACACACTCCACGCATTTACTGTGATCTAGGAAATGGCTCGAGCTGTTATGTTTTACATTAGCTTCCTCACCCCCACACATCTCCACACAGGCGTGCCAGCGCATACGTGTGTGTGCTGTATGAGTGCTTTTGCAAATTTATAAGCAGAACATCAAAGAGAGATCTGCTGCCACTCAACTGTTCATCATGAGATAGAAACGTAACAGATTTCACTCGGTTTGATAGATTTCCAGTCTTTCGTCAGTACATCACATCCAACGTTTCCTCAAGAGAACATATGAGAACTATAAATGATGTGTAATAATAGCATAAATCACAAACCAGATCAATTGGAAACATTTAGAAAACAGAAAATTCCTCAGTTTGATTCGACCACCTGGTCTGGCAAAGTCAAGATAGCTTAAGGCTGACGAGTTTACAACCTGTGCAGATGGAAGTGAGCTGGCAGCATTTGAACTCTAATGTAACACAGCCTAAAACCTACATTCCCCCCCTCTCACATACCAGTGCAGATCTAAGATCTGCCCCTGCATGTATCTTCTTATTACTGGAGTGCAGAGCAGACAAATGTGTGAGTTTTTGATGAATGACAGTGAGCGCAGATGTACAGTAACTTCTGGACTTTTTAAAAAAGGTTTGCAAGGGAGCTTAAAAAAGCAGCAGGAGATCAGAACTACAGAGTTTTACGTTACTTTCAGTTTGATGTAACATCTTTGAAAGACTCTTCTTTTCAAGTGAGCGCAGACCAGAGTTGTCAGAAGTTTCCTGCAGCTAAGATTGAATCTTGTGAAGAAATGAAGCAGTGTGAAGAAATGAAGTGTAAAAACAGAATCTTGGTTTCGACATAAATGTAAAATTGAACTGATGGATTTGAAAAGATTAGGCCATACCTCTTAGCATCTAATTATGCTCACAGTGATGATGCTAACAAAATAAATAACCAAGATTACTGGTATTTAAATTTGCAGGTATGTAATTAGAGATCTATGTTAAGAGCTAAATAATAGTGTTACGGTGTCATTACAGGACATGTCAGTGGATTACCAACACTTGTGCAATTCATCCAGTGAAGATGATAAAAAATTTTAACAGTTTTTCATGAGAAACAAAACAAAGTCAAGAAAAAACTTTGTTGTAAACTAGCTATCTTCTCGTTCTTTTAGCCTAGAACATTAAAATTCAAACTCAAAATCGTTTGCAACTCAAACAACTGGCTAGAACTTATCTCAGTATGCTTTTTATAAAATACAAATATAACAACAATAATACATCATAATGTTTTTTTCTTTATAATGTTATGATATAAATTTTGGTTTAAATTAGCAACACATAGCAACTTTGTTGTATTAGATATTGAGATGACATGCCTGCAATGACATCTCATCAAAAACCCATGGCTGCATCCATAATTCACACTATGCTGGGACTGCACACGCTCTGTCCAGCCTCTCCCAGGAGAAGCTGTGTGTTTTGTGTCTGAGGCCTTTAGTTTATCACTGCCCTGCGAGGATTTAACAGTGTAACAAAATGAACTTCACTGTCTCCGGCCCTTATACTCCCCTAACTCTCTGCTCCCTATCTCCTGTCCTCACACATTTGCACACATTGGATCACACATCATATGCCCTGCAAGTCAAACTGCATGTCAGCTATTTCTACATAATGGCATTTTCCACCTCACCACTTCACAGGATGGATTATCCCTGTAGGTGGGAACTGGAAGCAGTGAAAAGGCACATACACACAGTCACACACACACACACACACACACTGCACAGAAGTATAATGTGTGATGGGAGATCATTGCTAAAATTCAATCTGATCTGCGGTGAAACCACACTTTTAGACAAAGCGCCTAAGTTAGACGCTTCCGCTTTATCACTTTGCATCTGCGGTCTTGGAGCACAGACAAGTCTATGCATGGGAGGGAAAAGTCCCATATTAATTCTACATACTTTCACCTCCTGCCAGTTTCTCACACAAACAACCTGGTATGCGCTTCATGTACATTCAAAAATGTACATCTGTTATAAATTTTAAACATACGGCATATTGATTTAATGCTCCTTTAGAGTTTCGAGGCACAAAATCTGTGCACTCTGCAAAATCATGGACATGCACAATAATATATGCAAGAGTTCTGTATCGCAAGAGAATAGTGCATATTAACAGTGCAGGCGTATTTCCAGCAATTACTGTACTTTATAAAGCAAAAAGCGACCTGCTCTACCATCAACAAGTAATGCTGTTAAATGAGGAGTTGAGATGTCAAGAGCAGCGGTAAATGCTCAGTGTAAAAATAGTTGGCCCAAATCCAGACACTTAGCCTATAACAAAGGTTATATGGGCAGTCAAGAATTCAAAACTTCTCCATAAAGTCCCACATTAAAGTGCAGTTAAAGTAATGGGTTTTGACTATGGCCCCAAAATGGGCCCACACATTCTCACTTACCACTGCACACAAGTGAATCACCATTATCTTCCCCATACAGGTGACCTCTTGATGGTCAACAGGGGGGAAATATCCCCTAAAATACCGAAAATGATTTTCATCCAAGCAGGGTAAAAAAAAAAAGAAAAATCCCGGGTTGTACAGTATTCCTGCAGAGAGAGTTTTCAGAGATATTGCAGTGAATGGTGCATAAGGATCAATGAGCGTATCTGTCTGAGTGTGTGTATCCGAGTGAAAGAGGAGGAAGGTGTGTCTAAATGTGTGTAAGAGAGGATGAATGGCGCAGACTTTCTTTCCTGAAGCGCAGAAAAGTTTTGGAAGAAGGGTGGGGGGAGAAACTGCTGCAACCTGTTGGCTCAGGGAGAGAGAGAGAGAGGGAGGGTCAGAGAAATAGGAAGGCAGCTACAGAGGAAGAAAAGATGGGGCTACTGATGAGCTTTGACCCCGCTAGGAATGTACTGCTACTGTTTTACAATGCATGTGTGTGCATGTGTGTAGGTCATAGACACAGACAGCCAAGTTAACACCTCAGCGTAATAGAAAGTGCAGTTATGTAAAACAATGTTAAGGACTCCGAGGTCAAGTCTGCATGCATTTCAAATCCCATACTGAGAGGTTCTGCTGAAGAAGGGCAGGACTGAAAAACAGAAATGTTCTTGAGAAATATGCTGAATATTTGTAACGATGACAACACACTGAACTGGGCTGTATTGTTCAGTATTTCTCTGGCTGTTTCACTCGACGATGTTGGCTCAAGTTTGTGAGTTAAATAACAATTTTAGAAAGTTTCGTTGGCAACTTTTAGCAAAATTTTAGCAAGTGTGGAGTTTTTGATGAGGTTCTCAACTTCTAATGAGGGTTTGTAGGGTTAGAAGAAGTGCAGCAGCCTGTAAACTCTCTTGTGATTGGAGCTGGATAATAAAATAGCTTTTTTGTGATCATTAAAATGTGCCCTGTATTCTGCCTGGCAAACATGTACCTTGCATTAACAGCATTCGGCCATTACTTAATCATTTCCTTGAAGTAATAATCATCATATTAATCATTTTGCACTGCAGACGTGGGACATGTTCTTCCTTGAGCTGCGTCACCCCGGTGTAGTCCGTAATGGACTGGCCTGAGGTCTTGCTACAAAGAAGCGGCTGCTGGAATTGAGTAGGTGAGTTGTGTTTAGTCTCTTTACTTAAGAAAGAAGGCAAAGTTAAAAAGATGTTTGGTGGCTAGTGTTATGGCTAGGACCCTAGATGTACTGTTGATGAAGTTAGGTGCTGTTCTGAGCATTATTTGTGGCTATAGAGTGGCTTTTTGGTGCTACGGTGTGTTTGACCCTTAATAAATTTTACGCTGAAATATCCCTTTAACTGAGTAAATTTGGAGGGGGCTGCAATGTTAGCAAGCATCGGTGCTCAATTAATGACATTCAGTTTTTGCAAAGGTCTAGAAAACACACGCAAAATATCTCTGTTAACATAAAAAGGAAGCCAAAGAAAAAGCTAATTTTTCGCCATAGTTACTCCAAACTTCTACAACTAGTTTAAGGTAGAATATGTTTATCCTCTGTGCAAAGACATTTTGCAGCATTATTACTGGTACCACACACATTTAGGGTCAGACTTTTTGTATTTCCCACATTCCTCTGTATTCAGTGTTTGTGTACTCACACATAAACAGCATTTGAATAGCTTGTGTGGTTGACAACTTTCCAAATAGAAAGAAGAGTAAAGAAGGTAAATCTGTCATGTTTTACAAGCCTTTCTCAAATGGTGCATAGGTGTGAGCCTGAGTTTAGAGTATGTCGTGGGGCACTGGGTCAACTTTAACGGCAGACCCCTGGAATGTGGTGACCAGTTTAATAGGCTTTAGCCAGCTGTCAGTCTTGACATGCTATAACTCAGTATATGGTGCGTCCCTTGGGCTTTTGGCTTATGTGCAAATGTAGATTGTATAGTGTTGTGTGAGGGTATAACTACAGTATATATGCATGTCTGAGTAGATCACATATAGTCAAGTCATTTCAGTCCCTGCTGCAGTATGTTGCTTTCTATTCACTCTGCAGCTTTGCAAGATCAAACTTCATAAATCAATATTTAGCTCTTCCTTCCACAGTGTGCATAGCTTGTGCAGCATTTCAAGTTTTCCTCTACCTGCATGAGTCCTTCATGTGAATAATCCTGCAGTATGTTGAGACACTGCAGTACAAAATGGGTTGAATGAACACGGTTAATAATTCAAACTACATGTGGCCATTTGTAGGAGTGTTAGAAAGCTAAAGTTGAGTAAAAGGTGGGATAGTCTTGCACTGCCTCAGGGTTGTCTGAGATATGTGTGCTGCCCCTCACCCTCAGCACATGTTAAAGAAGATCAGGACCAATCTCACCTAACAGCCAAAGGTAAGTTTACACATATCTCTCTGATTGTAAGAGTTCTCCCCTGAATGTAAAGAGCGCCCACTGAAGTCAATACTGATTCACCGGCATCTGAAGCACAATCTTAACAAATCTTCCCCCACACCAACACCTTACAGTGTAAACATTCACATCATTACAGCCTTGATAGCTTTCCAAGCTCAATTACATCGTGGGTGAAAGCCTCAACCGTCTTTCTGTAGCAGGTGTGATTAGAAATAAAAGGTGTTGCAGACCTGTTGGGGGTATTCAGATGGGGAAGATTAACAAGCCTTGTCTCAGCTAATTGCACTCCTCCACTCTCCAAGTGGGCCTAAACCCTCCCTCGTCACAAAGAGGTGCCGGAACGAAAAGTGAGCTTTGATTAAATTCATGCTGCAGGCTAACCAGAAAACAATCATGTGCATTGGGGAGTCAAGAGAAAGAAGAAAGAGAGCGAAGTGGGGAAAAACAAGCAAAAGCACAGTGAATTAGCAAAGCCATAGGGACTTCAGGAGGAAAAGTGTGAGTTTTAGCTTCTTAGATACACTGGGAGAAAATACAGAAGGCAAAAGAGTAGAAAGAGTGTGCTTATGTGTGTCAGGTTGCAAAATTCAGCAGGGATTCTACGAGCAAAAAAAAAGGATGAGAAATATATTTGAATAAAAACATATTTAGACGTATTTTATGTGCTAGCTCCATTTCCTTTGAGCCATATCAATTCCAAAACTACAATGTTAATTCTGAAGCTTCTTGTGTAAGTGAGTATATTGGCTGTTTAATATTCTGTTTGGGTCATCCACCATTTATGCCTTGTGGCGGCTTTTAAAGGAGCTTCTACCTCTTATTTTATGAGACACAGATTCAATGCCCTTCTGAAATCTTTATTTCTCCACCCTCCTTTTTCTCCTTTGGTCTGCTGCTTCCATCAGAAGCTATGAGAATCAAATATTAGACTGAAGCCACTGGTTGTAAAGCTTCCCTATAATGTGCGATTTCTCACATGTTTTTTAATAAAACAAAGATAAAGCTCCTATTGAGATTTAGATCTTATCATTATCTTTAACAGTGTTATATGTAATTGGTGGTTATATGACTGTAATGTCATTAGTTTGAGCCCTAAAGGGAGTGTTTTGTGTCTGGTATGTGTTTGTAGCTCGAAGCTAAACTTTGACCACCTGCACTTTGGAACATTTCATGATTTAACATCCAGAATTAGAACATGCCACCTGCTGCTGTAGCCTGAAATCACCCCCTGAGTCTCCGTTTCACACGCTGTTATTTCATTTGGGCTTCTGCCTCCTTTTGTGCGGCGTCAATGTAACTATTGATACACTGACAGCATGAGATCCATGTCAGACAGATCTGATCTCTGTATCGGTTTCTGTTTATTGCCGTCAGTGTTGGCACTTTAGTTGGAGTTTCACACCAGGAAGATGGGCAGCCTCTCTGTGGCCGGAGGCTAATGCAACTCTGACTCACATCCATAAACCATACAAACTGGGCAAAGTGCCCACTGCTGCCTACCACAAAAGGTCTGCTCTGTGCCAAGTCTTTTAGCGGTGCAAACATACAAACACATGTGCAAAACAGAGATGCGCATAGACGGGATGAGCCACAGCGTGCACAGGCACCTGCATACGTCAAAACTCTTAGGCTCATGACTCTTGTCACGATAAATTCATCCTACAAACAATGCAACTTCCATCTTCAACTGAGATACAAGCTGTCATGGCAACAGAGGAAAACAGAGGATGCAGCATGAGGGCTGGTTTGTTCAGGACAAGCTGCACCAGAGCAGAGAATTGAGATGCAGCAGAAGTCGGGGCTGAGAGAATTAGTCATGAGTGTGTGTCCAATTACCTCGAGGAAGTCGACAACGGATATCAAAATAATGAACAAAACCAGCTCTCCTCACTGTGCTCAGGAAGACACAGAGCTGCATTAAATCTGATCCTCAGCACGGAAACACTGCTGGAGACATAAACGCAGAAAATTGAGTCAATAACCTCAGAAAAATGACTGTCTCTTAAAGATATCTGGCCTTCAATAGAGACCCTGGCATTAAGGGAGCAACAAGCAGCTTTATGTGTCGGCAAATTAAAGACTTGGGGTTCAAATGAGTGTTAATAGAAGTGTATGTGGTTAAATTGTAAAGTACATAATAAAATGATTACATATATTATCGGAATGCAAGGCTGCAATCTTGTTAATTATAGCCACATAGCATCATGACTGGATGAATTAAAGGGCCAGTCATGTCAGCTGAAAAGCATGCAGCTTAAGGATTTATCATGATCAGCTTAGAGAGATCTAAGAGATGGCGTCCGTTGATAACAAAAGACAACCCTTTCCATCTCAGGAGTGATTAGACTGTGTCTGACCTGAAGAGATAATTCACATACATGTGAGATTTTTAGGAACAACACAACCCCTGAAAAGCCAAAGGGCAACAGCTGTCCACGCTTGCCTTTTGAACTCCTCACAGACCACAGAGACAGAGATAGACCAAGACTGGGAACGAGGTCAAAAGAGGAGACAAGGCGACTGAACTGCTCACCAGGAGGGGAAGACATATGTTTTTGCCAGCATAATTCGCTGCCTGTCATTCAGAGGGAAAAGTTTCTTTTTAATGGAAATGCTGTAATCACCTTCACAGCTCAATGCAGAAAAAGAATCTTTAGGAATTGAGTTGCATGAAGTCATGCCGCCCTTTCAAACATCCATCTCTGTCTGAATACCCACTGAGGATTTGACTGAACTTGTTAAAGCAGTGTCTGGAGAGAATTTTAACTGTGCTTATGTGATGATTCGCTCAAGGGGGGAACAAAGAGCCTCAGTAGTTCAAGAAAATATTAACACTGTAATGTGTGTGTGCGCGTGTGTATCTAGTCATTTTTATGATGTTACCTGCC